TTGCCAGCACCAACTGTTGCGAGAACTGATGAGATTGCGGTTACGTTGCTGGCTGATATTTTCTTGCAGCGCCTTATAACAAAGCCGCCTCCAGGCTCCGAGGGGTGTACGAGCAATAGGGGGTGGAGCGGTCGCAGGGACAACAAAGTAAGTGTAGTACAATTTTGCATCAGGTACAAGCAGTGACCGGACAATTATAGCAGCGGCTAGCTGGGTGACCGTTCGCTCGTTAACTGACAGTAGCGGCTTCGCTACCGTTTTCTACTGATGCCGTCTGTGCCTGTTCAAGGCAATAGTGGCTCTTTTCTTTATTCAATCGAGCCAACGATTGGCCAAGAGCAGACGATTTGGGGCGTTCCCTTACTTCACACGGTCAAGTGATTCGTGTGCGTCGTTGTCGGTCGACAGGCCATCACTCTCTCGTGACAAATCGACCGGATGGTTGCAGAGGTCGTACCGGCGGCTGTGGGTAGCCATTAATTGCTATATTAATATATTTTATTGACAAGCTTAGCAGACACGCCTCTCCTCGTCATCGTTATAGGCCATGGTCCGATGCGGGCCACCACAGCACCGGAGATCTCTTGTCCGGGAGTTGGCACAACACACGCTTAATATGACCCTGCATACGATATGCTCAAACATCATCTGTGCTCTTCAATGGTCTAGCAATGGACCAGCTGAATCTTTTTTTTTTTTTCTTTCCTTTTTTTTTTTTTTTTTTTACCCTTAACGCCGAGAGATTGCAGAATTCGTCAGCAGGCAGAGGCGAGAGACATGCAGAAACGCCTCTGCACCGCACCACTCATTATTGTGTAGACCGCTACAGAAAGCGCCTCTTGGGCCTATTTCCAGGTGTGCTCAGCATCTGATGTACTAGCCTAGCAGGCATGTCTCATGTAAGGTAAGTACGAAGTAGACGCAAAGTTATGTATGTGCATCCTCGGGCTGCAAGCTAGTCCTAGCAGTACGACTGATGCCGCCTAGAAGCATCCCGCGTTCCTCTTGCTCGGCTGCCGTGTCTCCCAGCAGGCGGCTAAAGTTAGCTGACCGCCGTCGCACTCTTTTCTTCCATGGCCGCAGGTAAACTCGCTTACTTGTAGGGAGGCAGCAAAGTGTGGTGCAGCTCCTGCTGTTCCCCTGGTGCCGTAAAATGCGCCATGGCGCTGTGGTATCTCAGGAGCATATGGCTAACATGTCTTAGCCCTTATGGTAGGTACGAGGCCGCCATGCGTTGGCTCGGCCCGTTGGACGCCTTGCAATACTAAGAAAATATCTGTCCAACCTCACGGTAGACACCGATCCTATTTTCGACCACTACTGTACACTAGCAGCTCGTGCCATCAACCACTAGCTAACCAACGGCGACCGGTGTGGCGGCAGCTGCATGTAAGTCGACCTTCTTACCAGTGGACATGCTACATGTACAAGGACCTAAGAAGGTGGGTGGATGTCTGGTGTGTGACGTACGGGCTCAAGTATATGTGCTCCGTACCGGCGGTAAGGTGCTAATGCTAATTACCCACGCTTAACAGGTACTCTAATTGGCATTTCAGCCTTCGGTGGTGTTGTAGTACGGTGTACAGAGGAGCATCGCAGCCTGGTCGAGACTCACCACACGGCCTGTGTGGGGCCGGTGAAGCTGTATGTCTCGTCACAATCCTGTCTCGCCAGATATACAGGGTGCAGCGAACAGAGGGGAAACCCGAAATGGGAGGGAAAACAAAGAGTTGTAGACAAGACCCGGTACCCTGCTGAGATCCCTGCCTCTATTACGGATTATGTCAACTCTAAGAAAGGGCAACCAACGAGTGTGCAGCCTGCAAGCTGTGTGCTCTGCGGGCTCTGCGGGCTACTGCCGCGCTGGGGAGAGATGCACTTCTGGATGGGGCCATCTAGGTATCACAGCCAGCCAAAGAGGGCATTGGGCCATTACATCTCACCAACCGGCCATGTCCCGTCTCTCATGCTGCACGGCGCCTCCTGGTCATCAGCAAGGCATATCGCGCGTATCTGTGAAAGGAAACCGATTTGAATGGTCAATGGACCGCAGCTTAGCTCGACACGCCCGGTCGCAGACAGAACACATGATGCCATGGTGCGTATCAGTGCATACATATGCAGAGGAAAGAGACAGGCTCCTGTCAAGCACTCTTCTCAGCCTTCCTTTCTCCCCTCCCTCTCAAGCGACCCTGGCCCTCGTTTGGTCGTATTTTGCCAGTGCAGGCATGAGCCACCAGACGCCATTGGTCAGAACTGGAAGACTTCACATGGCATTTCAGCCCATATCCTCGACACGCAGCAAATCCATGATCTGACAATGTTGCTGCGGCTTCATGACATCGGAGGACCAGGCAGAGAAACGTCCAAGCAAACGCCCAACGGCAAAACGGCGTCAATATTCCCTCATTGTCTCCCGCGTACTTATTAATCACGTCGGGGTGTCATCCATCGTCCATTCCAAGGTTGCACAGTTTTGGACCTGCCACAGTAGAGTGCCCGAGGTCAGCTGACAGGCCTGCTGATCCAGCCAGCGGAATACCACCAGCGGTACACAGATTGAAAGGGAGCGCCAAAGGGAGCGCCAAAGGAAGCGCCATGCCCAATGGTGTATGCCAACTCGCAGCGCGGCCCAATTGTTACCTGCTCGTAGGAACCTATCTAGGGGCAATGGTTCCACGACATTTGCGAGAGAAAGTGGTTCGGCCACGCCGCTTTCCAAATTTGACTAGGGAGGGAACTGATGTCATTGTGGAAATTACTATGGCCGTGCGCAGCAAGCATTGTCGAACCGACGAGACTGGTCCGAGGGGGGAGGGAGAGAGCTGCGACAGGCTGCGTCAAGTCCGCCTGTATTTTCAGCTTCGTGCCTGTGTCCGTGCCCAACTTCCGCCCTGCACTCACCTCACAGGAGCCTCAATCTGCAATATGATGTAGGCGCAGGTTTGAGATTGTCGCATAAGAGTGGTGCCATAGTGTCCAGCCCACCTACCAGGTCTCCAGGAGCCAGCTCTGCGGGCACTCGGGTTCGGGGTATGCAGCGCCTATTGTCCCTGGTAAAAACCCAGCGAGCAACAGACGGTGAAGAAAAGAAGAAGGAGACAAAGAGAGGCAGGAAAAAAAATTTGGAGATCAGCAATGACCAATATCCCGATATGCTAGGCATTGCGAAAAACGCGCAGGCCACGTGGTGAGAAGGTTCCGACATGCGTGGGGATATTCTAAAAAAAAAAAGAGAGAGAGAGATAACCCCAACTTTTTGTGTCAAAAGAGGGCCAGGTGGGAAAAAATGCTATTTGGAGCAGCTTTGCATTGCCCAACTACGCCCAAGGTCTCTCAGATGAGGCCCATTGCCTCCACACACCCCATTGTGATTGCCAAGACCTACCTTGCCGTCCGAGTCTTTTCTCAACGATGGTGATACCACTACGACCCGAAACTACCAGTTTGTACAGCCTATATTACTTATACGAGGGGCCGATGGCTCCGTCAGAGGGGTGCCTTGGCGCTACACTGGCTGCGGTGAGAGCACCCAGGAACTTTAATGCAGGCGAAAGCAGCGAAGGAGCTTCTCTCAGAATGTTTGGCTATTCTATCATGAAGAAAATCCATTGCCTTGAGTGGTCGAAATGAGGCTGGAATGAAGAATCTGGGCAGCAGACCTGGAGACTGCGTCCAATCAGCTACTGTACATGTTGTAGCCTCAAGCTCAAGCACGCCGACCAAATACCACAGCATTGGACGGGCGGCAGGGTTGCTCAATCCACCAGGGCCTTAGGCAGCTTGGCCCATGTCCGGGGACACGATGCCGGTGAACACTACCAGCACTACTAGCATTTTTAGTGGTTGGAGCTAAAAAGAAAAGAAACGGCGGTGATGTGTTTTGCGAGCTGTGACATTTCGTCAGAGCTCGTGAACAACTGCAGCAAGAGCCTGGTCAACCGGCACGAATCAGCGTCAAAGAACCAAGTCATGGCAAGCTAGCCGCCCAGCGATGAGCGGCTGTTTCGCAAAAGACATGTCGGATGCCGGTATACAGCAACACTATACACTACCACCTATCCAAATATCTACTGTAGCTATGGCCAACGAGCGCCACAGCAAGGAGAGAAAGGTCTGACCATCAGAGGGGGGTGTTCTTCCAACAGCGGTGCTAGTATATTGCATCTACCTACGAAGCGTCCACCACCATCGTCCCAGGATCAACCACCCTGGTTTCGATAGAGCTTTTGGACCAACGCTCCGGACCCAAGGTGACCAGCGGCACAGCTGCCGTAATACTAGCAGTACCTACTAGCTGCCGACTCCACAGCAAGAGGCTCTAAAGTTGTGTACTTGTTGTATACTTTACCATTCTCCTGGGGCGGGCCTCCACCGAACACACTCACACTGTCACCCAAGCTTCTCTCTTTTCTAGCGCCGCTAGGCTTTCGGGGCGCCAGCCCGGGACAGTGGGAGGCACAGACAAGGTTGGGCTTGCTAGAAGATGGGGGGGCAAGGTGAATCCGCCGTTGTAGCCGCCAGTTCTATCGCCGTTCTTTGCGCGGCAATACTTGCGCCAACGCGGCGAGATAAGAGAACGAGATGAGACTGTTTTAGCATGGGAACTTGTTTCAAGCGCAGTGCGCGCTGATCTAAATATCAACAAAAAAAATCCACCAGTGTTGACCGGCTGCACGGGGTGCATACTGGTGATACCCTGTAAACTCCGTCCTTGATGATAATTGGCTACAGTCAACAGTATTTTGCTTACTGTAGGCTGCCCAATGTTACTCTAAGGCTACATATGTTTTGTTCTGTCTCTTCACCGAGCAAATCATACAAGGAGCTATTCAGAGGTGTCCATGGAGTATACGAGACACGGGCTGTGCTTATACATACTGGGCCGGTAGTACGCGGCGTCTATGAAGCAGTGGAGATTCATTCGTTGATGGCGGGGATGAGGAGTAGGTCACCGATAAAGGCATTACGTTGGACGGCGACTACCAGCATCAATCACCATGCTCATCAACCTTCCCCAGCGTGGCCATGGCCTCCCACGAGAGAGTCTCTTTGCTGCGCTACAGGCAAGCTTGGACCTTCAGCATCAAAGGGGGCACCCGGTGCCCAGATACGCGCCCCTTATTGCCCTGTTGGCGACCTGAGATACGGGGCACTGTTGGGTGGGAAACCCTTTACTTGTACGAAGTAGGTAGGCCTACTCTATTGCTGGTGCACACTTATACGGACGACAAGGCCGAGTAAGCCACTCACGGGGGTCTCCCCTACCAGCTTTACTCATACTTCATGTCGCCGCATGTATGACATGCAGGATTGGGGAAGCCCAGATCAACGTGCGTGGCATGAAACCGCAACGTAATAAAAAAACAAAAGGAAACAAGAACGGAAAACAAAAAAACATCCCTAATAAGCAGGAGCGACAAGAGTTGGTGCAAATTCATTCTACGGCAATATACGCGCATCACGATGATGCTTGCCGCATGGGCCACGGGATCAATTTCTGGTCTCTCTCAGAACCCTTGCCACGGCTGACGGCGACTACGAATTTGCACACTTCGTACTAGCATGCTTGTTGAAGCGTCAGCACTGCTGCAATCACTCAATCAAGAGACTATCGCCACAACGGCGCTTCTGTGTCACCTCAAGAGGCACCGCATTGCCCAGGATCCAGATTCATCCTACCATTACTAGTAGAACTAGGGAGTAGGTACACCTGATATCGCTGCCGCCATTGGGTTGCTACTAACAGGCATGCAAAGGAACCCTTTCTTCGCACCACCCCTCTCCCCGTCTCTCCGTCTTCTCGACGTCTTTGCTTTTTTCGGATCGAGGGCTTAGGGCTCACCGCCAGATGGATTTGCCTTTTGACACATACTCCCCGTCGTGATCCTCATCGACTGATTTAGCAGATCCCATCTCTGGGCCCTGACTATCCCAGCCTAACACGCTCTCGCCAGATTTTCTTCGTGTCCAGCTCAGCACAGTGTCGTCATGGCCAACAGCTAGCGCAGGGACCACTGCCCAATGATTCAACGCACATCAGTGTTGCCAAGGGTATCGCAATTCGGGGAGCCCTTCCGTCATGCCGGCACACTGTTCACACATCCGGTTGAGCCAGTCCGCCTCCGCCGGCGCAGTTAAACGACGACGGCCTTCGGAAAGGAGCTTCTACAGAAGGGGCGGTAGAAACTCTGAAAAAAAAATATGCCATCACTTAGCCGTAGCGCCGCATGGTGCCCCTCCCGCGGAAGTTGGGTTCGATGCTGACGCTTCTGATTGGCAAGAGCGGATGGAGGGAAAAAGGGGAACAGCCTAGATGGATCCATCGACCTGGCGACCGGATTCTTTTCATCTTTTGCCTAGCATGTCACTCAAATTCCAGCCGTTTCAGAATCGCCTGCCTAGCAGTAAACCGGCTGACCGGGTCGCGGTCCCCCCCTTAGGGCTACTCCTGTTTGTCAGAGCTTCTCCAGTCCTTCTAAAGGCCGGCGCGGCCTTGTTGCCACGCTACCTCAGGGCAAACCTGTTGTTGAAAATTTTTTATCGCATATATACATACCTACTCGTACATACTTGTACATACCCATGCCGTGCGCCATCCAGTCCCAGATTGATTACCAACATCCTGGCATCCAATCTAAGGGACAATGAGCAGTGCCGAGCGTCCAACCGGCAAGGGGGGGTGCAGCGGTAAAGGAGACGAGCCCTTCTCTCGCCGCCTCTCTCTCAGCTTCCGACTGTAGGGAGCAAGAGAGCCCATGCACGCATAAGGTACATGTACTCCGCACCGAGACGAGAAATTGCTATGCTGCGTGGGCGGATGTCCGGGTACCAGAGGGTAGGCGCCAATCTGCGCGTGCGGCTGAGCGACGCTTCACCTGCTTGTGGTCTTTTTTTGCTTGGGTCGCATCATGCGAAATCCATCTCCTGCTTGTATCAGGCATGGATCTATCTGGCTTCAAACGTACGATTTGCGTTAGTCCACACCGAGAAAGACCCGCTCCATGAGATGGAGAGGTACTCGGAGCTTGTTAGTCTGCTAAGCTTCAAACTTGCCCCTTCGCCACCTTGGAAGCAAATGAAGCGGCGTGGGGTCTTTTTTCTTCCCTTTGCTTTCTTTTTCTTCTCGAAACCTTCGAAGAGTGGGCGCACTTGCCTGGAACTGGACCTAGGGCGCAAACTACGGCGCTCCGTTTGGGCTGAAAAAGCTGCTAGCAAGACGCGAAGGCGCTCCAGTCGGTGAACCCACCCCCGGGGAACTCAGCCGTTGGGCTCCGGGCGAATGAGGTGGTCAAGGCGATTGATTGCCTTTATTGGCGCTAGGCGTCGGCCGATACGGCTGCGATTCCAACCAGCCGTGCGCTTGATGTGTGTGGCTTGATCGCCGAATCTGAAGGTCTGGTATTTGCAAAGGTCATTGGCGTGTAGCGTGCTTGACGCTTGATGTGCGAGAGAGAGTGTGTGTCACATGGCCCTCCTCGTGCTACCAGGAGACGCAAGTTGCATAAGCATGCCAGTGATGGAGCGGCATTTGTTCATTTATTGACTAGCTGCATGGCCACCAATCGCCAAGACTAGGTATATTCTTCTGCTATGGGGAAGGAAAGCAGTGCGTTGGCATGGATGTTGGGCATATGTGCATGCGTCATGTTGCACAGTAGTATTTTGTTGTCAGAATTGTCCGGATAAGATGCTTTTTTCTGATATATGTCGACAAACCTATATTAGAAACTCATACGCCCTATCAACGTCTCGGCATCGGTGGGATAAGCTGAGCAACAATTCGCGACGAAGATGATGATAACTCCGAGAGTTTTTTTTTTTGGCGAGCCGCATCCGATCCGATATTTCTAATCATATAAACAATGTATCAATCAGCCTTGTAGTCGATCAGGGCCTCGGTTATAACGCTTGTTGCGGTGGCAGTCAGTACTAACAGTATCAACAGGAACTGCTGCATTTTGCGGACCTCAGGTCTGATGGCTCCGATCTCTGCATACCACTACTTGCGCCGGTGTGGCTGTGGGGTGTGAATATACGAAATGATGTTTACTGCAATCATACTGGCGGTCTGAGGTTACGTTTAATTTCGAAACACATACGCCGATGCATGCGGTGGGCTGATAATCGGTATACTGCTACATATCTGCGTTGTTGCGGCCGTAGGTCTAGGCTTCACGCAGTAGCATTGCAAGACTGCCTTAGCTAGGCGAATAATGCTGCCCAAATGCGCAAAGAGATGAGATGCAGTCGAGCGCTTCGCAGCTGTACAAGTACCTAGCACAGAAAAAGGGTTATTCCTCTGCTCAACCAGATAACGCACACGGGACTATCAGCAATAGTGTGTTACTAGCGATATACACCGAAGGAATTATTTATCCGGGGATGGAATTGTGTTTCTAATCCTCGAGGCTTAGAGATCCACAACTGGCTGGCTATACAGCGAGCGACTTGCTCATCTCGCTGCCGCTGAGGTCCTTGTACATACCACCGATTCTGCCTGTGCCCAAAAGGCCGCGAAGGATTTCGCCTAGACATGGACCACCAACAGGAACGGAACTCTGTGGCTGTACTGTACAGTACTTCGTAAAAGTGCTTGGCCGCCTGCAAGCCCTCGACCATTTTCAGAAACGCTCGGTTGTCGAGAGATCGACCGCCAATGCACTTTGCTTGTATGACTGGTCGCGGGCGTATAGACGCAAAGAGGGTCCCTTGTCGACGGAGAAGGCAGGGGTAGGCAATGCTAGACAAAGGCTGGCGAACTGGGTTGTATCCTGGCCCTTGCGACCTTGTCCCATTACGGAGTCACTTACTTGTAAACCTCCTCGCCTCGTGATCACAAGCGGTCACAAGGCTTGTCGGTTCTCCCTATATGGTCTTTTTTTTTTTTGTCCCCCTCCCCTTGGACACGGAAAACCTGCTTGAAATGCGCATTATGAGGAGAATCTACTATCGGCTGAGAACAAGGCACGGTGATGCTCGCTTGTGAGCTCGCAGGATTTGCAAACAGGCGTGGAGTTGCTCGCATCGGTATCACATCCCAATTTAGAATTTTTGAATCTGCTGTTTAGACGAAAATGGGCTGATGTGCGAACGAGGCGAATGTTCCGTATCCGCGATCTCCAACTAAGAGCTCAATTGATCTCCGAACTGATCCAGCCGGACGGCGACGGCTACGATATACCTAAGTAGGTACCCGTACAAGTACGAGTATGATGGATGCACTACTTGGTACGCCATACGTGCCGCAGGCATTCACGGTATCAACACCCAGTACCAGGAAGTAGGTCCTCTGTACTGCTCCATACTCGGGCATGTACCAACCTTGCACAAGCCTGGTTCCCATGTATGTTCTAGGTATATGAACGCATGGAGAGCAGCCTGGAGATTCCAGTACCACTACTACCACATAACCTACCTTGTAGGTGGGCAATGTACATCTGCGGTGGCACTCGGTACGATGCTTGTTGGTTCTACAGTAAAGCATGCTCAAAGCCCCCCTGGGATCTGTGACGAGGATGGTGGGCTTCTGGGGGCGCTGTTCATGTACAAGCATTGAAAACAGACGCCTGCTCCGTATTACGGTGTCCTCCCGCAGAAACGGCTCTGTATTATCAACGAAGCGTTTTGTAAGCACGTATTCGAGCGAATCATCAAGAGACGGGCGGCCAGCTGCAGCATGGACCGTCGTCAGCCGTGCTTAATTTTGGTTCAAGTTACGCTCCAGGTAGTATTATCGGCATGTTGATAGTGAGACGAGCCTCGCGAGCCTGATGTATCATTTTACGCAGAAAAACCGACAACTGACGGCTGCAACAAGACAAATCACGAACAGAGGAGGCGTATGCTTTGGACACGGAGCAAAGCAACGCCCAATTGAGTTTGGAATATATGAGTCTTGGCAATATATGCAAGTTCAGCTCTGCTTAGGGGTATGTGTTGTTCAAAGGTCAGCTGGCCGGTGGTGCCAATACGATACGACAGCGAGAGGTGTACTCATGTTTGTCCTGATTCTGGCTCTGCTGATTTTACATTCTTCAATGCAATCACCAAGCATGATTGTCTCGGGTAGGCCGGCCATGGGGATTTTTTTTTTCTTTTTTTTTTTTTATTGCTTGTCTTTCCGAGCAGAAAATTATGGCTATTTGCTGTTTATTTCTCCGAGCCGTCGAATACACCGAAACGGTTCGCGGCGGCTTTCAAGCTCACCGTTTCTGTGTCCCCTGCATTACTCTGGATACTCTGGGTACTCTGGATAGACGACCAGATTGGGCGTGCATCTGTTGGCTCGTGCCCGCAATGTCGCTACTCAGCCCTCAGGATATGCACAAAAGAGTAGTGATTCACAGGACATGGGAACTGCGGGCTTGACGACACGCCAGAAATGGTCTGCGAACCCTCCAAGTCACCCAATGATGGGTTACATGGGAAGCATGCACCGGAGGTTCTGCATCCATCCGTTCGCAGCTCGAGTGCCTCGCTAAGCTGACCACTTGTTCACCAGTGAGGGAGCCAAAATGGATGCCCAGAAGTGATGCCCGTTTGCAGGACCATCTCCTCTTTGGCCCCTCTTGCATGAAGAAGAGGGGGGGCTGCAGCAGTTCTTTGCCATGAGTATGGCGATGATCGACCTCTTGCGTCGCCAGGCTGTGCTGAGGCCTGCAGGATGCGATGTCCCAAGACGGAGCAAAAGGTCAATCACACTGCTTCGCTTGGTGGTTTTTGGCGTGCCGGAACGTAGGATCCTATCCTTGGATCCATACGGGGAACTCCCTATCCGATGCGATTCGCCGTGGGATTGATTGGGCCTTGTCCCTAGTCGTGCATCCCTGTTCAGCTGGCAGCAGTCAATAGTTTGGGGCAGACTACCACGATTCACCCGTCCGTTGCTTGTACCCATTTGTACAAGCTAGCTCTATCAGCGTGCTGCCCATGCAGCCAAGCACCGATACAAGCAGAGTACTTGGGAATGGGATGGGATGGATGAGTCAGAGGAGTCTCGATGCAGGCCAAGCCTGTAGGCTGTGGCTGATGCTGGATATAGCCCTCTTGTCAGCTGCTCATGTCAAGACAAGATGCTCCATAAACACGGCCGGAAAAGGTTCCAAGTTGGCTTGCTTGCATGACGTGACGGGCGCCATGCCTAACCCCCAGGCAAAGCTGCGACAAGAATGCATGCCGTCTTGGCCTTGATGGATCGATAAAGAGCTGCAATGAGGGACTGCACGGGGGACCCTACCTAGGTAAGCTCCCCACTTTCTGCTTTTGATCTTCTGCCGCCTTGTCTCTCTGCCGTTCCTTTTTTTTTTTTTTTTTTTTTTGGAGAGGAGGCTGTGGTTGAGCATTCCTTTTCACATCATCCACGTACCTACTTTGTACGCGAACTTGCTGCATGTGTAAGACGCTAGGCCTGCCTGTGTCACACGACGTGATGCTGTTGGGAAGCTGCTTGTCATGTAGGTATACTTTGCAAGCTGTGCTTTGAGGTATTTTGAAGCCCCTCTCCAGAGACAAAGAGTCGAATACCTACAGTAGGTAGGTACCTACCTATACCCGTCCCCGGAGCCTGATTGCAAGGCGTGCAAGGCGTGCAAGGCATCTACTGAGCTCGGCCGATATCAAACGGTGGCGCCCGGGTTATGAACGGTATAGGCGACTTGTAATATTAGACATGAGTCGTGGCCGCGCAGGGGAGGGGTATCCTTCGTTTTCGTCTTCTCTTTCCTTTCTTTGTCTCTTCATCTTGGCCTTTACAGTATTATTTTTTAATTTTACCTGTTACTTTTTTATTTTTGGCGCAGCTTTGGTCTGGCACCGACTCCAATCCCGACAGCGTGGTAGGACATCGACTGGTAGGATCGGGCCGTGGATTATAGCGCTGGAGCCAGGATCACAGATTGCTCTGAACAGCCACGCAGTCGCGGTGAAGTAGTACCCTTCCAGCTAGTGCGAGGTCCGTCGAGGAACGGATGTGCGGAGCTGGTGGTGGTTGGAAGGCGGGTCGTGCGCGCGTGTTTGTTCCACTGGAGAAACGAGTAATCAGGGCTGACTCCAGGACAGGACAGGACAGGCTACCACCCGTATACATGGAAAGCCTACACCCCCTCCCTGCTACCGGCCTGGTGTGATAACGGCAGTGATGGCCATCAGCTGGAAGAGGTCGTGTCCAGGATCCCCTTTGTGTGCTGCGCGTGTAGAGAGAGAGCTCCGACGGCAGAGTAGCACTCGCGCTCAATAGTCCCGGGCGTGTAACACGACACACGACGAGACGGCACGGTCGAGCCAGCATCCCATCCGCACGGGTGCGAGGTCCCTTGTAAGCACCTCTCTTTCCGGCAGCCTTGCACAGCTTCTCCACGCAACTGGCTAGCAGCTTCCCCATGATATGGCGGGCATGGACCCAATCAGACCGCTTGGTGGTGCTGCCATGTGAGATTTTGGATGCGAGACTTGGGGCCTACTAGGGCCCGCCTTTTCGGCCATCTGAAGATGCCTTTTTTTAGTTGGTATGGTATGGGCGGCTGGATATCCGCGGCAACGGCGTGACGTAGGCGGCGTCACCCGACCAAGATCTCATTGTTTCATGGCTCCAGGACCGCCCAAAGGATGGAACCGTTGCTCTGGGCAGGGGGTGGCCCTTTGCTGCGGCTGGTGCTGTGCGGCTGGGCTGGCTGGGCTGGGCTGGGCTGATGATTCGTGATTTGAAGAGCTACCGAAGGGGGGGTCCACCAATCTAATGGCGGCCCGGCCGGGGGGATCCCACGGGAGCCCTGATCAAGTTCGACGATCAAGCCGCGAAGGGGACTCTGAGCGCAAGCGGCCGCTGGGCGATTGAGAGCCAGAAAGCTTAGGACGCGAGGACAAGACGCGGCTCGAGGCCAAGCCCTGAGGGCCTCTGCGTTTTGAAACTTTGTCTCTCCCTCTTTGGATCAGGCTGTCAGATCAGGTCAGATTTGGCCTCGCCGTTGTCTCATTTCATGCGCTGGCATGGGGGCCGAACTAAGCAGGAAGCCGTCTGCGATATCATGCTATCACAACTAGCGGTGGTTCATCTTATTAGGTGTTGGTAAGCAACAGTACTTGGTCAATACTGCTAGTAGTAGTACAGTACCGTGATACCCATCACCGTTTCGCTACCACCACCGTCACCTACCTACTCGCAATTTTGTGCATGTAGCTAGTGCTGCGTAAACGCACAGATTGCTTGATGCGCGGGAGATCCAGGCCTGACCATGCAAGAGGGAGTTGTTTGTTTGGCGCCATGTCCCAACTGAGAGTCACAAGTGGTAGCAAAGACGTGGGAATCTGCAAAGGGGCTAGCGAGCATAGCTGGAACTAGAACTGGAGTCGGAGCTGGCCGAGAACGGTCGAGAGCGGCTGAATTTTTGTTGGCGAGTGGTTGTACAGCAGCAATGACAGGATGTAATGATGTAAACGGGGAAATGAAAAAGGAGGTGAGAGAGGAATAGGGCGTGGTGCTATTTGGACTGTAGTCGATGCCCTACCCGGTAACTACTTTGTAGTTGAGTTTTATGGATCATTACAAAGTCCATTGAGTTACAAGATGAAAATTTATCAAGAAAGTTGCTGTTCTCAAAGTAATTGTTTATTATATGCATCTGAATACTAGATACTTAACTCATACCTTGGGAGTTACACAAATTGAATTGAGTTGACATATAACAGCCATTGCCTGAATACCTACGTCATGAGTCAATTGGGCGACTGTATAAGACTCTTGAGTACTACCTACACATCTGCGAATGATGCATCCTGCGCCGCCGTCGCATAAATTGCTCGTAAAATCGCCCATCTCAAAAACGCCACAGGTTTCATTAGCAACACACTATTGAAAAAACAAACAAACTTCGAAAGCTGAGCGAAGCCAAGAAACGTGGGATGTTTGTTTGCCCTGCCGCCGATGCCTTGGAATCGCACGGACGCCACGCCATGGTGGGGCGAAGACCGGCGGCCATTTTCTGTTCGGCTCGTCCGTTGCCGCATCCACACTCGACCTGCAACTTGCAATTCGCAGCACAACTCCATCGACTCACGAGAACAAAAAAGGACAACTGCCGCAGAGATCCCTGGGAACAACGGGCATCTCGGATAGCCATCCCCGGATAAGCTTAGCTACAGCACACCGGCCTCGGACGCTCACCGGCGACACGCAGCGAACCAGATCAGCGCCGCCATCGCAAGCTTCGGCCAGACCCCGATTCTAGCCCTGCCAGCAACGAGTGGCGTTGCAGGAGAAGCAAACAAACTTGCAGCCCCAGGCCAGGCGCGCACCGGTCCATTCGGTTCGGTCAGTGATACCTTGCAAGGCTTCGATGGCCAGGCGGCCAGTGGACGGCGACAGAGCCCTCGCCATCGGCCGCGACGAACGCACACGCCCCCTCCTTTTCCCTCCCCCATTGACTCTTCCCTTAATTTCCTTTTTCCCTGCTTTTGTTTCCCATCCAATCCCGCCCCCGACTCTGGCTCATACGATTTTCATGCAGGCTCGAAGAGAAAAAAAAAAAAAGAAACTACTACCTCGATAACGCTGCCCGGCCAGGAGCCGCGAGACCCGCTTCAGCCCTGACTGGAAGGGGCCAAAACAAGACGTCATAATGGCGGGCAAGAAGGCTCAGGACAATAGCAAGAAGGCTGCCGGTAACGCGCGTAAGGCGGACAGCGCGGCTAAGAAGAACGCTGCGGCCGAAGCTCAGCGGGAGCAGGTCGAGGACGACAAGTGGCAGAAGGGGTCCAAGGATACTTCGAAAAAGTACGTATATACGTGTGTGTGTGTGGTGTGGCGGCGTATTCTGCCATCTGAAGTTGCCTCGCCTCGCACAGCTACCTACACAGCTACGTGTCAAGATTATCGCCCCCTTTTTTTCTCTTGGGGTGTTCACCACACGGTCCACTCTGCGCACCGCTGCGGGAAATTTGATGCCTTCTTCTTGACTAACATTGGTTCTTCTCTCCAGGGAGGCAGAAGCCGCCAAGAAGGCCGAGGCCGCAAAGAAGAAAGCTGAAAAGGACGCTTTGGCCAAGGAGGAGGAGGCTAGCCTGAATGCTCGCGCCGAGCCCAAGAAATCCAAGACGGCAGTCAAGAAATCTCGGGGGCTGGACCTATCTCAGCTGGACGACGACGGCAAACTCGGTGCCCTTAGCGCCTCCGGCATAGACAACGCCCTGGATGCCCTTTCTCTGGCGGCCGGTGGAGACGATTCCAAGATTGACCAGCACCCGGAGAGGCGATTCGCTGCCGCGTACCACCGATACGAAGAGCGGAGGCTTGACGAGATGAAGGCGGACGGCAGCGGCACAGGTCTCAGACTGGAGCAGCGCAAGCAGAGAATCAGAAAGGAGTTTGACAAGAGCCCCGAAAACCCCTTCAACCAGGTCAATGCCACGTACAATGCCTCGAGAGACGATATCAAGCAGATCAAGGCCCAGGAGGCGAGCAAGGTTGAGAAGAGACTGGGGCACTAGATATGATTTGCAAAATATTTTTTACTATTTTCCTTGGATCGCCCTTGGGAAGCTAAAGATGAACGGCTTTTCCCCTCGTTGGATATACCTTTATAGAATAGGGTTGGCAAAAAGTTGATTGGTTTAACGGGGGGGTTTTATGTCTAACAAACCGGAATGAAAAGACAACAGCAATAACATCTCCTCTCTACCAACGAATGTTTTAATGTTTTTATTTTTTTATTTTTCTTATGTTTGAGCTCGTGTGTTTACCCCCTATTCTTACACTTTTTCCTATTGTTGTTCTTGGGACCTCAAGAATGCTGCTTGCTGCATTGCCCACCCCGCGATACGAGTCTTCAACAATCAGTGACGTCTGTTAGCCCCGCGGCGGGTTTTCCAAAGATTTACCACTTTATCCGGCAGAATGGCTCACCGCCTCTTCTCACCGCCTACGCAACCCGGCTACCCGGGACGTTCGTCCCAACTCCTACGCTAGAACGTGTCGCGAATGTCATCTAGTGAAGCGTGCACACCTCCTGATAGCATCCATGCGGTAGTAATTCAGGAACTCACTTGTTGGCCAACATGACTACTCTCGCTCTGGGGCATCTCCCCTCGCTGTGGCGGCAGCACTTGCTGTCGGAATTGTAAGTGTTGTCGCATCGTATATGGCGGGCAATCGATTTGGAAGACCGCCGATGGTCTGCAAGTAAACAGCCACTTTTTGACGTCAGCTAATCGCTACCCCCTTTTATCGCAGCGCCGGATTGAAGCAAGCTTGCCCCGAGGGAGTGTTTGTCAGTCTGACTCCTGGAGAGCCGTCGCTGTGGTCAGCAGTGCTTTTCGTTCGCCATGGTAAGCATCGGTGACATTGCTGTTCTCCATCTTGGAAGTTGATCTTTGCCCGTTTTGAGGCACTCCTTGGTCTACTTGTACCATTCCTCCTGCGAATGCTTATCTTTGGCTAATTCCGCTCTTGCGTCAAAGGTCCCTATGCTCCGGCTGTTCTTCGATTCCAAATTCTGTTCCCCGACGCATACCCTCGAGCTCCACCCCTGGTCACCTTCTCAACGGACATCTTCCACCCTCTCATCACTCCCTTGACGACGCACATGTACGCTGCAAGCGTGGAGAGCGATAAGAGCACTACAGAGAGACCAAAGCTGCCCCCTGGCGGCTTTAGCCTGGAGCATGGCTTTCCAGAGTGGTTTGGCGGCCCTCAACGGCCAGAGGGTCGAAGGAGTAAGTCGCCTTCAGCAGTGTCCACAAAATCGTCAAAGCGCAAAAGTATGAAGCCGCCGCCGGTTCCCGAAAAGGACAACTTGCCGCGGTATATGCAGACAGATCGAAGGACGATATCGACCTACTCCCTTTTAAAGTACATTCGAAGCACGTTTGATAAAGCAGAAGTTCTCGATGCGGTGCCTCTTTCTGCTGCTGGGAATCCAGGAGCTTGGCATGCGTGGCGTACGCATAGGCGCAAACAAGAAAAGGTTGATGAGAAAAAGACTTATAGATTGAGTCGACTCAGCATATTGAGCGGTGACACAACTAGAGAGACTTTTAGTGAACGAGGAGATGGTGCAGCTGAATCTGATGCAAAGAGTATAACGTCGTCTCAGGCTACGAGGGAGCCTGGAGAATGGAATTGGGACGGTGTTTGGGAGGATAGAGTGAAGAAGGGCGTAGCGTCTACTTTGACCGAGTCGGTATTGTATGGCGCGTCAGGAATATCCGACGACATGGTAAGTTGTTCAACGCTCTTCCACCCCCGTCTAGCCTGTTGCCACTGTATTAACCAAGATAAATTTTTAGATTCATTTCCTAGCACTCGAAGAAGGGACTATTGAGGCTGTCAAGGGCAATCTGCGTCGAACTCTGGATGCCTCAGCATGAGCTTCTCGCTCTACTGGTCCCTCTGCATCTCGCCCCCTTTTTTTACGCAATTCCAAATGTTATGTTTTCAGAATGAGCCTTAATTACTTTTCGTATTATAGCGTGTTTACCTGGCTTTAGAAACAGGCTGGTCCTATGTAGTCGTTATCAAGAGATTATGTCTACGTTTTAGATATAGAAAGGAAAAGGTGTGACATGTAATATACTATGTGTCTACCTATTCTAGGCATCTGAGTGCCTATACGAATCGATAATCACCAAGTCGTGTTGCCCTATGAACCGAGCTGCAGCAGGCTCTTGCTCTTTCCTTTTTTTTTCTGTGGTATTTTGGTTCCTCATATCCAAGGTTTCTACTATTGCCCTTTACTTTCCCTACAATCCCAAACACGCCTCGGTGCCCCTTTCTCTTCAACATTCATTCTCTCTCAATCTATAAAGACGCCCTGAGGTCGCCTCCATTCTTGCATAATGCAAAACAGCTCTACCCCAGCCGAAACTATCCCCGTCAAAGACAGCCCTTGGGTTGTCTGGCAGCACCCTGTATCTGCTATCGCTCTTCTTACCGTTATTCTCTCTATAGTTATTCTTGCAGCTGCATTTGTTTCCAATGCGTGTTTGCCGGTATACACTTTCGGCTTGGAGACGTTGAACTTGTATCCTAACCAACAAAAGAAGGGGGATCGACCGCGAAGCTCCCGTGTCACGCACCACCAGCAGCTAGAGAACCAACATGCCCTGGCAGAAGTTTAGGAATTGCTAGGATTCCTCAGCTGTCACGTCAGAGTTTATACACTTTTTTCTTTTTGGAGCTCAGGGTCGGTTGTTATTATCATATTCAGCATGGAGTTCTTTGAAAACAAGCTGTCGCCATGCTTTGAACGCTCGACGTCGAGAGATGCTGTCCTCGTGAAAGACAAGCCGAGTCCACTTCGAATTATCAAAAGGTGTCGGAATAATAGCCGACAACGAGCTTTGAAAAGCAACAATGCGGATGTGGGCGTGGACGACGGCCCTCGTGATTTGCTGGAAGATTGCGAGCCACCGACAGTTTACAGGCTTCCGAGACGGCGGCCCAAAATCGTGTCTGAGAAGGGTACTGGTCATGCGAGAAAGGAAACCACTGGTTAGAGGCAATCCTCGCGGGAATCAGCCTCTGGACACAGCTTCGCGAGCAGACGCGAGAATGGTGACATCCCTGGACAAGACTATTCGCCCGAACTGCCGGCTCTCTATCGATATTCATTAAAGATGAGAAGATCACGACGCAAGCGTCCTAGCTTGAAGACTACTAATCTTGAGAATAGAGATGGCGACTGCATCACTTCGACGTGCACGCTCCCCATGGAACCCAGTACTACGTGGCTCGATGATGCATCCCGAGCCAGCTCTAGATGCACGTATCATGGGCAGAGAGACTCCCACGATCTGGCTGAGTTGTCCCTTTTACCAAAGCCGCTGCTGGCTGAAGAGACTTCACTTGTCTTATCTCCACACATTACTGTGACACCAGAGACGATGAGCATGCGCGCAGGCCAACAGCATCTCTGGGCTGCGATTGAAGTATGCGGCAGACTATTCCCAGCCAACGGCAGGCCTGAGAATGGCAGAGTTTCTTGTCCAGACAAAGGTTGGTCGTCTACCTTTTCATCTTCCTAACCCAAGTTTAGAGTTGGGACACATAAATCAGTGAAAATATAGAGCTCTAATGATTGATACAGATACATCTTTAAGATTCGGCTATCTCTACGATCTCACTATAGACGTGTTGCCAACAACGCAATCATCTATCGTTCAGACAATGTGTCAGCAATCGTTCCCGACGTGAGTTTGCATATATCCGCGAATGAAACCTCCATTTAACAAAATTTTGATGATGAATAGCACCCTGTTTGCCGGATCAAGCATTCTTCTCCTCGTCCAAGTCCTACTTCAGCCTAGGGTAGCGTTGTCGTCACCGAGACAGCACAAACACACCAGACACATGTCGGAAGAATTGATGGAAGATCTCCAGCTCCAACTAGGAGACTCTATCATGGATTATCTGAGCATTCAGGTGTCCTACTCACACTCTGCGTTCCCTTTCCAACGTGGTGCGGCGGGGGCGACTGAGGTATCCATCTTGCAGACCAGGCTGGTAACAGCTGCAGAGGCAACTATCAAGCTGCACAATGTTCTCTCTCCATGGTCTCCTCATCCGATACCGGCCAGAGATTGTCTATTATCGGTGATTGAGGGCCACTGGGGGAGCCAAAAAGCATCTGAAATAATGCAACAGATTTTAGCCCAACGTCCCATCTCAACTCCAAAGCTCAAAAAAATACGGCCAAAGGGGTATGAGCAGACACCAACAGATGAGAAACCAAATTGCTCTCATCCACCAACCATTCCTCTAAGGTACATGAGCTTACAAGATGAGCGGCCAGTGACTCTGAAATCAAGTCCGTCACTGCACTCTGTACGGGAAAATAGAGTCTCGTATGACTCGGCAATTGGGATGAAAGGGACACACAGCAGAGAAATTTCTGGAGCCAGCAAATGCGAGAAAGAGGAAAACAACAGTTCTTCGCGTGGAAGATGGTCCATTTCACCCGATGCTACTCTCCGAGCTTTGACGCCAGCCCTGAGGAACAACAGCCGCGGTGACCACAATAACAGGCGCAGTATGAGCAAAGAAAAGAAATACGGAGTGGCGGGAGATGTCAAGGGAAAGAAGGATTCTGGTCTTTGGGCTTGGGCAGCATGGTTTTAGTTTTATTCGCCCTCTGCCCTTTGTACGTGCGTACGACGTTTGGTAGCCGAAAGGTATGGAGTCCTGCGACTTTAGTTTAATAGCATTCCCGTGAGGTTAGGAAATAGAACATCAAGCTTAACTTGTTGTTGAATTATCTATTCATTTCTCTGTTTTTTTCTTCTTTTTTTCTTCTTTTATATGACTACTTAGTTCAGCTCGTCTTTCCACGGAATGGAAATCTGGGCGCCCTTGCGAGATACAGTGATGGCTGCGGCCCGGTTAGCAGCCTTGATAGCGGTGTCGATATCGAAGACGCCTGTTCCGGCGCTCACGACGGCCAGCGCATAAGATCCGACAAAAGTATCGCCCGCGGCGGTGGTGTCCACGACATTGGCCTTGAGGGCAGGCACCAGCGCTGACTTGCCGTCCTTGGTGGCATAGTAGACGCCCCGGCCACCGAGGGTGATGATGACGTTGCTGACGCCGCGCTGGATGAAGATTGCGCTGACACGCTCAAGACCAGAGACTTCGTCGAGGTCGGACTCTTGACATGCCGAAAGGATCGCTGCTTCGGTCTCGTTGACGACCAGGTGGGCAAGGTTGATGTAGGCTTCGTCGGGAAGGGTCTTTGCGGGCGCGGGATTGAGGAGGACGGGGATGTTGGAGGCGTTTGCGGCGCGGAGGGCCTGCAGGACGGTGTCGAAGGGGATCTCGAGCTGCATGATGAGCAGGTCTGGGCGCGGGCCGGGCAGGGCAGAGAAGTGCTCCGGCAGCAGCGTGTGGTTTGCCTCGGCGGAGAGGATGATGCGGTTCTGGCCGCTGGGCTCGTCGACGACGATGATGGCGATGCCCGTCTTGCCGTCTTGGCGGACGGCGACGGCGGAGGTGTCGACGCCGTAAGAGGTCAGGCTGGAGATGAGCTGCTGGCCATATGTGTCGGAGCCAACGGCGCCAATCATGGAGACGTCGGCGGCGGGGGAGGAGAGGTCGGAGGAGCGCGAGAGCTTGCCGCAGGCGACGGCTTGGTTAGCGCCTTTGCCGCCGGGCGAGGTGTTGAAGTGGTTGGCGGTGAGGGTCTCGCCGGGGAGAGGATGGTGGGGGACGTAGGAGACGAGGTCGATGTTGAGGGAGCCGAGGACGGTGATTCTAGGGCGGGCCATGGCTGCTGTGCTGGAGGATTGAGGAGATGCCGTGTCTGTGGGCGTTGTCGATGTAGTTGTTGTCAATGCGACGATATCGAGCGAGTAATCAGCGACTACCAGTAATCCTGATGAGCTGCAGCGAGCCTTGAGCCTTGCGACAAGTTTATGAAGAGGTAATGCCGCTGGTATGGGGAAGATGGAGGGATCCCCGCGATATGGTCCTCTTTTGTTCTGGGAGAGCTGCGGAATAGCTGCTATTTCAGATCAACGTTGGTGGGGTAAGGCGCATGGCAATGAGCTGCCCCTCCACACCTCCAGACGGGCCCCAGTTTCTAGAACTGTCTTCGGCAGCGGCCGAGTCATGCAGCATCCTGGTTTCCATCTGCTAACAAACTTGTCCAATTCTTTGGGCGGCGGTTAGATGACCTGTTCTCACCTAGCCGGTTCCTTGGCGTCTAAGCTCGAGTGCCCACTGTAAGCCCAAGATCGTATACCTTAGCCGCTGATACAAGCTAATGAATTTTTTTTTCCAACGGCCGGATCCGAATGCGGAGCTGTGCGGGAGGGGAGATTGGCCGGAGAGAGCCGAGTATTTTTGACTGTAGCTGCCGATGCTCGTTTCCGGGTAATGGCATGAAGCAGAGATGAGGGATAGACCATGAACAGTTGTATAAAAAGGTAGATTGTTAAGCAGAATTTCGTTTGGTAAATGGCGAGCAACGAAATGATGCAGAATAAATGTATGTAAATGAGTACTTGTGTGATTTGGTCTGTACCTTTCTACTCCCGGAGTGTGCCGCACAGGACGACGTCTTCGCCGAATGGATGCCACGATACATGCGATAATCTCGCGACTGGCAGAGGGACTCCTGCCGTGTCAGTAACTCGGGCTGGAGATACCACCACACCGCCTTGTCCCAGCCATGTCGGTGCAATCGTCACAATGACAGAGTCAATCAAGCCGTGGTAGGCAGGGTCCAGCAGCGAGTTGATGATCTGGCCGCCGCCTTCGACCATGACGCTGGACAAGCCCTCGGCTTGGAGGGCAGCGAGAATGTCATTCCAGTCGAATCGAAGCCGGTCAGTTGATTGAGAGCGGGAAGCAGGGATCTGGATGTATTTGCCCCCGTGCTCATGAAGCAACTCAACACTCTCCCGAGGCAGGCTTGATTCGTCTACGCCAGTGAGGATGAACGGTGCAAGTCCAGCGCCGTTTCGGCACACCTCAAAGACCTTGTCGGAATGGCGCGGGGTCCAACGGCGATTGGCATCGATGACGATCGGCCGGGGCTGGGAGGGCGTCCCTGCAATCCGGCAGTTGAGAGCCGGATCATCTGCCAACACAGTTGACACACCAACCAAGATGGCTGAATGCCGAGTCCGTAGATAGTGGGTCATTGCTTTGGAGCCCGGGCCAGAGAGTCGGGTGCGGACTCCAGGTGACAGAGAGAGGCTGGAATCAAGTGAAGTAGCGAATGTCAATGTAACAAAGGGGCGTGATCTCGAGGCCTCCTTGGCATCCGACTTTGGTGGTAAGCGAGTTTCGAGAAGAGCTGCCGACTCGGCGGGAAAGGTCAGTTGCTCAGACATTGATGTGGTTTGCAAAATAAAGCGAAAGCGGGGGTAATGCTGGAATAAAGTCTCCAAGAGGGTAAATGGTGGGAAATATGAGAATGATGGCAAAGAAGGCTCTCCACAGACGTTGTGAGTGTAGGTATATTTGTGACTTGGGAGGTGATGATGGAACAAGGTTGCAAATGCCGAGCTAAGAGATGCGAGATATCATCAGCGCCGGGCGGAGTGGGGCCGTATTCTCACACTCGGTTTCGATTCTACATTCTCATCATTCAAATAGTGGTGACTTTTCCACCTCGTGTTCTGGTACTGAAAGTAAGGATAAGGGTTCGCATAATCAGAAAAGACTCTAGCCGAGTCCTTGTATGCAAACAAGTTTGACAATGATCATCTGAAGCACCAGTCTGGCCAAGATCCGGGTTTCTGCACACAATAATGTCATGCACTGCACCTGAAAATTGAATAGTTGCGACAGAGGTATGGGACGTGGTACGAATGAATGCCTGACTGATTGCTATTTTTATATAGGATGACTGCGTTGAGGCAGCTTCGCCGTCCCTTTTTGGCGAATAGGGACTCCTTCGTCGTCAAATTCAGCCCATTGAAAGAAGGCACACCCTTGTTGGTCTGGAATAGCGTTGGCATAGCACATCCAAAAATATTTCCCATGGTTTTCCTTTTTCCGTTGCACCACTCGAAGCACGCAGGGAACATTGCAGCGGCATCTCGGGGTGAGTGATGGATGCATCTCTGCCCGATAATCTCGATACGTGATATTTATGCGCTTGTTCCCGGCGATTGGATGTGGATCAATTGATAGGGCAGGTGAGATGGAATGTTTCCATTCTTCTTGCATCTCTGCGTGCATCACAAGTAGAGAGTTATGTGGCAGGTGTATTGATATTTGGCCCTCGCCATCTGCATCGTCTGGCCGCTTTGTTTCTGCGTCTCGGGGTAAAATCTTACGGACGCGAAATTCTCGTGCTACACCTAGAGAGATGGATCCGATAACTGCACGGGGACCTAGATAAGTAAGATGGTCACTGTGCCATCCTACGCTTTGCTGTGCACCGTCATAGCAGTTGACAAATGCAGCATTCGGCACCCATGGTTTGGATGGTTGGTGCTTGAGTTTCTTGCCTCCAGGGTAACAAGCCTTGATGCGAGACTCAATTTGGTCGTTGACCTGCTCTTGGACGATTGGCTTCACTTTAGCGAGTGTTGGAGTGAGCTGACGCACATCCTACCGGGGCTTTTAGTCAAGGGCCATGCATGATATGAAGAATGATATGAAGGGATACAGAAGGGGGATTTTCTCACATTAAGCATGCCTCCATTGTAAAAGTAATCATGTTTCTGTTCTTGGATTTTCTCGTATGACTCGAGAAATAGACAGGATGTGTGCGGGCTAGTCACAATATTCTCAAACAATTTGAAAGTGATTTGCTCAAATGTTTTCGCCTCATCCAACAACTCTGTCAGGAGTTGGTCTGCCAGCTCGGTCGGTAGGAAATTGTGTATAATGGTACATGGCGTGTGCTCTGCAACGTCTTTTGGATCGTACAAATGGAGCGTGCTGCCCTTTTTTATCTTCTTCTTCGGTGATGACACCGGTGCATCTTGACTAGGTTTTGCGTACTGTCTCAGAGATTGTTGGTATCCTATGGCAGCACTCTTCTTCACCCCGGGGCGAAAAGACTTGAGAGATTCTGATGCTTGACTAACGGAGCCATCGTGGGCCAAGAGGACATCCAAAAGCCTTTCCTGTTCAACAAGGGGGTGTAACGAGGAGAGCATAGCAAGCTTGACTTCAGTTGATTCCTCGCCATCTTCCAATGTGGTTTCCAATTCTGGTGTAGCGTCAGCATGGGTCGATTTTCGCTTTGGACGCCTGAGAAAAGAGTCCATGAGAGCTGCAGTACGCTGTGAGTTGGGCAAGTAGAGAAATTCCAAGAAAATTATTGGCCAAGATGGTTCTAAAAGAGTGAATCATGAAGATCCCACAAAGATGAATGAAATAAATGCAAAAAGGAAGAGAGAGACGTGATCAGTCCACGACTAATTCACGGCAGGCGCGAGGCGTGACATCTGTAGCAACACGAAGCCACGTGATCAGATATTTCCTAATGGGGCAAAAAGATGACTTCGTTGTATTGCGCTTGAAGCACTGATTCTTTCTGGTTGCCGTATGGCATGATGGCCTCTGTAAGATCAGCCCATGTCAATCTCTTTAGGGATACAATTGGACACATCTTGAATCCACGTCCAAGTGTACCTTGGAGAATTATGTACATGTCCGTCTTTTTTCTTCTTTGTTTGTGATGCGAGAGATCCGCTTGGCTTCCAGCAGGCATTTATAGCAGCTGAGACACCCGGCACTCCACCTTACATAATCCTACCGTCAAATATGGGGTAACGGCAAACGGTTGCGGCGGCAGATCCCAGGACCGAGGCACATGTCAGATTAGGCGGACCTTTTGGTCGCAGCACAACTCAGTATGCAATCCAAGCCAAACAAGAGCTCATGACAAAGGGCTAATACCGTAATCTTTTATAAAGAAATCTTTTGCCAGTATTGTTATTGCCGCCTTGTATATTCATATAACTGTCTCTTGTTTGCGCTTGCGTTCGAGCTCGAATGCGCCTCTGAGGCGCTCCCCTCTCCTCACTCTTCCTCCAGCCGACCCAAGACCTCACATTCTAAACAATGGCCGCGATGCTCGAGTTCCGCACCCAAGGGTACAATCCCTACGCGGTCAAATACTCGCCATACCACGACTCTCGCATCGCCGTCGGAACAGCAGCCAACTTCGGCATCGTTGGAAACGGCCGGCTATTCGCTCTTGCGCTGACGTCGCAAGGCATCCAAGTTGAGAAAACGTGCGTTTATACATATACAAGCTTGCCATTACAAGACCAGCGAGGCTGACGCGGTGGTGTAATTGTGTTTCTAGGTTTGATACAAACGACGCGATATACGACTTGGCCTGGTCGGAGATCAACGAGAACCAGCTCGTGGTTGCGTGCGGCGATGGATCGCTCAAGCTCTTCGACATTGGCCTGAGAGAGTTCCCAGTCATGATCTTCCATGAGCACAAGCGCGAGGCCTTTGCTACCGCCTGGAACCCCGTCACCAAAGACAACTTTATATCCAGTTCGTGGGATGGCACGGTCAAGATTGTACGTTGAATTGGTTGATACATATGAGTATCCTCGGTTCCCTATCTTAGCCTTATTACTTACAAAGTCATGAATTCTTCCTTCTCACAGTGGTCGCCTACTCGCCCATTCTCCATCACGACCCTGCCCATTGGAAGCTGCACCTACAGCGCATCCTACTGTCCCTCCAACCCGTCCCTCATCTCCGCAGCTTCTTCCGACTCCCATCTCCGACTCTTCGATCTCCGAACGCCCTCGTCCGCAAAATACCATCTCGTCGCCGCCATCCCCGTCCACGCAGCTCCCAGCAATCCCGGCGGCCCCATCCCCGCCGGCGGCCCGCCCGCCGAGGTCCTCACCCACGACTGGAACAAGTACCGCGACACCGTCATCGCGACCGGCGGCGTCGACCGCATGATCCGAACATTCGACATTCGCAATCCAAACGCCGGGCCGCTCTCCCTCATGCCCGGACACGAGTACGCCGTACGGAGACTGACGTGGAGCCCGCACGCAAGCGACGTCCTCATCAGCGCCAGCTACGACATGACGGTGCGGCTGTGGAACGATGCCTCCAACCAGCCGCAGGGGCCTATGCCTGCTACCCGCCCGGGGGCGCAGATGGGCATTATGAACCGGCACACGGAGTTTGTGACGGGCGTTGACTGGTGCCTGTTTGGCGCTGGCGGCTGGGTGGCTTCTGCGGGCTGGGACGAGAGGGTCCTGCTGTGGGATGCCAACCTGTTGATGCATCCGCGATGAGCAGGAAAACGGCATCATGTTTCCACGCAAATAGAACGATGAAGAAAGGCAAACAAAACTGTTTTTGATACCAAGAGCGCACATCTACATGGAGAGGAGGGGACACCATCCCTTACGATTAGATTTGTCTTGTTACAGAGCCAATGTGGTTTTTTAGAATTCTGTACAGAAACAGTATCAAAGCTGGGGGTTTTTTTTTGGTTAAGCCTCACAATCTTGGTTGAACACCCCATATCTAAACTTGTTTTCAATCTTGATAGCTCATACATATTTTAACGTTTCTGAAATACAAGTCATGACTATACTATACACAATTTATATATATCATTACATGCGCCATGATGCTTTTTGTCTTGAAATTGGAGATTGTTCCTTTTTTTTTTCTTCATACCCGTCCCGCCCTGTATCTTTTACATTGCAAATCCCAGTAACACCGTTAAGATCGAAAAGTTCTAAACATGAATAAACACGCAGCCGTAACAACTTGCCGCGCCTTAACCAACATAGCATAGCATGGCATCTCTCCCAGTGGACAGACGCCAAGCGTCAATACTTTAGAATAATGAGTTGCGCTGTTTTCAGAGACCGCCGTCTTTAGTCGTTTCATCTCCCTCAAATGCCATTATGGAAGAAAGCTCATCGCTTTACCATGATGACTCAAAACCTCCACCTCGTCGGCCACCACCTCTGGAACGCATCGGTGGCGGCCCATCGCGTCGCGCGTTTCTTCCCATCTCGGCAAATGGGTCAGGAGGTCCACGACGGTCGAAACGGCCTCCGCCACGGCGGTCGTCTCGTCGGTCGCCTCCCCGTCGGTCACCTCCCCGTCTGTCATCTCCCCGTCTGTCATCCCGATGCATTCGATCACTGTGGCCATCCTGAATGTTCAATCCGGATCTTGTCAAGCCTTGGTTTCTTGCCCAGCTGGAAGAAACGGCAGGGGGCTCTGACCAGCCCCAGCCCTTGATAGCCCAGTCGTTCAAATCCTCAACAAGGTCTTCTCTGTCTGAGAGCTGGCCACCAAAGAGTGAAGTATACGCAGAGGCCATGATCTTTCGGGGGATTGCCTGAATGAGGCTCTTCACCTCTTCGTGATATGCGGGCAATTCCTCCACTGCGTTGATATCAACTTCAGCGTGTTCAAGGGACTTGTTGGGCTTCAGTGGGAGTCCTCGCAGCAGTTTCCTGGCAGTGCTGGCAGACATGGGAGGAACAAACAACCAGCCCTCTCCGCTCTTGTTCTGTCGTCCAGTACGGCCTAATCTGTGAATATACGATTCACGCTCTCTGGGGGCATCAACCTGAATGACGTGAGTGACATTGGGGAAGTCCATGCCACGGGCGGTAACATCCGACGAGAAGAGGATTCCAGACTTTGAGTTTCTGAACATGTCCGCGGCCTTTGTTCGTTGGAATTGAGAAAGCTGAGATTGGATGGCAAAAGTGGGAATTCTCAGCTGGCCGCTCTTTCTGCGCTGAAAGCCAATCTCACCAGCGAGCTCAACCATGGAAGTTGTGTTGAGGTAGACGATGGCCTTGAAGGGGGGTATGGTATGGTCCGCCTTTGCGGCCGCAACCTCACGGTCGATCAACTCGTACAGGGAAGGGAATACGTTGGCCCAGCTGGAGACTGTGACGACGTGCTGAGGGATTCTGTCGTGGGTAAGAGTTTCATGCTCGGGAATAGTCTGGACAAACTCAAAATCGTCGGGGCGAACAAGCTTGCGCGCAAGCTGGATAACGTTGTCAGGAATGGTGGCAGAGACCAGCATCGTCTGCCTGACCTTGTCCTTGGGCAGGTAGCTTTGAATTGAGTTGAGTTCTCTCTCGAAACCGACATCGAGCATCCGATCCGCCTCGTCCAGCACAAGCGCCGCCAGGTTGGGAGCATCAATACCACTGTTGGGGTCTTCGAGAAGATCGTTCAGACGACCGGGGGTGGCCACCAGAAGATGGCATCCTTGTCGCCGTGTCTGGCGCAACATGGCAGACTTTTGAGTGCCTCCAACAGCCGACTGAACGACCAGCCCAGTGCGACTGCATAGCCGCTTCGCTTCGGTGGCAATCTGTTCAGCAAGTTCACGGGTTGGGGACAGCACGATGCCGCGGATATCGTCAGAGCTGGCATTTCGAGAGGCTTTTCGTGAGGCCAGCGTGGGGTCTTCTTCGATCATGCGCTGGAGGAGAGGTAGCAAGAAGGCAATGGTCTTTCCGGTACCGGTCTTGGCTTGAGCGACACTTTGAGGCTGGTCAGTTTACAGATCCATTTTGCGCATTTCAACTATTTGCAAGCTTACATGTCAGTTCCCTTGAGAGCCGGGGTAATCGCCTTGGCCTGAACCGGAGTCATTGAATCGTAGCCCATGTCCTTGATGATGGCATCCAGCAGATTGCGATGCACCCCAATGGCCTCCAGGTCCTGGAACGAGGTGGCTTCTCCAGTTGCAGCAGTTTCAGGAGCCACAGTCTCCGCCGCAGCAGCCTCGCTGCTATACAATCTGTTGAGGCTGGCAAAGCTCTTCAGAGACGCAACTGGCCGGGGCAATGTGGACGCTGCCGATCGCGCCGCTGGAAAGGCTGATCGCGCACTCAGCAGCATCGCACTTGAAGCCGCAGTGCGGGCCAGGCTTCCGCATCGTCGGACACCGTACCGAAACATGATTAGATCTTCCGTGAACCAAAAACAGGATGAATTTTTGATGGTGGGTTGATCCAAATAAGAAAAAAAAACCAACGACACAGTCAAGTGCCTGGTAAAAGAATATGAACAGGAATACGTGAAAGTCGCGTGTTTCCTCCAAATGCCGATGAGATTTCCTCCCATTCTTTTTTTTCTTATCCTACCTGCTAGCGGCAAAAAAAAGTTCGACCCCTCCAAAAAAGCTGTTCCCAATACGGAAAAGATAACGATAAGACTCGGGACATGCATGGCCGCTAGTCTATAACCGTGCTAGTCTTCTGTATAGCATGATGTCAGGCATTCTAGTATTAGACATGAAGCTTCATAGAAACGGCACTGCTCAGGCTGCGTACTAGCCTCTGAACTACTAGTGAATTGGTTTCCTTTTGCCCTCTCTATCCAGGAACAGACAACGCAACCAATTTCAAGACACGTCAAGGTATATCCTGTAGCAACTTTTATACTTGATAGTCTAACAATTTCTTCTCTGTTGTCAACAAGTAATTCTCATCCTAGACGCCAGCCTCCGTTTACCAAATACCTAGTCATCCGTGTTCGGATTATGCAGTATAATGTTCCCCTCTCGCTATATAACTAATTCCCAACTCCATATTCCAAATCCTTAATAGTCCGCAAAACCCACAAAATCATGCAAGGAATCGTCTCCTCTCCTTTGATATAATGTACAGCGTAAAACAGGTTTATAGCATATCCTTGCTCATCTCATAAGACCATCCTCCATCTCGCCGCAGCTTGTTACGAGCCACCATGTCCTTTCTAATATCGTCCTCAGTCAGACGATCCAGACCGCTCCAGTTGGCACTGGATGTCCTTTGGCGGAACTTGTGCCACTTGTCTTTACTCTTGCTAAAGACCTCTTCCATGATCAAGGGCGCTGGCGGACCAAAGATTTGAGATGGGTCCATCGTCTCTTGCCTCATGAGAGCTTGACGCAAATCAGGCGAATCAGCCCAAGCAGCCACATTCATTCCATGAGGTTCGTCATCGTCATCTTCGTCATCTGTCTGAATTTCGGGAAGCTCAATAGAATCGCCAGTCTGGGGCCGTGGTGAAGGCCTCTTCACGCTCGACTTGGGATTCACGAGTTGCCCAGGCCGAGCAGGAGTTTTGAATGAAGACCCAGCAGCGGCATTCGAGCTGGGCGCAAAGGGGATTGGGCCCTTTGAGATTTGCGCCATATCTAGAGGATGGGCGGCCTTCATGTGACTATTGTGCTGAGCTGTGACGGCGGCCTTGAATAGATCTCGGGTGGCACTATGCGGTGCAACCCCGTATCCATTTTGGAAGGCAGACTTCGATGGTAGATCCTATAGATTGTAAGTCTTGATCCAAACATTGTACACGTAGGTTATTGGAATGGATACACACCTTTTTAAATCCCGTTGACGGCCTCACTGGCGGACCTTTAATGTTGGGGGGGTTTTCCGCACCCAGCTCATCATCTTCGTGTTCGCTAGTTCGGCGTCTCTTAGAATCCTTAGTCTGGTAGGCCGGTCCGCCTCGCGAAGGAGGGGGCCTTGAATAGTTGTTGTTGTCACTCGTCTCTGCCCCCAAAGTCCGTTTGGCGCCCGCCTTGGCGGCATTTGATAGCATGGAGTTGAATGGCCTGCTAGAATCATCCCGCATGCCAGCTAGTCGTGAGGGTGGCCGAGCAGGCTGGCCCTCAGCTTTAGAGGATGCCGACTTCTGTTGGCCCAAGGTTGTATCGGGTGGACCGTTTGGCTGCGATCGTGGGGCTGGGGGCGGTGCTCTTGTCTGCTTGGCCTTTTCAATAGCGGCCTGCCGTTGGACCGACTTCTTCTCTTCTTCCTGTTGCCTGTGTCGCTCCAGTTCAAGGCGCCGCTGTTGATCCTGTTTTCGTTGCTCCTCTTGTGCCGCAATTCTCTTCCTCTCCATTTCAGCCTTAGCATCGCGTCGTCTTTGAGATTCTTTTTCATCTTGCTCTCTTTTTCTAGCGGCTAGTTCCGCGGCTTTGGATCGGCCGGCAGACGCAGGTGCTTTGAAGGTTTGGGTCGCAGATTTGGCTTGGTAAGATGATTTGCTAGTCTTCGACGACGCAGTTGAGTGAGTAGAGTTCAGGGTATCATGAGACGCGGTAGAAACTCGGCTTCCAGCAGGAGCATATTGTGAGTGCTGTGAGCCGGTATTGACCCTAATAACAGTTGGGGGGGCTTTCGTCTTTGAAGTCAAATCTTTACTCGGTTTCACTGGCCGCTTGTTATCCTTGCCACGTGCTGCTTGGCCAGGAAGAGTAGGTTTAGTAGAGGATGGCGGGGGCATGGGGGGTTGTGCGTCAGACATGTCTGTATCTCGATCGGCCTGTCTCCATTCCGGTTCCTCTCCCGCTCTCATCTTGCGAGGGCTGGATTGGCTTCTCTTTGCTGGGTTAGGAGTTGCCTTGATCGCCACGCGCTCGTCTTGTTTCCTGGAAGCAACTTCCTTTTCCATGGTAGCAACCTTCTCTTGCTCTTGGGTAAATGCTCGAGCCTTTTCACGCTCCTTTTCGCGTGCCTTGTCAAGCTTATCCATCTGCTCTTCCATGCGCTTAACTTCGTTCTCGCGACGTTTTTGTTCCTTCTCACGTTCTGTAGAAGCCCTTGTCCGGCGCGCAATCGGTTTTATTGGGCTCGTAGGTTCAGTCGGTTGAGATTCGAAGTCCTGTGGCCTCATAAAGACCGATTCGGAAGATTGCCCAGCATGAAGGCCCAAGCGGGTAACAGAAGGCGACGTCAAGGACTTTCCTTCCACGTTGCTAGCAAGAAGGCCGCGAGAGCCCTTCAAAATAGACGAAAGCTTATTCTTGACCTGCTTTAAAGGACTATCTCGGAAGTTTCGCGGGAGTGATTTGGAGGGTGTCTCGGCCATATCATCTTGTGATGCTACTAAGCTGGAAGTCGAAATCGCCTTGGAAAGAGGCACGGTTTCTCTCATAAAGGCAGCCGAAGCAGTAGGTGCATTTGAGACAGACATCGTCTTTGAATGGTGAAAAAAACCGTGTGGTGTTGGTTCATTAGCTTGGGGCGAGTCGTCATCGGCCTTGTCAAGGAGGCCTTCCATAATGTCAGCTGTATGGCTCTTGGTCAACAGCGGCCTCATGTCCGTATTGTCCTTGACCGCCGTCGGCGGCCCGATCCAATCATCATCGTCATCTTCGGGGGAAGCTCGTGGTGTCGTGGAGATCGGCTCTTTTTCAGGAGATGTCTGCTTTGGGCTTGCAACAGATTGCATCTGTGGAGCGTTTTGCTGTGCTACCGACGCATTTGGTGTCTGCTTAGTTTGTCCAAAGCTGCCTTGAGGTTTACCTAGCATGCTGATTTGATCTTGTAATCTCTGCGTATATGTCTTTGTGTGATTCATGCCTGAATTTCCTACTTCAGCAGCATCGGGGAGAGGTGGAAGGTCTTTTCCTTCTACCTCCATGCCGCCAGGATTCTCCTCTTCATCCAAATCCCGCTTAGCGAGATTCCCGAGGCTTTTACCGCCAGTTTGTCTTTGGTAGTAGCTTGTTCTGCTATTATTGCCAGTATCGAAATGACTGTTCCGAGATTGTCTCGCTCCCAAACTCTTGCCCGAGTTAAGTGGCTCTCTAGCTGGTAAAGAAGCAAAGTTTAAGCTACTCTTTCGAACAATATGCCTGATGGGGCTTGACCCTTCAGATGCGGAATGGTCATCCTCCGATGTTTCATCGGACTGCTTAGGAGGCATGGGCAGCTTTCTGGGAGACGTAATAGGTGCCTCAAAGTACGGATCATCCATATCTGGCTCTTTGGATGATGACTCTGGCTCGTCTTGAGTAGCCTTGGATGGTACATTTGGTAGAGCGCGCGCTGAGAAATCCTCTCTTGTCGTTTGGAAAGATTTTGTAGGTAATATTGAAACTGGTTTTCGAGCTGGGCTTCGTCTTATTGAAGATCCACCGGGCGGCAATACAATATCGCTATAGGGGCTTGCAATGTCTTCGGGTTCGTCGAGTTCCTCCGGTTCCTCAGGCTCCTCCGGTTCGGCGTCATCACTTGGATCCGTGGCAGCAAAGTCCTGGCTCCCATAATAACCAGAGTCTTGCATTCCTCGGGTAGGGGGTGGTCGTTGGGGAGAGAATACATGTCGTTGTGGGGATGCAGCTTTAGATATCGGTACCGTCTTCGACGCGACTTGATGAAGTTGGGGAGCAGGATGGATCCGGCTGGTTTGAGTCGGGTTTTGGTTTTTCGGGATGCCTGGTGATGCCGCTGCAAAGACGTCGGATAGAGGCTAATCTCTGTGCATTAGAACAACGTTCAAAAAGAAAAGAAAAAGAAAGGCTATTGAAGCAAACCCACCACTCGAGACTCTGTCGCATTAGCTTTTCGAGCCGTATGGGGGGTTTTGCCCCTAAGCTTTCCTGGAGTTTTGAACGCTTCTGTGATATTACTAGACAAGGGTATCAGCATGGGCCATCACAATGGCGGATGGTGAATAGGGAACGGTGCGACATACACTTCGTTTTCGTTCAAAATTGCGGCCATGTGCTCATTAAGCCATTCAATCTCATTGTGAGCAGAGTAGGAGAATTCCTCTACTTCGGATTGCACAATCTCCAGTGCAGACGTCCGTTCTTCGCCGATCCAGGCCGTAGACCCGACCTGGAGACGCGGGCCTCGCATTGCAGTCATGGTGTCGCGCCGAGAACAACAGCTGCAATGTTGTATTTCCAGTGGCGCCGGCTGCTGAGGATCGTCTCTGAAAGTTGTTAAAACATCGGTGACTTCTAGGGCTCGGCGTGAAATCGGTGTTGGTGATGTTCAGTAGGGCAATGTTGATGACAGTGTTGAAAGTCCAAAGTAAATAAGCCGGGCTTGTTCACCCATTCCAAGGTCGCAATGTTTTGATGAATCCCCAATTAGGTTAGTGTCTCAGCTTTAGCTCCGAGCTTCTTCTCGCGTCTCAAAATGCAGCTGCACGTGATAACGTCATACATCACGTGGAGATACGGGCTTATCAGAAACCAAACACGGGGGGGTTGTGTTTACTTTAGGTCGCGTCCCTTGCCAAGGTGGGACTTTGTGACAGACAATTGTGCATAAGGCGCAAGATTCTTCGGTCCAATATCTGCGTCGCGGGTACGCTGGATCTGCCACAATGAGGGTGATAGAAGTCATTATCGACGTAAGTGTCGCATCTTCTTGTCAATATTCTTGGCTCTCTCTGCTCACCTCTTCGACAGGGCTTCAAGTCGTATGCCGTGCGAACAGTGATATCGGGATGGTAAGATTCGACCCCACGGCGAGAGCTTTTCATCAATACTGATTTTACCACTTTAGGGACGAGAGCTTCAACTCCATTACCGGCCTGAACGGTAGCGGAAAGTCAAATATCCTCGACTCAATATGTTTCGTTCTCGGAATCACGAATATGTCGACGGTGCGGGCGCAAAACCTCCAAGTACGCTTGTCCATATTATTTGCAGCATGCACGACACAATGTTAACCTCTAGCACAGGATCTTATATATAAAAGAGGTCAAGCGGGTGTCACCAAAGCTAGCGTTACGATCGTCTTCGACAACAGAGATAAGAAGAAGTCGCCCATCGGATTCGAAGAGTATGCTACCATCAGCGTAACCCGCCAGATCGTACTTGGCGGCACGTCCAAATATTTGATCAACGGTCACCGAGCACAGCAGCAGACGGTTCAGAACCTCTTCCAGTCTGTCCAACTGAACATCAACAACCCAAACTTCCTTATCATGCAAGGCCGTATCACCAAAGTCCTCAACATGAAGCCTGTCGAAATTCTAGCGATGATTGAAGAGGCCGCCGGTACGAGAATGTTCGAGGACAGGCGAGACAAGGCTTTGAAGACAATGGCCAAGAAAGAAACGAAGCTCCAAGAGCTAAGTGAGCTACTGAGGGACGAGATCGAGCCCAAGCTAGAGAAGCTTCGAGGAGAGAAGAGAGCATTCTTGGATTTCCAACAAACTCAGAACGACCTAGAGCGACTGTCTCGCGTTGTTGTAGCATACGATTATACAAAATGTCAAGAAAAGCTGAAGCAGTCTGCAGCTGATCTTGAAGCTAAGAAGCTGCGCCATAAAAGCCTGGAAGATTCTGCTGTTCGTCTTCGTAATGAGATATCACATCTGGAAGAAGATGTCAAGAGGATAAAGTCCCAGCGGGATAAGGAGCTGAAAAAGGGTGGCAAAGCCCAAGGTCTCGAAGATAAGGTAAAGAAATACTCTAATGAGTTGGTCCGACTTACAACGGTTATGGACCTCAAAAGAGCAAGCTTGGCGGAGGAGACGGAGAAAAAAGCAGCCGTTATGAGAACGGTATCAGAACTGGAGGCATCTTTACAGGATAAGACGGCTACGTTCGACAATGTCAAAGCGAAATACGAAGCAGCAAAGGATGGTTTAGCAAAGCAAGTCAAGGAAGTTGAATCCAAAGAGGAACTTTTACAGACCCTACAAACTGGAGTAGCTTCCAGAGAGGGACAAGAAAACGGATATCAAGGCCAACTTCAAGAAGCAAAGAATCGCGCTACTACTGCAGCAACAACGCAGGAGCAGGCAAAGATCAAGATTGCCCACTTGCAAAGTCGAGTCAGAGAGGAGGAGCCTCGAGCCCGAAAGGCCAAGGAGCAGAATGCACAACTGCTTCGCGACCTAGACGGTTTGAAGCTACAGGGCCAGAAGCTGGAAAGAGAGCTGAACAAGCTCGGCCTTGAGCCTGGCCAGGAGGAGGCGATGTACAAGGAAGAGTCGAGTTTGCAGCAAACTGTCCGAAACCTGCGGCAAGACTGCGATGGCCTCAAACGGAAAGTTGCCAACATTGATTTCAACTATGCTGATCCTGTTCCCAACTTTGACAGATCAAAGGTCAAAGGCCTCGTTGCTCAACTGTTCACAATTGATCAACATAAACTAAGCGCCGGAACAGCTTTGGAAATATGTGCTGGTGGACGATTATACAACGTGGTAGTTGATTCTGAAGTGACGGGCACGCAGCTGCTTCAGAAAGGCAGACTGAGGAAGCGAGTAACAATTATTCCTCTTAACAAAATCTCCGCTTTTAGAGCATCAGCACAAAGCATCGCGACTGCACAGAATCTCGCGCCTGGAAAAGTCGATCTCGCTCTTACGCTGGTTGGCTACGATGAGGAGGTGGCCTCTGCAATGGAATACGTTTTTGGCAACACTCTAATCTGCGCAGATGCCGAAACAGCAAAAAAGGTCACCTTCCATCCTAATGTGAGAATGCGAAGTATTACCCTCGAAGGAGACTCCTACGATCCCTCGGGAACTCTTTCAGGTGGCAGCTCTCCAAACTCCAGCGGCGTTTTGGTGACTTTACAGAAGCTCAATACTCTGGCTCGGCAGCTGAATGAGGCTGAAAGATCATTAAAGGACGTCCAGATCAAGATTGCGAGGGAGAAATCCAAGCTAGATCAAGCCCGCCAGATCCAACAGACTTTGGACCTGAAGAAGCATGAGATCAAACTGGCAGAGGATCAGATTGGCGGAAATTCATCATCTTCAATCATTCAAGAAATTGAAAATTGGAAAGCCACCATTGCTGAACTGCAAGAGAGCATATCGGATGCCAGAACCCGTCAGGCCGAGGCTAGTGCGGATATCAAGCGCATTGAGAAGGACATGAAAGATTTTGACAATAACAAGGATGGCAAACTGGTCGAACTGCAAAAATCTCTAGATAAATTAAGGGGAAGTCTCGACAAGAATTCAGCAGCAGTCAAAACCTTGCAAAAAGAACTGCAAGGTGCTCAACTGGACCTGGAGCAAGTGGGAGGTGATCTATCTGCTGCAAGGGAGCAGCTTCAAGAGGTAGAGGTGGCCATCAAGGCTCAGCAGCAAGATATTGAAGAGTTATCAAAACAGCAGGCCAAGGTGGCCGAGACACATGACACCGCACAGGCCGAGCTTGAGGACGAAAGAGCGAAGCTACACCAATTCGACGACGAGCTTCGAGCATTGGAGGAGGCTACGCGCTCAAAGAAGGGTCGCATTACGGAAGAAGGGTTAGAGATGCAGAAACTTGGTCACCAAATAGAGAAGTTCCACAAAGAGCAACAATCTGCAGGAGAGAATGTTGCTCGGCTCGAGGCCGAATACGAATGGATTCAGGATGAGAAGGACCATTTCGGTCGCAGCGGGACGCCCTACGACTTCCAGCAGCACAATATAGCGGAGTGCAAGTCAACACTGCGGAACCTCACAGAGAGATTCCAAGGAATGAAGAAGAAGATCAACCCCAAGGTGATGAATATGATCGACAGCGTTGAGAAGAAGGAAATCTCGCTCAAGCAAATGATAAAGACTGTCATTCGAGACAAGAGGAAGATTGAAGAGACCATTGTCAGTTTGGATGAGTATAAGAAGAAGGCGCTACAAGAGACTTGGGAGAAGGTCAATGGCGACTTTGGCCAGATCTTCTCTGATCTTCTCCCTGGAGGTAGTTTCGCAAAGCTGGATCCTCCAGAGGGTAAGACGATCAGCGACGGTCTCGAAGTGAAGGTTTGCTTGGGCAAGGTGTGGAAGCAAAGTCTAACAGAACTGAGCGGCGGTCAGAGGTAAGCAAGCTTCTTTTCTTTTTATTTCAGTTTTTTTTTTTTTTTTTTCCTTTTTGGATCTCGTATAGCACGCATAGCTTACACGGGAGGCACAGGTCACTTGTCGCACTCTCACTCATCATGGCTCTATTACAATTCAAGCCCGCGCCAATGTACATCCTTGACGAGGTTGACGCCGCCCTCGATCTTTCTCACACACAAAACATTGGACGTCTCATCAAGACGCGCTTCAAGGGCTCTCAGTTCATTGTTGTGAGTCTAAAGGACGGCATGTTCCAGAACGCCAACCGTATATTCCGTACACGCTTCAGTGAAGGAACGAGCATGGTTCAGGCACTCACGCCAGCGGACTTGAAGTAACTGAAGAAAGGGAAAATTTCTTTCTTTTTTTTTTTGTCTTTTTTTCTTTTTTTCCCCAAACTGTTGGGACCAATGTGATATATGAAATGACGAGAGGCGCATGGATGGGTTTTGATGAGCTGGTAGGATATGATCGAATATGATCTAATACGAATTGGGTAAAAAAAGGAGAGGTTATGATGAGCCTTTTTTAGCCTTTTTTAATTCCACTTTTTGTCTACAGAGGAACAGACTTGGTTGATACTGTACGTACACATGTCAAACCGCCTTTTTTTTTTGTTCTCTTTCCATTCCATTCTTTTTATTTTACGAGCGGCTCCATATTCTTCACTCGCCAGTCATGTTTATTGCTCAAAACTCCATTCCCCCCCCTCTCTTTGAGATCCATCCTTGCCACCGCAAACTACTCTTATCACTAACTTACAAAGCCCAGTGCTGGCCCCGTTCCAGAACCTTAATCTCCATACCCACCTCTAGTGACAACTCCATGTCCTCTGGCTTGTCTGTACTTGAAAATATGGGACACAGCTGCATCCCGAAGCAACCCTTTCCGGGAGCGCCTCCGTCAATTGCGCGGTGCTTCCTGAGCGAATTATCAGGCTCCACCTTGTGTCGAATCCCAGTGGCTGGATCGACATTTGGCAATTTGCACCTGTATGGAGTCATGAATTGTTTAGCACCCAATACGGAGGATAGTATCGTATATATGTTTGCGTATGTGAGAAACTCTTTTGGTAGGAAAATTCTCCACCTTGAGGATTTGGGCGTAAATCATTGGGCTAATGTTTTCCGGGTGATTAAACAGGCGCGGGCGTTTGTGAAGTCAGGGCGGAAATAACAGGGAAAAGGTAAGGGTGAGAATAAAGCTTAAGCTCCTCTCCCCTGAGAATGGCATCGAAAATAGAAACAGACAGAAAGATTAAATTCAAAGTAACTCACCGAACTGCGCGGCCTGAGACGTCAAATTGACTCTTCAATCGCGGAGCCGTGGCGCCTTGGGAAGGCTGTGAGAACTCAATGCGTCGCCAGTCGTCCTCGTCGTACTCTTTGAGACCGGAAACTAGTCACATCAAGTTAGTTGAACGTTGTACAGCTAAAGCGTGGGGGTCTAAAGTTCGATATACGGGGGGTTGTATTTTGAAACACATAGTCTGAAATATACAGCCAATACCTATACATACCAATAATGTTCGGGCGAAAACGGCGCGCGTCCAGGAACTTGAGCCCGTCGTCTTTCTGCACCTTGGACTCCAATGCGCGGACACTCGTCAGGCTAAGGACATTCAGTGGATACTGCGGGAGGTCATCAGTTCTGCTCAGAGCCCACATGAAAAAGAAAAGGGTGAATTGTAAACCAATCAAAACGTACCACATCCTGGAAGTCGGCCATGGGCTGGTAGCCAAGGTCCTCTTTGCGAGGCGCGTTTCTGAAGACTTGCCTCCGCTGAGCTGGGTCGATCATGAAGATGGTTGTTGGCACGTTGACGCCCAGATAGCGAGCCAGCTCAGGGGGCACCTCGTTTCTCAGATTCAGTGCATGAACGGTGCCCTCGAAGAACCGCGTATCCTCATACTGGTAGCCTCTGGTCTTAATCTCGCCAGGGGGTGGGAAATCAATGGATAGCATAAACTCTTTTTCTGGGATGCCGCTGAAGCCGCGGCTCAGTTTGGCAGATATCCACTGGATCGTGCCCCTCAAGCCAGCATCCTTCCAAGGAAATCTAACAACGATGAATCGGCCGCCTACTCTGCCAAGTTGGCGACTGGTCTTGCTTGCATCTGGGAGCCATAGATCGACTTGAACATTTGCTAGCAGCGGAACTTGCCGTAGTGTGAGGATTTCCCACTGCGGCTTCTTTGGCTGATTTGGCTGTTCTGCGTCTTCTCCTGATGTCACGGTGCGGCTCGCCTTTTGCCTTGCAAAGGTAAAAAGGCGATCAAACTCAAATCCCTTGGCGAAGATTTTGCTGTTCGTCACCTCAATGCCCCGACATGACTTGACAGGGTAGATCAATAAGCTTTGTATCTTGCCAACCTTGTCCGGTTGGTAGTTGTGCTCGGGTGACGTCTGGTTCCTGAGGCTGCTCTCAGATGCTGGTATGCCGACTTTGCTGTGCGTTTGTTGTAGAGCATCCCCGTGCTCCACTGGTATCGGCGGGAACAGTATAAATACAGGAATAGAAAAAACAACCACGGTCGTGAGGAGGAGGGCAATGGCGGTAGAGTCAAACAAAGCAATAATTTCGGAGGCCGACGGCATTGCGGCAACCAACAACTGTCAAGGACCAGCCTTGAGCGCGAGGGAATGGAATTCGCAACAACAGCACAATCCCCTGTGATGTGGTGTAAAGTGCTTCAGACGCCAAAGCCGCGCCTATTTTGACGTCACAAAATGTGATGATCGAATTGGGTGACCAGAGTACGGCAGGTTTGGCAGTTGACCATGATGAGGCTCCATTGCGAATCTATAACTCTCACGTAGTAGCATTAGTGGATTGCTTATTACGTGAGCAGGCCGTGCTACTAGTACCCAACAGCATACCTATGTTTGAGAATATGTGTCGAGATCAGATCAAACGAAACCCCGCCAGCCCCTAATGCTACTCGTACTGCCTGTACGGAGTCTTCGTAGCTGGGGCCAAATGTGTCGTAAACTGCTGATGGGGCATGGGGCACATACTCTTGCAGCAGGCCAGCAAACTGCTTCCAGAGAGGCTACACTGATTGCATACCAATATACAGTACGAATCCATCTCCAGGGTAAGCCGCGTCAGTCGGGCTGTATGTCTGTGTTTCATCACACGCTGGAAAAACTGACAGCTTGAGGTGGGCAAGGGCCAGAAACGCGCCAGGAAACCCTCGCAGCTATTCCGGTCTGGCTTTGCAACTGAAATCTTTCCGAGATACGTAAAAACATTCGATTTGGTTGGCTGCGGCGCCCAGGGCTGGAGTCTGAAGCGGCAGCCTTGCATGTGACGGGAGTAGGATCCCTGCCAGGAGAAATTTCTTACACTTGGTGCATTACTCGTGGATCCTCAAGGCTGTTTATGGCGAACATCCAGCCGCAGGTGCATGGCTCGAGTGGCACCGGAAGCTGAAGCACAGGAGTGGGGTGGAAAGGGGTTTTGAGGGGTCAATACCATCTTGTAAAGACTGGGAGAAGTGAGCGCTGCTCGTACGAGTAAGTGGCCTATCATAGTAACGAGCGAGCCGTACAAGTATTTCTCTTGAAGACACTGTATGCCCTGGGTTAATTCCCAAGAGTTAGTGTACGTCGTGAGCCACCTATTCAGAGCAACAAGCCCAGTTAGGAATCAAGTTGGAATTTGAGGGCTTGAGACAATCTTAGAAAGTAGTAGTACTTCCCTGAGGCATTTGTATAGCACGAGTGCGTACTGTAAGAATACGGTAGACTCCACCCAATGGCACTGTTATCATGTAGGTACTGTACTACAAGTACATGATATGCAGCCCTGCTGAGATGAACCACCAACCCCCTTTGGGCTTCCGTATAGAATCCAATAAGAAATCGCGAATTGCCACTACTATCTATACATCGTCAGTTCAAGAGCAAGCACGTGCTATGGATAAGAATTCAATACCAACCGTATTAGCTCATTGCTCGGGGTGCTAATAGAGGAAACTAGTCCGCTGCTAGCAGGGCGCCGTTGAAGCTTTTCTTCGTCTTCGGAGAATAGCGCGAGCGTAGCGCCTTATGGACCTTATGGAGAACCGGGGGACGTGAGCTTGCAGCGGCCGGCATTGGCCTTGACATCAACGTGTCCTGAAGGGCCAATCTGAATATTCATCGTAAGCTGTGCCGCAAACGTGCCTAGCGGCCAATTTGTTGCCATCATACTTGTGACTGAAGGTGAACCTTGACTACCCGATGATGTAGTGCAGCCCCCCTGGCATTGTGACATATGACCCGGGGATCTTGTTGCTCATGATTGGTTCCGTCTCTGCCAGCCTAGCCACCGTCTTCTCAAATTCCGCACTGGTTCCAGGCACTAACGGATATTTGGTCGTCTATACGTTCCAAAGTACCTACAGTACCATCAGGCTGGCCAGCGGATAGTGTTGTAAAAAGTGGGCGAGCCTCGGTGCCTTTGAACACGCGTGCGCCAGATTCCTGGCTTACAGCAGCAGGAGGAGAAATTAGACGCCGTCGAGCCAAGGCACGGGCCAGAGCAAGGACAGGACGCTCAAATCTGGAAATGGTCGAGAGCGAGAAAGCTTGCGACACGCATGATTCTCATTTCTGCTAGAAGAGCACTAGCTGGCCGCGGTAATGAAGCAAATAATGCTTTCCACAGACAAAATGAGGGCTGAAGAAAATGGCTTGCTGAGTTTGTTAATCCCGTACGTGCGAGTAAAAGGGGGGGCAAACATGGCTTTTTCTTAGTCTGTGCACGACTCGAGTAGATAATGCAGAAGAGACAGCAAAGGGAAAAGCAACTGAACAAATGAGCCCAGGCCTGAAATTCCCCGCAATGGCACTTCATATGAATGTTCCCATGTATCGTTGTAGCCTGGTATTTAGTGGACTGTTGAACTCTGTAGTGCAAGGCTTGGACAACAGGACTATGGAGGTTGTAGCTGGATGCGGTTGGACATGTCATTTTCGCTGGGAAATCTAGTCATGTAAATGGCGCAAACATCGACGTAGTCGTCTGCAGTGTTCTTCTGGTGCAAAGAATATAATCTTGCTCACGCAGAAAGGAATCCGCACGTAACTAGATCAGCCTGCTGGCAAAGAAGCATATCTGCGAAAGGCACGAGCGAGGCCGTGTGCTCCAATCGAAACCTTAAAGGCCGGCAGTTGGGATCAGATTCGTAGCCGTCATGCCAGTTTCCAGTGACGTGCTTGTCCTTGGCCAACTCTTTGTACGCTGTGCTTCGAATTGTGCGTCACAGAACTCTAGCTGTAAGGAACGAACTGTGGTTGGTCCTTTCGTACTGAGTACCTTGGCTTCTGCAAGGCTAGCCATCCTTCAACAAGGAAAATTTGCCCATGTGCGCGCTTATCTGCCCGGCCGGAGTAGATAATTGGCACGTATACCTATCATGCTTGTACCGTAAAATGTTTGCAATGCAAAGGGTCGGGTTCCTCGCCCTACTGCGATGAACTTTGAATGGTACGAGGATTTTAAAGTTACTATTAGTATTCCACAACGACTTGAACCGAGACGCCACCGTCAGCGGATGTCAAGTCAATGTGCTTTTTTTTTTCCTCCCCTTTTCTTCTTCTTTCCTTTTTCGCTCCAAGTCTCGGCCCATGGCTGGTGGTTCCAGCTGATGTAACCTCGCTGGAGATTGAAAAGCTTCAAAATGACAAACTAGGGGCGAAATAGGTTGTGGTGTCCCTTTGGTCGAGCCAGCTGCGGCACCCTTGTTCCCTTGTTCCCTGACATTTGCTGCAGGCTGATCCAAACTGCGTAAGTGGGCTTCTAGCTGTTCTGAAGAGGTACTGGAGGATCCTTTCCCGGAAATCAAAGCCCGCAGAGGTGGCGCCAAGCTAGTACACACCCGTCGAAGCTCCTCTTGGAGACCCATCCGCCCATCACAGTTCGCGTTGTTCTGAATGCCCTGGATGCACTCTGTCTCCCTTCTAGAACCCTGGCAGCCGGTCTGGAGGTTTTAAAGTCTAATACCACTAGCCTCCGTACTACTGTTAGCAACTGGGAGTAGCCCGCCACTCCACAACCAGGCTTTGGACCTGATATTCATTCAGTGACCCGCGGCAACACGGGCAATATGTATATATAGCAGCTTCGATTGTTGTTGCTGGAGTTGGCGTTGTTGGAGTTCTTGAGGAACCAGGATTGCAAACCATGTCTCTCAGATGCATGTGAAAATTTTCCTGTCCTTTTCAAGTTGTGAGAATGCCAAATCGTCCGGGACTGATCTCGCTGGCGCCGTATGATTGCTACGGCAGAGCAGCAGTAGGTACTACTCGAAATGAGGAATTGGTGTACCGTAAATGCTCAATGCAGGCAGGGTACGGGCTTTGGCCAATACTAATTTGATTGTGAGGCATTATTTAGCAGAATATGCAAATTTGCCAATTGCAGGCTTTGTATATTAAGAGACATGGACTGGTTCCGTTTACCATGAAGTGCTGGTAAATTTGATTGAGTCCTGTACGGAGCTGTCTAGACATGCGGTTAGCTCTGCGAGAAAGTCGGAATACTGTACCTGGCCAAGGGACCAGGGCATTGGCCAAGCCAGATGATAGCCCGACATGGCAATCGGCGCATGAATTACCTACTTGTAAGGGCCGAGAGCCGCTCTCACATCTGGGACCTCGCAGGCGATTTGAATGGCTCTGTGCGGCAGGCAGGATGGCATCAATGCCATTGGGTGCTTGTAGTTCTGCTCGATTCGAATGTTGCCTCGTACAAGAAGTGATAGAAGGCTTCTTCCATCTGGCATAACCAGATGCATACGGAGTATTGAAATAAGAGTGAATCCCGGATGGAGAATTATGCCAGGGCCTGGCTCTTGGCTCGCGCCAAGCCAAAACCGCCGTACCCATGCTTCTTCCGTGCCGCTCCCGCGCTGCCGACGTATCGCGGCTCGAGAGCAAATGCTACCGTCACCTACAAACGTCCGCTGGGAGACAGGAGCACAGCGGCCCTGCTGGCCTGTGCCCGACGGCTGCGGCTGTAGGTCCAGGTGAAGAGGTGGCATTGGATGCCTCGTAATTGTAGCTCGTGCTCCATACCTGCTGTGTCGGCGAAAAAGGATTGGAGAATTGGGGGTCACTGCGGATCAGGTCGACTGCCCATCCTTGCAACAGGCCCGGGGAAAGGCCCCAACCAGGCGCGCAGCATCCAGCCCACTCGCACCGCGCAGCTCAATAGGTCGAAAGCGCAAGCCTAGCTGCATCACGGACCTGGCGATTCATGCTTCGTGCTGCAAGCCCATCTGTGCGCGGCTTCTTCTGGGACGTGCATGGTCTGTGCACTGCTGCTTTGTGGTGTGCTGCAAATTGCGTGGCGCCGCTGGACCGCTGGACCCTGTAGCCAGCCAGGATCCACCTGCTGTTCTCTTGCTCACCGTGGAAGGCAAATGTCAATCTTCCTATTGGGATGCTACTGTATGTAGGCTTGTGACTGAGGGATGCATGGACTGGACGGGCTGGACGGACTGGATGGCTGTGTGACGGCCGTAGTTTTGCGTTCGCTGGTCGACAATGGTGGACATGCGGCTTTGTATTGGACAAGACAGAGGAAAAGGAATCACAGAAAGGAGTTGCCCCCGTAAGCCGCACGTATTACATAAGCCGTGACAGCGAAGGGCATGGAGGAAGGAGCAGCTCAAGTGACTGATTGAGGTAAGGAAGGAGCGCCCAAGGCTAGGTAAGGTACGAAATACCACCCAGTTGGCCAGGTAGGGCCAGCAAGGCCAGCAAGGCCAGGCAACTGCAGTTAGTGCCGAGCGCCCATGTCATTTCGAGCCACGAAACGCGGAATCTTCAAGCTCTCAATCCGCGCCTGCACATCGATGCTGGAGCTAGGTAGGAAGTAGCGCCTGTGCCTTATTAGGGCCAGCCGCTAGCAGCTCAACCCAGCAGTCGACGCTGTACCTGGTGCTGGTGCGGCGGTGGCAGCATCTGCGCAGCTGCTACTGCAACTGCTGCTAACTGCGAATCGCCAGGCCGCCGTTTTCAACGGCATCATGGCTTCCATTCACCACATCCAAGGCGCCCAAAGCCCAGCCAGTTGCTGGACCACGCCCCAGGAGAGACTTTCGCACCGTACGGAGCACACTTGGTCGGGCCGGAGGCTACGACCCCACGCTACCAGACCGGTCCAAGCCCCGACAGCTACTCCGAGAGTGGCTGGACGGCGACAAGACGCGGGTCGCCGTGCAAAGCTTTGCAGCTAGCTGTGAAGCTACCTGGCCGAATGGATCGCGGATCGCCCACTGGCTTCGCCCACGGTACGCTACGGCGCTGTTGGTACGGTGCGATATATGCTATCGCCGACTTGTTTGGCAAGGGCCGACGATAGGACGAGTATCAGTGCTAGCAGCAGCAGCAGAAGCAGCAGCGGAGAGCATTCATTCGACTCACCAGCTGCACTTGTGCCGGCAAGCTGCGGCTCAGAGAGGAACTCGTTGAAAGGACGGAGAATTGAAAACGAGGCCTTCGTTCCCCAGCCAGTGGCAGCATGTACAAGTAGGGCCGTGTGGACGGCTGAGGATCGCTGGGCAGGCCACCGTGTATCTGCCTTCACCCCCCAGCCATGCCAATCCTGGGTCCACGAGCCTCTCCACCACCCCAAATATGATATGTGCAGGCTGCGACGTACCGACCACCACAGATGTACTCGTACATGAGTGCGTTGCTGAGGATTTCCGGTACCGTACCGGCTGCTATTGACATGACTCTGTGCCGGCCTCGAGTCTGATTCATGGCCTCTTAACTTCTACTAACGACACTACACACGCAACACCACAAAGGCCGAAGGCGCACAGTACAGACTGGTGCTCCCAGGACATTCGCGCTCGCCTTTGAGGATCAGAAGGGGAGCCTCCATCTAGTACACACTCGTCGTAGTGATGGACTGGCAGAGCTAGGAGGCCGGAGGTTGGCGTGGGGTGCTCCAAGCCCGCTGTGCATCAACCCTGGCTCTGCTCCCCGTCTTTGCTAGGCTGGTCGCCGCGACCCGGGCTTCTCAGGCCTTGTGGATGCTTTTTTTAGAGGCTCGATTCTGGTTCTACAAGCATTAATACGTGCGGTCTACAGTACAGTATGAGGGGGTAGGGAGGAGCTTTCAAGTCTTGGCTTTGCTCGCCGGGCCTGGCTTGATGCCTGCTGCCCACCCCCCAAAAGGTTATTTGTTGTCTACAAAGTGGCACCACTAGCATCATCGAATCCGTTTCCCTGGCCCTGACGACTTGCCGGCTTGTTTTGGAACGTTGTACCAGAGAATGGGAGAGCAGATGCGTTGTATCGAGCGCAATGCTTGCCTGGACTATCTCATAAGTACCGCCGTGACATGCTCATTACCTAAAGAGGAACAAACTCCCGGTCTCTTGCAAACGGCTCACTCATAAGTTGACCTGAATACCTATATTCTAAGAGCAAGATAGGTGTCTCTTGTATATGCTCTGAAGCTAACGCCTGGAAGAAGAAAAAAAAAAAAAGATTCTCCAGGCCTGGGTCTAGACTACGGCGGCGGCGCGAGTAGCTTATGTATGCTTCTTTGTCAGTTCCAGATCCAGCCCGCCACCAGCAACCGCCAGCGGCACCACCACAAGGCATACTGCTTTCAATCATTCATGTGCTGAAGAAGCCCGAGCCGCAGTTCACTCTGCTCTGCAAGCAGGCTTGTTCACGGCTGGATCGCCTTGACAGAGCGTGCTTGTTGATAGATTCGCATCCTAGCTGGAGCCATATACGGCTGGCAGGACCCATGTGTATTGCCGCCCAGGGGGGGCCTCTAACCGTCTTTCTCTTCTGCCCCGCGCCTTTCCCTCCGTTGCTAGAGCTTCATCATTCTCCTTGCTCAGTTCCCAATTTTCACTACCCTGGCGGGATACTCCATCGACGACGGAGTGCCCTGTGGGAATGCGCTGGGCCAGTTCCCACCAGCCGACTCCGCTGTGGACCAGGCACTTGAGTCCCTTTCGGAAGCCAGAAGCTCAAATAGTATCGACCGAGCATTGATGCAGGTGATTAGTTTGATTGATCCTCTCTCAAAGATCTAATCTTGTCGAATTCAAATTCTCCGGCTTCAATCCTATCGCGAGCCCTAAGGGTCGTCAGATCCTCTTGTCACTGAGGGGCCGGGGAGAAAAGGGGGCAATCTGCTTTGCAGACGCCGTGCTTGCCACGAGGAGATCGGCCGAAGCACCTCCATAAGTTTGTCCATGTTAACGCCTCCATGACCAAAGGCTTTCGATACGGCTGCTGCTTCCGGAGTCTTGTCGCCAGACGCGATTTCTCTCGTCCATAAATCATCCCCTCTCTTCCCACTGCCCAGGGGCTGCCGAGCTGCGGCTGCTTTCGCAGTCCTTGCCGTCTACGTGCTCAAGCACATGATACGTCCTCATCGTGCAGCCATCCATCATCTGTTCCCAAGTAGAGCAGCACCTGCGCGTTCATATTGGACCGGAACCGGCTTCCCGCAGCGTGGGCCTTACACATCGGGTCGTCTCTGCTGCGCCAGCGCGGCCTTTGCTGCTCTCCAGCTGTTGCTTCCTGCATACGCCGCCTGTCTGCTGCAGCCAACAGGGACTGATCTAGCCAGACGCAGTGACAAACCGATATTCCGGGGCTGACAAGCTGTGCATAATACATGTATGGCTGCTACTGTGTGCCCACGGACTCCTCACTACTATATCCAGCACTCACTGCCCGAAGAGCCACGACTTCGGCATCTGTCTCCGCATCCCTCCTGGAAAAAAAGCAAAGAATCGCTACCAGCCGGCCTCGAAGGGGCTGACGCTACTCCAACTGATCACCGCCACTGCTATATCTCGCCGGGTCTTTACATTCACTAGCAAGCGCGGTATCGACTTGTTTACAAGTCGGAGTTGCGCAGAGGCGCCTTGTCGTCGTTTGTTTTGTCTTGTTGTTGTCTAATTGTCCAACTACCCCCTTTGCGCGGCTTTCTTCAACCTTTTGGATCGATATTACCTACCGTACCTCGTCATCTTCGGCCTCAATCTTTGCCTTTAGAGCTTACATCGACGACTTTTCTATAAAACCTGGAGTTGTCCTCTTAATTCGGAGAATATCAACGGATCGCCTTCCAATCCTACCGGCGACACGCCAACGCTACCTCGATATCTCGAAGCCGCTACCCTTTGTCGCTTTCCTCTCTACCCAAGACATAATTCGACTGTGGTATCTTTGCGAGCAGGTTTCGGCAATAGATCTTCCCTGTAACTTCCGCATTGTTTTGACTTTCGATGCGACAAGCTCGACCTCTATACTGTTTGAATTATCCGCTGAGCATGCGAAGAGTTGAAGACTTGGTATCCATCTTCAACAAACTCTCAACGGCTTACCCGCTAGATACTATTGGATACCTCGAATTTCCTAGATGACTACTACCATGGGTGATTTCTACAGCCAATTCCTTTCTACAATGACGGGAGCGGACGGCTACTTGCCTACGAGCCCCGACGAGCTGAACCCGGGCTTGAACCCGGGCTTGAACTCGGGCTTCATGCCTGGAAGTGTGCAGCATATGCCCATGAGGACCCCAGAGATACCTTCGCCGTATCCCCCTAATTCTATTTCTGAATATTTCGCTACGTATGCGGAGCCTGCTGTTCCTAATCCTAATCCTCCTCCCAGGGCGGGCAAAGGCCGGCGGCGATCGACCGCAAACCAAGGCGGCGGCAATTCGGACCAAGTGAAGCATCGGAGAACGCGTTCTGGCTGCTATACATGTCGAAGCCGCCGAGTCAAGGTAGGACAAATCGCAAAGCTTTGCAGAGCAATTTCAATAATGTGACTGACACTGCACAGTGTGACGAGACCCGGCCAATATGTGACCGTAAGCCACGAGCCACAAAAGACAAAGGACTTGATTTTTATTTAGCTTAATGTACTAATGGTTGGCAGGTTGCAGCAAAGGAAACCGAGAATGCTCTTATCCTGAACTGCCAGGAACAAAAGGTAATTTTGACCGCTCTGCTATCAAGTCGAAAGACGGTTCATCTACTATTCAGTGTATAAGCCCCGCATCTTCTAACGAGGTGGAAGAAGACGATCTAGAGCAAGAAGCAAAGCTTGAGACGATCCCTGATGATGTCGAACCCGATGGATTACTACGCCGAGAATCAATGCCTGTCTTGCCACAGGTCCGAAGAGCAAGTGCAGTATCCCTCAACATCGCCTCGCGGAGCGGCCGTCAGGCTTCCGAAACGCCGTCACAGGGCAATAATGAAAGCGTTTCGCCCGCAAATTCGAATTCTACCGTAGCGACGGGAAGCTCGGCACTGGCTGGACATTCGGGGCTGGAAGGGACTACAGAATATATGCGTCTGCCGCCAGATTTTCAAAATTACCTCCAGTTCTTCAAAAAGAATATGACCAACTATCATTACGGCTTGGCGGTTGATGAAGACGACTTTTTCAAGTCTGAGTTACCCATGGTTGCGGTAACATTTGAGCCGTTGCTCAATGCGTTGGTTGGATTCGCTGCGTATCATGTCACTCTGCAAAATCCAAATGGAAAACTGAACGATTTCCTCCAATATTATAACAGAAGCGTCGTGCTGCTGCTAAGGCTTTTGAATAGGGAGCAGACGCACAATGTCCATGTGCTTTTGACAATTCTACAGCTCGCCACCATCGAGGTAGGTTATGGACATGGGGAGGGAAATACCCAGATAATCATGACTCATGCCGCTGACGTATGTTTTTAGGAGTATCTGGGCGACTGGGTGAATCTCATGGGGCACCAGAAAGCTGCCTTTGAAATTCTTACTCGCATCTATACCCCGCAGACGGCGATGCAATCCCCCATAGGCCGAATGTGCCTCAGCTGGTACGCCCGATTTGATAACATAGTCGCCCTGATGGGTAGATTTCCCACGGAGATTCCCCGCGAGTGGTTCACCACCATGGTTGCGTTTTATCAAAGCCAGATAGCATCGAATCCCGCCGAATTACGTTGGAGGATTGAAGATCGATCCGCTCGTCTACGTCTCATCTCCTACGATATGTCTGACTTGTATGCTCGTGGAAGTCGACAGCAAATCGATCCATCAGATTACGCACTTGAGCACAGTCACTTGACGGCACAGCTCGAGGGATGGAAAGGAAGCTGGGATCCAGCTTTATGCGACCAAAAATACGTTGTTACTGATTTCCCTTGGCGGCGTCCCTTGGATCCTAACGACATTGTCGATCCGTACCGCCCAGGAATGCTCTATGAGCATCCTTTATTTAACAATACCATTATTACAATGGAATGGCACAGCATTGTTATAATGCACAAAAGCCAGTCGCCCGACATGTCTCCAGAACAGCTGTTTGCGGAATTAGGGGGCCATGCGTTTGCGGTGTGTGAGCTGTTCGAATGTATGGAGCATTGGCCAGAGCTGCCAGCGGGAACATTAATCGCGATGCAGCCCTGTCTTGCAATCGCTGGCCTTTTTTTGCCACATCAACCGAATCACAATATGTGGCTGCGACAGAAATTTGCGCTTTTGGAAGCTCAGGGGTATGTATATCTGACCTATCAACGCGGTTCTCCCATCCCTAATCATTTAGAGTTGCCCTGTTTCATCATCCATTCCCTTATTCTCTCACCTTTTTGCCTTCCTCTCTAGTGCTCATTGTTTTGAAATCAACAATATTCTAATCTTGAGTGGTTCAGACATATCAATCCCATCACTCGCCGTACAAAGATGGCGGAGATCTTTGGAGATCCTTCATGTGCTCATTGGTGGCTACCAAACGACGAAGGCTTTACACCAGTACTTCAAAGTATACGAGGCTTCGCGGACGAACGAAACACTAGAGCGATGAATTCGCAGCAGGTCAACCTCCGCGAAGTGAAACACCTCTTCGACAAACTTATCCTTGAATGACGGACGAAAGTTTTATACGTTTTTTTTTTATTTAAAAGAAAAAAAATAATAATGATAATAAAGAGGGGCCCATAGACTCGGGAATATTGTTTTCATTACAAAATTTCTGAAAATGGAGGATAATTCGATGTTACGAACCGTTTCGGCGCACGAAAATCATATTGGCGAGCACGTCTCCTGGTCCCTGAGTGTTCAATCGGTCAGCACTAGTTGTGGTCGAGACTTGTTGATATTGGAGAGATGCATTGATAAACGATTTTAATGAAAGAGTTTGGGAGCGGATGATTGGACTCCGCTGCGAATAAGAAGCTGCTTGATTTCGAGTTTCTGGGGAATGGCGAAATAGGAGGTATCCGAGGTATCAAGGACAACGCACCGAAGGAACTTGAACTATTTTTCTCGGTTTGAGAATGTTATTACCCTGCCCGATGCAGAGACAAAATCAATAGGCAAGACACAAGCCTCCTCTGGTTCACAGTACACGGTAATGGATTTTTGGAGGCTTGGAAAACTCGGCGCTTTTAGATGATACCTGGGTTTGGGATGGGTCTTTTGCGGCGAGGATCAATTATTGGCGGTGACAACTGATCGCGTGGATACACTTAGATGGAGTTTGGTGTACTCTGCATAATAGTACAATTTGTTTGTTTGTTTGTTTGTTTGTTTGTTTGTTTGCTTGTTCGATTGATTTATATATTAAATACTCACCGGCGTATTGCTGTACTCGCCAGTTCTGCTTGCCATAACACATGCTTGTTTTTTTCTTCATGACTTTGACGCTTATACAAGTGTTTTAATGCTTTCCTACTATTTCGCCATAAAGATTCGGGATAGGGTAGAAATTTCAGCCATTAGGTAGGGCTCAATAGGATGATTGGTTCGTCCCCGAGAGATTAATCATAATTTGCCTTTTTGTTCATCCAAAAAAAAGTCAGAGGAGTATAGGTTATTTCTCCTCATGCTGAGCATTTTCTTCCTTTGCCGCATCTGCGTCCCCTTCCGCTGCGGGTTCAGGAGCGGTGACTTCTTCTTTGGGAGTTTCTTCAGGTGTTTGTTTTTCTTCTTCTTCTTTGGCGGCTTCAGCGGGAGTTTCAGATGTGTGTGTTTCTTCACTTAAGATTGGGATTTCGCCCTCTGTTTGTCCCTCACTCGGTGTCTCAGCAGATGCCTCTTGAGCCTTGTCTTCTTCCTTGGCCTCTTCGACGATATGGTGGTCAGAAGTATCAATGACGCTGGTGACATCGTCTTCTGTAATTTCTACGACGCTTTCTGATACCCCTGACGTTTGATGGCCGGGATCAGACAGGTCAAATACGGTGGTGCCCGTCTCATCTTGGCCAGGCTCCGAGGACAGCGAGAAGAGGAGAGGGGGTGGAGGGCCAGCAATTACTGATTGCTCGACAATGACGGGGACTTCGGCGGACTCGGATTCCTCCTCTACGAGGTCAGGACCCGCTAGGTGCATACTTCTCAGCCTTCGAGACACCCCGTCGGCGTCTTCTTCTTCAGCTTCCATGACGGTTGTTACAGAGCTTCCGGTGGATGGGCTGCTCCTGATGTGCCTGCGGGTGTTTGTACGATTGACAGACCCGTGCAAGCCATCTTCATCGCCCTCGCTTGCCCCGGTCTGCGAAGCTGAGGGCTTCAAGATTTGAGGTGGTTGAGCTCTGCTGCTGGCGTTTACGTCGAACTCTGGGTGGGCTTCGAGACCCTCTGCTTCGGGTGGCAGTTTGTAATTCTCAGCTGGCAGCAGGTCGTACAAGTCACACACAGTCTTGAAGAAGACGTAAAGGCCGGTCTGTCCTTCGACAGCCCAAAAGACGCTGCGGTGCTGGAACCAGGCGTGCGCAAAGATGCGATGCAGCCTGCGGAAGACGTTGACCAGGCTCTTGACGCCGACATTCTTGCTATGAACGTCGTTGACCACGACGAAGCGGCTTGGGAAGATCTTTTGGTCCGACACGACGTTGGCGGCCCAGTCGAGGGTGTGGCAGCAGTAATCTATGGCACAGCAGCTCTTAGGTTGCTCGTGTACGGCACAGAGAAACTGCCATTCGGAGGCGCGCATCTCGGGGCAGGTGTTTGCGCTGCATGGAGGGCTGTCGAAGAGGAAGCCGCAGATGAGGGAGTTGCACTGCGAGATGAGGAAGCGGCAGAGCTCGTAGAGCCAGAGGGTGCGGTCGATACCATTCGGAGGCTGGGCGAGCTGTAGAGCCGATTCGCGAGTCAGCGGCTGAGTGCCGGATGCGGTGCTGTGGTAGTGCAGAGCAGCGAGGTGCTCTTGTAGCTGAAACGGCGAGTCTAGCTGATTGCGCGATCAAGAAGATTTCATATTAGTCTCTGGGCATCTTGTGTGTCTTTGTGCTTCTTCTCCCGTCTTTCTGCGTGCGCCATACCTCGCTCAGCGGCACCAATGGAGGGCCAACGGCCATGTCTGCAGCTTTGGTTCCCGGGTGTATCCTTCTAGAAGAATTGGCGTCTATATGCGACTGCTCCATCTCGGTGGTCGCCAACGTCGCCGCGGGGCCTCCCGATGGGGAATTTGGCCCTATCTGGATTTCTGCTGGCGGCGGCGGGCTGGGCAAACGAGGGGAGCTGGGCGCCAGAGACATGATGGAGGAGGTCGGCCGCAGCTCTCGTGATATTGAGAGCGTCGAGGAGAGGGAAAGAGAAGAGAAGAAAGAAAAAAGAAAAAAGGGGGGGACTCCGATATCAAGTAGTGTCACGATGTCTGTTGACAGCCTGGCTGGCGGCCAATTGGGAGTGGGTTTGAGCTTGGAGCTACGCCATATGGGATAGATGCATAATGCGCTGGTGAGCTTTGTAGATGCATATGGACTCGTTTTGGTCGGATAAAGGGCTAAGTAGCGGGGTGTATCCTCTTTTCGAGGCCACTACATCATTGTGCATATACTTGACTCTGGCAGAGCCTTATGTAACCGACCGAGCCTATTGCTACCTCTTACCATTGGTAATATTCGGCTCTTCATGTTGAGACTTTTGTTTTAGATACTGCTGAGCGCATTTGTGATTTTATTTCTTTCTCGTTCGTGTACCTCGGCTATATCCCATTACTTTCGTCCGGCATCATGAACATTGACGACGATGCCCCTCCGGAGCTGGTTGACGTTAGTGGTGGGATTCAGAACTCTGGGGAGGGCGTCAGTGTAAAAGTACCCATAACCATTGTGACAGGTGAGATTATGAATAGTGCAAGCAAAAATAGGGGTGTAAAGTCATGGCTGACAGGATAAATAGGATATCTCGGCGCTGGCAAGACGACGCTATTGAATTACATACTTACAGCCCAGCATGGCAAAAAGATTGCCGTCATCATGAATGGTAAGCAGCGCTGGTGGTTTTCATATCGCACATATGGGCATATATATTCAGGCTAACATATAATGATGAATAGAATTTGGAGATTGTATGTTTATGCTTCTGACATTTGCTCTTGTTCTGGCAAATTTCCTAATAGTTGATCATCTCTTTAGCTGTGGACATTGAAAAGTCTCTCACAGTGAGCCAGGGCGACAATAGAGTAGAAGAGTGGCTTGAAGTTGGAAACGGCTGCCTATGTTGCTCTGTCAAGTAAGCCCCTCCACCATGAGACTTCGCCGTTCTTTCGCCTTTTTTTATCCCTTTGAAAGGACTAACACTGCACAGGGATACCGGTGTAAATGCCATCGAATCTCTGATGGAAAAGAAGGGAGCTTTCGACTACATTTTACTTGAAACAACCGGACTGGCAGACCCCGGCAATATTGCACCTCTTTTCTGGGTTGATGATGGCCTTGGCAGCACAATATACCTCGATGGAGTGGTGACTCTGGTGGACGCAAAGAATATCCTATACAGCCTTGACGACACGAAGGGAAAAATCGAGGATCATAACGAACATGACCATCACGGCCCTTTGATGACAACAGCTCATGTGCAGATTTCGCACGCCGATGTTATTGTTTTAAACAAGGCGGATTTAGTCAGCGAAGACGATCTGAGAAGAGTCAGAGAGCGGATCGAGTCCATCAACGGAGCTGCGAGAATACATGTGACGCAGAGAAGCGAAGTGCCCGAATTAGAGGGATTCTTGCTAGATCTTCATGCATATGACCAGTTCAATGTGGAAGAAGCTAAGAACAAAGGCCACAGTCATCTAGATCCGGTGAGTACCAGGAAGGAGGGGGGGAACAAACCCAAGGGAAAGCAGCTAATTCAAAAAACTAGACGATATCGACTGTTTCCATACCAGTGCCAGCTCTGCGCCCCGAGCAGCTGCAAGATGTCGACCGATGGCTACGAGCAATTCTCTGGGACCATAAGCTTTCAGGTACAGAAAACAATGTCGAGTTTGAGATTCACCGGTCCAAGGGCCGTCTTGTGTTTAACAATGGCGAGGTGAAGTTGCTACAAGGTGTTAGAGAAATATTCGAGATCATGGATGCTCCGAATGGCGCCGAAATTACTGCAACAGAGGGTAAGATTATTCTCATCGGTAGAGGGGTGCAGGGCATAGATTTCGAGTCGGATTTTAGACAGGCGATTACTACTAGTAGTTAGAAGAGTGTTGACATTGAGATGTGCTTGACATGATTCCAAAATTTAATTGTACCATATGTATAATAGCGAAGTGGCCATCTACTCTAGATAATTCGTCCTCTGAAAGGATTATTCATCATATAGTACGAAACCGGCGAGGTCAAGATAAAATCGTAGCCCCGGTACTTTATACCCCATCATGTAATCAGCCAGCCTCGTAGTCTGTTGCCTGATCTGATTGGCTGGCGAGTCAGATTCGGCGCGGACCCACTTGAATCCGGCCAGCATGCTCCGCGCCAGAGCCCAGCCTTCCTGGACGACGCCAGATTAAAAAGATTCGAGATCACTATAGACAATCGGTACGATAAGGGACCGCCGAATTGGGTTTCGATACACGATCCAGATACATACGCGACACCATATCGGCAGTGTCATACCCCGGTGGCCTGCGCAACCACGAGCAATCATGAACCGACCAGGTAGGACATGTCCAAATGTCTCCCCCCCTCGACAATCTCGGCTCCAGAAGGGCCTTTGTTCCCAGCCCATTAGCCAGCGGCGTGCGATCGATTCGATGGATGGGCTATAGTGCTATTGTCGAAGCACGTCTTCTATACGTTCAAGAGCCGGGACATGGTATTTCGTATATCTCGTCTTGCTGCCCGGCCCGTCGTTGCAGAACCGAATAGACTCAGCCGTCGTCGTCAATGCCCCACCTTCAACGAGACTGTCGAGGATACCATAGGCGAGCTCTGATTTGAATGCGGCTTTTGAATAGAGGCCTTGCTCTGTTGGGTCTTGGAGAGAGGACGGGAATCTTGAACTGTCGATGTCGCAAATGGACTTGAAAAACAGATGCTAATGCCATGTGTCTTTTCTCCCACAGGAGCGGTGCCGCAGACGTTACGGGGGATACCCGGCGGCTTTGGAAGCCAACAGCAACCACAACAAGGCCGATCAGTGTCGACTCGATTACCAAATGGTAAATTAGGTACTTTACTTGTGTATTGCAGCGGGTTTGGCTTTGGGGCTGAAAGGGACAAAAGTCACTGCTGAGTTCAGAAGCCAAATGCTAACAGCTGGCGTAAAATGATATAGCGAACAACGCCTCAGGCTGGGCGTTCAATGCAGCTGTTCCCATGGGAGGCGGCGCCTTTCAGAATCAGGCCCGCCAGCTGGGAGGAAACGTCAGTTTTGCGCAGAGCTTGAGCGGGTCACAACCTGCTACGCCACTCGATTTGTCGTACGTCCATTGCATTCACTTCTGTCAAAACTCCCTGTCGTTATACCACTTCACTGCGCCCTCGCGATCCCTTCACTGCTTTCTGACCTTGGCAACATCGAATCACTATGAGTCGCCCGGCGGAGAAGAAACACAAACGAGTCAGAATCAAAGTTGGAGAATCGCATTCGAACATGGGGCCTGGATCGCATTCCTCCCCTGGCTTGGCCTACTCTGCCGTCCTCAAGGGACAGGCAAACTCGAGTTCTTCCAAGCCGACTCTGCGCCGTCCTTTTCCTGCTGAATTCATTCCACAGAGTGCCCGGGGGCACAGTATCTCACAAAGTCCGCTAACCGACATGCACAGGGAATTCCCATCGCTTTCCAATAACTCTCAACTCCCCAGTACAATCCAAGGGTCGATGTGGTCTACGGCGGGCTCGAGAAACATCAGCGGGCCGATTCAGCGAAATCAGCCGACACAAGGATCCTCTCAGCAAGGTGGACAGGATGATCTCTTCGGTCCTCCATCCTCGCGGATGCAGCCAAATCAGGGGCCATTTCGTTTTGGAGCACAGCCTTCTTCCCAGGTTCAACCAAACAGCGTCGATGACTTTCCTCCGTTAAATCGGACATCCAATGGCGAAATTGGGTCAGAGCGCGGCGGCAACGTCATGTCTTCTATTGGATTCGGACCACAAAACCCTAGCTCGTCAGGCCCAATGCAGAGCGGTGGGGGGAATGGCTTGCTGAATGCTCTAACAGCAACAAGCCGGGCAAGTGACGTACGATCACCGCCCGCCATCGGCACACCAAACGGTAAGAAGTTGTCTGAATTATTGGTCTCATCTTACACACTCTTGGCCAGAGCTTGATCCTAACAAAATGCAGGTCCTGGCCGACAGCAGCCGCAACAGCAACATGATGGTAAACAGAAGTTTCGAGAAGACGGCTCAGGCAAGGCGTCAGAAGTAGCTTCGCCAACTGCTGAAGGACGAGGATCTCTTGGTGTGATTGGCAGCGAAGGTCCGAATGGAAGATTGGCCGAACGCAAGGATAGCCAAGCAGCAGATGTTGTAGATCCCTTGGCAGGAATGGCGGCGGTTGACAAATGGGGGATCAAAGGTTTACGAACACTAATGAACAACTACCCCGACTATCACGCCATGATCATAGGGATGGACCCCAGCTCGATTGGTCTTGATCTATCTTCCCCAGAGTGAGTGGCCTGAAGATTAATTCTCGAGAGTTGCAGCAGTGTGTGAGGGCAAAGAAGCTAATGTTGTTTGAACTATAGCTTGATTTCAACCCAAATGTACTCAGTATTGGATGATACTCCCCCAAAGCCGACAGTCAACACCAACAAATTCCGATTACCCGACTGCTACAGCGTAACAAATGTGCAGCCGATAGAAACCAAGATACAGAGTTTCAACGAGGAAACGCTGTTTTGGATCTTCTATAGCTGTCCCTTGGATGCCAAGCAGCAGATGGCTGCGGTAGAATTGTGAGCAGAACAGACAGCTCTTATGTTGACAAATACGTATAACTAACATGAACCAGGCATTCCAGAAACTGGAGATGGCATAAAAAGTTGCAGGTTTGGTTGACCAAGGATGAGCACATGACTCCTCAGATCCTAAGCCCCAACCACGAGCGAGGATACTACATTGTATGGGATACTGCCACTTGGCGAAAGGATCGGGTAAGTCAACGTGGAACACGCCGAGCGCCATGACATGTTCAGAAGCTGACCGCCTGCGCTCCTTTGGATGGTTTAGAGAGAGTTTACGCTGCATTATGGAGATCTGGATACCTCCTTAGGACAACCGCCGCCAGTGTTGTCATAAAGGTCTATTGAATGTTTGAGGGGGCTTCGTCGTCCTCTTTTTTTTAGCCCAAGGATGGTTTGCTTGCTTGCTGATTAGGGACGCGAAAGCTTAGTCGAGCTGCTTAATCGTTTTGGCGTTTCAGCCATTAGGAACAAGGATCGAGGAATTATTATTGCTTTTATAGGAATGGGTTCGGTTACAAGACGGTCCTGGAATGCAGAGTCGGTTTTCAAAGGCAGGCCTAGATTACTATCTAGCTTGCGATGGTTAACATGGGTTGCATTACGATTCAATGAGAACAGGCTGGCCGGAAAGTATGTGCTACCGGCTGGCATATCCTTGATTTATGAGTTTGTGTCTGCATGCGCTTGTGTCTTGTGTGCCCGCTTGAACTGTGATTATGTGTTGGGTCCTGTAAGTCAGTGATTCAAGTACCTACCATCTAAAAATATTCCACATTCACTCTTCTCCAACGATTATTAAAACTACGCGCAGAAAATCAATTTCTCGTCTCGTCTTCTTTTGTCTTCTCGCAATCATTATCCCTAAAGCTTCTGAGCACGTTGTCGCGTGAGAAGGTTCCTATTTTTGTATGAGACGTTCTTGGGCATAGAAATTAGCCGAGGTTCCACCATACCTCTTAACTCTAAGAGCACAAGCAACCTGGCAGCACATGCATGGCTCTCTACCTAACAATGAGCTAAGAATCGACTGGTCCAAGCTACGGAATCGAATTCGAGGGGCGACACCCGCAAATCTGATGCTTGAGCTCCATTAACTCTGGGTTCGTATTGCTTCGGCATTTTCTCCACGTTGCTGGTCGCGACTCTAGCTCCGAACCTCGCCGACTGCTCCTCGTCCTGACGAGAGCCCAAGCTCCGACTCGAGTTTCATCATCTGTCATTGACGAATTCTCCATCAAGATTGCCCACCAAAGTGACACCGCGATCGCGGTCTCGAACAGCCCATCATGTCGGACGAACAAATCTCGTTACCCTTCTTCGCCATTGTCCTGATTGTGTCAGGGCTGATAGTGCGGTATCTTTTCTTTTCGGGCCCGAGCCCAGAACGGCCGCCGGTGAGGACCGCAGAGCAGATGCTCAGATCAAGAGAGGTGGCGGTTCAGAGGATACAGCAAATGTTTCCGCAGGTTGAGAGACGGAGCATCTTGTGGGACCTCCAGCGCAACGGCGGGAATATCCAGAGCACCACAGAGCGGATTCTGGCAGGTCGCTTGGAAACGGTATGGTTCTCTTGTCCATCCCCTTGTTCCACAACAACCTACTACTACTCCTGGCGGGCGGCGACATGCTAATGCGGGCATAAATTGACGGATAGCCCCCCGTGACGTTCCAACCTCCGCCGCTTCGAACTCAATCACCCCCGACTGGAAGCTCTGGCCCAGCGGCGAAGCAGCCCGAGAAGCCGAGCCAGCCCGATCTGATTACACGCTACAACCTGAGGGATAAGGTTGCGGACTCAGCACCCGCAGGAGAAGAGGAAGAGGCGCAGAAGGAAGGCAAAGCATGGAGCTCCAACCGCGAAGAACGACAGTCTGCTCTGCAACGAAGAAGAGACGAGATGATTCTGGCGGCGAGACGCAAGATGGAGGCCAAGATGGCGGCGGAGAAGGCTGCCCAGGGGTCTTCTTGAAGGGGGGGAATGGGCACGAGAAAGGGTCATACAGCAGCAGCATGATTTCCTTGGTTTCGGAGCACTCTTTTTTCTCTTTCCCCTACATAATTTTTCCCTCTACTCTTTTCTACTATGGGTGCATACTTTTTTTTGTAGTGAGAATTGCGAGCATTGGCGTTTTAATATTGTAGATGAGGGTAGCTAGGATATCTAGGATATTCGAATGCTTTAGTATGTCCTGTGGAAGTGTCAAGTGATGAAAAATAGTTATATGCAAAGGTGCTTGGCTTTACAGATACGCTGTGGATAAGAAATACCAGCCATATGAGTTGTACGGCACTGAGGTTGGAGAGGATGCTTGAGTCTGGCATATGTGATAACCGAGTGTCTTGAGAAGCCATGCTTGGATTATTGTTTGTATGTGTGCAATATATACCTCAAAGATGTGAGGTAAAAACAGCAGTTTATCTTTGCTATACAAAAGGGAAGCAGAGTATATATCTTCATATTGGAGTATACAGCTACGGCATTAGTGAAAGCTGAAAGTGGCATGTCTCACCTTGCTGTAAGCCGCTAGCGGGAGGATCAGCAAAGGACAAGAATGATGTTTGTAAAACGCGTCGTCACATGACAGAAACTTTAAAACATTGGAAAGAGAAGAAAGAGAGGCGGAATAATGCCGCAAAAGCGTAAACATACGACAATGCCTACAGCGCGTGGAGGCCTCGGTCATGTAGATTATCTGCTGTGAAAAAGAGCCCCGCGCCTGCTTTCACGTGCGAACAAGGGTCAGCAGCTTGACGTCAAAGGGTCTGATCTGTTCCGCATGAAGAGGGATGGCAATTCTGGCGTATTAGAGGATACGGATACACCTTGTCCCTATTATTAGCGAAGAAGGCCGTAGGCAGAATAACATGGCGCATTCGAAAGTTGGTGTGCCGTTTATAGAGGTACCCATCATGACATGTGCCTGTTCGTCTCCCTCTATCTAGGCCTGGAACTCGAATACACAGGTAGGTAGGTAGGTATATGTATATATCTGCATATAATCAAGAATGTCTCTCGTTATTCTTTGATAATGGATGCTACGGGCTCTTACGGGATCAAGCTGGCATCCAAAATCCAAGTACGAGTTTGCTGTATTTAGATGTTACTCTGTAAGCTGAGCTAGCTCGCGGCAGCCCGTAGCTCTTTTTGGCGGGGCATGAGATCAGACCCTGAAAGGAACTGGAATCCATCTCGATGCGCGCCACCTGCTCGAGGCTCATGCGCACTTATACTCAGCCACAGCCGCTCGGCCAGCATCAACAAAGCGCTGCGTCACCGCGGGGACCAAGTGCCTGAATTCAAACAAGAGGACCGAAACTTGGGCTTCAGCGCTTTCTTTCTTTCTCTACGATACTTCTCTTCTTCTGCCTTTGTTTCTGTATCTACACGTTTTTTTTTTTGTTTTCTGATTTCGACATATTCGCCCTCAGGATCTGCACGCACGCATTTTTGGAGGGAAGCGCGTTGGCTGTCTGCCAAACATCGCCTGTTTGGGTTCCGAGGCGTCTTTTTGCCCTTCCATTGCGGAAACCATCCCTTCTTGTCTACACTCTTTGTGGTTTGGCTGCGTGAATCGCTGCACAGACGTCATTCCAGGTAAGCTGCCGCTCTCCCTTGCGTTGCACCATTTTTATTGCCGTCTTTTGCATGCTGCCAACTCGCCATCGAGGACCAGCAAGCTTGATTTACTGTTTCTCTCGTTTTGCCTGTTCGGAACGACCCCTGTCAGTTGCATGGTGGGCTGCAAAACGCAGACACGGAGAGAGCTTACTGCCTGAGCGAGCGGCTGCTTCTTGCCTTATCTGCTGGGCGCATCAGGCTGACAGCTGGCAGCCCTGCGGCCCTCTCAAGATAAATATTTCTGCTCGAGGTGGCAGCTTTTCCATTCTCCCTCTTTCTCTGCTTTCTTCAACGTGGGGTGTCTTGCAGCAGCAACCTTGTCTGCCGCTCCAATTCTCTCGCTAACCGACAGGGTGTCTACCAGGGAGCTCTACCCAAGCATCGAAAGACGACGTCAAAAGCATAGCCTTTCGGTTAGGCTGCGAGCACCGAAAGTCGAGCCGCAACAACGAACAGCACAATCTGCCAACCTGCACTCTCCTCGTTTCCGATCTCTTGTACGATTTTGCCCGAATATTGCTTGCTGATACTGCGTCTGCCCTGCCCGCCATCATTCTCGTCTGATCTCGACTGGAATACATTGTTTGGCGAGACATGGTTATTGCGACCCAAGAGCTCAACATAGCAAGATACTCCGTTTCGGAACTGAAGCCTGGTCAATCAGGATATTCAGTGCTGCGATGGCGCCCCAACGGAACTACTACGCCGACTTGGAGCTGCCTATGACGGCAGATGTCACGGAGATCAAAAAGCAATTTCGAAAGCTAGGTATGCAACGGTCCCAGCCAGAAACACACAAGTACTCTTGTTACAAAAGAAATCATCATCTAATTTCTTGGATATAGCCTTGAAATATCATCCCGATCGTAATCCTGGCCGAGAACAAGAGGTCAACTCGCAGTTTCAAATCATCCAGGCCGCTCACGAAGTACTCAGCGACCCCGAGGCCAAGGCCAAATACGACGCCTCTTTCGCACGATCTGCCGCCTCTAGATATCCTGCCTCTTCGGGCGTGAGAGGAAACCCATGGCAAAATGTTAGCCAGCAGTACCCTACTCCACCCCGACGTGGTCAGCCGCGAACAGCCACTTCAGGGGCACAGAGATGGAACGAGAGGTTCTCAGCCGGTGTGCCTCCAACCGCCAAACACCAGCCAGCGGCGGCAACGGCTGCACGAGCTTTTGAAAGCATGCGGAAAGGTGGTGCCAAGAGTGGACAGCAAGACCGCCCCGTCCCTCCCCCTCCTCCACCACCTCGAACTGAGAGTGCCAAAAAGAGAGCTGAGGCATCTTTCGGTGCCAAAAAGGCTGGATACTATCCTCGGTCAAACACCCCTGGCGATGAGCCGCCAGTTACCAACAACAACTACTACTCCTCCCGTATGAACGCTGAGCGACCAGCAGAGCCAGTACCCGATCCCTTGGCTCAGTTTAGAGAGAAAAGTCGCGCCGAAGAAAGCTTCATGGACCCTCCGCAGAGCTCCCCATATACCAAAGACGGGAGCGAAAAGTCCGACCCTTCTGACAGTAGTCCTGTGAACCGAGCGAAAAATGCAAAGGTCCCGTCTCGCAAAGAACCGCGCTCAGAACCAGCGAGTCCACCAACGCCCAAGCGTCGCAGCCCTAGTATGCCACGGAAAGAGTCGACAGGCGGAGCCCAAAGGAGCCAAAACGGGACAGGAGTTGATGAGAGACCTCGGGCAGTCCCTGTCCCTCCCAGTTCACGTCCAAATTCACGGCCCACTTCATCATACAAAGCCCCAAGTGAGCCGGCAGCAGCACCAAATGGCAATCCATTCACAGCCAACCAATCGTCAAATATATTTACGGCCAACGAATCAAACCAATCTTCTCCTAATCACATGCGTGAGTGACCTGCTTCACTATCACTAGATCTAACTTGGCCGTTTGCTGACATTTCTATATCAGCCTTCAATAAACCCGCAACTCCAGTCAACGGAGCAAAAGACCCTTCAATGTATGCAACACCTCAAAAAGACAAGCCAGGTTTACACCACGGCAATAAGTCCACTCATCAACTCCAAATGACTCCACCACCAAAACACAACATTGCCGAAGTCGGCTCAAAGTCAAAGATTGAAATATGTGTCCCTAGTGGAATGCACGTTACAGTTCACAACCTCTCTCCTTTTGAGCAGAAACAAAAAACCATTCTGAAATGCTTGATAAAAAATCAAAGAGGCGCTGTTCTAGCACAACGCAATAAACCACCGCACCGCACCACTATCAATCATGAAAAGTTTCCTGCAGAAGAGTCGAACGCTAACAATGGCTTACCGAGCAGCTTCAATTTTAGTTTAGACGATGATACCTTTGTACCCGATGCCCCAGGAACCGCCCAATTTAGAAAAAGCACAAGCGTTGATGGAATCAACACCAATTTTGTCAAGGACAACACCTCAACTACTTGGCAATTCAGTGCTGGAAGTGGAGATAATGACTCTCTTCCACAGAGCCGTTCTCAATCAACCAACAAAACTGATCGTCGGTCCCCGATCAGGCGTCGGCCGGTCGCCACAGCCAAGGCGCCCAACTTTGGAACTCAAACTACCCCGAACCCAACCCGCTTTGACCCAGAGCAATACAAGTTTGAGCCGCAGATGTTTGCTCCTCGGCCTGGTACCCCCAGCAAACCAGGGTCACCCACGCGGAAGAATGCGAACAATCGAAAAATACCAAAAACTCCTAAACCCATGGCGGGGGATGGTAGTGACGATGACCGCTATGCTTGGAGAGGCCGCAACGCTCAACCAAAAGCTGCAACGGTTGGCAGTCCGCAAGCGATGGATATCGATTCGCCGCTAACTGCCTCTCCCTCCGCGACTCCTATTTCGACTCCTCCTCTTATGCCAACTACTCCCTCTATGGCTTCTACTCCAGTTCCTGTCCCGGCTCCTATTGTCCCACCACATACTCACCATCAGCATCACTCCCCTGTCGCAAGGAATATCCATGTTGAGCCATCGCGGCCGGAATGGCGACCTGGAAACGTCACAGGCCTTGGCCAAGCGCAGAGGCAGTCTGAGGAAAGGAAAGAAATTCCGATCAATTTCAAGGGGTCCGAAGACAGCGAAGAATTTCGCGCAACATTTGAAGATTTCAAGAATGTTGCGCCTTTTGCGCCACCCAAACCTGGCCTCAAATCATTTACTGAACTCAAGGACAATCTACCGTTTGAGAGCCAGGCATCAGCAGAACTACACCTCAACGATCCTTCTCAGCCTCAGCAACTTGATCTACCCGATCCCCCACTTGCTCCTGGACTTCCGTTGATGGTTGATGGCGCGAAGCCAAGCGTTCCGGTATGGACCAAATATCTTGAAGAATTCGAAGGCTATCTACGGCGCTGGGACATTTTTAATTCACGAGTGGTGGACCATTTTGCCACACGAAAGGCCAACATATCAAATGCAAGGATTTCCAAAGGCTATTCGTTCTTAGGTGTCCGAGGCGATACCGACATCCTGGAGTATCACAACTGGGTTGAGCAGGACAATGGAGTCCGCCGAATGTGGCTCGCAGCTTGCGAAGAACACGAGACCCGATTCAGAGATTTCATGGCGTTTAGAGAGAAGATGAAAATGCCGATTTAAGCGAGACGACGAGATTTTATTTCCACCTTTCTTCTTCTTTTTCTGGGTAGGCGTTTGGTCAATAGATTTCAACGAGTAACGTGCGATAGCTGAGCGCAATTACGTCCGTGGCATTTGCTTAGTTTAGTTTTCATGGTCAAGAGTTTGATACCCATATCACGGCTGAAGCATATGCGCACACTTATATATATGTCTCGTATATGTGTGCAATTCAGCATAGGTTTTTTATTCTTCCTTTTTCTTTCTCTTTGTTTCTTCCCTAGCCTTTAGCTTTCGTTCTCAATTTTCTTTGGGAAAAACTTGGGAGGTTTTACTTGGTATCAGATGGTCGCTTTGGCTTGCTGGGCAGATTTAGGGTTGGCCCCCTTTGGGCGTTTGTGAGAATATGTGTACAATAGAAACAGGTTTGCGTGTGGAATGTATAATGGAGTGCGTCAGGCCATTACAATTCAGATCATTCTACGGCTTCAGTGATGAGTGTGCTAATGCAGATTATTTCACCCTCTCTCTCTTCACAGGAGGGGAGGGTCGAAGAGTGCTGCTTCTTCAGATTTGTTTCACTTCGTATCATGCTAGTGGCATCCTCGCGGAGGGCTTCACTTGGCTCATTATTTTGCAGTCACTTTTTTTGCTTGGGGCCATTCACTTCAGGCCCTGTTCAGATTTATCCTTGTAGGTTCTATCTGCTTCTGGGAGATTTGATGCTTGATCTCCTGCACCAACTGTTCTTTCCTCTTCTCAACGCTCACACTCATACGTATCGATTCGTGCCAGGGAATATTCATCTTTATAATCTTCTTTTGAAGATATCTAACAAAGGAAAACTACCATGGACCCTGAAACTCCTGAGAAGTCTACTTCTGCTTGGACCGATGAGGCCAAGGTATGTAACACTCTCTATCTAGATGGTTCATCTGAGCTAGCATGCTGGCACGACCATCTCAACTCAGCTAACGGAGGTGACGCCTTCACAGTTCCAATTTCTCCTGCGAGTCGTCGCGCAGCTCAAGGAAGATGGTCGCTCCATCAAATGGGAGAAGATCAACCTCCCTGGAAGAACCCCCAAGTCCCTGATGCACATGTGGGCCAAGATCAACAAGCAGATTGCGGAATTTGAGACTGCAGAGAGAGATGGCGAACCAACGCCGGTGAAGACGCCGCGAAAGAGGGGTCCGCGTGAGTAACCAACTGTTTGCAAGGACTTGTGATGAGAGGGCTAATGCTTGTTCGATCGAGAGCTAGCAAAGAAGAAGACTCCCAAGGCTATAGGCTTGGACAACGGTGCCGTCGACGACGAGTTTGACATCAAGAAGGAACTTTTGAAGAAGCGTGGTGCCGAAAGTATGAATCTGACCAATTTAACAAGTACAAAATTAGCAGCAATGTTTACTAACAGGACGTGATGCTTTTTTAAATCTAGAGCTCGGTGACGAAGAACCAACTGCGGCCACCAAGCGAGCCAAGGTCAAACCTGAGGCGAACGACGACGTCCGCGTTAAGAAGGAGAGTGCCATACAGGGCTGATGACAGGGCTCTTCCATGTCGTTAGCATTTTGGCTTTTGACTTTTAAAGGGATCAAAGCTATATCTACAGCTGGAGTGGAGAGAAGCCATATTGTTTGTAACAAAGGCACAGAGCAGAGAGAACTGTCAACTGTGTATACGAAGATTTGAATGAGCTATCATATAACTGCTGAAGGCAAAACTGTCTTGAGAGGAATAGGAAACCGAGTGTCTTTTAGTCAAGTATGAGCTAAACACCACAAACATGGTCACGACGTCTTTGTTCGTTTTCTTAGTGAATACAACGCTGCTAAGTGCTTAGTGCCACTCCCAAAAATGCACCTAGGTGAAGATCTTCCACTTTTTTTTTTTTTTGGTCTTTCGTCGGGGGGTTCAGGTAGATCAGCAGGTCAGATTAGACGATGGGCCTGAGATTACGTGCAGCGGCATTAGGAGCAGCGTCTCCGCCTTGAGAGTGCCCGCAGGAGAAGTGATGGCGAGGGCGGACGATAGAGGCCGCTATTCCTAGGCTGGTTCGTTTGGCTATATGCAGGCTTGGTGTTGTGACCCGACTTCAAGGGCAGACAGGGCGGAGAAGCGATTTGGGTGGGTGGCGTATTATCTGGCTGCGTGAGGGATAGAGAAACAGTTGCGAGGTGAGAATACGAATGTAGGCGTGGAAAACAAGATGGAGATGCGGTATAACCGATACTCCTTGGCTGCTCATTTTCTCTGTAAGAGATGACGCTTTCAAACATTTAACAGGAATTACTGCGCATCGGTAGTTCGTATCACTGCCGATTAGAAACTGTGATGCTACGGCCTAGCAGCGGTAGATGGGGCTGTGGCCTTGAACTTGATGGAGATGGGGATGGGGCGGTTCATAAAGGGGGGAGGCGAAGAGAAAAAGAGGGTGTGAACAAATGCAGGCTTTGGGTTGAATAATTAATCTGCCCGTCTTGGTTGGTTGGTTGGTTGTTCAGAGCTGGAGGGCTATTGATCGTGTTGAGTTCATATGTTCAATAGTGGGCGTACCCTGGAACTGAATATGCGGGCACCGGGGCCGTGTTTTGCTGTGCTATGAATAGACCTCGGAGTGCTGTAGATTGGCGAAGAAGCGAGTAGCAACATTTCAAGGCCTCTGCTAGGGATAACATCTCCATAGTATCATCTAGACAAGCGCAGCTGAAAGACGAGGGTTGGCATCGACATGCTTTGCATTGTATATGAGCCAATAACAGCCGTAGACGAAGGTGAACCCGGATGGGCTCGAGGCACAATGACGGCCGCGAGCATTCCACGACCTTGGCTGTTCAAGTACCGCAATTACTTGCTTGTAGGCGTTGATCTCGGTCCCTCTGTTAGCACCTCTAGCACCTCTAGCAGCCTTCGCCAGCAAGGGTCATGGCCGTCTAGCACCAGGTACCGCGTGCTAGCACCGCAGTACGTACCCGCAGCGAAGCCTGCCTGCTGATCCACCTTTTTTTCTCCACGACTCCAAGTTTGTGCATGCCGTACCCAGAACCGATTTCCAAGGACCGACATCACATGGGCCTGCTTCACTGCCATTGTCCGTCCACCACCATCCTTTTCTCGCCGGGCGCTTCTCCCTCGCCCTCCCGCTGTCTCTGGCATCACGCGCTCTGCTGGATCTTGCCGCGTCTTTGATGCGCTGCCACCCTACGCGACACATCGCGCGCAAAGTCGCCAATCGCTTTCGCCTTCACCCCGCGGCCGAGCGTACAGACGTGAATGCGCCGATCGCCGTCTTGAGCTGTATAATTATATAAAGGGCAGATAGGAGCCAGATTGGAGTGTCTGATTTGCTGGGATCGCTTTTTTCGCGCTCTTCTTGCGCCTCACCTCGGATATTCAGTCCTCTTCCAAGATAAAAAGAAGAAGAAGAACTTGCGACAGAACAGCTATAAAAAAAGAAGGGACGAGACCAATCTCATTTCCGCCCCCAAGCTACTCGGCAAGCCCCGTTTAAGCCCAAGGGGTCAAGCCAGCGGATCAAACGATTTAGAAAAAAAAAAGAAGAGATAGAAGAGCATCATCGACAGGAAACCAGCAACAATGAACGGGACAGCAGCATCCACGGGTGGTAAGAGGAAAGCCGATGGCTCTCTTCAAGCCAGCCCTCCGGCCAAGAGACCCGTTAACGGCAGCAACAAGCCGAGCATCGACACGGACATGACGACTCCTGACATCTCCATCGACGATGTCAGCTACGACGACCGCTCCGACGCTGACAGCGACATCCACCCCGTGGCCATGTATGTTGGCACGCCCGGCAGTCTCGGCGAGTGGCAGGACACCATCCAAAAGGTCGTCCGCAACGTCGTCGCTATTCGATTCTGCCAGACGTGCTCCTTCGACACGGATGGCGCGCTGACAAGCGAGGCCACCGGCTATGTCGTTGATTCAGAGAGAGGGTACGTGCGACGCATGCTTTGCCCCTGGTTTGGTGTTTGCCCGCTTGGGTTGGCAGCGAATCTATGCTAGTGGGAGATGAGATTTGATGTACCATTGCTAACATGCTGTTGTTTTTAGCTACATCATGACGAATCGCCACGTTGTCGGCTCCGGCCCGTTCTGGGGACACTGCGTCTTTGACAACCACGAAGAAGTGGACTGCTACCCCGTGTATCGCGACCCCATTCACGACTTTGGCATCCTCCGATACGACCCCAAGGCGATCAAGTATATGCACGTGGATGGGCTCACCCTGAGTCCAGACCTGGCAAAAGGTGCGTTTGATAAAACCGAGATTGGCCGGCGAGAGAGAGAGAGAGAGAGCGAGGAGAAGAGGACTAACTTGTGTGTCGTATCCTAGTTGGTACCGAAATTCGTGTCGTTGGTAACGATGCTGGCGAGAAGCTGAGTATTCTTTCGGGTGTCATCAGCCGTCTGGACCGAAATGCGCCCGAGTACGGCGACGGATACAGCGATTTCAATACGTGCTACTACCAGGCAAACGCTGCTGCCAGCGGTGGAAGTTCCGGCAGTCCCGTCGTGAACAAGGACGGTTGTGCCGTTGCGCTTCAGGCTGGTGGCCGCTCCGATGGCGCCTCTACCGACTATTTCCTGCCTCTCGACCGACCGCTACGCGCACTTCAGTGCATCCAACAGGGCAAACCGGTTACGCGTGGTGATATCCAGTGCCAGTTTCTGCTGAAGCCTTTTGACGAGTGCCGCAGGCTGGGCCTTACCCCTGAGTGGGAGTCGGCGACGCGCAAGGCTTTCCCGGAGGAAACCAACATGCTGGTTGCTGAGATTGTCTTGCCTTCTGGGCCTTCCGATAGCAAGATTGAGGAGGGTGACGTTCTCATCAAGGTAAATGGCGAGCTGCTTACCCAGTTTATCCGCCTCGATGACATCTTGGACTCAAACGTGGGCAACACCATCAAGTTTCACTTGCAACGCGGAGGAGAGGACATCGAGGTCGACATTGAAGTCAGCGACCTTCACAAAATTACGCCGGATCGCTTCGTGACTGTCGGCGGAGCGAGCTTCCACGACATCTCCTACCAGCAGGCCAGGCTTTACGGAGTGGCTGTTCAGGGAGTGTACATTTGCGAGGCCGCGGGATCTTTCCGGTTCGACAATACAGACAACGGATTCATCGTGCAATCTGTCGACCAAAAGGCGGTTCCCGATCTGGATACGTTTATCGAGGTGATGAAGCAGATTCCCGACAGAGCGCGAGTGGTTGTCACGTATAAGCACCTGCGCGATCTGCACACGCTCAACACGACCATTGTATACGTCGACCGTCATTGGTCAGCCAAGATGAAGATGGCCGTTCGAAACGACGTGACAGGACTGTGGGACTTTTCCGACCTCGGTGAGCCCCTGCCACCGGTTGCCCCTGTTCGGCGGTCGGCCTCCTTCATTGAGTTGGATCACATGCCGCACCTTGGCATCGCTTCGTTGATCCGCAGCTTTGTGCATGTCAACTGCTCCATGCCCGTCAAACTAGACGGCTTCCCGAAGAACCGACGATGGGGAATGGGCCTTGTCATCGACGCCGACAAGGGTCTGGTGCTCATCTCTCGAGCTGTGGTGCCGTATGATCTTTGCGACATCACCGTCACTATTGCCGATTCCATCATGGTTGAGGGCAAGGTTGTCTTCTTGCATCCGCTGCAAAACTACGCCGTCATCAAGTACGATCCCGCTTTGGTGGATGCCCCCGTCGTGAGCGCTCGGCTCAGCGATCAACACCTCACACAGGGTGCAAAGACTTACTTCCTGGGCTACAACAGGATAAGCAGAGTCGTGCACGGCTCTACCACCGTGACGGAGATTACGGCGGTTGCTATCCCGGCAAACTCGGGGGCTCCACGATACCGCGCCGTCAACGTAGATGCCATCACGATTGACAGCAACCTTGGAGTTTCATGCGGCAGCGGTGTTCTCGTAGCCGAGGACGGGACCGTGCAGGCTTTGTGGCTGCAGTATCTCGGAGAGCGCTCCCCCAACAACCAACGAGATGAGGAGTATCATCTCGGCTTAGGCACACCGACCTTGCTGCCCGTTATTTCAGCCATTCAGCGCGGAGAGACGCCAAGCCTGCGCATGCTCTCAGTCGAGTTCCGATCCATCCACATGTCTCAGGCACGCGTGATGGGCGTCTCGGACGAGTGGATCAAAAAGGTTACACAGGCAAACCGGTCTCACCACCAACTCTTCATGGTTAGCAAGCGGACATTTGAACGGGTAAACCACCCGGTATCGCTCCTCGAAGGCGACGTGGTACTGACGCTCAACGGCAAAATCTGCACCACCATCTCCGACTTTGACGTGATGTACTCGAACGAGGTTCTGGACGCCGTTGTTGTGCGAAACTGCGAGGAGATGCACCTGCAGCTCCCAACGGTACTTGCCGACGACATGGAAACACACCATGCCGTGTCCTTTTGCGGAGCCATCCTCCATCGCCCTCACTTGGCCGTCCGTCAGCAGATTAGCAAACTCCACAGCGAGGTATACGTGTCGAGCCGCATTCGCGGTTCTCCGGCGTACCAGTATGGACTTGCCCCAACCAACTTTATCACCCATGTCAATGGCGAGTCAACGCCCGATCTGGAGTCGTTCATTGCGGCAACCCGGAAAATCCCCGACAACACCTGTAAGACCCTCCCTCTTCCCTCTGCCCCTCTGCCTCTGCCCTTGTGCCCCTCTCCCCCTCTCTTTTGCTGCAAGTATTATATGCAGAGGCAGAGCTAACGTTACTTGTAAATGTAGATTTCCGCATCAAGGCGGTCACCTTTGACTCGGTGCCGTGGGTGATTACAATGAAGAAGAATGACCATTACTTCCCTACTATGGAATGGATAAAGGACGGTAACGAGCCGTGCGGCTGGCGACGCGTGACGTACGAGGGCAATCAGGTCTTCCAGGGGGAGGCGACTGACGGAATCCCAACGGTTGCCGGCAATGCTGAGATGGAATAGGTCCGACCTTGCAGGCCATTGCAGCAGCTTCGGTTGGTGGAGATAATGGTGGCGGTGATGGATACAATTCTTGATTTTTTTCAATTTTTTTTGGACTACTGCGCGACGACCCGTTTGCTTACGGCTACAGGCTGGCGAGAGTAGGACAATGTACATGCATGACGACGAATTTGTAAAAAAAACCCTACATGGATGGGTACATGGGACAACAACAACAACAATAACAACAATGGGCGTTAAACGGCTATGAAGGATTTCACACTGGAGTTTTCTTGAGCTGTTTTCTTTCTCTTTACTTCTTTCTTCTCCTCTTTTTTTTTTCATGTTATAAACACAACACAACACCGCAATCTATCTGTGGCAATTTGGAATAGAAGGAGGTGGTAGGTGTGGTGGATTGATACATGGCCGGTTTCTCCCGACGGAGACATTCAAGAGCAAGCGTCGACGAGGATTCGATGGAAATGGAATGCAGGTCTCCGTCGTCGGCACATTGCTACTATGTACTACTATAATAATGACTGGATCACACACTGGTAGAACATGTAGGAGAGTGGAGTGGTTGGGCTCGTCGCTGTGGAGTGGATGAGGCAGCCAACCGGAGAGATTTACAACATGGATACAGAGACTGTTTTAGGTACACTTGTGGTTCCCATCTATTCTTGCAGTGTACTACTCAAGGTAGGACTGTTTAGGTACTTGATAGTATTTGTATGTAGAAAAGGTGTCTGTTTGACTCGAGTGCCTGATTCATAAACGAGAGACATGCAGCGTTTTCGCACTGACCAACCGGCATCACTTCCTACCCAAGGTAGCTGCAAGTACACGGAGTTGCTTGGCCGCCTCCTATCACGGCGTACCACGTTGGAAAAAGCTGCACTTGCCGGAGGGGGTACATGCAATGGCAGCCAATCAGTGGATTGAAATTGACCGGAATTGAGGCCCGTTGTGCGGAGAAGTGGTTGCTGTGCTGCTGCTGCTGCTTTGTTCCTGGTGGCTGGCGGTGGGACAAGAAAAATCAAAGGGAGTGGGTGTGTGTTACTGCTACAAGGGGGGAATGTAGCTTGATGGTTTTGGTGATTTGTGTTTTTGTGCCTGGGCTGAATTGACCCAGGGTGAGTGAGGCTTGATGGGAGCGAGAGACGATATAGTTTATAGATGGGATGGATGTCTTGGATGGAGGCCGAATCTGGTGCCTCGAGGCCCCGCAGTGGGCGGATGAGATGTCTTGGTGGGTTGAGCTAAGTGTGTTAGACAAGGCACCTCTGGGCGATCTAGATGTGGATGTTCCTGCGTATCTTTGAAGCTATTCGCGACCACTTTATGTAAGAGTAAGACAAAAAAAGAATGGCAATATCCAACTTGATCGTTTCTGCCTTTGGTTACGCCTATGCCGCTTGACTTCGGTTGGGCTCTGTCTGAGTTTAAACCAACATCGAGCCGCTCTTCTCTTCTCAATGCAATACGAGGTACCGGATTAGCGACATCCTCCTGTTCGTTCTTGTTCACAACTTGCTCTATTTCGGATGAACATATAAAAGTATAAATATGCCCTTTAATCGCTACAAGTTCTTCCTCCTAAAGATATCCTCCATTCTTTTTGGCCAAAATGTTTATAGCGTACAGTGTCAATGACAGTGTCATCACAATGTGGTTACTGTGTACTTCAGTCCCTGCGCCCGGAAATGCCGTCAAGCCGTTACTACTAGTAGTAACGCTAAGACACCGCAGAGCAGCCTCGGTGACGTTGCTCTCTCCGTCTTGCGCTCACCAGGCTTCAAGCTTCTTTATGTCTGCCTGCCTGCTATAGGTAGTCCTTCTTTAATCCTGCTGCCTCGCGAGCCAATTCTTCCATAAAACCCCCAGCCTGTAGCCTGCATTCTCTTGCCTTTTTTTACTTGTGCGTCTTTCTTTCTATATCCATTCATTGTACTGCCTGCTGCTTGATTCCCCTCCCCCCGCGATGCCCCCCACAGCTACCTGGCAGGTAAGTCGAATCTCAAACGAATTCCTCCGACTCTGGCCGGCGCCCAACGACATAATCTGGCAAAGACACTAATGCGCGGTGCTGCTACAGACCAAACTCAAGGTCCAGCTGAAGCTGGCCATTGCGCGCCTGCGCATGGTGCAGCAGCGCGATGAGCAGCTTGGAAAGACGGCCCGCCGGGCAATGGCGCAGCTCCTCGAGGCCGGCAAAGTCGACTCAGCAACGATCCGCGTCGAGAACATCATCCGCTCCGACATCACTAGCGAGCTGCACGAGCTGCTGGAGCTCTACTGCGAGCTGTTGCTTGCGCGCGCGGGGCTTCTCGAGGGCCCGGTATGCGACCCGGGGCTGGAGGAGGCTGTCCAGAGCATCCTGTACGCGGCGCCCAAGACGGAGATTAAGGAGCTGATGACGGTGCGGACGCTGCTGGCGGAAAAGTACGGCAAGGAGTTTGTGCTGGCGGCCATGGAGAACACAGACGGCAAGGTCAACGACAAGGTGGTCAAGAAGCTGAGCGTAGAGGCGCCGCGGCGAGAGCTGGTGACGGGGTATCTGGAGGAGATTGCCAAGGCATACGGCGTGGATTGGCCGAAAAGGCAAGTTTCCTCGCCACTTCCACCAGATCTGCTGGATGAGGACCTTGAAGGCAAGGGAGATGGCGATGGCGATGGCGATGGCGATGGGACCGGAGGTGGTGGACAGGCTCAGAGGAACGATTTAGGCAAGCCCCTCACCGAGGCGCAGAGGAAGCTCTCCTTGGGCGAGGAGCAGATGAATCGAGCCACGCCGCCGAGCGCCAAGCTGGGCGAGCCCAAGAGCCCGCTGATGGTGACGCCGCCGCGGATGACGACGGACAATGTCCATCCCAAGGTGATGATGGGATCTGTGGAGCTCAAGAGCAAGAGGGACGAGGTGCCGGTGGCGAGGAAGAAGTCTGAGCCGGAGGGGTCAGTGCCGGACATTGGAGACTTGGAGAGACGGTTTGCGGCGTTGAAGAAGAGGTGAGGCGCAAATGTCATGATATGATAATGGAGCAGATGGGACAGATGGAGACATATGGAATACCTACCGATAACTGCGAGAGCGAGCGATGCAAACTAATTCAGAGCAAGGCAAGGCAAGGCAAGGCAGAGCAGAGTAGAGCAGAGCAGAGCTGAGCAGATCAGAGCGGTACAAGGCACATGCTGTGGTGGCTACCTGTTTGGTGTTGTGCAGGCTGGGCGCATCCTGTTGGTGTGCTGTACCTATACATGTATATAGCTACTTAGTATAACCAGGTATTATGCCGTCTGGTCATCTCCAGCCGCCGTGCCATTGCCATGCCTTGGGTGGCTGCGTCACCACTTAGCAGTACCACCCGTTGACGTACCAGTCCGTGGTAGTACACGTGGGATGAGCAAAAAGCGTGTGTCCGTGACTCCAACACGAAAACCCGCCCACGCATCAATCATCCAAGCACTGCATATTTTTTTTATCCCCCTGGCCTGGTTGGTCTCTCTTTGTCCTGCCGCACATTGGACCAGTCACGAGGCACCGACTCTTGTTACACAGCATATGCTACTATCTGGCCAGGCATTATTTAAGGTGCCAGCAATGCCGTGCAGCTCGGCGTCGGGTTCATTTCCTCTTTTTTTTTCTTTTCTGTTGCTACCCTTTCCTCCTCTCTCTCTTTGACTCGGATTTCTCTCCCTCTCTTATAAGCCCGAGACCCGGGGTTTTTTTTCTGATGCTGGTCTGACCCGGGCTTCTTACACTCGTCTGTTTCCCTTTTGAGGTTCGCTTCAACGTGCTCTCACTACTAGTAAGAGAGACAAAGTTGCCCTTCATCAACTGTGACTCTTGCATCTGCGTATCATCAATTGCCATTGAGTCTTGTTCATTATCTGGATTGGCCGGTGGCTTTCGCTCCGTCTTACCGGCTGATTCGCAGTCGCCGGCTTTTCTGCTGCGTGTTTTTGGCGGTGGCCCAGCTCCCAGCTCCCAGCTGCCAGTTGCCAGTTGCCAACTGCCGCAAACATGTCGCCTCACGTGCTCGTGCAAGCAGAGAGGCATGAAGAACCGAGCAAGCTTGGCACGTTGACTGCCTCTCTCTTCTTCTGCTTCATCTGCTTTTCCCTCTTCACCCTCGCCTCACTCTTTGTGGCCCATTTGGAAAGATACAAACTGCAGCTTGTGCGCACCTTGCTCAGTCCCTTTGGCAACTCCGACGAAGAGGACGATGCCCAGATGAACCAGAGTTTCCATCTCAGTCAACAGCCCAAGGAGAAAGATCTCTGCCAGCCTGCTTATCAATTCAACGCATTCTCCTCTTCTCTACTGCCCTCTGACAACCGCGACCTCGACCGTGACCACGACCACGAACACGAACACGCCCACGGCTACAAGCCCTCATTGACAATGGGGGATTCCACGTTCCCGATGAATTCCAACGACCAGATCCTGTTCCACGTGCGAGTCACGATGGGATGCAACGGATTTCTGGATCTCGGCAATGTTGGCGCCTTGCGTCAAGACACGCTTGAGAAGAGAATCGATGGAGCCATCAACAAGCTCTCGATTCTCAGCATCGTCTCCATCTGTGCCGTCTGGCTTCGTGAGAGAATCTGCCGCAACTCCTCTTCGGGCGCTTCGCTGCCCGACGTCAAAGAGCTCTGTGTCTTCCTCCAACGCCGAGGCTGCTCCCGAGACATGTGCTGCCAGATATTCTTCGCAGCGTTTCACAGATTGCACCCTCGCCTTGCCAATGAGATTTCGCTGCGAGTTTCTGGAGAAACACTCACAGGCTCCCGCTCCATTGTGGACTACGTCCATGACCACTGGAAACAATGGGTAGAAGAGGCTCAGGCTGCTGCTGATCATGCTGCGCTCCTCGCTGCTGCCAACGATCCGCTCCCACCGACCTATCCTGCCTATAATCACAATCTCCACACAATGCCAAAGGAAAGGTATCAGAGGCATGTGCAAGAAAGCTTCAGCAAGCTTCACGTACACCAGAATCATCACTACTACCATGACAGTATCAAAGTCACAGAAGGACCTACTCCGGTGCATGAGGAGCATCAGCCCGGAGACTGTGCCCCCTATGACCTCGGACAAGCCAGCACCTGGGGCTCTGCGACTGGCCAGACTGAACGATGCAAGACTCGGAGTGACGACTGTGTGTGTAAGCAGTGCAGTATCACAGGTTGGCTACCCCAAGTTCATACCCCCCTTGACGGCGTTTCTCTCGCCGATACCTTCCTTGCTCTTTCCCCTACTGAATCGGATTCTGTGGATCTTCTTGGCTTATTCAATGAGGTTGCCGCAGTTCCTCAACAGAAACAGAATACAGTCGCTTCCAATCGACTTATTCCTGGGCCTGAATACATTTGCCCAAGCTGTGGCCAGCAAGGGGATCATTACAATTACTTCTGCACTGTCAATCGCAAGGCAGCACAAGTCATTGATAACATGCTCGTGGATCCCCAGCGCGCGGCCTTGATGGCGACTGGCAGCAATCTTGCCGATGAGCCACTACCCAAGCAAGTGCCATCTACTCAATTGGAAGCAGCTGATACATCGTCTTCGGATCTAATCATGTTTAGTAGCGGCTCTGAGGCTGAAGAAGCCCAACCCACGTGTTTCGAGGACGATGGTGACAAAGCATTTGGCAATGTCCATACTTTGAGAGGGATCCGATTTACTGACAGCCGGTTGTCACCTTAGGAAGTTGTAAGTGTCTTTTCTCAACTATTTGCCTTTATTAAACAACGGCTGAGCTGAAGAACATTGTTACTGACATTCTTCTCTTTTACATAGGATCGTGTCGGCAAAGAAGGAAAAGAAGGTATTGGTGCAAAAAGCCGTGTTCAGTCGTATGATTTGATCATTATTGACAGCGATGATGATGATGAAGATGATGGTGGCGGTGATGGTGATGGTGGCTGCGTGGCAGAAGTTGATCTTTTCCTTACAACAGTCGATAAAGAAAAAGCACACGGGGGATGCGGCATGACAAGTACAAGCCAACAGGAAGCACGCAAGAAGCTGAAGCTGAAGCTGGATGAAGCATACGAGGAACCGTCTCTGCTTGACAGTCTTCTAGAGATGGACGAGGGAGAATACATTGAACCGGGGCTTACGCCGTGCCCTCAGACACCGCAACCGCAGTTGCAGCCGCAAGACAAGTCAGACATTGAGTTTGGTGTCACTGACAAGCCGCTTGGCAGAGATCCGCCGTATGATCCGGCCGTTCACGAGTTGTTCCACAATCAAGACAATACGTGGATCCAGATGGCGAACCGTTCGACGGCCCTCGAGATGTGGGATGCCATGTATCTTGATGAATATTTTGATAAATACCCTTATTCCTCGTCAGAGTCCGAGTACGATCCGTACTAAGGGTCCACGGGGTACGCTTCATTTGCGGTGCAATGGGACTTTGTTTGCAAATGCTCTGCTGAGGCGAGGGCTGCTCTTCATGTCTTGGTCATGTTGATTTCTTTTTCCTTTTTTTTCTTTCTTTCCTTGAGTCGATGGAATCTACTTTTAAATTTGCTTTTATGGGATCGAGATTGAGAGAGAGAGAGAGAGAGAGAGAGAGAGAGGAAAATATGCCTGAAATTTGCTTGTTTTGTCATTATAGTCCGTATACATATACATGCTCTTGATTTGCGGTGAGGATAGAGAAAGATCTTGTGATGGTCCTGCTGTTCAAATAGCTTTCCTTACTTGAGGACTTGAGAACTGCTCACTCTATCAGCTACTGTTATGCGCCTGCGATGATATATTGTAGGAAACGCTAGCTGTTACAGGGCTGTAACAAGAGCTTTCTTTATTTGTGTCAGAAAGGAGGCGTAGGTAGATGGATCTAAATACATGCGATATATGCGATATGAGAACCTTTGGCTTTTTGTAATGATGCACATGTTTGACTATTTTTGATATATTAATCGTCTAAACTATCCAGATATACACTAAATATAGCAAAGTGTCCGCAGAGCTCAGGAATAAAGGAGACGGTGGCGTAGCCACGCCGCGCGCGCGCTTCTCGCATATTCTCGTCGCTCAATCTTGCGATCCGCCATTTCCCAAAAACGCCCAAACACCTATGCCTATGATGTCCTCTGCATCTGATCATGCATTATCAACGCGCTCCGCTGGAAGACTGCGATGGAAAAGAAGATTGAAATAGAAAAGAAAAACGTCCTCGTTGGGCTTCCAGGTAACTCCGAGTCGCGAAATGAATATGTACATACGTAGACGTAAAGAAGTCGGTAATTGCGCCCACCCCTATTCTCTCAAAGTTCCCGTGGAGAAAAAAGAAGACGGACAATAGCAGATGTGAAAAAAGAGGAAAGAAAAAAAGAACGCGTCTTCCATTTTCCTCTGCTCCCATCACTCCAGCTTATCCAAGTGTTCCAGCCGCGTCAAGACAACCTGCTTACTCGTCTCCTCAATCTCGCCCGCCAAAAAGACCTCGTCGAGGATGGCGTAGACCTTGTAAAAGTTGAAGACGAGGTCGAGCTCGCAGACGTTGCCGAAGAAGGAGTCGAGCACCTCGACGAAGAAGTGGATGGCCTCGAGGAAGGCGAGCTCGTTGTCGTTTGTGTCGACGCAGGCGCAGAAGAAGAGGCCGGCGTAGCGGCGGTAGACGATTTTGTTGTTGCGGAACTCGACAAAGTTGGACTGGTACTTTTGGTCGCGCGGGGCGACGAGGCGGTGGACTTCGCCCTTGAGCTTGATCTTTTCGTCGTCGCTGTAGGGGGCGTACCATTTGGCGAGGCGGGTTTTGCCCCTGTTTGCGATTGAGTGGAGGAGTTAGTGTTTGCGATGGTAGGTTTCTTGGGGGCATTGTGGTTTGCGCGCAGAGACGCGCGTGGATAGGGAGGAAGAGGAAGACTTACTGTCTGTTTTGGATGAGGATGAAGGAGAGCATGATTGCGGAGGGAGAGACGGAGAGAGAGCGACGAGAGGATTTTGGTGAGAGTAGCAGGATGGCGTCGAGATGGAGGATGAATAATATAGAGTGGACGTTTGCTGCACGGAACTGGTAGGAGATGGGTTTAGCTGGAGGTTGCTCAATTACAGCGCGTTCTAGTGAGCCCCGTGGGGCCGGAGCACACGGATCGGATGCCATTGGCGGCCGGGCCAGTGGGGACTTGAAGATGAGGAAAACAGCAGCGTATATCATGGGCAAATATGTGTACTTTTGTTACTAGGTAATAATGAAGAATATTATTACGGCCCAAATTACTTTGACTTTTGGGGAGACGAGACAGTGGTGGTTGCTGTAGGGATGTTGTAAAATGTTGGCTAGTTGACATGTTTGCGGCTTATAGACTGAGAGCGTTGTGTTGAGTGATGGGGACGGTAAGCCATGTGCGCAGCGGATACTAGGTATTTAGCTAAATGGGATGAGATACAATTGGGTTTTGCCAAACGATGAGGAAACACAGGAATGATGGTGTACAACAGACGATTAGAGGGCCAAGAAGCATTGATGATTAACCATGACTGTGTCTCGGTGAGTTCTGCAATTATCAGAGTACATTACAGACAGGGCAGTTGTACGTCATATGCCGAGAGAAGAGCAAAAAAACAGACAAAAAAAATCCGAGTATAAGAAGAATTTAAAAAACGAAAAGAAAACATCAGATCAGATCGTACCACCGGGTCAAAAATCTCCACTTTCTTCAATGCACGTCTGGATATCGTCGCCGCTGACTCGTCTGCAATCTAGTTTGAGGTACAGGAACGCCCGCCTGCGCTGTTGCTGTAAAGTGAGTATCGATATGTAGGATTATTTACCTGTTGTCAAATAATGGGGCGCTTGGCTTGTCGATAATGAGAGCAACAGTTTTTTTTTTTTTTTTTTTTTTTTTTTTTTTTTTTTCGTTTTAGAGCAGAGACCATTTCTACATCTCTAGAGCTGATCCTTACATGTACTGCTGATCATTTCAGTACTGGTAGAGCTTATTTACACACTCTAAGCTCAAGCGCTGCTATAGCGCAATTATTGCGTCTCTGGCCTATTGCTTACAATGCTGTACATTTCGTGACAATTGAGGTTGATTATGAAAGATTCCTTCAACCCGGCTACCTAATGTACTTGGTGGCTATTACAACTTTACATCTTGTCTATTCATGCCATTTACCTATCCCAAAGCTATATGTCATGTAATTCCTCCGTCTACCACTTTACACTAACGATACTAGATAGTTTACAATATATGTAGATATAATCAAAACGCTTTAACAAACTTGAACCTAAATGGGGTATATAACAAGAAAAGCAAACAAACAAATTACGTGGTTTCAATCTCCACCATGACTACATGCCGAGCCTCTGTATCAGACTGGAGAATCTAGCAAATCGTGAGCCCTCCAAGAGACTTCGCTGCTGCACCCGGCCCTGCCAGGATAACAACCATGCCTTTGAAGCCAAGGGGCCACTCTGCAATGCCAAACATGCACCCTCAGAAGACTACGCCGCTGCCTCCGACCCTGTCAGATTAACGGCCATGTCTTCAGAGGACATGAATGGCATGACGGTGCGGCAGAACTGGAAGAGAGGCTGCCCGCTGCCCCCGGCCCTGCCAGGTTAACGGGTATGCCTGCCTCTCCAATTCGACCTTTAGCTCAGATCTGCCTCCAAATCTCCCCATCTGATACGACATAGCTCTCACCTCCTGGATATCATCAAGCATGGCGCGCCGTCATCTCCCAGACACCACAGCTGTGACGCGCCATCCCGTCGGGACGAACGCCTTGACCGCAGAATCTGCTCGACAACCCGTGGAGCAGGCTTGACTTTCCTTGGCCGTCGCTGGTCCCCGGTGTTTATGCGCTTCTTGTGCGCTTCTGGTTGTCGCCGAGGGCTCTTTTGCCGTTTCGGGCTCTTGTTCTGTGGAGGGCTCTGCCTTGCCTCTTGAAGAGGGCTACGACTCTTCTCTCGGAGGGGCTGAGCGGCAGAGGGTGGTCGCCATCTTTCTTGTGGTGACAAGCTCGCAATCGCCTCCCGTGCGCTCAGCCTGAAAAACGGTGGGGGTAGTCTCTCCTTTCCCAGAAGCTCTGGACTCAACAGACGGCCTCGTGGGTGTTGATATGGTCGTTCGGGCGTGTGGCGGCCCTCTGCCTCTAATTCATCTTCAACATCGGATGGAGGAAGGTATGTTGGATCATTGCCGTTCGTGATGGCCAACAATTTTTCCACGCATTCCTTGGTGTGCCCGTTTATTTCTTCGTCACTGTCGCACTCAGATTCGTACTCGGATCCAGATCCGTATTGGGGCGTGTGGCGGCCCTCTGCCTCTAATTCATCTTCAACATCGGATGGAGGATAGTATGCTGGATCATCGCCGCTCATGATGGTCAGCAATTTTGCCTCGCATTCTCGCATGTGGTCGGTAATTCCTTCGTCGCTGTCGTATTCCACTCCATTGGACGGTGACCTGGGCCAGACCTCTGGGCTTCCGACAGATGAATCGGAGACGCCAGGACCCTGCGTCCTGGCTCGCTTCGCACTCGGTTCTGGAGACGGGCTTCTGGTCCTTTTGCGTTTCTCCCGCTGCGAAGGTCGTGATTCCGCTGGCATTGACGTTGAGGTCGGCAAACATGTCGCCTGAGCATCGAGCACATTGGGAGGAGCCTGCTGCAGCTTAGCTTTTTTCCGCGGCAAAGCCGGGCTCTCGTCGTTGCTCTTCCGCTTGGCCATGGTATGGTGTTTTGAAGCGGGTGAAGTTCAAGATATGGCAGCCGCACTACGATGCACGTCAGGTCTGATGGTTTTGATATCCAGTCTTGTTAATCCGTACATACATGTGCCTGGGTAACAAGTCACCTGACTACGCGTTGGACTGCACCGTAGGGCGTGACCGCTTCTTGAAAATGCGCGATTGCAACGCGAGGTTGCAGCCATGATGCGGGGTGCTCGCTGCCTGCACTGCTGCACTGCTTACTATAACCACCTACTGTACCTGGTATCTGCCCGTCTGTTACCGCTGAGCGATGGAAATAAATACCTACTGCAATCTATTTGAGGCTACAATATAACTGGAAACACACTCCTATCCGTCTTCCTGTGTTGTATCGCACGACCATGTCACCCATGTACACCCTCCTTTGGCTGTTTTCGAGCAACCGGTAGCGATTTACTGTGAATCATGGCGTCGACATCAGACATTGGCTACTTCACCTTCTCCGCCGCCAACGAGGCCGCCATCCATCTTCTTGAAAATGTTCGGCGCGAACCATCGCCACCGGCACTAATAAGCGACGAGGACTCAATAGGCTATCGCCTGTCGATTCCCTCTGCACAATCCCACTCCACCCCTACCTGTCGTCATGATCAATCTTGCTTCATTTGGAGAATCGGCACTGGCCCGTCCCCAAACAAGGTCAAAGCCGGAGTAGATTCATTCACCCCCGAGATTCTTCTATGCCCACAAGCTTCATCGCCAACTCCCAGCTCCAAGACGGTCCGTGCATCCATCAACCACATCCATGCCACGATTTACGTCCATGCACGGTCAAGAGTCTTGGTGATGGAATCACGAACTGGCCGGCCAATAATATACGAGCGAGGCGACATGAACAATCAAGATGTAGTGATATATGGGGGGACAAGCAAGAGGGACAGGTCTTGTGTCCTGCGCCGGCGGCAGAACTTTCTTCGATTCGGTCCATATCGCTTTCTTCTCGAGTTTACCGTCAGCCCTCTACAGCAAGACGAGTTCACCAAGAGGATCAACCGGCATTACCCTCGTCACCCTCATGACCCCTGCAGCCTCGTTCCCACAACAGATGAAGAGCCTGAGATTCTTTGGAATGTATGGCTGCATCAGAAAATCCCAAGCTCGCTCTCAGTCTGGTCCGGTGTTGATATTCAGGACGGCCAGCCGGTTGCTGTAAAGGCGCTGCTAAATAAAGCCGAGACACGACAATATACAATCGATCAACTTGACTTGGCCTCTCATTACCAAAGCAGGCCAGCCAAAGGCATCCTTGGTATTCTTGAAACTTGGTGCGAGCACTGGAGATCACCTCCGTGCTTGTTTAGAGCAAGCAGTGACCTCGATCACTGCCAAAAGACGTACTTTTCTATGCCCCTGGCCAAGCAAAACTTTCTCCACGATCGCTGGACACAATTCAAGACCATGGAGAGCGTCGCATATCTGTACCACACTCTGTGTGGACTAGCCGAACTTCATAATCAAGGCTTTACTCATGGAAACATCCGACCCGAGCTGTTGCTGATATGTGAGAAAAGAGCCTTCATATCGCTTTGCATGGACAAACCAGAGAGACCCGATGCAAGTGTCTGCGTCGCACCAGAGTTCTGGCTGAGCAGGGGCCGGGAGTCGGATCTGGATGCAACAAAACTCGACATCTGGGCTCTTGCTGCCTCGTGGCTCCATCGCTGCTTGAAAGCAGCGCCCGACCTGATGGTGACACAGCGCTCACATGCCAGTATTCAAGAGACGCTGAGGCGCCGCAATGAAGCGGGCGATATAAAGGGGCCGCTGTATCGCCTCTTTCGGCGGATGCTGGCGTGGGAGCCGCATAATCGCCCAAGTGCGAGCGAGGCTCTTGAAGATGAGGCATGGAGGCCCATCCTGGCTCCCAGAGTGGTCGAGAGGAAGCGAAAGCGGGCGCAAACAGAGCAAGAGGGTCAATCCAGACGAGTCAGGTTGGCAATACCTAGAGTGGCAGAATAATGGGTGAGTGAAACTTGAATGTGTGTTGCTGTCTAATTGCCTAGCGTGTATTGTGTATTCATTCCATTGGCTTGACGGGCTCTTGTCTCGTTAAATCTGAACAACTGTTTCTACAACGATCATAGTTTGCTTTGTTATCTCCCATGTATATAATTATCCATTTTCGAACCGCTGGTTCTGTTTCAAAGAAAAGAACAAGCCGATCGTACATATCTAACAGTACCAGTAGTACCTACATAGTAACATGCCTAGCAACTTGAGGTCACCTCATGCTGGTATGTAGAACAATTAATGGCGCCCAGCGAGATAGACCGGGATCCAACGGTTGGGTGGATGGCGCCACCGGGCGATCCTTAGCCTGAAAAACAAGCTCGATGCAGTCATTTAGTGGCCTGTTCCAAGCCCCTCCTTGAGCTCCAAGCTCTATGGATCGTTTACTACCCTTTTTTGACCGACCACTCCTTCCATCTCTGGAAGAAGAAAAAAAAAGACGTGACCACACCGATTGGTCCATCTCACCAACCCTGAAATCGTTGCATCTGTCAAAGCCTGATTCATTCTTCTCTTCTTCCTTCCTTCTTCACCATCTCTACTCTTTCGCCTCTTTCGCCTCTTTCGCCTCAGTCCTCATTCCTTCCCACACCTCATCTTACGACATCGGAGCCCAGTTCAACGCTCCATGCAGTAAATTCGCAGACAAAGATCGAACCCTGGCGTCTTTCATGCAGTCATCGTCAGATTAACGACCGCAAGCTCCCAATCCTTATCTTTTTCCCGAGAGTCTCCCGCTCGCCTCTCCGGTCTCTTCCCGACTCGCTCCTTGGCGACAGACTCGACACTACTCAAAAATCACGATTTAGAGTCTTTATTTCAAGGGATGATGTGGCTACCAAGGAAAACTACTCTTCATGGCAATGGCAAAACTCCTACGTAGGGTCGTTGTCTCCCTCTGGGGCGACAGCGGCCCCAAGGATCTCTGGCAGCGGATTCTCAAGGATTTCATAGCCTGTGTGATCGCAACCACAATCGCAATTCTCCCCCAGATCAGGACCTGGTCAACATTTCTCATCCCAATGACAGTTGCCTTTGCACATCCGGGCCAGCGGCTGGGCGTCGTCATTGAGAACGCCATCATGGTCATCTTTGGCTCCGGCCTAGGCTTATCATGGTGCATCCTGGGTTTATACCTTGCGAGCTTGGTCTACGAGGACAACAAACCCGCTGCGTTTACTATTCGGGCTCTGTTCTACCTTGCGTGTATCTTGCTTCACGGCTACATACGGTCTTCTAGTCCCCGACTGTTCTTGTTCGTCTTGTTCGTCATGCTACCCGCAATCACTGTGCTCACGGCGCCAACCAAGGCTACATCACTCTTGTACGAAACCATCTACGCACCAATTCTCATCGGCGTTGGTATTATGCTTTTTGCCAACGTCATCATATTCCCAGAGTTTTCTGGTAGTTACCTGGGAACCTCTACCATCAACGCCCTCTCCGAAATGGCCAATACATTGGAGCGAGCTACTTACTGGTTCGCTTCCCCAGGAGGCGACTCTGTTGAGATTCGAAACCAGGACGACGTGCCGTGCACTGCCGTGGCCAACAACAGTGAGATCGAGCAGCAGCAGCAGCAGCAGCAGGAGCAGATGAATCAGAAGAAACAGTCCATCATCCGTTACTGGCGCAAATTCTTGTCTCCTTTCCCGAATCCCTTTCGATCTGCCAGGGCTGTAGCTACGGCATCCAAGATACCACTACATGCAACCACGCTTGCGTCACTGATGGAAAGCAAACCTACCATTCGATCTAAGCTTACTACATGTAAGACTGCACAGAATGAAGTCAATTTTGAGATTTCTATCTCACCCCTTGCTCCCGGTGACATGAAACTCATTAGCGTTGATCTCATGAGCAATCTGTCCCAGAGCGTTATTACGTTGATCGGTGCTTGTGAAAACAAGTTCATAGTACTTGATGACGAGGGCCGTGAAGAAAACGGTTTGGTAAATGATGATCCAGAGCTATCACCAGAGGACACCCACAGCCCTGAATTAACTACACCGTCGACCGGTGGCCCAGAAGCTTACCTGAAAGTCAACCCCCACACAAGATCTAGATCGAGAGCTCGCGACTCTATGGCTTCCCCCAGCAGAGCCGACTACGCCATGTTGAATAGGCAAATCGAGCTGAGCAGCGCCGAGCTTCTTGAATCAATCGTTATGCGGCTACAAGCTCCTGTACAAGAGTTTCAAGCTTCTACAAACGCAGCGGTGTCTCTTCTTATCTCCTGTTTGGCGTATTGTTATGATGTTCCCACCCTACCTTCTGGCGCACCCACCCCTCGAGGCATTCGTCTAGAAGAGATTGACCTGCGCATCGACCTCTTCGCCGATGCTCTAACATTATTTGACCAGCAATCTACCGAACAACTCAAGCTAGTTGCGATGCAAGAGACAGGCCAATTGCTCGATTTTATGCCTCGCATGGAGACGTTCCTCATCTCATCGTTTCTCCTGGCCTTTCGTCAGGCCTCCGCCCATATCTTGAATATGCTCCGTCATGCGCGCTATTTGGTGGAGCAGAGGCAGCGCCGTCATAACAGGTCACGCATCTGGATCCCTCACTTTTCAAGTCTTCGGAAGTGGCTTCGTACTAATGGAGAACGTGATTCTATGGTTCTTCCAGAAGGCGCGAGACAGGCCGCACGACGCGGAGATTTGGCTGGTAGGCCATCTGTATCTCAATCGAAAGACTCTAGTGGCGCCCTCGAGAGTGATGAACAGGCTCTGGAGGAGCGCATAGCCGATGAGGAAGCGGGCTCTATAACCACTTCTAGATATCTGAGAATCCTGAAAAGCAGAAAAACAAGAAGCAAGAAGAAGGCGAAGAGAGAAAGAGAGAAAGGGCAGGTCGAGAAGCATCATCGATATAAGCATGGGCATGAAAAGAAAGATGCTTCTGGTGACTGGATTTTGAAACTACGAGGGAAAGCAGCAGATGTCTTAGAATGGGCTCAAGATTCTGACGATCTTGCGTATGCTCTCAAAATATCTTTTGCCATCTTTCTTGTCAGTTTTCCGGCCTTTGTACCGTCTTGGAACCAGTGGTATGGAGATGTTCATGGTGTCTGGGCCCCGCTTCAGCTGATATTCATCTTTGAAGTGGCCATTGGCACATCCATGGTCACCTTTATTGTCCGAATGATTGGGCTGGTTCTTGGCTGTACGGCTGGATACGTCTCGTTTGTTATTGCAGGCGGGAGTAGAGCCATTACTGTTGTAGTTCTTGCTTTTACGATCCTACCTTGGGCATATATCCAAGTTGGGACAAAATACGTCAAGGCCGGTTCAGCAGCCATTATATCAATCAATGTGGTTGCGCTAGGTAAGCTTTTCGCTTTTTGCCCCCTTTCTTCTTTCTATCTAACACATGGCAATATCTAACCATTGTGCTTAGCGTCGGAGAATAGCACAGAACCGGCGGTACAGGTCTATTACAAGCGCCTGATTGCTTTTTTGGTTGGAGGTGTTACCGCCGCTCTGGTGGAGATGTCTGTCTCCCCTGTGCGTGCTAGAGATCGCTTGGTTGAATCCCTATCCGCCTGTGTGCGACATATCCAGGGCATGCAAGGTGCCATAGCTGTTGGCGTCGATGAGCCCGAGTTCCTTGATCCTCGCAGTCTAAAGCAGCATCGTCATTTCGATCAATTGCGAGAAAAGGCTCAAGCTTCGCTCGCGGCGGCTGAGACTTTTTTGCCGTTCTGTTCTTCTGAACCAAGACTTAAAGGTAGCTTTAAGAAGCTTGCGCCTATATATACTGAGATTGTATATGTGCTTCACCAAGTAATCGACCGCATGGACAACGTCGTACAGCTCCGAGCAGCATATGGCTCCTCAGTGTTGGAAGTCCTGAATCCGCAGGTCTATACATATCGTCGGAGCATGGTGGCAAGCTGCACCTTGATGCTGTTTTCCGTCAATGAGGCCTTTACAACATGGCTTCCGCTCCCGCAATTCATTCCATCGGCTCGCTTGGCACATTTGCGACTAATACATAGAGTCCGTAAGATTATCACGTCGCAAACATCAACGTCAGCTCCGGTAACGCCCACGGCAAGCCATGCTAGCCATGGCAAAACCGAGGGCGAGTACGATGATCTAACAAGCGAAAGGGTGGCACGTTTGATCACCAAGCATAATTTTCTTTCCTGGAACGCCAGTACTGCCGGTCAGATGGAAATCATCGAGTATTTGGAAGAATTGGTTGAGCTGGTCAAAATGCTGGTGGGAGTGAATGCATTCCGCTCGGGGATGTTGGAAAAGCCAAAGTACCAGCATTATACACAAGTGGCAGACTCCCGGCCAGAATCTGTAACCGTGGCTCCTACAAACGATTCCAGCAGCTCGTTGACAACTCAACGCAGCAGCATTGCCGTCCCGGAGGAGCCAGGAGAGCTTCCAGATTCGGTGTTGAGGCGGGTCGCTTTGGCTGCCGCTCAAACAGATAGAGTCTATCAGAGACCAAGAAGGGGGGCTGCGGGAGTGCGACGGCCTTCTTACAGAAGAGGAAGCGTTTTCGGGGAGAACTTGGAAGAGATACCTGCTAGCTTGCAGAGGGTCAACTCTCGGCTTTGGCAGGGAAACGAAGCCGTGAGAAGGGCGTCATTCGCAATCACAAGTATGCGGCCAGGTTCGGTTGCTGGATCTCGAAATGTATAATGGAAATAGGGGGTGTATTTTGCTGTCCTTGCATTAAAATTTTTTTTTTTGGGTTGTTTTCGAAGCAAGCGTGTTCCTTTGCAGTATTTGGCGTTTCCATTTTCATTTTCTTAATGAAGCAAAAAGACGATATATACCCCGCCTATTTAACGCAGTATGAGACGTTCGGATCTGGACGAGAAAAGATGGACTAATTTGTATATGATGGCATTCACGAGCTTGCATTTCACATGTCATGTGCATTTAATCACTTTGATTAGCATTGCTCATCGCTAATAGGCGATACGACAATAGTAATAGCGACTGCGCTTAACTCTTTCATCTAACGTTAAAAAATACCCAATGTATCCATCATACAATCGAAAAAAGACCAAATTCTCAGATCCATGATCCTCGATTGGGTATATATCTGGAGACCCAACACCCTTCTGTAGACGCGTATTATATCGGATCAGAATAGCTCCAAAACTCCAGGTAGAAACGAGGGAAAAAGTGGAAGAAAAAAGAGAAGAAACCAAAAACGAAACAGCGGAGCGGGGAATAAAAGTCTAAATAATGTTAAGAGTCGTATGTTGTGGCAGCCTTGTAATGTTGAGCATAGCACGCGTCTTCTTGGGCCTTTGCTGGAACCGCCGAAAGGCTTCTTGGACGTGCCTTGGCTCGATGGGCGCGCGGCCCTCGCTGGGGGGGTCAAAGAGGCCCTGCTGGAGTTTGCGCTTCTTGCTGGTGCCACCCTCAACCAGGGCGCCGGTCTGGGCGCGGGCCGTTTCCTCCTGCTCCTTGACCTTGAGGGCAACCTCGGTCAGGGTCTGGACCATTTCAAAGGTGAGGAAGCCGAGGATGTCGACAATATCGTCCGATGGCTTGCTGTCCGTGACAACGCCAAAGCCGGCCCATTCGCGGAAACGCTTGCCCTTGCGCCAGGTGAAGGACGCCTGACGATATTCGGACCACGTCACGTACTCTTCTCGCGTCATGACCTTGGTGCGCTCGTCGGCCTTGCGCAGACGTTGGAGAGTAATGTAATTCATCTCCTCCTCCTCCTCGTCTTCTTCGTCCTCGCGCTCGGGAACTTCGACCGAGTAGAAGGACGCGGGTTCCCAGGGGAGGCCGACTTTGGCCTTTTTGTTCTTCTTGGCCGCCTCGTCGACTGGGCCTCCGGGGACGACACCACCAACGGCATCGTCGCCAGCAGCGATATCTGCGTCTGCGCCTTTGTCGTCCGAGTCCTTTACGTTTTTACGGACGTCTTTCCAGGAGAGAAATGTGCGCAGACGAGATACTTTGGCTTGGTCGTGACGGATTTGGAAGATGAGGTCGTTTGTGCTGATGGATTTTGAGCCACGACGGGCGGCGAGCTCAGTGCAGTTGCGAAGCTAAAGGAGTTTGTTTGGTTAATTTTGGATGAAGAGGATGAGATGCAAAGGGTGGAGCGGTTGGCGTACCAGTTCGATGACTTGCTGCCGGACGATGTCTTCGATAATACCGGTTGTTTCTATTGACGGCTCGGTTGTTTCGCCAGAAACGTACATCATCTGTTGAAAAGAGTCAATCGTTATAGCTCGTTTGGAGAGGCGGGACAGAAATCCAGCTCGCATGCGATATCGGCGTCCATTGACGTAAAAGTATCGATCGCTCATGATTAAGTAGCGGTGAGGCTGAGGGCCTTGGAGCAAATTTCAGGTGAAGAGGGGGTGAAGAGAAAGGTGAGACTCATCAGAGCTAGAAGTGAAGAGTGTGTGCAGAATTTATAAGAGTCTGGTGAGGCTTGCCACTTGGCTGGTTTGGGATTGCAACTGGTAGAACTCGGCTTTGCCAGGTGCTGACCGAGCATGCCCTCATGATGAATGACGGGACTTTTCATTTCGTTTGTGTTCAGGCAATGATGAGTGCTTTTTACTTGGCAGCCGTGGCAAAATGATACTGCCTGGACCGCTCTCGACAGGGAGTGGTGAGAAAAACGTAGCCCCTTTTTCGCATGGCGGCTCATTCGTCAAATACGCTCAGCATATAAGAGAAAAGTCCAGCTCGAACGGGGAAATGAAATAAACCAGGCCTTGTTGAATGATTTGATAATAGGCATCATATCGTAATTGATATCGAACATGATGATGATGAATGCTCAGACTTCTGAGACTCATCGGTCCTCGAAGGTGCTCAGGCAAAAGTGAAAGTAGACAGTATCTCACCTGACTGATTTCCTGGCGATATTTATACGCCTTGGCGGCACTTGATTCCGCCATGCCGTCGGATTTCCAATAAGCAAATAATGCGATTTCCTTCTCTTTCTATCGTAATCAGGCCCAAAGTCTGCAAGTAGGACAAAGCGCGTCCAGCGGCTTCTCCCTCCAGAACAGCGCCAGTCGTGCGCCCTCACCCCCGAAGAAGCGGTAATCGTTCCCGGAGCTCAGTCTTTCAAGCGAAAAAATCGTTTGAGAATAAGACTTTTCATGTGCCCAAGCGGAAGAATCGGGATCGATGGAGTGGGCTCCCGCAGTCGATGAACAGCGACTGTTGCAGGTTTGGCCTCTAGAATCGGAATCCGGCCAAGTCGCTTACAAAGAAGTGGTATTCGCTCCTGTAAATCCAAAAAGGGGCAGAGACGCGTGGGAGAGGATAGTAAAAGAAGTCGATGAATTGGAGCTGATCCCTACACACCCAGTTCGAGCAATGGCAATAGACAAAGAAGATGAGTAAGAGAACGATCAAGGTTGAGATCAAGAGGCTCCAACGCGACAGAATCGGAGTCGGATTCGTTAGCAGCAGAGTATGCTAATTGCACCCCTCCAAATTTGCTACTATGGCTGCTATGCGCACACCCAGCTATCGTGACACGTCACGTGCCGAGTCCATCAATGAATACTTACTATGTTGGAATGGGTGTCGTAGGTAATTTGTGGTCGTTTTACCATGAATGGAACGGAGCAAGTGAAGAGCCTCTTTGCCTCTCTATTATACGGAGGCAGCGGCCACGTAGTGATGCACGCACGAGGAGCACGTGTTAGAACAAATGAACCACGCCATGTCAGTCATGTATTAAAGGCGCTTATAACAGCAAGGGAGCTTGGGCGAAAACAGAGGCGCCTTTATTCCACGGAATGAAAAGATACCCATAGGCCTAGAACGCCCCAAGCTTTGTGACCGACTACTGAAAGAATATCATTAGAACTATTGTTCCGTCCATCCCCGAACGCTGGCCGTGCCAGGATCCTAATCACGGTGATGTCGCTGCTCAGCAAACAGTGACGGCAAACAGGCACTGAATCATACTCTATCATAAGCGGCAAAGTGCTTCATGACTACTGATCGTAGGTAGTGATTACGATGCAAAATTCATCAATTACCAATCACAACAGTGATGGGGAATATTGAACCAGCGTGATATATCGAATGTCTAATTTTTTTCCTCATTCTATGGCCCTCCACCCCTCAAACCCTTCCCCCCTGAAACTCCAAATGATCATGTAGTGTCCCGCAAGCAGCTGCCACTCTTCGACTTCGTCGAGCCCTTCGAGTCTGTCAACTCTCTCTTTCTCCTCGGCGTTTACCCACTTACTCCATATCCGATCAATTGTCAATTGACGGGCAGTCTCAAATCCTATTCTCTTAAGCCGAGCTGCTTCGTCTGCTTCGTTCCTGCGCCGCTCAAGGTTGGGCATGTGAATGTTCCTTGCTGCCAAATTCGACACCATGGTATCGCTAAAAGGATCCCCTAAATGGACTGGCTCGTAGATCACGACTGCTGCGTTGGGTATTCGGGAAGTAAAGTACTCAAGCACTCCATCTGACTCTTCCCGAGAGAGGTAGCAGAGGCAACACTCTGACAAGATGAGAGTGGGAACATCAGTGCGAAGCCCTGGCAGCGTTGTCGTAGAGGCGTGTGATAGCTGCCGAATATCGAGCCCGTGGCAATAGTACTCTCCATTTGGCGGCTTGCTTGACCAATCACTGTCCCTGGTCTCTCGTGTTGAGCGATCGGACAAGATACTTGCCAGTGATGGTACTCCTTCAACTGTCTTGAGCTTCTTGGCGCTGGTTACTGAGAAATCAATCTCATGGTAGACGAGATTCGGGCGCCCCTGTTGCTGCTGGCTAAAGAGTCGAAATGGCCTTGTATCGGTGCCGGCACCTAGAGACACAATTTGTTTCGTGGCCACCGCTTGCCCTTGTGCTCCTCCAGTAGCCTCGGAGAGGAACGAATGGACTAGATGATCTATAGCCGCCGTACGTGTGTATGTTCCTGTAGCGGTGTGAGAGATGAGTTGTAGAATATGTATATACACTATACACATGACGAAAAAAAAAAAGGAGAAGATAAGAAAATGAAAGAGCCATCACAACTAACCTCGGTTGATTATGGGAAATCGTCTCGCTGGCGGACCGCCCAGGCTGGACACGAAATACCGCGCGTACGGATCGCTGAGATAGCCCATGTCGACGGCACTCAGCCTCGACACGGCCGCGTCGGTGTCGGTGCCCTGGATTGTCGCATCATGAGCCTTGCCACGAGATTCCGAGCCGCTGCCGCCTCCGAGTCCTTGTCCCCGGCCACGGCTTCGGCCTCGGCCGCCTCTGCCCCGGAGAGAGAGCAAGTTGGGGATAGAAGGAGCTGACATGTTGGCCCGGTTGAAGGGCTTTCAGTGTCTTGGATTTTGTTGTAACAAGATTACCGGCTTCTATCGGCGATGCGATGCGATGCGATGCCAGGCGATATGAAATGATGGGCCTCCAGCATAAGTAACAGGTACATGTACTTCTTACTCCCTCATCTGATGAAAAGGCGCCTAGATCAGTGAGATGCTCATTGTACATCCACAGGTAATGCGTCGTGCAAAGTACATCTTGAAATAAACTGGTTCACTGTGAATGTCTTGCATCAAATAATGGAAACAATGAACGCTGCCCCACTCCAGCTGTTAAGGAAGCTGCGGGGCGTCTGTGCCTGCCTGCCTGCCGCGTCCACCAACAGCGATGGAAAGAGGAAAGAACCGCGCATAGCATCCTGCCACTGTCCTTCCACCAGGACTTACAAGCCACTTATTTCTGTCTACATTTTTTTACTCCTTGCTTCATTTTTTTTCTTCTTCATTCTTTTTCAATTTCATGCACGCCACGGCAGCTATTTGCGCTCGTCTCTCTAATCATGAGGACTTTTGAGTATTTTCCCAGAATGGCTACGTGACGGAAGACTGCCACTGACTTTTTGCCTCTCTTCCATTTTTAGAGCTCTATCCACTTTAGCAGCGCTTGCTAGACCTCAATAGCCGCTGACTCGCGATGGCCCAGTTGCCGAGACAAAGAATTCTGCGGATACACGGACCAATTCATTGTCAAGGCGATCCAGCAGCAGGCCATTGAGCAAAAGATCGCCAAGCAAGTCGATGAGACAAACAGCGGCACAGCTCCATGTACCTGACACACACACCATCACAATCACAACCTTATATGCACTCATACAAGCTACGCGCCAGCAACGCATTGCGCAGCTGATGTAATTCGTGCACCGAGACAAGAAAAAATAGCCCGAAGGCACTGTTTTGGGCAAAGGCCGGGTTGGCGCCCCTCATAAATCAGGTTGCTGTCCCAAAGTAGAAATGGCCGATACGCCTGGGCAGTGAAAGCTTTGTGGCCTGTGGCTAGTCTTCTGGGCGAAGAGACTAATAACGCGCTCATACACGAGCTTTTTGCCGTGGTGGAGGGCAGTGCTGCCTAGTGTTGGTTTGAACTGGGGTGTCCCTTTGCCAGACAGCCCACCGGGATTCCTCTGGCTTATAAGCCTCTGCTTCTCCCAACAATCAGCTCAAAGGATTGTTTCCTTCTTTAGCCTTGCTCTTCCTCACATTCTCTCCCATCTGTTCCAGTCTGTCGCGGCTGGAAAGTTGAACGAATCCTTTGTCCATATTGCGTGATCATTGCGGCACTTTCAAAGTCGCTGTACCTGCATTGTTGATTGCGTCTCTGAAATTTCGATTTCGCACCTTGTCCGAACATTCCGCCACCATGACTTGGACCGTCCAAGGAGGAGGGGGTGAGCCTGTTGAGTTTCATATGCCGGCTTGGGGCTGGCCTCTGATTCTCGTCGACGCCATTATTCTGATTCCCATTTCGCTTCTGGTGAGTATTATCATTGCTTTCTGCAGCTCTTCTTGTTTCCACTAACATCAGCATATAGGTCCAATATACCCTGCTCTACATCTACCCCGTCTTCACCATCATTGAAGACGAGAACCCTCCTGCCTATGAGCCCCTTCCTAGCAACGGAAATGATGATGAAGAGGCCACCGCTGGCGGCCCCAAGCCTACCGACGGCGCCCCTCGAACTGTGACCTCTTCTCTTCGCTCCATCAACCGCCTCCTCACCTCGTATGGTGGCTTCCGAGCCAACTTCCGTGGATTCATGTGTCTTCTAGCACAGAATGTCCTCAGCGGTGTTGTCGCCTCGTTCTTCTCTTGGTTCCCTGCTAGGCCCTTTGCCGAGCTGCTGGCATCCTTGATCATGGTTCAATACGCCACTGCTTGGGTTCACATTGTCATCTCGCACCCTTCCCCCCGAAAGTTTTGGCGCCGCCTGCCTACCTTCAAGCGCGCCTTCAATGCTACTTGGAAGCCCGTTGTGATTTACTGGGTTGCTACCCAAGTCCACCAATGGGTTCCCATCTTGCTGTCCGGCCTGATTGGCTTTGACGCACCATCCTTCCGCTGGGGCTCTGGCATTCCTGACGACTTCAGCGAACACAAGATCGCTTATATGATCAAGGCGGGAGTGTATTTCCTCCTCAGCACAATGTTGTGGGTCGTTGTCATCATCCCCGCCCGCGTCGTTCTCGTCCGTGTCCAGGCTTCGCTTCTACCCGAGGACGAGGACGCCATCATCCCCTTCGACCGATCTTTCGATGGCAAGGTTGAGCCTGCAGTAGTAGGTGGCCTGGGCTACGCCACCGTTGCCAACGCCTGGTCTACCTTTTCCAAGGCTGCTTGGAGACGCGTGGTCATCCTGTACGCCAAGATTTTCGGCGTCGTTGTGGCCACCATGGTCTTTTCTTGGGCCATTCTCATTCCCACTGGCCTGCTCCTGATGAAGTTTGGCTCAAAGAGCACCTAATTGCTTGCCAGCAAGAAAATTATCCACTGACAATTCATACTGCGATTCCCATGAGACAAATCGCGTCACGCATCACCACCAACTTGATAAACTTTTCATGATTTATGCACACGATATTGATACTTGTTCATAAAATAAAATAAAATCTGTTTTAATATCTCATTTGTTCTTTAACTCTTTATTCTTTCATGCGTGACATCTTTATCATATATATAAAAATATATCCCTCCCCCCCCCCCCCCTCCTACCCCCCAACCGCGTAACTCCAACAATAGAAATCTCTCTAAGCCACCTACTGCCAGCTCTTCTCTTTTCTCTTTTTTTCTTCTTTCTCTTTGGTTCATCGCTATCTCTGTCCTTCTTTGCTCATTCATTCGTCCGTGCCAAGCTCTCTTAATTCATTCAAACGTGTAGCCATCAGATAAAAAAAAAAGTTCGTAAAGAAAAAAAAGGACCCAGAATCCAACAATCGTCATTCATCAATCACTCTCCTGACGCTCACATGCATATACACCCAATAATGCATATAGAATCGTGACAAAGGGGCACGCATATGCTTCTCTTTCGTCAATCCCCTCATTCCGACCTTTCAAAATGCAGATAAGAGAGCAGGGGGAGCAGAAGTAAGAGCAAGACATATCAAAAGATACAAGGCAAAAGAAGAAATCAAAAACGGATAAAGCCTTAACCAGCAAAGTCAGCAGGGCATGTGCGTGAAAGCGAAGGAAGAGCGAGAGTGAAGAGAAAAGAAGTAAGAGTGGACAAAGAGAAGAGAGTGAGTGAGAGGAGGATTGAGGTTTAAGGGGTTCTTCAGAGTTTTGTTGGTATGGTGGTTTCTAAAACGTGTGTAGTTTCGTGAAAAAAAAAAAACCTCGCATCTAGTGTATGTCATAACGCCGTTCCGGAAGAACGCAGGTTTTCTTTTGTAAAAAAAGAAATCTACGACTTGTTGAAGAACCAACTACCGCGCTTGCTGCTGGTTCCGTCGCCGCCTTGGATCGTGGGGGTCGAGGGGGCATCGCCGCCGCCGCCACGCAGAGGCTTGGCGATGCGGCTACCAGCGCCAGAGAAGCTGAAGCCGCCGGCACCACCAAGGCCACGGGTGCTGCCAGCTTTGGCAGCCTCGAGGCGCTCCTTGACGGAAGCAAGTTGGACCTCGAACCTAGATAGGGGGGGAGTCTAGGTCAGCACCAAGCGTTTTATCATGTTTCTTTTACTGGCAATCCATTGATGATGTGCTGCCGTCACAGAGAATGAAAAAAAAAAGGGGGAAGATGACGGGTGATACGTACTTGTGATTGGCAGTTGCCATCTTCTCCTGGCTGTCTTGCAGCAGGCTCTCCAGACTCTGGATGCGCTCGTTTCTCGCAATGAGTTTACGCTCGGCAATGGCAACTTCCTTCTTCAGGGAAGAGTTCTGCTCAACCAGCTGGCGTTGAACCTGGGTAAGCTGCTCCAGATTCCTCTCCAGGAAGGCCATCTTCTTCTGCTGAGCACGGTTGTTGGATGTCCGCAGCACGTTGTTGTACTGCTCGCGGGTCTCGTCGAGTGAAATCTCCAGCTCGACGACACGCTCGCAGCGGTTCTGCAAATCTCGCATGAGACTCTTCTTCATCACGTCAAACTCGGCAATCTGCTGTTGGACAGTCTTGCCATTGGCCATGGCACCGGCGCCGCCAGCCTTGACGCGCTGCTGAAGCTCCTCGATGAGAGTCTTCATCCTTGCGTTCTCAGAAGCCTTTTGGTTCAGATCAGCCTTGAGCTCTTCGACAAGCTGAGTCTCAGACTTCTCGCGTTTAGCGTAGACGGCTTCTAGTCGTGCCTTGACCTCTTCCACATCGGCCTCGCTGAGATTGCGTGTCAATACTTCCTCGTATTCTTGTTGCAAGGCCTCCATCTTAGCCTCAAGCTCCTGCCTCCGTCGGGCATCCAGATCGTTAGATGATCCGCTGTACATGGACAGCTCTGCTTGTCTCACGATGCCCTGAGTCTCGACCATCTTTGCTCGGAGTACCTTGAACTCGTCTGGTGCAATGTGATCGCCGATTGAGCTCTGTTCGAGCAGGGCATCAATGTGCTTGATAGTTTCAGCAATAGATCGCTCATTTTCGCTGAAAACATCGGTTCCGAGTTCGAAGCCAGCCATCATCTTGGCCATCTTCTCGGCCTTCTTCTTTTCCTTCTCATCAAGGGCAGCACCCGTCTCTTTAGCGCTCATCTTGGCGTCCAACAATTGCTGTTTCATATCGTCCAGCTCAGTTGTGAGTTCCGAGTTGGCTTCTTTGAGGGCATCCATGGTGATTTGAGCCTCTTTACCCTCGAAATTCAGCCGCTCCAGCTGCATCTTGAATTCATTCACCTCAGTGGTCAGCTTCTCATTCTCCTTGCCTATCTTGCTATCGTGCTCCTTCAAGAAAGAAAGTTCATCTTTGGTTTCGCGAAGTTGCTTCTCAGCCGTCGCAGCCAGCGATTCTTTCTCTGTAAGTTGGTCTTGCAGCTCATTTTCGCGGCGCAGGAACTCTTCCCGCTCATCCTTTTCCAGCGTTATGCTGGGGGTGCCAGCACGATCAGAAGCGATGGGAGTCTCTGAGCGGCTTTCTGTAAGCCGTGAAGGAGTTGATGGCCGCGGTGCTCTCGCTTCGGCCTTGGCTGCAACAACACCATCAGCAGTGGGCTGAACCCACTTGTCTTTGGGCACAGCCTCTCCAGCTCGCCACATTTGGATTTCGCCTTCGAGATTGGAAATGTAAGATTCGAAATTGGTAACTTGGCCTTGGGCTTTCTTGAGCAGAGCCTTGAGCTCTGCTGGGCTGAGCTCGGCATTGACCTTGGCTTTGTTCTTAATAGACTTTGCTCTGGTACCGAATCTCAGCGTTCCCAGAGTTTCAGAGTCGTTGTAACTGCTGGGAGAGCAGTTGATGATGAGAGTAGTTCGACTGTTACCACCCAGAGATTCCTGGAGGATACGGGTCAATTTAGAGTCTCGGTAGGGGACAAAGTGAGATTTGCCGTCGGTCAGGGCGTTGATGACCATACCCAAGGCACTCAAACTTTTGTTGATCTTCTTGGCTTCCTCAAGCGTCTGGCCGCTGGCACCCGTCTTGCCGACCTTTTCACTACCAGCCAAATCAACCAAGAACAGCTGACCGCTCTTGGCCGAACCAGTCTCGACATTCTTCTGGGTAATGGTAACGACGAAGATGGAGTGGGATCGTGATGACTCTGCGTTCATGTTGGTGGAAGAGACCACTCGGGCATTACCTCCCCTCCTCATCACTTCGTACACTTCTTGGACGCTGGAGACATAGATTTCTAGGAGGCCTTTGACGTAAATTCCGCGGTTCTTCTCCTCGTGGATGGGGAGATTGTCGTTTTGAGGGGCGAGCAGATCACGAATCTTCTCCATGTAAATTTCCATGTAGCTGACGCGGACAGTGTACTCGATGGTGCTGGGGCTGGACATGATGCTGGCAAAGATTTGCTCGACGATGCGCGGAATAACACCCCTCTGCTCGGGATCGTCCATGTTGCCCATCATGGTGTATGATTTACCAGCACCAGTCTGGCCGTAGGCAAAGACGGTACCGTTGTAGCCATTGAGAATATCGTCGACGGTTGGGCGAATGGAGTAGTCGAAGATGTCTTGTTGTCTACTTGACATGTCAAAGATTCGGTCGAAGGTGAAGGAACCCTGCGCCTCTTTGGACTACAGCGAGCATGGCCACGGTTAGCGGAGAGCCTTGTATTGCCATCATCGCAGCTCTGCAGTGAGCTTTGATGTGGTCTTTCAGGTGGAGGAGAGCCATACGTCAAGTGTGCAAGTGTCCTCGGAGCTGAAGGCGACGATTGGCTTGCCGCCCGATTCGATTTCGATCCGGTTCTGGGGCCTGAACCGGGCGACGACCTTGATGGTGTTGTTTGACATGGTGGGCGGTTGGCGTTGGGCAGTTGGATCGATATCAAGCAAGGCCGTCGATCTTGGGAGGAGGAGAAGTCGCTATCTCCTGGCAGAGACTCTCTCTTGTCCTCTCTTGATCCCAAATGGCGGGCTCCGATAGCTGCTCCACCGACGGAGAGAGGGGCCAAAAAGAAGAAACAAAACAAAGGCGGGCAATCGCTAATCGAAGCTGCGAGCGACGACGAGAAACAAGAAAAACCCCGCCGCAGGATCAGTGGTTAAGGGGAGAAAAGGGGGGGAAGAGAACAACAAGTATGAGGAAAAAAGAGAAGAGGTTAGAAGAAAAAAAAATCCAAAAGACACAAGACAAATAGAGGTTCTAGGGATGCAATAGGAACGGCGGTCTGGGAAGGGCTGGCGGGGAGGGGACCCAAAAGTTCAGGGCCAATGTGGTTGTTTCGGTGGTGACAAGCGCGCTAAAAGCAGTCGCCGCGTGGTGGTTGAGGGTGCCGCCAGAAGCCCTGAAGATGAGGAGGGTGAGGGGCTGTTTTGCTGGAGGTCAGCCGCCTGAAGAGGTGCCGCCGGTAGCTGGAGACTAAATACTAGATGCCAACTTGTTCCTGGACCTAGAGGAGCTTCAACATGGCAGAGAGTTTTAAAAACAAGGTCGAGAAACAAATATGTAAATTTACTACCTCGTTAATAGATGGCCATCGTCATCGAGGCAGTACTATCTGCTGGCTATCTGCGTTGGCCATTCTATGTTGCCATGGCGTCAGTGGAAAACCACAAAATCGTCGAGTCTGTCAGGGGCTGGATTGCAGCCAACCGTGTTCTCTTTTGTCTTAGCGTGTCATCATGAAGAAGCTCTCAAAGGTGTCTGAGTGGCTAGTGGCCGGTGGCTGATACAGGCAATGGGTTGGGATTGGCTTTGACCCAACTTGGTGCAGACACATGTGAGTGGCTGAATCGTGTTGACAGGCAGACCTGAAATCCGATGCCCGATGCCCGCTGCCCATCCTATTCTATTCTATTCTACTCATATACCTGGCCAGAGACTACCCCAATAAGAAAGTTGGTTTGCCATGTTCAACGTATAGGCTCTGTTGAAAATGGAGAGATGTGGCTGTTTGCAAGTCACATATACCTTCATCATCACGTTGGATTACTTGACACTTCCTTTTTGTATGCCATAAGAAAATGAGAAAGAAAAACAGTTTGGAAAAAAAAGAAGGTTTTGACAATCCATCGCCGCTGAATAACTACTACCTATGTCTCGTTCGCCAGCCATCCACGCCACTATGACGAGGATACCAAAAACAAACGCTAGATTACTGTAGGAGAAAATAAGACCAAAAAAAAAAAAATATCGAGCAAAAGCGAGCATTCATCCTCCTTCCCTTGGTATAACCAGTTCAATCTCGTGCACCAGAACGCCTGCAATGAATCTTCTCCATCCTTCTATCAAGCTCCAAGCTCTCGTGGACAGCATGTCATATCAAAAAGATCTGACAGACTGAGTCCACAATCCGAATTCAGATGGTGTAGTAGACCTGGGATTCATGTGAAGCCTTGGGTACACATAATTCCTCAGTACTTCCATCTTGATGTAATCCTTTTTAGTCGTCCCAGCTACTTTCAACAGTTGCTCGGACACGCTTGGTATACTCCTTTCTGTTATCTTTGTAAAGATTCGAGGCCTCGACGTTTGCTGGTGAACCAGTGTTGGGATCGTTAAGTAAACTGCGCAGTGATTCGCTTCAAGTTAGCCAAAAATGCATCGAGGCAGTAGACGATGTATAAAGCACTCCATCACACATGTCCGTGTCCATACCTCTGGATGCTAGTCAATACAGCAGCAACGTCGTACGTCGGACTCCATCGGTTTTGCAGAATGTCCAAGCACAGCTCGCCGGTGGCGTATACGTTGGGGTGGAACATTTGGCTGATGAATTTGACCTGGGGAGGCTTATTTGGGTATTGTTCTTCAAACTGCATGACGAGTCGGAATGTGCCATCTTCGAAAGGAGTATCTGCCGGGCCTATAATAACGGCATTCCTGGAGAGAAATGTGGTTAGAAATTGGGTCTTGATAAAACTCTCTGCCGGCAACGGAGAGATGAGGGGCAAACCCACCAGGTCATGACATTATCGGGAATGGGAGAGGCTGACACTCCAGCAGGAGGATCGGTCTGCATGCGCTGAAATAATAGTTAGAGAGTGCAAAAGAGCAAGCAGATCAAGGCCATGATAGACTTACCTTGAAGTCGCGCATCAAGCGACGCCGGGCAGCCGTTGACATGGTTGTGGACGGATCTGGTTTGGGAATCGACAGTAGAGCGGGCTGAGCAGTGTCGAGCTTTGAGATCCGGATGCCTCGGTTCGCTGCGAGCAAGCAAAAAAGAAGAGAAACGATTGAAGACCCAATGTAGGCGAAGAAGAGATTGGAATGTTTTTGTTAAAAATGTCGGCGAGTCTTTTCTGCGCTGGAACAAGTTGATCAAAGGCCGGAACCTGCTCACGAGTCAAGCGTGATGGCAGCACTAGATAATAACGGGCAGCAATTGATGGGCGACTAATCAGAGCCAATGGCGGGTCAGCGATTGGGCAGATTAGTCATGATCATGTGACAGCGCATCAGCATCGCGAATCAAGGCGAAAGACGGCGACGAAAGAATGAGCATGAGCTGTGGCGAACGGGGTGGAGCGACGCCACAGCGTTTCCGACCTGCTGGATCCTGTGGCGGTTGCCGGCTGTTTACTGATGATTCCATTCCGTTGAAAAAGGGACTCCGTTTTTGCTGCCTCGGGCCTGCTGACGTGAAAGTGCCGAGATGATGCAGTATCAGGCAATAAGTACGAGTAGAGTAGCATACAGGCTTATTGAGCATTTGATGCAATTAATGCTTGTTTGGGGCGGAACCCAGTATATTACAGTGAGAGCACATGTCATGGATCAAGGCAAATCCCATGATCCCCGGAATACCAACTATAGTTTATGGTAATTCTAAATTCCCTTCCCCGGCTTTTGCAATCCCATCCCTTCCAAATTCCAATTCTAATCCCCCGCCAAATTCTGCCGTCACACCGGCTTAAACGGAGCTCGGCTGATTTCCCCCGCTCTAAGCCGAGACATACCGCCGCGGCTCAGCAGCTCCTCTCCCTGCGCCTGTGCCGACAAACCGTATAAAACAACTTTCAGCTGCTTTTTCTCTGAATTTGCCGACGTCTTACTCCAAATTCGCATTGGTTCCTCCTCTCTCTTCTTGAATCAAGTTTTTTCCTATATTCCCCGTTTGCGATTCGCGCATTTTCTCTTTCTGCGTCGTCTGAATCTCCTTATCCACCACAATGTCCAGCGCTCAGCTTAGAACCGCCAGGCGCCTCGGCCAAATCGCCAGCCATGTGAGCCCGGCTCGCCAGTTCTCAACCAGCTCTGCGATGAGGAAAGAGATCCAAGATGCCTACATTCTCAGCGCTGCTCGGACGGCGACAGGCAAGGTGCGTTTCTTTACAACCATTCGCTACCCACAAGCCATGCGAATTTATGCTGACATTCCTTCTTTTGCGTCCAGTTCAATGGCTCATTCCAGACCGTGCCTGCTCCTGAGCTTGGCGCTGCCGCCATCAAGGCCGCCTTCGAAAAGTCAAAAGTTCCGATGGAAAAGATCACCGACATCTACATGGGCAACGTGCTTGCGGCCGGCATGGGCCAAGCTCCCACTCGCCAGGCCGCCATCCTCGCCGGATTCCCCACGCACGTTGAGGCCATCACCATCAACAAGGTGTGCGCCTCTGGTCTCAAATCCGTAGTCTTCGCCGCACAGAACATCCAACTGGGTCTAGCCGAAGCCCAGATTGCCGGCGGTATGGAGAACATGTCCCGGGTACCTTTCAACCTTCCCCGTGGCGGCCTCATGCCGGTATACGGCCATGCTGTTGCCGAGGACGGTCTCCTCAAGGATGGTCTGACCGATGTTTACAACAAATTTCCCATGGGCAACTGCGCCGAGAACACAGCAAAGGTCTACAAGATTACACGAGAGGAGCAGGACGCGTTCGCCATCGAGTCATACAAGAGAGCGCAAAAGGCTTGGGCTGACAATGCCTTTGCTGATGAGATCACTCCCGTCACCATCAAGACCAGAAAGGGAGAGGTCGTTATCAAGGAGGACGAGGGTTACAAGGATGTCAAGTTCGACAAAATCCCTACGCTGAAGCCCGCTTTTGTCCGTGACGGAACTGGTACCGTCACCGCCGCCAACTCCTCAACTCTCAACGACGGTGCCAGCGCTCTGGTTCTGGGCAACAAGGCCATCGCACAGCAGTACGGATCCGGCTCTCGCGTCTTGGCCAAGATTGTCGGTTCTGCCGATGCTGCGGTGGATCCCATTGACTTCCCCATCGCCCCTGCCAAGGCCATCCCCATTGCTCTGGAGCGCGCTGGAATCACCAAGGATCAAGTTGCCGTCTGGGAGCTCAACGAGGCTTTCGCCGCCGTTATCCTAGCCAACCAGAAGATCCTCGGCCTTGAGAATGCTCGCGTGAACCCTCTAGGAGGCGGTCTCTCTTTCGGCCACCCCTTGGGCAGCTCCGGATCCCGAATCCTCACAACGCTGCTTCACCAGCTCAAGGTTGGCGAGTATGGCGTTGCCGCTATCTGCAACGGAGGTGGTGGTGCCACTGCTGTGGTTGTGCAGAGAATCGACTCTGTCTAAACAGAGTCTAAACAGAGTAAAAAGATGAAAGTAACAGAAAAAAAGAAACGGAAAACAGACAAAAGAGTACATACCTAGTATATAGCATGGGAAGGGAAGATTGTACAGATTAGGATATTCAGTTAGCAAAGGCCATGTAATTTTAGAACAATGATGATTAAATATTATTATGATATTTGAATTGAGGACTTTCAAAGTGCCAAGATATCATTATACAACATTCAAGTAGCGTTTGCTCAGAAATTTCGTCATGTCGTTGGTGGACCAGTATGAATTCAGCCAATGTTCACAGAATAGCTGCGCTCTCAACGACCGTGCGCCACACTGCACCGCCACATCAGACCGTCTTTAGCACCAGCCTCACTTCAACGCGACTTCTCACTCTCTCATTCAATGCGTATCCTACATATCTAGACCTTTTCTCTATATTTCTCACCCTCACTCTTTTCCCCCATCCCAATTCACCGCCAAATGGTGATTTTTCATTCTTCATCCCCGTAAATCATGTCTCTAGTCTCTCAATTCCTCTCGCAAATACAGCAGCAAGTCCGCAGCCAGCAAGGCGATCTCCTCCGATCATGGCTCCAAGTAGAGCCCGAGTCGCCAAAACAGTATTACGACCTTGCAGCCGAGCTGCGTTCCAAGTTCAGCCGCCAGGATGCCATTGACAAGATTGTCGAGGATCGTCTTCCGCAGCAGGACGACCTGCCAGAGGGACAGGCCACGTCGTGGCCGGGGCTGTTGGCTTTTTTGAAGGACTACCTGACCTACTGGCGAGATGTCGATTTTTCAGACTTGTTGGGGGCACATCAGCTTCTCAGCGGGCTAGTGAAGTGAGTAATGCTCATGTTCATCATGGAATCAGCAGTCAGGGTGTACAAGCAGAATACTCTTAAGCTATATTCTTGACTACTAAGGTACCTACCACTAACAAAACCTCTGCAGCTCTTGTTCCACCGCGTTCGCCCATCCTACCTACGGCTCAATGCTTCTTCAAGTCAGCATGTCCTTGTCTGAAACTCTTGCCCGTCTTACCATGAACCTCAACCGCCGGCCTGATCTCACTCGTCGACTTCGTGTCGTGGACGATGATAACCGCAAATCCGTCGCCGAGTCTTCTGCTGAGATCATTCAAAAAATCTTCACGACTTGTCTGACCGACAGGTCAGGCACTCGCACGAGTAAGCCGGAAGGCAAGCGGGTTGGTATATACATGTTTGCCAATCTTGTCCTCAAACTGTTATTCGCGGTATGCTTCATTTTGCCTTTGTTGTATAAGAGGCGTCGTCTTAATTTTCATTTCCAATAGTGTCGAAGAACTCAACTAGCCAAAATGATATTCGTCAACATTGAGAGCATATCGCCTCCGCTTTCGCTCTATCCCGCCGCTCAGCGCGTCACTTTTCTCTACTACATTGGCCGCTTCAACTTCTCTAATCAGCATTATCACCGCGCTTCTCTATGTCTACAAGAGGCTTACTTGCAGACTCCTCCACAGCTCGTCTCTCATCGTTGCAACATTCTTACCTACCTCATCCCCTCGAATCTCCTTCTCGGGCGATTCCCCTCGGATACACTAACATCACGACCGGAGGCTCAATCACTAAAACCAATATTCCTTCCATTGTGTATGGCCGTTCGCTCTGGTAATTTCATGCAGTTCCAATCTCATCTTGCGGCACACGAATCATGGCTCTTAGGAAAGGGCCTTCTCTTACCACTCTCCAATCGCCTTCGGCCACTCCTATGGAGGAGTCTCACCCGCAAGACGTTTATCCTCACATACGTCCCTCCAACAGACGCTTCATCCCGCAAAGCAGCAACTCTTGAACTCTCCCATCTGCTTACCGTAGCAACTTACGTTCAACACCGCCTCGAAGGCTGGCAGCCCTATAACCCGCGCCTACGCGGTCAGCCATCACAAGCCAATCCTGTCTTCATGAAGGCCCTCAAAAACAACATTCAATCTTCCCACGAGACCACCCTTATGCCTCCCGCAAATGGCTCTCAAAAGCTGCGCCCTAACGAGGGGCTCATATGGGGTAATGCACAGGTCACCTACGAAGACGTTGAAATGACAGTCGCCACGCTCGTCCAACAGGGTTTCATGCATGGTTTCATCGCGCACAGCCAGGGCCGATTTGCCATCATCGGAGCAAAAGCAAAAGGCAGCCCTGTACTGGCTGGTTGGCCAAATGTTTGGCAGACGATAAAAGAGAGGAGATACGATGATGAATTCGACCTGGATCAAGTTCCCGGCTGGGTCACATTATGAGAAGGGGTGCGCATGATGTCTGGCTAATTAGGGCAATACAAAGTTCCTAGATTGGGGGAAAGAGGAGGCAAAGGGCATCCTGGATAAGGCTGGTTCTCTTTAACCGCCGGCGCTAAATCACACCATAGCATGGTGTCGTCTACTGTATAGCTAATTACTCCATAGAAGAAAACGAAATGATACCCCCCTAAAACGGCCAATGTCGCTAACTACGACTGTAATGAGACATACAAGCTACGGTATAAAAGTACACTCTGCCTTGATCATTCAATAGTGCCCTTACATCTTTCTATTACTCATCTACGTCCTTGTTAATTGGCTACTGACTGCATTCGAGAAACGTAAACTTCATTAATGCGCTATTTCTGTCTTTCTTTTCTTCTATTTCCTCTTAGCCTTTGTTTGTTTGGAATCCCTCCAACCTCCCGCTTTCATCTTGTGAAACAAAAAAGAAGAAGAATTGAAGTATGAAGATGAAGAAAAAAAATAGCCAAAAGTAAAAACCACTCCAAGCCCTCCCCCCAAAGACATACATCGTGAAATGTGGACAAAAAAAAAGGATTGTAAGAAAAAATAAAAAATAAAAAAATCGCTCGCTTTCCCCCTCCTTAATTTTTTTTGGTGTCCTTCTTGTCCTCCAAGTTTCGTAAAAGCTGGTTTTAAGTTTCTCTTACTGCTGAAGAGGGGTATCGACGACAAAATGAAGGCAAAGAAAATAAAAAAAACAAGATAATAAAAAGATTCGTAATAAGTATAAAGATATGTGCTCCAGCGTATTCTGGCATCATAACAAGAAGAGAAGAGAAGCAGGGTGAAAGGGAGTATTTTTTTTTTTTTGGCTGGAGGCTTGTGGCAAGATACCAGACACAAAAAAAAAACTTTCCAAATCTCCCCAAAGACAATAAACACTATCGCCCAACGGGGGCATGTCAGTTTATATGTGTAGCATATAAGCATATAATAAACGGTATGTAAGATAAAAAGAAAGTACAGCCATATGCAGATATGGCAGCCCAAGAATATCAATAGTGGTGTGACAGGGAGGAAAGGGGGAATCAAACAGCCCGAGTTTGCGAAGCGAGAGAGAAAAGGTGAAGAAAAAAAATCGCGTCAAGTGATATAAAGTCTAGAGCAGCATATAAACAAAGAAAATATGTAAGCTGCAGCTGACAAAATGTGACATAGACACTGAAGTTAGATGTGAAAATACAAGGTCTGCCGGAGATACAATTAACAAGGCCAACTTTGCCATCAATCTTTTTTTTTCTCTTCATTCTCTTCTTTAAAAGAAGCAAGCAGCGGCAACAAAGGCAACAATTAGGCCTGCAAAAGCAGGGCTGCCCTGTTGGCGGCCAGCTTCGCCCTTCTTAGTAGTCGTGGTAACCGGAGCAGAGTCAGCCTGGGTTTGTGAAGGTCCAACGGGCGCCGCTGTGGTCTGGGGTGATGTGCCGTTCTCGTGGAACATGCCAGGGTTCACCGACGGACGGGCGTGAGCAAAAGTCGCGGTTTTCGAAGCCTTGACAGTGGTGGAGCTAACGTCAGTCTCGCTCGTAGCCGAGGTAGCGGCGGTAGTGGCGGTAGTGGCCTCAGTAGTGTGTGCTGTCGTCGACTCTGCAGCCGTGGTAGAAGCTGCCGCGGTTGTTGATGCCTCTGTTGAGGCTGGCACGGTGGAGGATACCTCGGTGGATGAAGCAGCGGCGGTAGTCGATGTGGCCTTTTCTGCCTGGGCGGCAAAGCCACCGGCCTTGAGCTCGGCAATGGTAGAGCTTGGCTCGGCAGATGAGGAAGACGAAGAGTCAGAGTCGGAGCCGGAGCTGGAGCCGGAGCTACCATCAGTGTTGAAGGTCACAATGTTAGCAGTACCGCCCTTGGGAACAGTGACAACGCAGAATGATGCGCCACCAGCGCCAACGGCAGACTCCTTGCTGTCGACGTTACCAGAGGAGTTGGGTGAGATCGAACAGGGCAGGCCGTTGCAGCCACCGTCAGGGCATTCAATCTTGACGCCGAAGGTGGGCAGGGTGCTCATCAAAGAGGAGCCTGTGTAGATAGGGTTCCAACCAATCTTGACAAAAGTTTCGCCGTTGGAATCAGTGTTGGCTCCGGCAACATAGGGAGACCAGTTGCCAACTGGCTTGCTTGAAGTTCCCCAAACACAATCCGCAACGGTACTTCCGGGAGGGTTGATATAGTAGCTACACATTTCCAGGTTAGTTTGTGCTACATGAGGCAAATGTTTCTTTTTTTATTAAAAAAAAAACTTACTGAGCGGCAGTGGAACACCAGTAGCTGGTATCAGGAACAGCCAAGGTAGCAGAAGATGAGACCTCAGTAGGGATAAGCATCGCCTCGTTACCGGGCAGGACTGTCTGGCACCAAGACATCGATTCACCACAGTTGTTGACAGCTACGACAGAGCCGGTACCCTCAACACAGTAAGGCTTGTTGGGAAAAGGCTTGTGGACAGTGCCACTATTATCGCAGAACAGTCCTCCGTTCTGACAGAGTTAGCATTCAGGAACGATACGATTTTCTCTCCTCTCTCTCTCTCTCAGCGTTGCAGTTACAACTCACCATTGAAGCTGGGTAGGTGTATGAAGAATCGGGATCCCATTGGGCCATAACCATGCCTGGCTTACAAGCAATTGGACAGTAGCTTCCCGGTTTACAAGGCTGATCCGGGCTCATAGCCCAGCCAGCATTCTGCTCATCGGGTGTGACAGCAACGAGGTTAGGATCATCAGTCGGGAACGCGCATTGTCCTCGCTTGACAATGGAGTTAGCATCCTCTATTGTGTGAGAGCGCAAATGGGTGTGCTTCTTGTTAGGAAGCTGGTGAATTCTTCGATGGGATGAGGCGACTGTGCCGGCGGGCAGCGAGAGGAGCACAACCGCCGACGCGAAGGCGGTCTGAACGTCTGTAACCTTCATGGTGCCGCGAGGAAAACGAATGTGTAAGTCGTGATAGCGGGTTTAGCGAGAAAGAGAGACAAGAGGTCGCTCGGCAAGAACGAGTACGACGCTCGGAATTCGAAGTTTCGAACAAACAGAACGAACAGAGGCTGTGTTATGCAAACAATCAACCAAAGAGTGACGGAGACGACGGCAAAAGAAGGCTCGTCTATACAACAGCGACAACACGACACGACACGCGGAAAACGGAGGAAAAAAGAGAGAGACAGCGGTGACGGTCGAGAAGATCTATGAAAAGAGCGACAGAGGGACCCTCGGCGAGCAGGGCAACGGTGGGCAGGCAATAAGGAAGGGATTGACTGTGGTTAGTTCGGCATAGTGTAGTGGTATTACTGCCAGCTCGTGGCTAATAATGCCTCGACCGCCGCTTCGCTGAAGATGGGCTTTTGCTGTGATGCCTGCCCAGCTGTGTGGATCCGTGGGATGAGCGCGTCGAAATTAAACAACACCGGAGCCAATCAGCATGCGGCCTGCTTCTCCCCTGGGAAACCGGCCACCAAGCCAGCCACTAGGACAGGGCCAAAGGAAATTAAGGCCCTCTTAGTATGAGATACGTATCGAACGCTGCATTGACTGCAACGGGAGCACGTCCCATAATCCACGAGCTAGACAGGGTCTGATTTTCCTCCGGGGTCTAATCCAGCTAGCGAGAGCTGCTGTGCTGCGTCGGGGGCAACATCAGCACATGTGTATAGACGAGGCGGCTCGCCGCCGGACAGCCAAACAATGAGCCAACAAGATTGCTGCCATGACTATTATATAGCGATGCCGTGCTAATTGCCAATAGTACGGGACAGTGCTCGATTTGGCGCATAGTAGGCGGTAATAGTAGCAGCGTCGTTTTCCTGAGTGGAATCTGTATATTAGCGCGCCGCTCCAGAAGCAAAGGGAGAGCAACGTCCGCCCCCTGACGACCGGACTTTTCGTCGCGGTATCAATATGTCGCACCACAAGGGTATCCGTTACAGTGATTCTGCTCGGGTATACTGCGCATGCAAACACATCATCGCGGCGATATCATCAGCGGCGGATAAGGAGAAGAGGTTGATCGGCGCCGTCTAAGACAATAGTATTTGGCGGAACGCTCCGAATCGTCGCTGCGTCTTTGCTGATCCCCCCATCCCCAAGCAGCTTCGCCGTTATTAGGACAAACAGGGCTGACCGCGCTACCCCACGAGGTGTCCTTACTAATTGCCTATCAGAGACGAACATATCTCATATGTAGTACTTGGAGATGTTGGTGGCACTCGTCCCAATTTCAGCTTGGGACAACTTCAAACGAGCCAGAATTCTCAGTGTCTTTTGTTGCCGCAGCTATGGCTGCTCAGTCTCCCTGTAAGCCAAGCTAGCTCGGATTCGATTAGACACGGCCTCTCCTTTTTTTCGCATGGGGTTGCAGGGATAGAAATTTTGCTTAGACGATGTGCTCCACTTAACACGAGCATGAACGCCCACAAAGGGTCGTTGTAAGCTGGACGAAGCTGGCCAAGTTCTCCATGTAGAGAGATGGCTAAGCTCAGTCCAGACTTCAGCAGCCTCAACCCCGGAGACGAGGCTTGTGCAAAGGCCAGGAGTGTCTATATGTCGTCTTTGGGGCGAAGTACCTGGTACGGTACGGTGAGTGATGGTATTTGCTCGGGGTACTCCGTAGTAGGATATTAATGCCCCGTGCTCAGTAAGATACTCGGTTAAATCTCTCAAATCTCGCTCGCCATCGTGATATCATCTGCTTCGCCCACAGTGGCCACCGGTAGCTGCCCCGGGCAGGGAACGGTAATGAGTTGTGATTTCTTTCACTCCAATGCATCCCAGTCTCCAATGAAGGCGGCGTCATGCGAAGCTTGCTCGCCCCTCTTGCCCCGTGGGTGATCAATTTGCCCGGCTTCTTGGCGTTGAGATACATATTCCGGCAGCCAGAGCAGGATAGATCTCTTGGATCGAATACCCGATACGGCCAGCCAAGAAGATGGAGGTTTTCAACTCGCGTTACATGCGGTACATTGCACTTAGTATCTTGTCTCCTCATAAAATGTTCAAACTGTTCTCTCTGTTGATTGTGTTTTGCTAGGGAACGCATATGCTCTTCCAACAGGGCATAATTCCGGGTGAGTCATTGATCAATAATGCTGCATCTCAATCCCAGAATAGTCGAGTTGGTTTTCTTTATACTACATTCGAATAATGTACTGCTGTCACGTCCTCGTCAGCTGTATTGATGCGCTCGCCTCATTAGCTTTTCAAATATCCTTTTCGCGATGGCCAACCACTTTTGCGAAAGAATCAAATGACATGGTCATGGAATGACGACCTGCCGTTTTGCTTCGCAAATGCTCATCGTAATTCAGCATCTCCTTGTATGGAACTTTCGCTACAATTTCGACCATCCGAGCAATGGATTTTTTCCCTCGTAATGAGGTGATTGAGTCATAGGGGTCTGGTGGTGCATAAATCTTGGAAATGTCGATGAGCTCTTCGCTAGCTGATTCCGCAGAACGGTCGTTCACTTCGAGAATATGGCCACCTGCACCAGCCGTGATATCGTGCTGGACTGTTCCAGCAGCCGCTTCGGGGCAGGTGATGTGCGTCAACATGATGGGTTCTACAATGCCAATCTGGCTCTTGTCGAACGCATCTCGAAGAGCTGCTTGAACTGCTGTTTTGGCCGCACCGCTAAAGTGGCCACCAGTTGGTGTCTCCAGCGCATCACTTGCTGTGTTAAGCGTAACATGGACATGGCACCCGTGTATCGGCGACGCACGTCGAGGCCCTCTTGCTAAACCGGCTATGGCCCCATTAAAGAGTTGTTGGCGTGCTTCATCCACGTCGACTAGCAAGGCGCTGGAATTGCCCGTCATAGGTATCTCGATTTGAACAATATTGCCGTCCTTTTCAACGCCAGATTCCATCAGAGTCTCCTGCTCTTCTGCCTCTATGGGTTTGAGAACAACGGAGCATGTAACTTTGCCAGATTTGCCGGCTACCGGACGATCAAAAACAGCCTCTCGAGGATCAGTCGTGGTGTTGACACATTCTTTGTAGTCAACCTCTATTGGACCAAATTCGGCGTCTATCTTGTATTTTTGCCTCATATTGTAAAGAGATACATCCAGATGAAGCTTGCCCATACCTTGAATGGTAAATTGGTCGGTTTTGGGGTTTTTACTCCATCGCAGACTTGGATCTTCTCGCGATGCACTCTCCAGTGCTATCTCTAGCTGCTGCGCCGCTACATTTCCGTATGGGTCAACTTGTAGGAAAGCGACGGGCGGCGGAATTTCAGGGGGTCTGATTTGGATATGCCGCAAATGCTCAGGAACAGCTTTGCCCCCTGCCATGGTGATCAGGGTATCTCCAGTGCGTGCTTTCTTGAGCCCCCTCAATGCTCCGATTTGGCCAACAGAGAGTTCTTGGATGTCGTGAGTCTTGGACGCTGATATCTGTAAGATACCCATGGGTCGTTCTTGGGTGAGCACATGAGTGTTGAAACTTGGTGCATTACGGGTCAAGGTTCCGTGATAAACTCTCACAAAACTGATGACACCTTCTTTAGGGTGATCAAACACTTTGAAGACAGAAGCCACTGAGCTGACGTTTGCGTCAATGGTGTTCTTGCCCTTTTGCCTCAGTGCTTCACGCAGCTCACTCTTGGTACTCCCAACACGGACCTCTGCGTCTGGCCGTTCCGCTGGGTTGGGAAGGTAGTCTGCAATGGCGTCCATGAGAGGCTCAACTCCAATGTGACGAAAGCTTGAACCGGCAAACACAGGTATGGCGCGACCATCGCCATTTTGAATACTCCTTCGTATAGCCTGCTTTAGTAGAGAGGCAGGAATGTTTTCGTTTTCAGCCAAAAATTCTTCCATTACGGCTTCGTCAAAATCCGCCAGGCCCTCGATCAGACGCTGCCGTGCTGTTTGAATCTCCGCCAACAAAGGTTGGTTTGACGATGAAAGCATCTCCGTGAGCTCGGCTGGCTCATATCGAGTCTTTTGCCTTTCGCTCTTCCATCGATATCCCACGCCATCGACGACATCTATTACGCCAACAAAGTCCTCTTTCTCCCACCAAGGAATTTGGCAAACCAATGGCCATCCTTTGAGTCGAGACCCAATTTCCAGGACAGACTTTCTAAAAGACGCCCCCTCACGGTCCAGTTTGTTGCAATAAACAATCCGCGGAATCTTGAATTCTTGAGCAGAGGCCCATACTCGCTCTGTGTGAGCTTCTACGCCCTTGACAGAGTCGATGATGCACACAGCCCCGTCAAGGATTGGTAGGCATCGGTCAACTTCAAATCTAAAGTCCTGGTGTCCGGGAGTATCAATCAAATTGATAGTCTTTGGCGTTGTTCCAGGTGAGCAATCCCGTTCGAGTGGCCAGTTGAATGTAATGGCGGCCGACTGGATAGTGATTCCGCGTTCCCGCTCAAGTTCAAGGAAGTCAGTCACAGTGTTGCCCGAATCCACATCTAAGATTATCAGCTTGGTTTCTCTAGATGTGGGGAGTCCCACTGCTCACCTCCTACTCTCTGTGTCACACCACTATAGTAGAGCATGCGTTCAGTTGTTGTTGTTTTGCCCTGCCCGGTTTGTGAGCTACAGAATCAGGACAAGATGAGCGGATGCCAGTCTTACAGCGTCAACGTGGGCAATAATACCAATGTTTCGGGTGTTTTCAAGCATCGAGCTTATATTCCGTGTGCCGCTGACGTTCCTACTCGACAGCCTCTTTGATGAGCGCACTTCCGTCGCTGCCCTGTAAACCGAGCTGCTGAAGAAGCCGCATTGCCTCGCCGAGGCTCGGCGCCAGAGTGCCACGACAATCATGATGATTCAATGCCCGAATTCAGCATCGCAAGGAATGGCAGAAATGATGTTACACCATGAGCATCAGGACTGCACTCTGCACAATTGACAATTGCACGATTTCTGGACAAGATAACAAAACACCAGAGCTGTTTGCGTAGGAATTTAAACTTCCAAAGCTTGGCCTGAATTCCTAGGTGGCAGGTCTTGTTTAGCGGGGCTTACGGAGTAGAGGGGCTGTAGCTGGCAGCAGGTACCTACATGCTTGTAATACACACTGCGTTATGCCGAGGTCGCATATTTATCAGGTAGGATGTGAAGCGATTTAACATACAACACATTCCTTGGCGTCTTAATTATTCCTGGATTCACTCTTATTGATGAAGAAGTAGACCATGTGCGTGGAGAGTCAGGCAGGTACCGGCAATACGTTAGTATCTAGCACAGTACATCTATGTAGCTCCAACATCAACCTCAGTTTAACGAGGAAACGGTACAAGATATACCTTCCAGGTTATCAATGAAGTCTAACAAGTTGCATTGGTGATAAAATAGAGGCTCTTTGCATATCCATGAAACAATTTCTGTCAAGATGCGGAATGGTACAAGAACGAAAGAGCGCATCTGTGCTGAAGCAGTAGAAATATTCGCAGAACCCAGTCACGACAATGTACCTCTTGGGTTTTCGTTGCCTGGGCACTATTGAAATGCTTCGGAACAGGTTAACTATCAAACGACATAATATCAATAGACTTATTGCCGCTACTCTAGCTTTCTCTATGCATTGAAAGTGCAAGTCAAGTCACATAAAAGTTGCAGCTCTAGGTTAGGAGAGGTAGAGCAATGCTCCCAGCTACTAGTAGTTTACCAACATATCAAATCCTTGGCTAGAAGATGCGTGTGCTTCCAGCTTTTGAATCTGAAGCGAACTTTAAGTAAACATCACATGATATACACGTGCTCGTCGTTATCATGTCTCTCTATAAGCGAGTAGACCTTGACGGCTTCCTCTTCAAACGAATCTTACTTGGGAAGCAGTCATCCAGTAGACCATCCCGTATGCTGGTCGACTGTAAACAGAACATCCTGTGAAGACTTCTGACACGTATCTCGGCAGAGGCTCTGACACACCTTGGGTTTAATGCGATACCTGGGACCTCATAATATTAAGCACCGTGCTTGGACAAATATACGGGAGGACAACTCACAAGAACGCATGGTGGTAGAGGATGTCATCGAATAGATCAACGTTTAGAGACTTCGTGAGGCCGCATATTCTGGCTTTTCCGGAGCCAATGCGCCAGTGGCACCAGGAGATCTACGATGCCGCCGATCGTCTTACACGGGAACTCGAGAGATCGGCTGACAGGCCAGTTCTGTCTGGTGACCTTCGTTTGGAGTTTGGTATTATTCAAGACAGGCTAATCGTCGACGACGAGCAAATGGTCGATGACGAGCACTCCGTATGTGCTGAATTTTTCCGCCCCGACACTCCTCACGTAGCTGCACGACGCGCGCAAAGGTGGAATGAGGTCAACAGGTGGCCATCACCGGATCCGAATAGGCCAGAAATCATTGAATCCTGGAATGGTTGCCCGATCCGAACAAACATACCACTATTCGACGATATCGAAGACAATTTTCACAGATGTTTGATGCTGGTGGATTGGGACATTGAAGAAGAGAGAGGAGGAGGGGGAGGAGGAGGAGGAAGAGCAGGAAGAGCACGCTTTAGCCTCGATGGTGGGCCAGAGCATCTCTGCTGGGTCAAGATGGAGTGAGTTAATCCAAAGACACGTTAGACATCATACGAGCGACTCAGCTAAAAGTTTCTAGTCTTCCAGTCAGGACTGACTTGTCTACATACAATGTAGAGCCGATTCCCCGTAGGTTCCACCATCGATTTCTATTATACGACTGGCGAGTGAGCCTGACGTTTTCAATGTCAAAAGAGCGTGGTAGTTCTGAAGTACCCCACTCAATACTGATTAACTCTGATACGATTACGCCTCCTGGTAATCTCTTATTGAGGAGCGAGGTGCTACTGGCTGCAAAGGTACTGAGAGAGAGCATGGTACAAGTGTGTTGGATCGAACATGCTACTTACCCCGCAGGTGCTTCTACCAACATTTGAAGAAGAGAAAACTTACTATTTCTTTTCTAGCTGTTAATGGTATCCTTTAGTAAGACAGGCTGTCGTATACTACAAATTTTCTTCGAGGGTCCAGGACTTCTTCGTGTCAGCGTCTCTCGTTTTTTGAACCTGGTTAGCAGTGATGGTACTGTGCCCCCTGACGCACAGCTTGTAGCCCGATGGCTCATGGCTCGACCTATCGGCATGACTCTTCATCCTTGGTCGGGGATTTATTCCCAACCATCAGCTTTGTCCTTGCAGACGGATGATTTTGACAGAGGAAACTTTTAGACCAACAAACGGTTGTTCAAGGGACGGCTGACTCTCTTCGATTGAGATGAGGTAACTTTTGAACCAACAAGTGACTACCTATTCAGGAGACGGCTGTCTATCATCCATTGAGACGAGAGAGGAGCCTTTTACACCAACAAACGATTATGCGAGGGGCAGCTGTCTATCTTCTATTGAAATGAGATGAGGAGAATAACTTCTATGGATTCATAGTATCCAGCCTTTTATCAGTTGGTTATGAGCTGTTCAGCCGCATTCTTAGTCTGGTGCGATAATAAATACCATCTCTTAGCCCCTTGCCTGTGTACATATCTTAATGGGGAGAACCGCCAACTCGGAATTTCAATAACTGTCTGAATACCAATGTCGGCCATGAGCCAAAGCAAACACGCCTATTATTAATGCTTTATGTGAGACTTTTCTTTATTCATTAAACTAATTGATTAATCTTTTTTTTATTCTTCCTTTCTTGAATAACATGTTCTTGAACCAGCGCCGCTTACCTACTGCATCTTACTGTATGCACAGGTGGTACGTACCTACAAACTTGCACTAAAACGTGCGTCTGTGAACGAAGCGCCCGCTCAACTGAACCTTCAACGCTATAAAGCGCAGCATCTCGCAGCCATGGCGAGAAAACTGCCCTGGAAAAGGACATCCGAGCCTTATCCAAGCGATATAAGAAGAAAACCAGCAGCGCAGAGCCCTGGAGCACGTTTCTCGGCCTCAAGCTCGACGGCGCAAGATGACAGCCGTGATGTTCTGCGAACGCCCGTGTCGCGCAGATACGCTCAGCGCGTCTTGGATTCGGGTAGGAATAAAGATGTAACATACGTGAATTCTTTGAAAACCGAGCGCTAATAAATAAAAAACTGTCTGTAGATCCTATTCGAAGTCCTTCTACTTCGCCTCCTCCAGAGCGGCCTCATGAACAGTACGCGCCCCCAAAATTACCATCTCATTTTATGTTGCGTGTGCTCACCCGTCTTGTGGATGCACGCCCCTTGACTCACGTATCAAAATTGTATCACTGGCTCACGCCTTGCTAGATTCATGAACCCAGGGCCACTCAATGACGACAAATACAGAATGGTCGACGATGAGTTTCTGCACATTGCTCAGCGTTTCACGGCGCATCTCCACCGCGCAGAGTACGATCGCCTCAAGACACTTGCCAAGGCCCAAAACGCGGCCACCATTCGCGAGATTGAGCGGCCAGTTGTGGTGGATGCAGCGCCGACTGCGAGAGCACGGCAGAGAAGCGATTTGGCCCAGCGGGATGTGAAGCAGCGCAAGACACTGGAGGGCGGTGGGGAAGCAAGGGACGAGGAGAGCGTGCCGTCGCTGGCGAGGACAAACCTGCGGGGCTTGATGGAGGCGCCGAGGCGGGAAGGCAGGATCATTATGCCGTCTGCAAGTGCTTCATCGTCATCGAGCAGGACGAGGGCAGCTGCGGGCTATTCGAGCAAGTCCTCGCCGCAGGGAGATCGTCGAAGCCGTGCGAGATCGCCACCAGCATCAATGCCGGCGTCCTCCAAAAGGATCAAATTCGATCAGCCCTCTCATTCACGCCCAGCTACTACATCGAGCAGAAACGTTGTGCCGAATCCTCACATAAGCAATCAAGCTGCGTCTTCATCTGCTACAGAAACAGATCGCAAAGAGATTTCTCACTCAGGTCGCAACAATCATAATCGCCAACCCACTGCCCATAGTCTAGACGATGAGCTTGATGATGATCTTTTTGGGCTGCACGAGCGCAGGATGAACAGAAAAAAGTTAAGAGAACAGTCTAAACGACCAGACGTCAAACGTGAAAACAAAGAAGAATCAAGGACGATTGATTTCGGCTCCATACCATCCTTCTTCTGATATCTATTTCCTTGGCACCAGCTGGAACTTTTATGAAGACAATTACAAGCAGTTTTCCACAGCGACAGTTTTATGGATGTTTTAAGAGTAAAGACAAGGCTCCATTGAGAATCAAACATATTCATTACATCTCATTGCTGTAAGTTTCATTAACCCATATACTAATCCTCCATAGTGAGCTCATCAAAGTCATCTAGCAGCTCGTCCATGTTCACTCCAGGCACGCCATCATCACCGTCCATATCCGTCTCTGCTATACTCATCTCCTCATCGTTGACCTTTCTGGCATTCTTGTATACCGCCAAAGCAGCACGAAGCTCCTCATCTTCCTCAACGTCACGCAAGAACATTTCGTACTCTTTATCCATACGCTCTTGGTCTGCCTTCTTTGGTAAAAGTTCGCCCTCGTCCTTGGCCATACGCTTGAGCTTCCAGTTACGGCGGCGATTCCTCCTACGGTTGGGGTAGTGTTTCTTCACTAGCACAACATCTGGGATGATTGATGAATATGTGTTGGACTCTTCAATCGCATCATACTCGGGGTTGTTGAAGTTGCTGCCGTTCAGCAGGTAACCCATCGCTGAGTCGCCTGGCTGCAGCAAGCCTCCCAGATGTGTTCTCGTAAAGTACGTCTTGTCGTTAACGCCCAAGTCGGATGCACGAGCGACTGTTGCTTCACCGAGCAACCACTTGCCATTTCGAGTAGTGGTCGGCTCAATATCCATGATGATAAACTCGACCAACTCCATTGCGTCGGCCAGAGCTGTGAAAGGAGCCCGCCAGTAGAGAGATGCGTTGACTTCTGCCGTCTGGAGGGTTTGTGGGTCCATGAGATAGACTGCTGTGCCAATCTTGTGGCAGAGGACGAGAGGTGAGATGTTGCCGCTCTGTTTTGCCATCTTTATAGGCAGCGCGACTAGGTCATCTCTACACACGGGGACAATTTCGGCAGAAAAAGTGAATTTGTATGATTTCTTAGAAGTGTGGGTATCCATGGAAATCAACTCTTGGGCGGACTTGACCTTTACGGGAACGACTGAGTTGAGAAAGTCGACAAATTTCTCTGCCTGATTTCGCACGGAAAAGAAGAAATCAATACCGTCTTTGGCTTCCTTGATGTTGAGGGTTTCTTTGTGTGCACCGTGCTTCAGGATCAGCTGCTCCAAGAAGTGGAATGTTCTCTTGTGCAGGACCTTCTGTCGGACTTGTACGCAGGCTCTCCAGTGGTTGGGGGTGAAACTCTTCTGGCAGTCGGGGCACTGCTGATGTGCGACGACGTATACAATCTCGAAGCTCTGCTGCAGCAGCACGCCTGACTGGACAGAGTCTTGGATCGTCAGCTTGACTTTGACTCTTCGGGAGTGAGGCTCAGTCCAGATGAAGCTCGCATCGACTATTCGCACTTTGTTCAGGCCTCTTAGCTTTTTGAGGCAGAGAGCCAGAAGCTCGCGAGATTCGGGCATGGCGATGATCCAACTTGCTGGGGGCAACATCCATCTCTCGCAGTCTCTGCACTGCTGGATGGTGGCTTCTCGCTGGATTCCATTGGTGATGTCGTTGGTTAACTTGATACAGTCGTAGCAAGTTGCGCCGGTGGCCGTCGTTCCATCGATCGGAGTACCGCAGTTGTGACAGAGGATTCTGCAAGGGGGGGATATTGTGAGCCAAGGTCCTTGTTCATTCATTCACGGATACTGCGGGGATGCAGTCGCAGTAAAAGATGGAATGGTATGTTCGAATTTGCGATGGGAGGACAGGCACTTACGTTGCGCTCGTATGCGTCTGCTGCGCAGGCGCAATAGAGATGGCATCATCAAGGTCCATAGACATTTTGCTTGATGAGACCGATGCGATGCAAAGAGTTGTGTATGGTGGTAGAATGATTTACGAGGCTGGATTGAAGCCCGTAGTTGATACAATACACAAGAGTTCAAAAATTATTTTGCCCCGCTGCTTGATAAGCGATTTCATGGCTTATCGCTGCATTTGGCCGCTGAAAATTTATTGCCTATCCCGTCGTAGCGGCTGGGGCTAAGAGCCAGGGAAGAATGTGCGATATTGAGTCATTCGTCGAGTCATCCGCGGGGACATGCACTAAAAGAGGAACAAGATATGACGGCAGTTTCCGACTGCAGCTGCCCCTGCTTGGCTGCTCGCAATGAAAGGATGAAAGAGGGATGCATTATTAAGCGTTCATGTCAAGGTGTTTCCAGACACTTGAAGCCCGTTTTTATGGGAGATCAATTAGTTGCCCGAGCGAGCTGAGATACCCTGCAATGGATGCTTGATACCGTACATCTGTGGCAAGACTGTAGGGGATAGGCAGTGTTTGAGTGTAAGAGAATTTAGAAAAAAATAATATATATTAAAAGTGGCTATTAAAAAATCTTGCTCAATACTCTGTTGACACGCTCCGGTTGCTCATTGGTATCATCGCCCTTGCTGATCTTGGCAATCTGCCTAAACGTCCGTACGCTCTCCTTTGGCTCCTCGCCAGCCACGGCTGCATCGTTCGCTTTCCTCTTCTTCGCCTTGGCCTTGGCCTCCATGCCGCCCAGCATCTTGGCTCTCTCCACGTTGCGAACAAACAGCTTGTTCTCACGCGTCGTCTTGCTAATCTCAGCCCTCATGCGACTTGTTCTCTCGGCGTCCTCGGCGGCGATCTGCTCCGTCAGATTGTGCCATTTGAAGCCGTTAAGGTACAGCAAGTTCCATATATCGTCGTGATAGTAGCTTCCCTTCTTGCCGCCAATTGGTCGTGCATTGAGCAGCTCGCACGCAGCCTTTGCGTCCTTCTTCTTGACAAACTCCACCCAGCCTTCAGTAAATGTCTTCTTCTTGTTGCCGCCTCCCTTGATGCGCCGCGCTCTTGCGACTGGGTCTTCGGGGGCGAGGAATATCCTGTTAATGGTGCCGTATGGGGTGAGAAGGGAGCGTAATTTGTTGGGTTTCATAAAGGGCGGTACGCGCGAAATATATACGACGCCGGATTTTTTGATGGCCTCGTCTGTTGTAATAAGATTTTTCTTCGTCGCGGGCTGAGCAACGCGCGGTAGGTCTTTGGACTTTAATTTTTTTGCCTTTGTCTTTTCCTCTCCCCCCTGATCTGCGTCGTCCTTTGTTGTCGACTCCAAGCCATCCTCATCTCCCTCATCGTCATCCTGGTCCTTATCGCTAGCTCCGTCATCATTGTCGTCGTCCTCGTCGTCGCTGCTGATTTTTCGTCTCTTTGGGCCGCGTCCTCCCTTTGTCACTTCATCTTCAGAATCATATCCGTTGAGCTGCTCGTCTTCGCTATCGGACGCATCCAGAAAATCACTGGCTCTTGTAGCAGCCATCGTGTCTGTATTTTGCAAAGCGTACTGCTTCACTCCGAGATCATAAAGTAAATCGGTTCTCTGCTCAGCAGATGCACAGGCAAAAAAAAGTTCCTTATCGCGATAAGACATGTGCTTATTCCAGTAGCGGGGCGCATTGTATTATCGGATCAGACTGCATCACTGTGCCCAGCAAACTAAGGTGCTCTGTACCTGAAGGCACCCTACCAAGTTGGGCCTTAAGTTAGGGAGTTGGGAATAACTCTCAGGTAGCGATTTACAGCCTCCTTTCGAAAAGCGGCTACTTCAACTTCCAAAACTAAATTATACTGAACTGCCTGAGTCTAGCATTCATAGAGCCACTCTTTGCTAATCTCTATCCCGAAACCCCCCATTTTCCATCTGAGCAAATATTTAAGATAGGCAGGACTAAAGACAATTAGCACTCAGTAACCCACTGTAGGGACCGCTAGGAAGTTCTGCTACTCCATACTTTAGCAGCCTTGGGAGGCAACATTACTGTGGAAAATGGACATGGCGGGGCAACGATATCGGTGACGTGGGGCAAATGACAGACGGGCAGGCGCGGCTCTCCAGACGGTCTGCCATTATCGTTTCCCCTCCCTATCATCTTCATCTCCGATTTCAAATCTCACATAAACCGACTTCATATTCCCTTCTGCTTATTCTGCGCGCAAATCTCATTCTGACCTTGCAAGGAATACGTAGCCATGTCTGTCGAGGTCATCAACACCGTCTCGCCCAATACCAACGAGATTGTCATCACCCGCAATGGCCCGAGTCCCACCGATCTGGAGCTGCTCTCTGAGGTCGCCACGGACTCTTTTCTGAAATTTCGCAAGACGACTCTCAAGGAGCGACAAGACATTGTCAAGAAATTTCTCGACAGCCTGGAAAAGAACCAGGATGAGCTCGCCCTGGAATTGACCACCCAGATGGGTCGGCCCATCGCTTATACGGCCAAGGAAATCACCACGGCCATCAAGAGGGCCGTGTATCTCCTCAAGATTAGCGACGAGGTTTTGCAGGACGTCGAGGGCGAGCCTGAGAAAGGGTTCAAGCGTTTTATTCGGAGAGCACCCGTCGGCCCTGTTCTCATCATCTTCCCTTGGAATGTGAGCAAACCACCCGTCGACTCCCCGGCCACCGTTTGACGCGCCGTTAGTGGCTAACACACCGTGTCTCAAGTACCCATATTTGATTCTAATGAATGTGCTGATTCCAGCAATCCTGGCTGGAAACAGCGTGATTCTCAAGCCCTCCCCGCAAACACCAACCGTTGTAGAACAGGTGGCCAAGCTTTTCGCAGCGGCTGGCCTGCCCGACGGCGTTCTGCAGTATTTCCACTGCGGGTCGCCTAGTATCATGGAAAGCATCATTCGGGATCCTAAGATCGCGCTCATCTGTTTCACGGGATCCGTTGCCGGCGGCCTTGCCGTGCAAAAGGTTGCCGCCGATCGGATTGTCAACGTGGGCCTCGAACTCGGCGGCAAGGATCCCGCGTACATCAGAGATGATGTAGACATTGATTGGGCTGCCGAAGAGATTGTAGATGGCGCCATCTTCAACTCTGGTCAAAGCTGCTGCTCCGTTGAGCGCATCTACGTGGACGAAAAGATTCACGACGACTTCGTCGCAGCCGTTCAGAAGGTGCTCAAGGGATACAAGCTCGGAGATCCATTCGACAAGTCCACTCATGTAGGACCCGTCATCTCCAAACGTTCCAAGGAAACAATAGAGTCGCACATCCAAGATGCCTTGAAAAAGGGAGCCAAGGATGTGACGCCGGAAAACGAAAGTTTCCAAAACCCTCCGCCCAAGGGCAACTTTGTGAGACCAACCCTATTAACGGGCGTGGATCACACTATGACAGTCATGACGGAAGAGACATTTGGGCCTGTGATTCCCGTGATGAAGGTCAAGGGTGACGCAGAGGCCGTCAAGCTGATGAACGACAGCGAGTTTGGCCTCTCGGCTAGTATCTGGACTAAGGATGTCGACCGAGGCTACGCCCTCTTGGAGGAAGTTGACGCTGGCACCGTCTTTGTCAATCGCTGTGATTATCCTAGCCCGGTAAGTCTGCGCGTGCACCCCAACGCCCCCGTATCCTCCTTTCTCCCTTGTCGGCCCCCAGTCGCATCGCACCCGGCCAAGCCAATAAGGGTAGCAAGTAAAATGCTTTGACGAACACAAGCCCCGTTACATATTGCTGACTGTACTACCAACAACACAGGATCTCGCATGGATTGGATGGAAGAACTCAGGTAAGGGCCAGACGCTCGGAAAGTTTGGCTTTGAAGCATTTGTCAAGTCCAAGAGCTTCCACCTCAAGGACTATCCCAAATAAGCGTGTGGACCATACCATGTGATAATAAAGAAGAAGAAAAGAGCATTATTTACCTATGGCTATCACCCAATTGACTTAGTGCCAGCTGTGCCTCCGCACCAGACCCAAAGATTAGCGAGAGATCTCCCCTTGGGCTCCTTTCAGCATCGAACAAGGTGGCTTTGTGATTGGTTCGCCCACGCGGCAAATGGTGCGAACGATATATTGGACAAGGGTTTCCCACGATTATCGTTTGTTTTCGCGTGTAAAGGATCACCGCGCGGCATCTCACATTTTCGTTATGCATGCATGGCGTATCCACCGCAGTCAACCCTAAATGCGCAGGCAGGCAGCCGGCCGCCCCAGTGCAACCGTGATGAGATGAGACAAGAATTCTTCGTCGTCGAGGCAAGGAGACGACGATTCGGCTAGGCCGCCGTCGACCCCATTCATTCTGTAACCCGCTTGTTGTAGAAGAAGAAGAAAAAGGAAGCAAACAGCGCCCGTGCACGCACATCTGCTCCGCCCGCTGCTCCATCCGGCCGCGAACAGTTGGCCTGGTCCTGATCGCCTGGCGGCAGCTCATTACCCTGACGAATGCAACGGCGTACAGCGTCTTACATGAGGGTAGCAGCAGCAACAGGAATGCCATTTTGGTCTTCACGCATTCCACGTTTGTGCGTGCGCGCATACACAGGGCTTGGATTCAGGTGCAGCGTGAGACACAGATGCAGGCGGCCATCGTCTCCTAGTGTATTCGAGTGTCGCACTCTGCGCTGCACGGGTGGACAGTGTCTGATGAGGCCCCGTCGTCAGAGGCCCAGATGCGGCACCGACCGAAGGGCTACCGAATAATGAGAAGCTCAGACACGCAGCGGTGCCGAGATGGGCGAGTTATGTACGTCCATTTGCACGCACATCTTCGTATATATATGCGACGCCCCGGCCAGCAACGCATCCGTCGGCACCATGCTGGTCTTGTGAATCTCAAGCCGGACGCCTCCATTCATTCTGCACCCGCGGAGCTTCACCGGCCCCAGCTAACACGCTCCTTTCCCCCCTGCTAGACTATCCGTCGGCTTTCATTCCTTTTCGTTTCTTCTTCATTGTCTTACCTTGCGATTTGTTTTCGGCAGTGTGCATCTTCGTTTGAGCTCATTTATTCATTCATTTCATCTACTATCATCGCGTTCTCTGCTTTGCTTTAAAAGTGCTAAGCTCATCCACATCTTGTCCCGGCCCTTTGTACGGGTATCTGCACTAATTTACTTTGCACCAACAACACTCATCGCCCAACAAGCATTTAGAAGCCACGCGGGCCCTATTTCTTATTCATCTTTTATCATTGCCATCATTGCTAGTGTAGAGCACACTTCTGCTTTCTGCTTCATCATTTTCATTATTTCTTTTCTCGTCTTGAAACCACAAACTCAGTCGCCCCTCTTTTTATTCCTTGCTCTTTAGCTCTTCTCCCATCTTTATTTCTTTTTCTTCTTCAATTCATCATATAATCGACCGTTTGCCTTCGCTCTGAGCGATGGCCCATATGTTGAGAAAAGCTTCATTAGTCAACTTGGAGACCGAGAGCATAAGTGGCTGCTCCAACACAACGGGCGCTGCTTCCGAGATGCGTCTTAAGAGCAACGTCAGGACGCTATATGAGCGTATGCAAGCAGCTCTGCGTCATGGCAGACGGAAGCAGAAACGTGGGCTAGAAATTGTACGTCCATGTGGTAAATGTTTCATTACTGATTGAGCTCTTGGCTAACCTTGTTCTCCAGTCTAAGCCATTTGGTTTTAAGAAAGAGTCAGTTTTACTGCCCGGCATTTCACAAGAAGAGTGAGGCACCCCAAGACATTTCGAGAGATTGATCAGCCCCCAGTCGATGATACTAATCAATGTTTTCTTGTAGGCTCTGTCTTTTTCGAGAAAAGGCTGCCGCTAGTCAAATCGGTATTGCAGAAGACTCCATGTTTTCCGACCCGTCATCAAGCTTACCTCGGCCAATTCGTTCACGATCTCCTTATCGGAGCCCTTCGCCTTATTCGATTGTCTCTGTTCACCAACAGTCCAACTGACTCAATGACTGGATGCAAATCTCACGAACCAGAACATCAATATTATATCCCTGATTGAGGACATTACGGATACTATTATCACTACCTCTATCATTATTTACTCTTGGACCGAATTGCTTTATTCTTTATTCTTTTTTTTTATTCGTTTCTTTTCTTTTCTTTTCTTTTTTTTTTTTTCCTTTCCTACGTCGATTTCCTTTTCTCTGTGGACAGAAGAATCAGGATTAAAACAGATTGGCTAAGCGTGGATTTTGGGCTTTTGGATTGAACAGGCATCTCATATGGTTATTTTTTTGAGGATAGATTGGACAGGGCAGCGGGTAAGCTGCAAAGAAAAATAGATATCACAACAATGACGGTTTGTTTACAGCAGCAAGGACAAAAATGGGAAACGGGACACAATTTGGTAATGATGGATGGAAAGAGAGGGGGAGCGTGGGAATGGCGAAATGCCACGGTTAATTCGACGCGGATTTAATGCAGGAAAGATGAAAGGGTTAATAATTTTATACAACACAAGTGATCCGAGCTCACTTTTGGCATTTACTCTGAATGAAGTGCTTCTCTTTGTGTTGGTGTCATTTCGCTCAGCTTTGTGTCGCGTGCGGGTACTAACTATCGCGTAACGAAACGTTGGCCATTGGAGCATGACAAAGACCATACGCACTTGTGCTCTTTCTGGAATTCTACCTATATAGAGTAGTAGATGCGAAAAGTTCATATTAACGGATATCATCTTTTTTTTTTCCTTTCCTGTCCAAAGTCTTTCATTTCTATGAGAGATCCGCATTGAATACAAAGAAAAGGGAGCTATGGGTCCCTGGGTCTAAATACTAAGATTATGTGCTTCTTTTTAATGTTCTTCCCTTCCCGTCCTCATCTCGGTAAAAAAAAGAGACGACGAAGCTTTGATGATATGATTTGCAATTGTGAAAAGCTATAGCCACCCGTCATACACGTCCAAGCTCTCCTGGCGCACGCCCTCCATTTCCCCCTTGACCACCAGAAGCTTTACCTTGGCACCTTTTTCGCGACTCCATTCGGCCAGGAACTCTTCCACGCGACGCTGCGTCTCGGCGTCGTCTCGCATCAGCAGGGCCAGCGCGTCGAAGCCGCCCGCGCCGGGCACGACGCCGCCGTAGACGCCGTCGACGGCGGTGAGGGCATCGAGCAGGACGGTCTGGGTGTCGGGCTCGAGGGGCACGTCGGCCAGGTGGCCCATTTTGCGGAAGCGGTCGCGGACCTGGATGAGCTGGGCGGGCAGGCGGTCGACGTCGCCGGCCTTGAGGATGGCGGCGAGCTCTTCGTTTCTGGACTGGAGGTCGTTCCAGAGGGCGGATGACTCGTCTGCCTTTTCGCTGCGCCAGTTGAGGATCCGGCGAACTAGGCCGACGGTTTCACTGCCGCAGTCGACGTCGCACATGCGCAGGACGAGGCCTGGCGGGACGCTAACGCTGTCCTCTTGGACGTCGACATCCCATTTCTGGCCATCGACGACGGCGAGCAGCTTCTCGCTGAAGCCAGGGGCGCCGGGCTCAGGCAGCACGTTGAGGATGCCAGGGGAGAATCTCCTGTACGTGCAGGATCCGTACACGGCAGCGGCGACGTCAAAGCCAGAGCCAATCTTGCCCTGGGCGGCACAGTGGGCGGCCTGGGCAAGGTTGTGCAGCGTCTGCTTGCCCTTCTTGGTGGACAGGTCAAAGACGCTGCTGGGCAGGTAGTGGGTGAGCAAGGAGGCCGTCAGGGAGGTGACGAGCGCGGCTGAGGACCCCAGACCGGTTTTGTTGGCGCCCTTGATGGCGACGGGAAATTTGGCGAAGCGCCCCGACGAGGCCTCGTGGGAGTGGGAGTAGTAGTCGTTGTCGGCAAGGATGACGAGGCGCGAGGACGCGATGTTGTGATGAGGCTGCTTAGATGAGGATGAGACAACGGCGTCGATGTAGGTGAGGGCGTAGCTGAGCGTTGTTTCGACGAAGCGATTGGGCGTTATGGTGGAGCCGCTGGGAACAAGACAAGGGACACGGGTCAAGTGTTAGTTTGCGGACCAAAGCAAGACACGGTGTTTTGAAAAGAAAGAAGCAATGGAGTGGGGAAGAAAATAAGATGGTGCATAGAAACAAACAATGCATTCCAAGGGACCCCAAGAAGGTTATTTCTTCTGCTTCTTTGTTTCTCGTTTGGTGGCAAATGAGAGTAGCAAAGCAAAGCAAACAAGAAGAGGGAAAAATTCCTCTTAATTGATTTATAAGACTCTTTGTCTTATTACTCAAAGGAATAAGGGTATCGTGTCTCTCTGTGTTTCTCCTCTCCCTTGTGTCGCTTCCCCAAGAAGGATTCTTCATTTCCCGAGAAACAAGAAAAAAAACAAAAAGGAAACAAGGGTCCTTTTGAAACAAGACAAAAAAAAGCGTTCCCGTAAACAGTAGCATAAAAATAGCAACAAGCATAAAAAAAATCTTAAAAAGAGAGAGATGATGAGAAGAACAAATAAATAAATACTCACACATGCAGCTGCGTAACTTTAACGCCTCCGCCGTCCTCAGCGTGGTGATAGCCATAACGCCACTGCGCGTCCAGGAACTGCGGGCTGCTCACGACAATCTCATACAGCTCCACGCCGGGCTCGCTGGTGACGTCGCCGGCGATGACGTTGATGCGCGCGCTGAGGCCGAGGACGAGGCCCGTGTAGGCGCGTTCCAGCACCAGGAAGCCGCCGGCGAGGAGGACCTTGCCGGGGGCGGAGACGGCGACGGTGGCGTTTGCTGTGGGCATGGCTGTGATGAGATGGTTAGTAATGGGTGACTGTAGATGGAGAGGATGGGGTTTTATATATATACTTGAGTTTGGGTTGAGTTGCGCCGAGTTGGAGATGGATAGTAGAGAAAGGGGTGGTGGATATCTGGCTGGGGATTAATTACAGACGCACCCAATTGAATGGTATAAAGACGAAAAGCAGGTTATGAAGAGGCCAGAAAAATGAAATCAGGATGCAGTATTAAATATAGCGGTAACAAGAGGGGAAATGCTTCACGGCTTCATCTGCCAAGGTCATGAGAGTCGGTGCTTGAAGGAGGCCAACTGGGAGGTTACCTGGTTGGAGGTCAAAAGTGGAGCGGGGGCCGAAATCACTTACAGTGTGTGGTTGTACATGAACACAGTATTTATACTGTACTCAGTCCTCAGCGGGTATTCATCCATTCTATGCCACTACGACTTAATATCAAATTCAAGTCAAATATTCCATATAAACAATCATCTTCACATCACAGACTATTAATGAGAACAGATGTGATAGGCATTATCTCGCTGCCTTGAGCGCTTCTTCGCTTTATTTGTATATGCTCAAACCATCTTTAATATGATACATGGTAGCAGAAAATCCCGTCCAGTAAGAGAGTAATAAAGGGCCAAAAGTGTTTTCCCCCAATCCTTTATATACCGTCAAACAAAGCTCCCCAGAAATGGAAATCAAAACGCCGAAATGTTCTGCTACTACCGTTTGTGTGTTTTTGGCCTTGGCCGTAGGCCTATGCCGAGTGGAGATTTGTCTATCAGCGGCTCTCAGAGTCCGCGAACCCATTCATTCCTTTCTTTCCAAGATTGCCCTCCCAGACCCATTATGTTAAAAAATCCGAAAAATGCACGCCTTCTCTTTTTTCTGCATTTGCCATAGAAAACTTTCCCATCCATCCGCGGTATAACGCCGGGCCATCTTGTGAAAACGAAACAAAGAAAAGTTGGGTGTGAAAACACCGAAATGTATAAAACATGGAAACACAAAACCCACTCAGAGCCTCTTATATTAAGACGACACCCCAATAGAACCACTGTCCCAACCTGCATGCCAAAGGGGTATCAAAACACGTCGAGGCTTGAAAACCAAAAGAGAAAGTCGAAGGTCAAAGGACGTCGCTTTATCGAAAAAAATATCGGACAAGAAAGATACCAAAAAAAAAAAAACACGCGTTGAATGCAATATGTATGCAAAAAGGTTACTCTGCGGTGCCAGTGTCTTGGCCTCCGCCGAGCAGCTCTAGAACCTTGTTGACGACTGCGCTGGGGTATCCGCGAGTGAGCATCTCTCCAACAACAGCCTTGGCTTCTTCTCTCTGCTCAACGGCAAGGAAAGCTCGGGTCATGGCTTCATACGTGCTGGGCTCGCGCTTCTCACGAATCACAGCGTCGTAGATTGCCTGGGCCTTGTCAATCTTCTTCTCTGCAGCCCAGCCGTGGATCAAGGTATTGGCAATGTAGGGAGTGAGCTCCACCCGCCTGCTTCGCATCTGGGCTAGAATTGGCTCTGTCTCGGCAACCTGGTGGTTAGCAACCATGGCCTCAAACAAGGCTTGGTAAATGCTAGCGTTGACGGGAACCAGGTTATCCATCACGACCGAATCAAACACTCTTCGCGCGCCTTCCATGTCGTGCAGGACGCAACCTCTGGCGTGGATGAGCGAAGCATAGTGCACTGACTCGGGTCGCTGACCAGCCGCGCGCATCGTTTCGAGAACCTGTTCAGCGGCCTCCATGTCGACTGTCTCCAGAGTAGCGTGGGTATCGATGAGTAGCTTATAGGTGTGAGAGGTGGGGGCGATGCCCTTGATCGTCATGCGGTCGTAATAGGCAAGGACTTTGGACTTGTCACGCTTCGTCGTCAGGAAGAATTGCATCATGCTGTTGTACGGTGCCGGTCTAGCTTTGTAGTTGGGCATGGCCTCCATTTCATCAAAGAGCTCCTCTGCAAATTTCTCATCGCTAACACGGCACAGGGCGTTGACAATGGTGCCATAGGTAACAGAGGTGGGCTTGATACCCAGCGCCCTCATCTCAGCAAAGTAGAAAAGGCAGTCATCGATACGACGAGCCTTGCCCAGCTTACCGATGAGTGCGTTGTACAGGAAAGAGCTTGGCTCAACACCCTCAGCCTTGGCGCGAAGGAAGATTCGGACGGCCTCTGAGGCCTCGTCGAATGTCTTGGTGGAGTCCTTCAAGGTGGTAATGTACAATCCAAAAGTGTTGGCAGAAGGTGTGGCGCCCATCTCAAGCAGCTCTTGGTGGTACTGCTCAGCCCGTCCGCGGTTACCCAAGGTCAGGCAAGCACCAAGCATGGCGTCCAGAATAGAAGACCAGCCATAGCGAACGACGGCATTGTGAGCAACCGGGGGAACATCAGTACGAGCCATTGAAAGAATTTCTTGGCAGAGATCCATCTTGTTCTCGCGAGCGGCGGCAGAGATCAGCTTGGCGTACGTGATATATCGGGGGTGTCTTCCGGCGCGGCGAATGTTCTTGAATCGGTTGAGAGCTTCGTGGAGACGAGGACCCTTGCGACCATGGTTGCCCTCCAAGTCATCGGCGATCAAGGACGAACCCTTGAAATCAGTGTTGCTTGCGTATGGATCGTAATTATCTTCATAGCTGGAGACAGTCGGGGTAGATTGGAACGGAGAAATGCTGTGAACCTGGGAGGGAACCGTCGACATCTGAGAGGCCAGCTCGCGGGGATCGACAATGCCACGAGATTCCATATAGCGAGCGATGAAATCAACACCCTCGTCAATCTCTTCGACAAGTTGAGGACGGGCTTCGGATTCGGCAACAGCTCGGATTCTCTGGAACATCATCTCGGACTGTGCCAAACCTTCTGCGACCTGGCCGGAACCAATGAGAGAAACGGCATACATGGTCGTTGGTTCGATAAAGGCAGCTGTGGCACGCATCTCAGGGTTGGAGAGGGCAAACCAATACTTGGAGGCCGAAGCAACATCGCCCAATCGCACGCTCATGGCAAGCAGTGCAATTGAAGGCGTAGCAAGGTCCTGGAGATTGGCGACGTGGATGTTGCCATACGCCTCGACTGCCGTGGTAGCATCGTTGCCATCGGCAGCAACGGTGGCAATGTGGATCATGGCCTGATCCCGAACGCTAGCATCGAGAGACTGAGCCCACTGAAGGGCCTCTTGGAAGACACCTCGCGTGATGAACCCCTTGATGAATCCAAGATCGACCAGGGCATCCTTCATATCTGCGACAGAGGTGCCGTATTCGCTGACAATCTTCTTGAAAAACTTCATTGCGCCTTCAATCTTGTCGGAGATGACATAGGCATTGAGGACAGAGGCGTACACCTGAGCGTCAAGTCGATCGTTGAGAGCCGAGCTCCCAGCATCGTGAGAGATGGCCAAGTTTCGATACTCGTTGTAGCATTCAACAGCGCTGATGAGGTTACCAGACTTGGCGTAAGCAGTGATCATCGTGGGGAAGACGTCGGCAGAGGGGACGAGCTCGCTGAGCTCCATGTGCTCATAAAATCGCAGCATATCTGATACGCGGCCAACCTGGGCGCAAGCCGAAATCAACTGTCGGTACGTCTCGGCTGAGTAAGAGGCCTTGCCAGCATCAAAGGACATGTCGAACAGCTTAACAGCCAGGTCGAGGCGCTCATCCTCGCACAAGATGGCATGCTCTAGCTGGTGGGACGCAAACATGAACTTGCCGGGCTCATCCATTCCACCAAATCGCAAGCGCTTCTCTTCAAGAACAGCCTTCATTTCTGAAACCTCCAAAGAGCGAGAAGAAAGCAGACTGACAAGAATGTTGAATGTCTCGCTGTCGGGAGACACCCTTCGGCGCATCATGTCAGCATAGACATCCAGAGCCTTGGAGACAACCTCGCTTCTCTGGCTTGGGATATGAATCGCGGCCAGCAGCAGAGCATTGTAAGCACTGGCAATGGGCTGCACGCCGGTGGCCAGCATGGCCTCGAACACAGCCGGGATCTCAGCATACCGGGCAGCTTCTGACAGCTTCAGAAGGTGGTCGGCATATGACTGAGACTGGCCCTGAGCAGAAGCTACTTCTTGTGTTGGCTCGACAAGTGCAGGCGTACGGGCACGAGAATGAGGTACAGACACAGAGGTGATTCCCTCAGCAACTGCTTTTTCGACAGCTGCTTGGAAATTTCGAGCCTCGATTTCCTGTTCGAGCGCCGCGTCGATGTGAGCAAGAGCCGCCTCCTCCTCCGCCGACATCAGATGTTGCGGTTCGGCATCATCGTGAGCGGCCTCGGCTGAAGCGCTCTGCTCAGCAGCCGCGGCCTCTACGCCGGCCTCGGCCGCATTCTCACCAGCGAGAACTGATGACGCATTGGGCTTCCACTCAATGCGCTTCTGGAAATCAAACTGCGTCCATTCCTTGTCCTCTTCCTCCCCAATGACCTCCTTCTTTTGGAGAGCCTCAAAGTAGGCATCTAGACCTCCGTGATTCGAGACATGGTGGTGATCGGCTGGTAATCCAGACGATAGTCTTTCGCTGTGGAAGGCAGAATAGAGAGGGAAGTTGGAGACACGACTGGGCCGGTTCGACTGTCGTCTGAAGACGGGGCGGTTCTGGGAGTTGAGGACGTGAGGGTGAGTAGCAGCTACGACGGATTGCGCGTAGCCGTGGGCGGTAACGGATTTGGCGAATGTAGATCCTTGACGGATAAAATTCGAGTACAGTTGTGAGTAGATGGGCATTTAGATAGCGGGAGGAGGAGACTATATGGCGGCAGAGTTGTTAGTCATGCGCCGCACAGGTTCACACAATGAGCCGCCAACAAAGAATTGATTTTGTTTGGGTATCGCTGATCAAGACAAAAAGACAGCGCACTGCACTTCAATGAAACACTGCTCGGCCTTTTTTTTTTCCTTTTTCATTCTTCTGTCTTGCCACCAACGCAAACAGGTTTGCGCGCACGAGCAGGCAAACTTGGGAGGCAAAAATCGGGGCCGAAAACTTACGGGGGAGAAAATGATAGTGGGCGATTGCAGGTTCATTTGACAGCCCCGGAAGCCGTCAAACAAACGCGCTATGTAAATGGTCCTAATGGTAAAAAAGGGGGGGGAGGATGTAAAAGGAAGAAAGAAAAAAAGACCAAAATCAAGAGCCGGAAGGGAAAGGAAAGGGACCGGCCTCGATTATCTTCTTTTTACTTCTGTCGTGTGTGCGCTGACTTGAGATGCGAGAAGAGAGAAAAGAAAAATACGGCCTGGCAAAAAATGGCGGGGGCCGTGCCGGCCTTATTTCCTCGGGCCAGGGCCCTGTCCTGAAGTGCCGTGGCTGAAGGAGGCCGCTAGAAGTGAGCGAGAGCGAGTGTGGAGTGCATTGCACGGGCAGACGGAGCCCCCAAAGCCGCCTGGAAGAACGCTACGGCTACAGGCGCTGGGACGGTGGAAGGCGGCAGACACTAGCAGAAAGGCCCCTCCAGGAATGGGTGGACTCGGGACAAGCTGCGAGGCACGAGCGTGTGGAGGTGACTCAGATATTGAAGAAGCTGCTGCAGAAATTATGGCTCCAAGTGCCGATTTTTATTTGGTTTTGGTTCGATTTTTGTGTTTTCATGCAAGGTCGTTGATAATGCAAGCCGCCCGTCTTCAGTGAAGCCGCTAATGCTGCATGTCTGCGGGCGGTTCTTGATACTACCTGTATTTCCGCGCGCTCACTGACTGGAGGCATGACGGATTTCTGGCTTACATTACATTTCAAGCAAGATAGGTATGAACGGAATTCGTATACAAACACAAAGCCGCTGCGGTTACCAGCGTCTTTTGCTTAACGGCGCCGCCACCAACCCGCACGTGTAATTGTGTGCGTCATAGACCAAGCACTCAAATCCGGGGCTTCTACTCTAACAAAACTCACACACGACACCTCCAGCTTTGACTTGCCCAAAACTGCTTCGTGCCGAGCGCCATGGGCAAACCAAAGACGACAAATCACTTCTGTTACATCCTGTTAAATTTTCTCCTCGCTAACAAGGCGGCAAGGCATGCGCGTCCCACAGAGCTTGTCCCTTCCATCCTCCTTCGTAATTCGCACCGCCTCTGATTGGCCACAGCGAGAACAAACCGGCTGCCGATTCGCTAGCATTTCCTGCCGATACGTGGAGATCGAGGGAGAAGCCGGAACCATCGGTGGTCCCTGCAAAGAAAAAAATAGAACAAAGAACAAAAAAAAAAAAAAAAAAAAAAGTGGCCTCAGGACCTTCGAGTAAGCCGAAGAGGCTGCATTACCTGAAGCGTGTCTCCGTTCAGGGCTCTGCGCATACGATTAGTTGATGCAGCAGTCTATTATCAGATCAATACCATCATCGTCTGCATCTGCAGGCAGCAAAGGCCTTTGCAGCCAACCAGCATCACCGTTTTTAATCCCTCAGCGTCTGCATACTGGTACACCAAGAAGCCTTACGCGGTCTCCAATCTTTTGCCTGGAATGCGTGCGCGTCGCATTATTTTACAAGTCCGTGATAGGCAAAAACGGTGATTACTATCCACCTGGTGCGACGCCTTGGACGGCCATCGCATATCAATCAGTATTAGTCCCCGCATCGCGAGCGCATTGTCGGGCAGTTGGCAAGTCCGACACCAGTCGTGATGGGTGGGTGGCAGCGACAGAGGCGTTTATTCCCGCCTAGCCCGTAATCCAGAGCTGAAGGCGCATGCAATTTACCACATGCAGCGTTGCGCTGTGAGCCGCAGAGAACAGATATGGCTATTCCTGGCAATAGCCGCGGTGCGCAGACGAAACCAACCCATGCCCTCTCTCGTCAGCCATATTTCGGGATGCTCTGTGACTGCGCACAAATTTCTTTTGTAATTTCACTCTGTTCGATTCTGGTCTATAGTCGTGGCCATCGACTTGTGTACCCCGTAGTCGTCTCCATTATGGCAGACTATACGTCCTATAGCTACTAGTACTAGTAGTTTCAGTCCATTTCGACAACTCCAGCCATTTCTAGAAGAAACCTCTGTATACGTCGCCGAACTAGCAATTCACTCGGCGTCAATAAGGTTCAATGTCAGTGGCTTGCCCGCGCCTCAGCGGTGCCACAGGACCCTTTGATGAACCCGCTTCTCTAGCACAAGCCCTCTGACAATCCTTCAGCTGCGCTAAAAGGCCAACATGTGCGTCACAAGGGTGGGCTCGAGGGAGAGAGTCCCGTCGATTCCCGTATCCGGGCAGTGGTTTAAGGAGATAGCCCGAACTAATCAGCGACCCGGAGCTCGGATGCAGCGGACGAGGATTGCCATCTCCGAGCAGCTCGGTGGGCTTTTCTACGCTCCGGCCCCACGGGACGTTTAGCTTTTAAACTACATGCGAGTCGTGACGGAATAGATGCAATCTGTCCTAAATGCTATTGTGTGATGAGAGTAGAATTTGATTAAATGCTATTCGTAGATGCACCTATATTTGAAGACAGTGTATATGAGGTGCCTTATAACTAGGATACAAAAGGGGAGCTATAAGTAAGTCTAGGCGGGACATTGAACCATTCTCATTCAACCATGGTTGAAGGTGAAATAATACTTGGGTGTCAAATCTACTTACTATCCAAATAAACAACCGAAGGAATGTCAATGAGGCTCATCGTAATGCTATTTTCTTGTTTTGAATAAGCTAAACTGTCTGGTTGGTCAATCGTAGGCTATTAAACGTCTTTACATATCGCTCTGTCAATTGAGCTAGTGAAGGCGCCTGGATTCTCGACCAAGGATGGCTGTGGCTGCACTCTAATTCTTCTCTAGATTACACCTGAATGTATCGATCATGGTAAAGATCGCTGATTGCGCATATCATGACGGTTTTTCTCTTTATTATTCATCTTGTAATTAGTAATCATGCGCTCCGTCGTCCTATGCAATGTCACCAATGAGGTTCTGACTTCAATAAGAATCAAGTATCGAGTGGGGTTTCCCAGAGAATCTTGCGCCAATATGGCATGCAAATGGGCCATACCACGCATATGGTCAATCGCGTAGATGTAAAGAGGCTCTTTTCGGAACTTTTGCTCTGAGTGCCAAATCCTTGAAGCGGAACCAAAGTCGTATTCTAGAATATCAACGACCGACAAGCTCGGTTGCTCCAGCGTCACATTCAGCGCGGGCTACCATTCTTCGTAAAGAAAGCCTCAATCCTTGGACCTACAGAAGACTAGGCTAGCAGATTCGTCCGGGTGGGTTTTTCAGTCCTCTTTATCAGGCGACGGCATACTTGAGCACTCGGAGTCTGTATAACGGCGGATGAGGCACATTAGATTACTGCAGCAGTCATTGCAGTCTTCATGGTGTCTGTGATAAGCCAATATTGATTCGAAAGTAAAGCAGCTTCACTTTAATGCTCCTTAAAACACCAGGTTTCTGTTTGAATGGAGATAACATCTATGAGTTCCTTGGCTTATGAGCCAGCCAATCATGTATCATGGATGCAGCTCTCGGCTGGCTCCGCTGGGCTAAAGACCCACACCTTACTACATACGGATACCCACAATACTATCAATACAGAGATAGTCTACGGCGTTATCGATAAGAAACTTTTCTGGATGGAAAAACCCAAGTCTTTGGCTTTTTTTGGGGATCACCGTTCCAGGTCCAAAGTCAAGACCAAAGCCCCACCCCGACAACTGCCAGAGCAAAGACGCTGCTCTCACCATGGCTGACGATGGAATGCTGATGAACTTTGAGCTGGGCGGCGGGCCACTCAAGCCTCAGGTCAAATTCAAGGGCGGATCGTGGAGGGACAGGAAGCGAGCAGAGAAGAGCGCAAAGCTTGGCTCGCGCCCAGCAGCTGCGGCACGAGGCCCCGACGACGAACAGCGATCGGCAAAACGACAAAAAATTGACGGCTTTGGGTCAGGACGACGAGCAGAAGGCGAATTGCCCCATCGCTCGGACCTTGCGCGAAAGAAGACGGCAGATCATGGCGCTCCGGGACAGAAGAAACACGCAGGCCCTCCGGGGAATCGTCAAGTCGTTTCCCGCCTGTTTTCGTTTAATCCGGAGCAGAAGACAACATTTGAAGAGGAGGAGGAATGGAAGGAACCCGAGGCTACAAATGCGCCGCTTCTGACTGTTGCGAATTTCGGATCGTTGACCATCTCTTCTCGACTGGTAGAGACGCTTGCCAAGATGAATCTTGAGCGACCAACAGCGATTCAACAAAAAGTAATTCCGCACATGCTATCGAACAGCTCAGATGCCTTTGTTCAGGCCGAGACAGGTTCAGGAAAGACATTTTCATATCTGCTTCCGATACTACATCGGGTTCTTCTTCTTAGTGGGGGCGGCGAGAAGATTCACAGAGACTCGGGTGTTTTTGCCATCATAGTCTCGCCGACCCGTGAACTTGCAAAACAAACACATACTGTGCTGGAACAACTCATCAGGCCGTTTCCATGGCTCGTTTCTACTGCAATTACCGGAGGAGAGTCCAAAAAGGCGGAAAAGGCCCGACTTCGAAAGGGCATCAACTTCTTGGTTGCAACCCCAGGAAGATTGGCGGATCACATTGATAACACCAAAGCTCTCAATTTGGGCACCGTGAGGTGGCTAATTCTCGACGAAGGCGATAGACTAATGGATTTGGGATTCGAAGAGGATCTGAAGAAAGCTATAGAAGCACTTAAGCAAGTGGAAGTGTCGAATACTCTCGCCTCTGGAATATCTCTCGAGCCGCTTCCAGACCGAAGGGTCACCGTCTTATGTTCCGCGACAATGAAGCTGAATGTACAGAAGCTCGGCGAGATGAGTCTTGCCGATGCTACTTTCTTGGCTGTGGAAAAGGGTGCTGAGACGGTGGATGAGCAGGCTGTCCACAAGGCCCCGGCGCAACTACATCAGTCACACATCATTGTGCCTGCTAAGCTGAGATTGGTTACGCTCATGGCATATCTCAAGTCTGTGTTTTCTCGGCGTGGCCACACGATGAAGGCCATCATTTTCATGTCGTGTGCTCACACTGTCGACTTTCATTACGAACTCTTGAAGATTCCTGAAAACGCCGAAGCATCCCAACCGCCATCAAAAGACGCGCCATCAAAAGACACGCCTTCAAAAGACACGCCTTCAAAAGACACTCCCTCAAAAAGCGCACAGTCAAAAGACTCGGAAAATGTATCAAAGACTGTTGCCAAGGCGGCCTACATCACGTCTGCTGCAAGCCCTGAAGTTGTCTTACACAGGATGCACGGATCTCTATCACAACCAGTTCGAACAGCAACCTTGAAATCGTTCTCAGCGTGTAAATCGCCTTCCCTCCTCATCACCACTGACGTCTCGTCGCGTGGTCTTGATATCCCTTCCGTCGATTTGGTTATTGAATACGACCCTGCTTTCAGTTTTGACGATCACATTCACCGAATTGGACGAACAGCACGAGCTGGGCGCTCTGGTGACGCAACGATATTCCTGCTTCCCGGCGCAGAAGAAGGCTACATCGAGCTTCTCAAAGCCTCTGGATCGCCCTCTTCACTGTCTTATGAATCTGTGCTCCAGAAAGGCCTGATGACCAAGCTAGAATTTCCGGTTGAAACGACTGCTAAGCCTCAAGATGGGCAGACTTATCATGATAAGGCTGAAACTTTACAACTTCACTTAGAACAACGCCTCCTCATTGACAATAAGCGACTTGAAATGGCAAGAAATGGTTTCAAGTCTCACATCAGAGCCTATGCGACACACACCAAAGAGGAGCGTGTTCATTTCGACATCACTCAGCTGCACCTGGGCCATGTTGCAAAGGCTTTTGGATTGCGAGACCCGCCCGGAGGCATTGGCTCTGGTATAGAGAGGAAGGCACAGAAAGGCAAGAAAGAACATTGGAGAACAGTCAAGGGAGGCAAGAAGGACGATGATAGCGATGATGATGGCGCTGCCAAGCTTGACCAGAAGCCAGCGAGAGATGCGCTTATGCGGAAGAGCAAGATGCTCATGTCTGGAGCAAGCGAGTTTAATATTGGATAGACAGCGATAGACGTACTTAATATTTCTCTCATTCGTTTTCGTTGTTATAAGAGTCATAGTTGGAAAACAAGCTTTATCGGAGCATTCGCGGCCCTGTTAGTACTACTATTTGGGCATGAAAAATAGATGAATCATTTAATATGACTGCGAACTGAAACCTTTCATTACTAACACCAGATATTTAGACTTTGGTATGCAGGGTTGATAAGACGAGTGTCCGAGATCGCTGCCAAGCAGGTTCAGCCAGACAGTGATATGAGTGACCACCTACTGATATAAATCCCCTTACAGTCAGAAAATAGCCTATGGAAGAATTGCACCTCCCATATCGAGATGTGGCATCTTGGATATATCCCCAAATAACCTTCTCCTTCAGGCCAAGGGAGCTCCGGGTTAACGTCGGGCGAGATAACAAGCAGCCGGCAGGGCGACTTCCGGCGGGGTGATAAGCAGATAAGGGCGCCAGGGCCATTTTCTTCGTGACTCAACAGCAAGATCAAAAGGCCGCCCCGCATCCTCTCTCGCCCGAGTCTTGCAGAACGAAATTTTTGTCAAGAGAGACTCACGGCCGATCCGCTCAAGATGGCGACCATTTATATCGACGAAGACATCGGCAAGGACGAGGTTTCCCAGACCGGAACCGAGGAATCGCCCTACAAGTCCCTGCAATTTGCCTACCTGCAACGCCCTGCAGAGACCCAATACCTGACTCGCAAGTCCCAGAACACCGAAGATGAGGCAGCAAAGGAGTGGAAGCCTGTCGCAAAGGCGGCCCTGAAGAAGGCTGTCAACTACTTTGACGTCCAGAAGAAGAAGGCCGCCAAGGAACAGGAGCTGGTCATCAGGCGAAAGAAGGAGGAGGAGGAGCGAGCCAAGGCTTTGGAGGCGGCCAAGGCCATTGTCATCACAGAGGATCCCAGCCTCCCCGCTGCTGTGCGAATCGGCCTGGATGAGGTTGGCGACCACATCAAGCTGCGTAAGCTGGACGACACCGAGAGCAAGGGAACCCGCGTGCGCGTCTTTGGTCGCGTGCATCGCGAGCGCAAGCAGAAGGATGTCATGTTCGTCACCTTGAGAGACGGCTATGGCTTCATGCAGGTGGTTATTTCCGGCCAGTTGGCAAAGACTTACGACGCCGTCACCCTTACTCGCGAGACGTCCATGGAGATTCTGGGAGAGATGAGAGAAGTCCCCGCCGGTGCTCGCGCTCCCCTCAACCGAGAACTGCACGCCGACTTCTTCAAGATTCCCAAGCACTGGAAGGCCCCCGGCGGCGATGATGCCATTACCAACAGAGTTCAGGCAGATGCCGAACAGGCCATGCTTCTCGACCAACGACACCTTACGCTTCGAGGAGAAGTCGCTTCTGGCGTCATGATTGTGCGCGATGCTGTCGAGTGGGCCTTCAACCAGGCCTACAAGGAGCTCAGGTTCCGCAAAGTCAGCCCCCCCGCCCTTGTCCAGACTCAGGTCGAAGGTGGTGCGACTCTTTTCAAGTTTGACTACTATGGCGAAGACGCCTTCCTCACCCAGTCTTCTCAGCTCTACCTGGAGACTTGCTTGCCTTCAATGGGCCATGTTTACTGCATCGAGAAGTCTTTCCGAGCCGAAAAGTCTCTGACCCGAAGACACTTGTCAGAATTCACACACGTCGAAGCCGAGCTTGACTTTATTACGTTTGACGACCTACTATCACACATTGAGCACATCATGTGCCGTGTGCTCGAAATCGTCATGGCAGATCCTGTCGTTGCTGACAAGATCAAGACTATGAACCCCGAGTTCAAGCTGCCCGAAAGGCCATTTATGAGAATGAAGTACTCCGAGGCCATCGACTGGCTTGTCAAGCACGACATCCCCAACGAAGAGGGTCAACCCCATGCCTTTGGTGACGATATCGCCGAGGCTGCGGAGCGCCGCATGACCGACATCATCAACAGGCCCATCTTCCTCACCCACTTCCCTGCTGAGATCAAGTCTTTCTACATGTCAAAAGCCCCCGAAGATTTGCGTGTTACCGAGAGTGTTGACTGTCTGATGCCCGGTGTTGGTGAGATTGTTGGCGGTTCCATGAGAATGGACGACTACGAGGAGTTGATGGCCGCCTACAAGCGTGAGGGCATCGACCCCGAGGCCTACTACTGGTACACTGACCAGAGAAAGTAAGTTGCAGCACTCTTCAGTTTTCTTAGAGATTTGCTAGTACAATTGCTAACGATTAATCTTTTTTTTCTCCTGGAATAGGTATGGCAGCTCTCCCCACGGAGGCTACGGTTTGGGACTGGAGCGTTTCCTTGCTTGGCTTTGCAAGCAGCACACTGTTAGAGATTGCTGCTTGTATCCTCGTTACATGCACCGCTGCAAGCCTTAGAGATTTAAATTTAGAGTCTAGAGTGTTTTGCTAGTTTACGAGAATACATGAAAGAAAGAAGGCTGCTTTTAGGCCAACAACTATCAGACTACCTACTTTTCTTTGCGGGACTGAACTTAAAAAAAAAAAGAGACGAAAGAAAATAGCATGTGAACAAGGGTCAAAATGTGTAGATAGATTATACAGGTAGATGCCAGTGGGAGCCGTTAAAATGTTTAGAGCCCCAGCACTTCTTACCCCATAAAGAAAGATCATCAAGTGGCCCCCTTGACGATCGTGACATGCATGAAGCTCACATGCAGGACATCGGAGAGTGAGCATCGAAAACTGAGCTATCACATGCCAAAAGATCAAATAGATTGATAATACATGGTCTATAAAGTAAAAGATTCGGTCAAGTGACCGGCGAGGTCTGTGGAAAAGCTCTGGAAATAGATCGGTTGGGGTAAAGCTTAAAGCCTGGATAGAGGCGCCAGCCTAGCTGAGATGCTAGAAGCAGAGATGTTTGCCACAATCACATGCCAGGCATTTTTTAAAAGAATTCGATATTATCTGTGGAAAAATCAATACAGTTTAATATTATATATTGGTTTTAGATATCTAATTGCTGTTTAGAGGTGCTGAGTTGTTTGCACGATTTGCAGGCTGACACTTGTGAAGATGATGATGATGCCTGCGTTGATGTATATTCATAAAACGGTCATGAATGAGTAGCAATTATTATTCATACAGAACATGTTGTAATAACAATCAGCAAATTCTAACTATACACCCTCTTTAACAACATACAAGCTCAAAGCCTAGGTATAATTTCCAATGGCAAACACCCCAACAAAACCAAGGCTTCTAGCTTCCTCGCCTCCCGCATCGAAACAACATTAAACCAACCAGCAGTTATTCAGTTATTAAACAGCTCCAGAAATCTTGTTCACAAGAGACGCTAAAAACGTCATGGCAGAGTAGATCGTGCATAAGAAAAGCTCATATCGTAGAGGTAGGATTGGCAGCATTCCTCCAAACGTGGGCTTGACGTCATGCACCACGATGTCGATCGGCGGTCTTACGCTCTCATATAAGTCCACACGCGTTCCAGGAGTTATTCCGTGCTATATTGTTTCCCGTCTATAAATATCTGTGTTACCCTCTTCTTTGTCTGCTGAGACTTTTTTGTCTTAAAGTACAAACTACAAAACTACAAAGTTGACATTTCATATCTCGCTACCTTTTAAGCAACCACTTCATACCACATACAAACAACACCAACCAAACAAAACATAACCAAATAACAATGGACAAGGACGACAAGACCAACACTGGCAACGCCGGCAACGTGACTGACCAGGCCACCGGCACCGCGCAATTCGCCACCGGCATCCTTGGCAACACGGTCGGCGGCCTGACCCGCACTGTTGGCGGAGTCGCCGGTGCAGCAACCCGCGGCTTGGGCGGCACTGTGAGCAGCGTCACTGGCGATGCTGGCCGGCCTGTGGGAGATGCGGTGGGCAATATCGGCACGGGCCTGGAGGGGGGCTTGGAGAGTGTTTCCAAGGGTGTGGAGGACGCTGGAAATTGGAAGAAGCAGTAATCAAAAGCAAAACGGGTTGGCGAGGTGGATGATGTTGAATGTCACTGGGTGATACTGTACGATACTGTCTATTAATGAATCTTTAATGAGTTTGAATCAAAGTGTTTTATTAATAATGAATCTGTAATACATTTGAATCAAATCTGTCTTTATGAAATGCATTGTAGTATATTATGATAATCACTGTAATACCAAATACTAGGACCAAGCTGGAACCAAACCTCTAGAGCCGCACCGTAACACATATAAGTCGCCCATAATCTTCGCCGTAAATTGCATCCCATGATGGCCCTTGATACCTCCTCCTTTGACCCCATTTCTTTTACAGCGCCCAAAAGAATAACACTGCTCTCTCAGATTCTTTGTGTCATGTTACATCTCACGCGGCTGAGAGGTTTTTATCCGCCATTCTCTGGACGCTGCTGTGCTATTCCTGGCTGGTCATGTCTGACAGGCGCAATGCCCGTTTAGACTTGCTCGGCGCCCCAGCCAGAATCGGCCTCTCGCATGCTGCTCGGGGGTTCGATCAGGGGGACGAACTCGAGGCCAACGTAGCCAATTCCGGCGATACCGACGATGCCACCAGCAATGTTGGCAATGACCTTGTCGCCGAGGAGAAGGCCTCCGATGAGGATGTAGACTGTCAAATTCGTAAGTAGACGGCCCGGTAGTATAGGAGAAAGGAGGGCCAGATATTGCAACGTACAAACACCACGGCCAATGAAGGAGAAGAGGAAGTTGGCGTATCGCGAAACTTGGGGAGGGACTTGGAATTCTGCAGTCGTGATCAGTATAACCTAGAGCCTTAGCGGAGAGGAATTAGAAAGGAAGAGTGCATACCCAGCAGAGCAATAGCAAGTCCAAAAACAATCATGTAGATACCGATAATGATATTCTGGCTACAGTCGAAGGATAAATAGTCAGCATCCGCCGACTTCATATCCAACCCCGCAATGCGAAGCTCCAGCAAGCACTACAGCAGCCGGAATAACAGTGCTCGGCCGCATTCGACGCGCGCGAGATGGCGTTTTTGTATTTATTTCGAGGGCAAACCTACAGTCCAATAGGGAAGATGTGGAAAACACCACCAAGAACCGTGACGCCCGCCACAACCAAGTTAACAATGCGGCTGCAGCGCGCCGAGGCGCAAAGGTCAGCGAACCCAGTTCAATTGCACCGCGCGGATCATGCGGATCGACCAAAGACATACAAGATATCGGACAGTTCCATGGCTGCGAATAGACGATGGTAACGTTAGGATTCGAGCTCGAGAGGGCGGAAGGGCAGGAAGATGTTTCGAGGGAGACGGAAGCGTCGCAATGCGTGGATTTTGAGTGTCGCGGGGGGGCAGATCGTCGCACGTGGAAGCTAAGCAGTAGCTCTATCCAGGGGGCCAAGAATAGGGAGGCGAGGAGGAGACGAAGTAGGAAGACGAAAAGAAGAAATAGCTACGAGCTGGTCATGGGAAGCAGAGAATTGAAAAAGAGCTGGTTGTATGAGGCTTGCGCAATCGCTTTCAAACAAACAGCTTCTCGGAGTGGCTGGCTGTGACCCTTGAATCGCACAAGGCTGTGGCTGTGAGGTGACGTATGTTTACTGGGGCGGGCACGGCGGCAAAAAGTCGCCAAAATGTCGGAGCAGCCGGAGCAAGGGTACCGAGGTACATTCGTCAGGCACCTTTACATGGAAGGTGCAGCAGCATCTTCTGTAGTAAGCTGGGCATACAAGAAAGTGCCAAACTCCATCTCCATCTTGCACAGCGTATTTCGTTTGCAAAAGTGAAAAATGGCGCTGTCAGCAATGCATCACTTCACCATATCATGGTATGCACCGAATAACTCATCATCTCTAATCAATAACTGTATGGCTGATCAGGAAATTAGGGACGGAAGCAGGGCGCTCCAGGTTACTGATGGGCAGCAAGTGCTGTTTGGCTAAGAGAACAAGACTAGCTACTCTGCTACGAGATCATGATCGCTCATCGTGGAAAGAATGTTACCCACGAGGAGAGGGCAAAGAGCCTCTGCCAACACGAGAGACCAAGTAGGCCACCTCCGAGGCCATAGCTATCCATCCATATGCCCGCGACCAAAAAGGGTCGCTAAGAGCTAGAGGAAGCTGGTATTTCAATCCCGCACTCTAACGCAAGGTGACGGGGCACAATATGCGAGAGTCTCTGAGCCAGCAGATGATCTATCATACTGCATTACTACTTACAAAGCACAACTATTGCGGGACAGCCATGGTTGCTCCCCAAGAGCATAAACATCGAATCCATGATTGTGCCAATTCACTCATAGAATCAAGATGGATGGAAATGGTACGACGCCGATAGCCGAATGCTAACGAGTCTAGGCTCTAGACACGTCCTGCGACGTAGGCCGATCCCATCATTCTGGGAAGTGTATGAGTAAGTCGGGTCAACCATCACAGTGGCCCACTTCACTCTACGCACGGCTACTGCCATCCCCGGAGAGATTCAACACGCCATTCGTTATAATTTTAGAACCAAGGGATCGAGAACTTTCAGAGCGAAAGACGTAGCCTGGCAGAATTGGTCAACTGAGACGAGCTAACGCGAGGCCTGGTTGAAAATGGCCACTACGCGCACTAGTCCTCTGCAAAAGCAAGCAGGGCGGCAGAGAACAGGGGTTACGACCTCTAGCAACAGCGATAGTCGCTTTAAGTGAGGCGACGGAAGGCATCCGAGCATACTATCGGAGTTTCACGCAAGCGTCAAGTATATGGACCAGTACGAGCACTGGATGCCTTTCAGCTGCCATTGTGCCCGGAGAGCTCTTTGGGGTAATAGTACTACTATTTGATTCTCTTTGCTTGACGGCCGAGCACCTTGTCCATGTTCAGTTCTGTTGACCGAAGCCCTCTGTATGGCCTACTTCGCCTCCTCTTACACGCCTTGCATGAAACTGCATGCATGGAGTGGAGATGAGCCCGGGGAAAGGGCCGTGGATGGTAATTTCAGCCCGCTGCAAACGGCACGGCGGTGAGTCGGGAGCTCTGGCAGTCGCTATACAGAATATCATTCGACGCTCGCTGACAGCTCCTCCTTTCGGATACCGCTGAGCTGCTCGTGGTATGCACATTGCTTCGACCAGACAATGGACAGCATTACACGTGTCCCGGAGAGACCACAAATTTCTCCGACGAAGCCAGTCAAGGCGTCGTGATTTGCCAATGCTACCCCTCAAAAGTGCATTATGCAGTCCCAATGTTTCTCAGCCACACATCATACGAAGTACATGTACTCCAAGAAGACGCAAGACGCAAGACGAGAGAAAAAGGCCAAAGGGAGCTACCAAAAGGCCGACAGGGATGATAACCGAAGTCGAATTTATCACACACCCTCCCACTCGCCTACGCTCCTAATCACATCGCTACGGCATGCTTGGCAGTGGTGTGCCAGGCGTGGCCAAAGTTTTTTTTTTTTCGCGCGAGGAAGCCCTCCCTGCGTTTTGTTTTAGTGAAGTCAGCTTGGCATCGCCTGTTGATGGCTTCACGCTCGCCGTTCCCATTTGGTACTAGGCGTTTTTTTGTTGTTTTTGTGAGCGAGCCTTGTGGTGGAGGCACTTAATGCCGGGAATCTCGAAAGAAATAGGCCGATCGTCTTGTGGGCAGATCAGTGGGTACTCTGTGATAATGCTGGGGGGGAGCTAGCCGTGAAGTTAATATTCACTGCAAGAAAAGCTTCCAAGAGATTGGGACGTTAGGGCCAGTCGATACAGCTCTCACCGGCTGATATTCGAGTCCAAGCAAGCGCACGGTCGACTATATACGGTCATTGGTAGGAACTGCATGCGGCCTGAGCCTGCGCATCAACGAATACCTACCTGCAATATATGACCCGATAGGCACTGTCATGGAGCCTGGCAACTGGGAGGGGCAGGCATATTCCCAAGCGGGAATAAACGCTAACACACGTTCCACCAAGGCTGCATAAATCTCCTATGGGATTACCACTACTTTGTCAATGTGCCAAGGCTTGTCGTTTCTCCTCAGCCAGCCGCAAGTATATGATTCGCTGATTTCGGGTTTGGTATACACCGAAAGCAAGCCAACTCGAATCTGTATTCATCCCAGTTACAGTACGACTTTGCATCATGGTTGAGTAATGGTATGAGGCACGAGTACAGATCACGGAGCAAGCAATACGATATATATGCAAAAGTATATGGAGTGTGCCATTACACGTTCATATGATGCAGGCTTCTCATGCCGATAGTGCGGCGCCCTATCCATGCAAGCTGCACTTTGCGCAGGAATCAAGACCTTGACCCCTGCGACAGTAATATATGATACGCACACTAGGTAGTAAGCTAGCGGGAGGGGAAGCAGACGAACATTCGCTGTCTGGTTCATTCAGTTCAGTACTTGTAAGAGTGAAGCTTCGGGATGGGGCTTGGACGGGACAGGGGTTGCCAGATGCTGGTAGCACGGCTGTTGTTTTTTGACAGCCCGGTTCAGACAAGGCCCCTGTCATCAAGCATGTATCACATGCGTGACCACATCCCCCCCTCCCCCACGATTTGAGAGTCATCTCACCATTACTCAGAAATCAACAGAGATAGACACAGTACGAGCAAAAAGAAAACGACTGGACCAGGGGCTGCCTATGAGGCAAGTCTTGGACGAGAACGGAGTGGAGGATTGAGATGCACCTAGACCACCCTCGATGCCGTACTATCTATGCTGATCACTTCAGCCTGACTTCCTAGATAGAGCAGCGAGCCATGTGATTTGTGCCACGTCAGTCGTCCTGGTACAACCAAACCCGTGGCACACATTAATTAACTGCATGAGAGCAAAGAAACCCTGTCCATGGGTACAGTATACAAAGTACGAAGTATATACAGCGGAACTCAGAGTATTTAAAGAGAGCGGGGGCTTTCTTTCACGACTTGATATCTTTTCAACTTTACATGTTCAAACAAACTTACTTGCGCATTCTCAACTGTTTTTTATAACGCGTCTTTGCTCTTTGCTCTTTGCCCTTTGTCGTTCACGACTGAATCAGAAACTCTTATTACCAAGCGTCATCTTATCTTACAAGCTTATGACAAGCAAGATGGCTTCCTCCAACAGCACTCCTCTCACCAGCATCGACTCCATCAACTCCCAGATCGAAAAAGTGGTCCCAACCGCGGATGAAAGTAAGTTTGTCCGGGGTTTCAGTAAGGAACTGTGGGAGGGTCTTGCTGCGGCCGCGAGATCCTCGTCATTTGGCCGCAACACCATCGATCTTGGTAGCCTGGTCAAGCATGGGCCCAAGATGCCAGATGATATGGAAAACACTACTGAACTCACGGGATTCGCAACCTGGGAGACTACAAGGGGGCCAAGGTCGCTCATGCCCCCTCTCCGTGTACAGCCTCACAACCCTCGCAACGGCCTCAAGCGGCGATGGAGTCTGATGAAGTCGCAACCTACTCCCTGCGAAATATCGGAGCGTAGCAGCTTCCAAGTCTCAGATAGCGAGTCTAATGGCCTTGCTTTCATGTTTTTGGCTTGGTCTTACATCCTTTGCGTGTTCTTGCTTGAAGAGCAGCGTACCTCTGTTGTTTATGAAGATGCAGCAGCTCCATCTGATGATGAGACGCCTAAGAGCAATGAATTCACTGTGGATCTCGGCGATGCCAGTGATGATGAATGCCGCTGGTGGTCTGCTCTTCTCTCTCCTGGCCAAGGATGGAAGGCTACTCGCTCTGGGCATCCAGTGTGGGCTGTTTCATTTACTGGGAATGTTAAATTCAACGTCATCAGCCAACCCAGTGCTTCACAACCACCCGAAGAGACTGAAGAGACTGAAGAGATCAATGAGATCAAGCCTCCTACCAGCAAGGAAGCAGTTGCATTCCTCTCTCGCTTTGCGTCCTTGTACAACTTGGAAAGCCAGGCTGCGTTGGGCCTTGCGATGGCGTTGACTGTCCCCCTTCATAAGAACATGTCTTCGACTATACATCTCCCAAAGCCACATCTCGTTAAACAAAGTGCTGTTTCTCCGACATCTGTCATTGGCAAGGAGTTTCGCCAGCTGTCTTATTACATGGTTCTCAGCTCCAACCCTGGCTTCGTGGCTTCGGCTCTTTGGTCTGTCTTTTGGGAGCCCGAAGTGGACTGCAACCTGGTCACCCCTTGGTTCGACCCGATAATTGATGTCCTTCAGCCCTTGATTGAAACTGAAGACCTTGAGATGGTGGGCCATATACTGGCACTTCGAAGGCCTGGCATTGCACCTCTGTGGTATGGATTGCTTGCCTGTGGGACTACAGAGACTGTCTTGGCTATTGTTCCCTATCTCAAGACGCTCAATACTCGCGTGCCTGCAAAACTCGTACCCGAAGTTGCTGCTTGGACCGATACACCTCAGTCATTCATGGATCTGCCTGGAGATGGTCCTTACCTACAAGGAAAGCAGATCTCACGGGTCGACGCATGGCGGCTTCGGTATGAGTGCTGCAATTCTTGGAAAGATGGCGCTCATTTTCGGTATCTGCCAACGACTCCATTTCGCCCTTTTGGCTTTATAAACGGTGATGAGCTTGAAGCCGTGGTGCGTAGGCATGTTGAGGAATGTTCGAGACATGAATGGACATACAAGGGATTCACATGGATATTAAAGTCTGGTGTTACGTTGCTCCATGAGCCTCGTATATTGACCACATCCTGGGCTGATTTCGAAGATGATTCGGTCATTCAACCACCCAGACGAGAATCGGTAGACCCAAACTATGAACCAGATCACGCAGCAAGCCAAAGAGCTGTTGGTGATATTTTCCGATGGGCTGCTACAGAGATGGAGGCCTCTGGGAGGCATATTTACGCTCACCCTTGGGTCGATATAAAGTCGCATTGTATAGAGGCTGAGAATGCGAAGAAGAGTGGGAAAAAAGGGATGGTGCGTCTATCGGAACTGTTGATGGAGAGAATCAAAGAGTGGAATGACAATCTCAGTGAGTAACTCTGTTCTTCTTTATATGTTTACGACATTCATTTTTGTTTATTTGTTTTTGCCATGGCTAATCGATGATTATCACCTAAAAGAGGACGACGAGACGGTTGTTGGTGCTGGACCAGCTTAGGCAGAGAAGTTGATGCTACGAAAACGATTGTTTTTGTATCTAAATGCATTGACATTCAACTATAGGGAAAGAAGAGCGGCTATGGAACTCAGATTGTTTATTAAGGCCAGCCGACTGCGTATAGGTACTTTGACATTGGAAACGGGTGGGAGTCGGCGAGCTCCCCAGACGGCTGACAGGGCTGGGATTCGGGTATTTGGAACGGTAGTCTACTGCTGCCTGGAAGTTTGTATTTCGTAATTCTTATCAACAATGATTCATGTCTTTCATTAACTTGATAACCTTGCCTTGTTCAGTGGTTGTGAAGGGACGTGCATGTTGACAACCTTGCATCCGACGGACATGCGGGCAGCGGAACGGGCACCCTGACAGAACTGGCTGGCTGTCCAGAAAGGGAAATGCAGCAGTGTTCTGATTGGCCAGTCTAGGCAGAAAGAGAAAAGAGACAATATCGATTTCAAGAGCGAGGCCTGGAACAGGCTCCTTCGACTAGTAGAAGCTACCTACTGTAGGCACTAGTAGTGCAAGCGAAAAAGGCGAAATATCACCTGGATCCTTTCGTCTAAGTCAACGGAACGCGATCAGATTGGCTCCTGTGCGAGATGGTGCGGGGCGCAGCCATCAGCCCCAGGTAGCGAGCTTGTCTAACCGCTGCGAAAACAAGTGCACTCGGTACCAGCTGTGTACTTGTATATCCTGTACGACGCGAGGAAGCACGCTGTTTGGGTGCGAAGCTTTGAGCTGGGGTCCTGGTGTAGCACAAGTTGAAGTTTGTTGTGTATCCGTACTGTACCCACAGTATGGATTGCGCATGTGCACAGGGAACCCCGGATAAAGGGCCGGAGCTCCGCTGGAGGGGCGGGCTAATGCAGGTCGCCTATTTGCCGCTGGGTGGGTGACTGCTTCCTGCCGTGCTCGCGTCGTGTGATCGAGTTGTGATGGCGAGGCAAGTCGGATTCAGAAGTGGCTGCCTTAGTTGCGGTGCCCAACCCCGGCAAGCGCGACACACAGGAGGTTGTGTCACCGACCGTGCGAGGAACCTTGGTCAGTCTTTGGCTGCTTGGTTTGTCTCGATACTACTACATTAGTACTATTACGATCTTGTAATAGTATGGACCGCTATTGCCATTATCTCGCTTTTTCGCGCAGTGCGTCGCAGGCCACACTAAAAGACGGCAAGTGCGGGAGTGGATCACCCGGGCTTCGATTCCGGCCCCGCCCATCCAATCAGTCCCGGACAGCACGGCTTGCTCTTGCCTCTAGAGCAGCTTTCCCTTCCCTTGCGTATAAGCCGTCCGTTCTTGCTTGGTTTGTCTTTGTCCAGCCGCACCAGCTCTAGACCGACATTTCCCGTTTGACGCTGCTTTTCGCCTCCCTGGTACCCGGTACTTGGAATCTTACGTCTGGCGTGCTACTGAGCGACAGGTACCGGTACTTTTTGCTGGCAATGGTATGACGGCATGGCTGGGAAGGATTCAGGTGCGGAGTCGTGCAAATTAAGGTGTGTTCACCAGGTGAGCTGGGATTTGGCGAAAAGCGAGACACGCAACACAAAAAAAGAAGGCCTAATAAGACAAAAAAAAAAAAAAAAAAAAAAAAAAAGAAAAGCAAAGAAAGAAGACAGCATGTCTGTGTGTCACCAAATAGTTTCCTGTCGGCTTACGCTCTTTCCCGCTTGGCTGAGACAATCTTACTCAGGCGACGATGCGTCCACCAAGTCCATTTCGCTCTTTTTAATCGACGTCTTGGGCCGCTGCTCCTTTCTCTCCTTTGGACATCACTGATATCGCTCCTTGTTATCGTCTCGACCACTAAAAGCACCGCTGCCTTCACACACATCGAGCCCCCTCTCCGCTTTCCCCTCCCTCTTCTATTTTTGCTGCCTTTTTATATTGCATCCACTACCGAAATGGATCCCATGCAAGAACAGCCGCCGCAGAGCCAAGAACAGGGTGTCGAGATTCTCCGAGAATACCACCCTTACCCCAGCCGGCCGCTATCGCCAATCATTGAGGAGTCGTCGGCCGAGCTTCCCCATGGCAGAAAGCGAGTCCGTGAGGGTGAAGCAACCCTTGACGAGACCGTTGAGGATGATCGTGAATGGAAACGACAGCAGATGCTGGATTCTCACGACACTGTTGAGACTGCTGCTACCGAGGCCAATACTGAGACGGTTTCTGGTGAAGAGACCAACCAGGTTGACGGAAGCAATGAAGAGGCTGCCCCTCTAGAGGCCGTGCATGAAGAAGCTGGCTACGAGGGAGCCGATGATGAAGCAACGGACATTCTGGAAGCCAGTGTGGAAGAGGCAGCCACCCAAATCGCATCACCTCTGTGGAACTTCTATGCCGTATTCGACTCGGACGACGAAGATGTGGAAGACGAGGATATCCTCAATAGCGGATCGGCCAACCAATCCACTTCTGCATCGCCATCCCCGCCCAGTGAATTCGATCGGGCGCCTTCCATGACTCCTGCCCCTGAGGCCGATACTAGCTTCTTTGTGTTACCCAAAGACAGGTGGCCCGCAGAGCCCAAAAGTGCTCAATACCGAGATGCCTTGTGGAGCATTGTGTATAACAAGAACAAGACATTCATGTGGGAATTCCACGAGGGACTTGCTCAAGGAAGCTTGGATCTCTGCAAAGAACTGCTTGGGAGGGCCCAGCTGCCCCCCAGAGTCTCTCTCTTTGACGATGATGTTATCCACGAGATGAGTGTAAGGTGTCAGCGTAGGAACGAGACGAGGATATTTCGCGACATCACTCCCTTGATTGCGCCGTCGGCCGAGCTCGTCGCCTTGCGAGGTGATGGGGAGTTGGGCATTCTGTGCGAATCTGCAAACGAAATATGGACATATTCTCAGCAATTGCTTCAATACCAACCACAGCCCTCCTACTCGGTTGGCTTCAGAGCTCTAGCATTTACTGAGCTGCAGTTTACCAAGGTCACGGAGTTCTTTGAGGACAGATGCACTTCCGAGACGTCACCGATCATGGGTACATCTCACATGTTCTTCCCGTGCTTTTCATGTGAGATTGGGGGCTTCGAGATCACCCGACGACAAAACACGCACAACATGACAATTGGCATGCGTGCTGTTGTGGACCTCTTCCGTGGCGTCAAACGCGAATCTGAGGTGCACCGCCAGATTCTGGCCTTTTCCATTTCACACGACTCGTGCGAGGCGGAAATTGTTGCCCATTACCCGGTCATACTAGGAGAGACTACGGAATTCTATCAACAGGTCATCGCCTCCTTTGCGTTTACTGATTCTAGATACGACAAGTGGACGGCATACCGCTTCACCAAAAACATGTATGAAGCCTGGATGCCGGTGCAGTTCCACTGGATCTGTTCTGCCATCAACCAGCTACCCGAAGGGTGGTCAAGTGGAAAGGACATTGGCCAGCGCGAATTTGTTTGAGCATTTGCATCACAAGGACTAGCACTAGATGATGATTGGTCCGGGAAAACATTGGGTATAGCGACAATGGCATTTTGGCATTTGGATATAAGCGACTAAAGGCACCATCTTGTTCTTTCTTTTGTAGCATCTGACTTTTGATGTGCATCTAAAAGTAATCACTTGGTAATACGGCATGCAAGCATTGGAGGAAAATTAGCAGTGGATTTGTATTTTGAGTTTTATAGAGTAGCAACTAATAAACGACAGGAGTTGCATCAGGCCTAGATGACGGTGATTGTGGTGTAGTGTTTCTTTCTATTTGCCCGTCAGATGTCAAAGTAAATCGTGTTATAGTACAGCTAACTAATCCATGAATCTGTCCTTGCTTCATAGTACAACTAGTTATTACTACAAGTCTGCCAGCTAGATGGCAGTTGATGATTTCCGTCTTGATGCCCAATCCACCTTGGATATTACTGAACGGCATGTCCGCCGAGCTGAACTCTTTCTTTGGCATGCCCTGTATCTGGGGATTTGGAACTATCCCAACTTTTCGATACATGTACACCTGCTGGGCGTGCCGATACTCACAGCCTTTCCTTGGCCCCCAAATGCACGTGGCGATCGAGAACCTTTTTTTTTTTTTCTTTTCCCGGGGCTCAGCATTCAGCCATACTTTTCGAGCTGCTCCCTCCTGCATGTTATCATTGATGTTTGGCAAACAATCAGCCAAGGCAGCACTGGCCTTTTTCTTGTCTCAGTTGTCAGTCTCATCCCGCTCTTGGAGCGCTTGGCGGGCCTTGCAGGCTTGGAAGAAGCTGTAGAGTAGATACTGTGTGGGATGAAGACTGAGACTATCTAATATTTGCATAAAATTGGTTTTTTTTAGTCTCACCGCTTGAAAGGGGGGGAAAGACGTGGCGTTTACAGCAAATTAAATTCTTTTTTTTTTTTTTTGTTCGGTGTAAGCAGCGTGTTAGTTGCCTGAGGGACATGCAGTTTCGAGAAAAAACCAGGCTGTGGTTGTTCTTAGCGGCAAGCTGACAGGGGAGAAATGTTTACATGCGCAGAGGCTTTTGTGCCCCCCTACAGGATGGCGTTGTAGCCCAGGCACTATTTGTTTTCTAGCTTTGCAGTGATCCCGGCAAGTATTCTACCCATTGCTGTGCAAGTATATGTACTTGGGACTGGATTCTCACTACTGATGCATGAGTTGTCTTGAGCAAGGAGCTTCCCTTGCGTCAAAAGCCTAGACTTGATCCAGTGATTAGGGGGGCGCCTTTTGGTGATGTCAAAATAGAGAGGCGAATCTAGATTTATGTAGTGGCTAGGGTTTTCCATCACACCGAGATTGCGGAGACTGGGGACGAGAAAGAGGTTGGTGCGCGGATGGGCATGTTCCCGAGCTTCGGTCGTACAGGATTGAGGCGTAATTGCGGAGATTGGAGCGTAGCATTGGTGTCTTGGTTTACGAGTTTGATGTTTTTTCTTTCTTTCTTATGTGCTGGGGTTTGCGGCAGGGAGAGAGTTGTTTGTGTAATATTGCTTTGGGTATTACTGGTGGTGTTTTCTTATATGACTACTGCTGGGAACGGGGCTGACTCGTAGTATTGTGTCTGAGTAATAGGGCGAGTGAGTATTACATGTAACTCTGTTTCCAGATTGGGAACCTCTTATCATTTCCAAAGACTGTGGTATTGTTTCCATCTCTCCTTCTCTACGGGATAGATATGTAAAGAAGCTCTCTTGCCGAGATACTTTCAAGATGCCGTTTGAATTAGACAAAAGAGATCACTTGTAATACTTGCCGTGAATTAGATGGCACACCACCATTGTCTCTTTGCCCGATGACCACGTTTTGTTCGATCGTGATTGTAGTTCCTGAGGGTTACCCGCAGCAGCAGTGAAACGCTCTAGAACTCTCAAGACACGTCAACCGCATGCACCCTTGAGCAAATAGGCATTCCTACCTCGTATGTCTGTCCAATAAATTACAGCTAACCGTCGTATTTTCACAAGTGCCGATGCATTAGTGTGCTTTTTTTGTATTTGGATTCATCAACGTGGCTCACTTCAGTCCAGTTCAACGTAGTGTAAAAGTGGAGGCTCCAGGCAATAGCTGCAGGTATCGCAAATAGTATCCGAGCCCTTTTTTTTTTTTTGGCTGCGGGCGGGTTTGAAAGTGCCATGTCCGTGCTGACATTGGGTTGCTGTGAAGCGTTGAAGCTGTTGTTGGGGACTTTTGAAGCGGGGGTTGGGAAATAAATTAGCTGGTACGACGTTGTGAATGCTGGCTAATGATGGTGGATTTTGTACTTTATGCCACTTTGGGTACCTTGGGTAGTTTTTCATGTGAAAGTCCAAAGGAAATGAGACGTAAGCTATCCCTGCGTTCTGAAGGTAGCCTATCCAACTGGCTGTATGCTGGCTGCTTCTCGGCATCTTGTCTGTCCTGAGTCTCACTCTACTTAACCATGGTGGTTGGTATTTTGATCAACAATATCTGAGAAGAAAATGTTGTCAGTCAGGATATTGATCTTCTACGAAATGTGATGCTTCAACTACTATAGAGTTATGGAGAAGATATAGCGCGGATACATCAGAGGTAGATGGAAAATGATGGGAGAGGGTGATGAGAACCAGTCAGCACAATCCAAAGCGGCGCCATTGTACTTTAAAGAAGCCAATGTGTAGGTTACAGTTGTCATATCAAGTCTATGCCTAGTGATGTCGATTGTCTTATACGAACATACAGACGAGCCTAGTTACGGAGAGTGACCACTTCAAACGCTTCTTCTATAAACGCGTCTTGTACGTTGCAACACAATCATAAATGATCAACTATTTCACGGTCCGGAAATGGCCTTTTCAAATAGAATCATAGAAAACGACAGTACAGCAGACAAACAGACGGCCCGCTCAGAGCCTGATGAGCTGGTTGGAGAGAGCACCGATCATGGCGAGTTAAAGTCGAGTATTGCGTATATATATTTACAGGTCGTTTACTCGTGGATCTCCGCTTTTAATTTGTTAAATAGCAGAAACCGGCTCTAGTATGGTCTGCTTTTTAAACGTGCCATCAACATAGGCCGGTATCAAGCAATACATGCTCTGGAATTGGTAATTGATGACAAGCTATCCTTTATAAGCCAGAGCAATCAAGTTCATTATCCTACAAGCCAAGCAAACGCCAACTGAGATTGAATCTACAGAGGTTCTCCGGGCAATCGGGTCTTTTGTGTATACGCTGCTGCTCACTCATCCCAAGCAAAGAATAGTCTTGATCGTTTTGGATCGTTGAACAACGACAAAGCCCAAGGCCGCGAGAGCCTCATATATATATACTATTTGTCTAGCGGCATCTATACCCACACGACTATGCGCAACCCAAAAAGCAGAGAGGAAAACAAATAGAGCTTCTAATCGAACAAAAACCAGTCCCTAGCCAGCGGCCGCAATCATGACAGGCCACAAAAGCCCTTTAGAACCCCCCCATCTACCATGCCAGAATATCATACAAGTTTTTCTTTTACAGCGTCTCACCCACCACTTTTCGAATGGCCTGGGCCACGTGGTCAATGTTGTGCGTATTTAGGCCGGCCATGCTGATTCGGCCGTTCTTAGTCATGTAGATGTGGTACTCCTCGCGGAGCTTCAAGACCTGGGCTTCTGATAGGCCGGTGAAGCTGAACATGCCGATCTGGTCTGTGATGTGGTTCCAGGTTCCTGGGGTGCCAAGCTCCTCAAGCTTTGACCGGAGAGCATTGCGCATATCAATGATGCGGCCAGACATGGTCTTCAAGTTGCCTTCCCACTCTTCAAAGAGCGCGGGGTCGTTGAGAACGGTGCTGGCTATTCTGGCGCCGTACAAGGGAGGGTTGGAGATTTCTGATCGCTGGAGAATGGCCAGCTGAGATGCAATGCGGGTGATTGTGGTTGTGGCGTCGGCAGCAGGGGCCGTCACAACGTGGAAGCAGCCAGCTCGCTCTCCGTAAAGGCCAAAGTTCTTGGCGAAGCTCTGGGCAACGACGAGCTCGAATCCTTGCTGGACAAAGTAGCGCACGGCGGCGGCATCTCGAGCAAGGTCGCCAGAGGCAAAGCCTTGGTAGGCGCAGTCAAAGAAGGGGAAGTGCTTCTTCTCCCGAATCACCACGGCCAACTCCTTCCACTGATCCAGTGTTGGGTCGACGCCGGTTGGGTTGTGAGCGCAGGGGTGGAGCAGGATGATGGAGCCTTCGGGGGCTGCGGCAATCGTAGACTTCATGCCATCGAAATCTAGTCCCCGAGTCTCCTTGTTCCAGTAGGGGTACTGGGCGACTTTGATGCCGACATTGTTGAAGATTTGGTGGTGGTTTGCCCATGTGGGATTGGACACATATACGACTCGGCTGCCCTTGTAGAACTTGGAGAGGAACAGAGCGCCCAAGTGGACGGCACCGGTGCCCGAGATGGTCTGCACCGATGTGGTGCGGCGCTCCTGGATCGCGGGGGAGTCGGCGCCGAGCATCAGCTCCGCAGCCTTGCTGGTGAAGCTCTCGATGCCAGCAATCGGGGCATATTCGTGGTTCAGTTCGGGGTTGTCTCGGAGAATTTCATCCGCCTGGATGACGCAGTGGGGTCAGTCAACGCCTTGGGAGTTGGAAGGGATTCGCGGGGATATGCAACAAGCTGGCTCGACCAATAACGGTTGCGCCAATTGAGCTTATCCTGAGCATCGCAGGCGAGCTAACATGGCAACGCATGGGCTAGCTCTGTAGATGGGACGATGCCAAAGACGGGAAGACAACGTACCTTTTTGACGACGGGAAGAACCCAGGGCTTTGCATTGTCGTCTCGGTAGGCGCCAATTCCCTGGAAACAAGAACAAACAGTCAGTCAACCAGCCATTCGTATCTATTAGTAAAAGCGTTGGGGATTTGTGGGCTTGTTGCCTCCGACGTCGCAGCCGTGCTTACAACGAGGGAGTCGTCGAGTCACAGCGACGGCAGAGGCAATGAGCTGGCAGAAATCTCCAAGTAGCACAAGGGGAGGGGAAATCTCGCAGACATACCAGGTCAACCTTGAGCGGGCTGTTGTCTGCTCTGTAGGCGCGGGCAAGGCCAAAGAGAGGATCTTCAGGCGCCTGCGGCACTGTGTCGGCCGGGAAGCTGGTTGTGGAAGCCATTGCGGGAGAGATGTGGCTCGCAATGTTGTTGATGCGCGCGAGAGAGGCCGAGGACGACGGTGATGAAGGTTGAGGCGGCGATGATGATGATGGAGGAGCCATGGTTGCGGTAGCGGGAGGCTCGATGGTAGATAAATGCGCTGTAGAGCACCTCTCAGGCTGTCGAAATGCCACACGCAGCGCGTAGATGGCCTGATGGATGCGGTGCCAGGCAGTGGGGTGACGGCTAAATGCAGCCCTGCTCCGTAACGGAGAGCCTGTGACGGGGTCGCGGGGGAGGGCCTTGGGGCCTAGAGGCGCCTGGAGGGAACCGGAGGATCCGCTGTGGCCGCTACACGCCTGCTTAGCTGCCTGCGATTCGAACGCCTGCTGCGACCCGCCGATGCACGTCACCAGACCTAAAAATCCCTTGGAAATGCGCAACGAGACGGAGCCGATGGGGCCGGGAGGCTCAGCAGCGCAGAGGCTGGAAGGGCTCGGGGTTCTGGGGTCCGGGGAGAGCTGATGTCAGGGGAGTTTTGTTCCCCGTGATGAGTTTGATCGGGTCTGGTGCTTTTGCCGCTGGCGGTGGTGGCAGAATTGACTCTTATCGCATCAATGGATTCTCTCTGTGGCGAATACTGCTAGCACTGATATCACCGGCAATCTTTGGGCTGTGATGCAGTCAGCAAACAGTCCTACCCAACCTTGAACTCTTTCACTCGGGGCTTGCAGCAACGTGGTACAGCATTCGCTCCGCCAGAGTCCCCTGGACAAGCCGTTGAACTCGGGGAAACGGAGCGGACAATGGGAAGCCAAGCACCAGGCAGCGCTGTCAACTTGCATGCATGCATCGTACGTACCTTGTTTGAGAATAGAATTTGACAGTGGTAGTACTCGTAGTAATGTAATACGTCAAAGACGGCCCGGTACCAGAGGAGACAGGTCCAGTAGATGCTCCGTAATAACTCCGTGAAACAAGAGCGCAGTCAGAAGCAGTGGCTGCTATTCAGATAATGCAGTGGTGCAGTGATATTTTGATAAAATGAGAAAAGAGTTGAAATGAACTCTGGCTTACACGCTTCATAACCTCACGGCCTTTTTATCCATCGCCATGCCATGTGCTCGTTCCAGGGCTATGGGGCTGGTTTTGGCCGAGGCCTCGGCTCGTGCGGGCTACAGAGCCGACACGGTACAGACTACAGACTGAAAACGGCCATCAAGACATGATGATCTACGTGACAAAAGCTCAAGTACATTTCATACTACTGAGTAGCCGTAGAGAGGTATGACCAAAAATCTTCGTCATGGGACCTCTTTTGAACCCCCTTTCTATACGTAGACCTGTTACAAGTTTTCGGAACGATGCCACAGCAAATATCAGGCATCAAACTTCTCTCCTATTTGATAATGAAAATGATTCCTTCTCCCCGAAACAAGCCGATCCTCGCAACATCACGCCAAAGCACATGAAAGCCAAAAGCTCAAAGGAGTATCAACTCGTTTTCATATGCATCACAAGCCGATACTTTTTCGAACCCCAGGTCTAGTACGAAACAGCTCGCTCCCGATTGGACAAGCTCGAATTCGAGGTTTCTCTCCTTTTTCCTTCTTCCGTTAATCTAATGACACACAAGTACATGGTTATTGCGAGTGACCTGCTATCCACAACCTTGGCGCCCTTTCTTGGCTTTGTCAATCCCAGAGCCAGGTACCATCGCTGTAAATGGGCCACTCCTCACTAATCCTCGTGGCCTGAAGAAATAAAAAATCCCATGAATCCCCGCAGAAAAGTGGCTCGCGCTGACTCTTCCCCGTCTTTTCACATGCCGCCGGCCTTCCCCTAGACTCAGCCCCATGGGTCAATGTTCTCGTAGTGCTGGTACGAGAACGTCAGTCTCAAAATTGTTACGATAAGTGGCGTTGAAATTGTATGATTTTCTGCCGAATGCTGTTTACCAATGATACTACTGCTTATTGGACGCTGCGCTATCATGAAATGAATGCCCCCATCTTGCTTGATGTTTTCTTCTCCCGCTTTATATAATCAGATCCCAGAGAATCAGAAACGCACACAGACTGCTTGCTGCAAAAAATGTGTACCGCGCCGTGCTCGGCCGTTGTGTGGCCTTTTTAAGCTGTCTGTTTCCTCCGCCGACATTATCCGCCATCGATGCCGAATCAGAGACAAGCAGCTCAATGTTTTCGGACTGCGCCGACAAGTTGTTAACCAGCAGTGTCTGGAGTTCTGAAATCTCCAATAGCGATCTCTCCGCCGTCCTGCAATGCGTCATTATTTTAGTTATATTCTTGAACATACTTCATTCGAACCGTGTTGCCATGTTGTCAAGTGAAATCGTGAACCTACCTCACTTTATCCAATGTGCTCTCGTAATGCTCCATCATGCTCTGATTGCCCTCCTCAAACATTTGCACCTGCTCATCAGTCAAGCCCTCTGTAAACGCAGCGGGCGATGACTCTTCGGCTCCTGGCTCAGAGACGCCACCCGGTGTCTGCCGATGTGGTTTGTGTGCTGCCGGGGCAAACTCTGCAAAGTCTCCTACCGGCAGCATGCTGCGACTCTTTTCCAGCTCCCGACGCAGCCGCGTTTCCATCATGTCTTGCTGCGTTCGACAGCACAGCTCCAATCGCTGCCGTAGGAACCACACCACGCCCTCTCGATAACCGCCCAGCTGCTGGGCTTGATCTTCGGCTGCAGCATGTTCCGCCGACTTGCTGCTGGCAATGCCACCAGATGCCCATGAGCCGAGAGCGCCAAGTCCTTTTGTGTACTTTTTGCGGATGATGGCCGCTTCCGTATCTCGGCGGAGCTGTTCAGCCTCATCCAGCGACCTTATGCTGGCATTGAGCTCCCGTATCATCTGCTTGGCGTTGGCGTCTATTTCCTCTCGTTCTCGGTCGGACAGTACTCGCGGCTGGTTCTGGACGAATCGCGCTTGCGCTCGGCGAGGCTGCGCAGTGGATAGGTATGCTTGCCGCACATCTTGAAGCTGTCGATGCAAGCTAACAATGTGCGAGTTCTGCAGTATGGTCAGTATGGTCAGTATGAGATGAGCTTAAAAAGCATGCGTAGGTCGTTGGCCAAGAACTGACAATGCGGTATGCCTCTTTGAGGAAGCTGTCAATGTCGTCCAGCGAGACCTTGTTCACGACTGGTGGAGCGCTGTGGTGCTGGAGAAGCTCATTGAATTGCGCTGTGATGTTCACCGCTGCCGATACTTGGACGCCCGAACCATCCATCTCTACCGTCCTTAAATATTACAAGACAATATTCTTTCAATCGCACCTGGTAAAGCGGTATGGCTACCAGGCAAAGTGTCGCTCACACGTCATTCTGCCAGCCAAGATTGATTTGGAGCTACGTATTGTGTAAGCTTTTGGCAGCGCTGCGATGGTGCTGAGTCATCACGATATCCACCTGTAGACTGACGCTTTCACAAAGCAAAGACCACAAGTTGCCAGCGCTGCTAGTTTCGTTTCTGCGCGAGAACCGTACCCACAGCATTGCATGGACCGGCCTATTTCCGCCGACTTTTGACTTCATTGGCCTCTTTCTGTACGATTCAGGGACGAAACCAACCTTTGGCCAAGCAAGAGGCGGCGCCGGGCCATGAAATCGCCCGCTCAAGGTGGATGGTTGTTGAGTCTGAGTTGCAGAGTTGCAGAGTTGCAGTTACAGGGGTCCTCACCAGCTCTGTGCCATTGATGCGACTGCAGAGAAGACGCAATTCCACGTCGAGAGCAGAGCATGGAGCACATACACGGCTTCCAATGAAAAGGCTCTTCCACTGATCGCCTGTGCAACCTGAGCTACTGCTTGCAGATCGGCTTTGAGCCGACATATGCAGCCAACATGCACAACGCCCAAGCTCCGCATTCTGCACTTGCCGGATATCGCTTCGCCTCGCTTCGTCATGGCCATAGTATTCCAGAAGCCGACGGGATGGGCAAGGCGAGACGGGCAGCAAGACGGGCGGCAAGACGGGCGAGCCGAAGCTTCCTATGCTTGAATCGATTAGATTAGGCACTCTGGCCTTGGCTCATCCGCTTATGCTTATGCTGTGCCTGTTCCTGTGCCTGTTGCCCGCGATTGCACGCAATGCTCACCCAACTGGCAAAACCCGCGTCGTTGGTGCGCCACCGGAGAATATCGACGCTAAGGCCAAAGCAACTTTTGAGTTGTGTGGGCGGGAACTAACGGCCACAAAGCTGTGATTCGCGGGTGGAACAGACATCTTATACAGTTTTTTTTCCTTTTTGCTCGGACGTCGACCGAGCAGGAAGGGGCGCGTGCCGGATCGATGCTAAATCGCAGGGTTTTTACTCCCTATGCTGACCATGTGCCGGGTATTATTCCTGTACTACTTCTACCTGGATACTATAAATAAAGAGACTAAATGCCTTCGGTATAAAGCCTCTACTGTAGGACGCCGGTACGACTCGAGGCCTGGCTCCATGACCCTCCCGAAAGCCGCGGATTTCTTCCGTCTCGCTGCCATCTGGGAATGACTGCAGGGGCATCTGAAAATCCTGACGGAACATTTATATGCTCATCCCAGCTCTAGATTGCGCCCAGGATCAAGCCCTCGCTGCATCTCTTCCATGCGGCGAGACGAGATCCAATGCAGGGAGACAACGCCGGCACTTCGGGGGGGCAGATAACGGGCATCGACCGAATCTGTGGGGAACCGCAGTTCGATCGTCCAAGGCGAGTTCGTCCGCTACTACCTTACCCGATCCGAAAGCTGGGAGCTTCTGCTCCTCTTCCTTCGCTTCCTCTCGCCTTTGTTCTTTGATTTTTGCTTTTCGACCCTTCACCATCGACATCCGCCACTCGCCTCGGCCACTGCTCCCTTGCTGGAATTCGTCGTCAGCACGAATGCGTCGTCATGAAGCAAGATGAAACCACAGTCCAGGTCGACAAAGAGGCAGGCGAAATCACATCGCCGGTCAAGAGCGAGTCGGATTGTGAGTCTCTAGGAGACCAAACTGCGGACCAGACCGTCGCAATAGAGCTGCAGACGTCCCAGTCCCGGGGCGAGCCTGTCCTGAACGATGTCGAACAGGGCCTTGGGCCTGCGATCGGCGAGCCGTACACCATCTTTTCTCGCCGCATGAAGATATGGATCACCTTCATGGCGACGGTGGCCAGTGTTGTGTCGCCCATGACGGCCCACATCTACTTTCCGGCGCTGGACGCCTTGGCCGAGGAGCTGAATGTCTCCAACTCACTCATCAACTTTACCTTGACGTCTTATATGATTTTCCAGGGGCTCTCACCGACGATATTTGGTGATTTCGGCGACATGGCAGGCCGGCGACCCGCCTTCACCGTGGCCTTTATCATCTATCTATTTGCCAACATTGGTCTCGCCTTGCAACGCAACTACGCCGCCCTCCTCGTGTTACGCTGTGTCCAGTCGGCAGGCAGCAGCGGTACCCTCGCGCTGTCGTACGCCGTGATTGCGGACATCACGCCAACCGCCGAGAGGGGCAAGTACATGGGCTTTGTCAGTGTTGGGGTCAATATCGGACCCGCCATTGGCCCTGTCATAGGAGGATTGCTGAGTCAATACTTGGGATGGCCGTCCATCTTCTGGTTCTGCGCCATCTTTGTCGTGGTATGGCTGGTTCCATGGGTTGCCACCGTTCCCGAAATGTGTCGAAACGTTGTTGGAAACGGCTCTATACCTCCTCAGTCTTGGAACATTACCTTGTTGGAGTTTCTGCGGAGAAGAAAGACTGGAGATGTGCCGGAACCTGGGCCCAAGAGAAAGCTGCGGTTTCCCAATCCTCTAGGCACTCTGGCCATTGCCTTTGACAAGCAGATGAGCCAAGTCCTGCTGATTGCGGCCGTCATTTACGTCAATTTCATCCTGGTTGCCGCCACTCTATCGACCCAGTTTGCCGAGATATACAACTTTGGGGAATTAGAAGTGGGGTTGTGCTTCCTACCATACGGCCTGGGATGCTGTTTGACGGTTGTTTTGCAAGGATATGTAGTGGATTGGAACTACCGCCGCATCGCAAAGAAGCTGGGGGTAGATGCAAGCCACGGGCGCCGCAACGAGATTGGGGACTTTCCCATCGAGTCGGCACGCATCCAGCCCATCTATCCCTCATTGTTAGTCGGTGCTGCCGCTGTCATCGGCTACGGCTGGGCGTTGCAGGCAGAGACGAGCGTAGCTGTTCCGCTCGTCCTCGTCTTTCTAATTGGCATGCTGGTCCCAAGCACTTTCAGCATTCTCAACACGCTCATTGTTGATCTATACCCCGGTTCAACAGCCACGGCAGCAGCAGCGAACAATCTCGTCCGCTGTTTATTTGGCGCTGCGGCCACGGCCGTTGTTGATTATATGCTTGATGCCATGGGTCGAGGGTGGTGCTTTACGTTTCTTGCACTACTCATGGTGGCATGCTTGCCCTGGCTCAGGTTCATTGAAAAGAGAGGTCCTCACTGGAGGGCAGAGAAGTTGCGGAGGAAAAACAGCACTCAAAACGGACAAGGGGGGCCGGGGCCGACGGAGGCCAAATGAAGATAATGGCCTTGATGATGACATGACATGGCTTTTTCGGAGAATCCTTTTTTTTTTTTTTTTTTTTTTTTTTTTTCATTTTCTTTTCTTTTTTTGTTTTTTCCTCCCTTTTCATACTCTACATACATCTGCTTGAGAAGCATAGCGTTATATCGCTTGTAGAACTGCATAGCAGCGGCGTTTTTTACCGGACAGTAGATCCGTCCACAGCACATGATGCTCATCAAGTCGTCATTATCGTACTACAAGTATTAATTTCTAGATAATTTCATTAATTCACAAAGCCAGGATTGCGTGCTCTACAGGCTCTCTCAGAGATTCCCACATCATCCAGTCGGAACGTGTCGTGCTATTTGCATGTTAGTAAAAGAAAAGATTAAGATGTATCATAAAGTGGCAGAAAAGGGCGCGCTTCTGTCATTGCGACTTACGGTAACAAACCCATCGAGTTAATCTTCCACACGCCCACCGCCAGCGCCAAAAACTGCATTGCCACGTACACCAGCTTCGTCTGCAGGATCTGGCCAGAGTTGCTGTCGGTCTGGAAGCGCTCAAAGGCCTGGTTCGTGCTCATCAGGCCGACGATGGGGTTCTTGAAGGCCATGAAGACCATCATGATGCTGAAGATTTGCAGCGAGTTGCCGGACATGTACATCATGATGGCGGTCATGGGGAGGCCCTTGACGGGGGCGAGGGCGACCTCCCAGGCCTTTTTGACCTTGAGCGTGTCTCTCTCTTCGGCGGAGGGGGGTTTTCGGGGCTGAGTCTTGACGTCTTTGCCTTTCTGTGTCTGACGTTAGCTTTCGTCCTTTTCTCTTCCTCTTCCTCTTTTCTTTGTTCGACATGCGTCTTGTTGTTTCACATTCTATGAGTAAAGGGACGAAGCAAACGAACCTTGGGGGCGCTGCTGGGTGCTGTAGAGAAGCCGGGGGGGTCGATGATGCCGTTGAGCTTGGACTTTGCTATGGGAGGGAAGTCGAGCTGGGAGACCCAGTACGGCACGGAGGGGTCTTGAGCCGCGGCCATGATGTCTGTGTTTGCTGCTGGTCGATTGGCGAATTGACGATGCTCGATATGGTGCACGATCCTGGGTCGTGCGAAACGTGGATTTGGCGCTCGTTTGCTGGCTGGATCCAAATTCGCCGCAATCGATATTGCGGATGTAGCTGCTGTGTTGCTACTTTGTCACTGAGGCGGGTGGGTCGCCACAATCCACAGCGCCTAATTAGCTCTTATCGATAGCCCCGGAGTGCGCCGTACAAGGCCAGGCCCTCTGGCAGGTACCTATTCCTGCATACCGACCCTGCCGGCGGCGCGCGTCCTCCTTTTTTCCCTTTTCCCACCAGACATTCCATCTTTCGCAGCTTCTTGGAGCCGCAAGAGACCAGCGACTGGAGTTTCGACTTTTTGTCTTTGTTGTCAGTTTTTTTTTGTTTGACCTCGGTTCGGGAGACCCTCTCCCTCGCGCATCCGATCTCCAATTCTGTTTCCCCCTCGACGCACGACCCGCGAGACGCTCAGGACTTTAAGGCACTCCCGGAACGAAGAAACTGGCGCGTTTCGGCATCGATTGGCTTGGTCAGCTTGCCTTGTTTTAAACGGAAACGAAGATACATGCACGGCGTGCGACTTTATTTTCTTAAAGATACATAGCCCTGCGCTGGTTTAAGAGACAGGTGGTGGGCGTAAAGTGTCCTGCAGAGCCCCATTGGTTTCACGAAGCAATTTAGGCGATTCGGCCAGCGCATTTATTCGACAAGGCTCTCTAAATCGAACCGGAATTCGGGCGCTTCTTGCTTCTGGCTGCAGCACCATCCCGCATTTTGCCAGTCTGTACCAGGACCTGGACCTGAGAAGCCCTCTAAACCTCAACAAGGGGTGCCAACGACGGCGCGTGACGACGCTCCCGCTACCCGAAGCGACGATAGCACTTACACCTACAAGATTGTCTGAAGCAGCCTAGACCCGGCGCGCTGCATCGATTCTGCGGGGGAGGAGGACGAAGTGATTCGTAGCTGCTGGCACCATGTCTGGCAACGTTGGCGGAGGGGACTCCAAGCTGTTCGCTCGAGTAAGCTCTTGTCCCTCTTTCTCTCTTCTCGCTTGTTTCCGTCTTGTGTCCTTTCTATGATACTCTGCAACTTTGCCTTCTCTTTGCCGTCTTTCTCTTATCTTTTCCTGCTCACTTCCCCTTGTGCGCGCCTCTCCATGCGCATCGTCACTCTACCTCGCCGCCTGTACTTGGAATCTTGGATGATTTCCATTCTCTTCTACCTCTAGAATACCCTCCTAGCGGCAGCGACGACAGCGTACGAGTGTCTTTATTGCGATCTTGATCTTCCCGAGAGATTGCGATAGCTGCGCTCTGCGATACCCTTGCTCACTTCGACTTACAATGAATATTCCCTTTTGCGCAGCTGCGCGACTCGTGACATGATGGCCCTTCCACTCGGATTCATTTACATGCCAACTATTGCTCTCGATAAGCTAAGATCCAGGCAGGGCAAAGTCGCCGAGCTGCGCCTCGAGCTGAACAGCGGCGGAAAGAAGGATAAGAACTATGCGACCAAGAAGATTGCGCTCAAGCGCATTGTCGCCAACATGACGATGAGCAACAACGACATGGTTGCGCTGTTTCCCGACATCATCGGATGCATGAACATTTCGAGCTTGGAAATCAAGAAGATGTATGGCCCGCATCAGAACAGATATCGTCGGAATGCGAAAGGTGGACGATGCTGATATTCTTGTCTTGATAGGTGCTTTCTGTACTTGGTCAACTATGCACGCGTTCGACCAGAGATTGCGGTTAATGCGATTCCCATATTGGAGCATGTGAGTTCAGCAACGGTTTCTCAAGCTCAAGTGCCACAACAGAGAGCTAATTGGAATACCAGGATATCGAAGACCCCAACCCCCTGGTACGAGCACTCGCTCTGCGGACGATATCGTATATCCATGTGCGCGAGTTTGTCGCTGCCACGGTTCCTCTAGTGAAGCTTATGCTGAGAGACTCCGACCCATACGTTCGAAAGACGGCCGCATTCTGCGTTGCGAAGCTCTATGATCACGACAGACACATGGTCGAGCAGTCAGACCTCATCGATCGACTCAACTCGCTCCTCAGAGACGACAACCCCACGGTTGTTGCCAGTGCGCTGGCAGGATTGATGGACATTTGGGAGAGGAGTGACGCTATCAAGCTGACTATTGACTACACCAATGCCTCGAAAATGGTTGCCATCCTGCCTGATTGTTCCGAGTGAGTTGGCAATTTGACAAAGGATGAGACATGGCTATATACGTGTTGCTAACTGTCCATCAGATGGGGCCAGACATATATTCTGGAGGCACTCATGTCCTATGTTCCTCAAGAGTCGGGCGAAGCCTCATTGCTGGCTGAACGAATCGCCCCACGACTCTCTCACTCGAACTCATCAGTCGTCCTGACTTGCATTCGAGTGATTCTGTACCTGATGAACTACATCGCCGACCAGAAGCAGATTTCGGCACTGTGCAAGAAACTCTCGCCACCCCTCGTTACGCTGTTGGCCAAGGGCTCCGAGGTGCAATATCTCGCACTACGAAACGCCCTTCTCATTCTGCAAAGACGGCCCGAGGTGCTACGAAACGACATCCGAGTCTTTTTTTGCAAATACAACGATCCCATTTACGTAAAGGTCACCAAGCTGGAACTGATCTTCATGCTGGCCAATGAGAAGAACATTGACGAAGTTCTCACAGAGTTGAGAGAATATGCCACGGAAATCGATGTGCACTTTGTACGAAAAGCTGTGCGCGCCATAGGTAAGCTCGCTATCAAGATTGAGCCAGCAGCTCGACGATGTATCGATCTGCTCCTGGAACTGGTGGCTACCAAAGTCACATATATCGTCCAGGAGGCTACAGTGGTGATCCGAAACATCTTCCGCAAATATCCAAACCAGTACGAGTCCATCATCGGTACGCTTTGCGAGCATTTGGACTCCCTTGATGAGCCAGAGGCCAAGGCTGCCATGATTTGGGTCATTGGACAGTATGCGGACCGTATTGAAAACAGCGACGCGCTCCTGGAGGATTTCCTGTACTCATTCCAAGAGGAGCCTGTAGAGGTTCAGCTAGCACTTCTTACCGCAACAGTCAAGCTCTTCATTCAGAGGCCAACCAAGGGCCAGGAGCTAGTACCAAAGGTCCTCAAGTGGGCCACAGAAGAAACAGATAACCCTGACTTGCGTGATCGAGCCTACATGTACTGGCGACTGCTATCGACCGACATGAACGTGGCGAAGAGCATTGTTATGGGAGAGAAGCCGCCTATTACTGCCGAGTCAGAACGGCTGGAGTCATCAACGTTGGAAGAAATGTGCCTCAATGTCGGCACTCTGGCAACAGTCTACCTCAAGCCAGTGCAGTCCGTGTTCCGCTCTGCCAGGCCACGAAAGCTGATTGATTCCCCGGCACTGCAGAAGCAGCATCTCGCCAACAACATTGACAACCAGAAGAGCATCAGCATGTTTGGCAACGGCAGCCAGCCCACCAATATCGATCTCAGGACACGCAACGCCGTCGCCTCTCCTCCTACCAACGGAGCACCCAACTTGGCACAGGCCGTCAACGATGCAGACGCCTACTTCTCCAGCATTGGCACGCAGCAGATGGCGGCACAGATGGCGGCAATGAGAATAGATGGCGGAGACGACGGCTTTGGGGGAGGGACGGGCTATGTTGTGAATGCCCTTGCTCCGCAGGCTGTGTTGCAGCCGGCTCATGGCGATGGGAACGGTGACTTGCTGGCCTTGTAGACGAATTGACAACCTTGACTGGATGAACGCATGGACGGACGGGAAGAATATGAGGCAATGAATAGGGATTTGGCGAGGCATAAGATGAAGCATGATGTTTTCGTCACTTATCGCCATGTATGTGCGTGCTTGTTGGGAGCAGCGTTGTATGATTTTTTTTTTTTTTTTTTGGCTCAGGATGTAACTTTTAATATCCCTATATTTTCCAAATGTTTTTAGTATGAATTTAAGCCTATATATAGGTAACTATATAACGAAGCTTGCACCCTTCATGTCGAACGAGTCATCACTCCCCCATACCGAGACGAAAAATGCATATACTACCACTAGACCTTGAAAATCCACTCACCGAACAAAGGGTCGTTTATCTCGCAGGTGTCTTGTGGAGCAATAGAACGCATAGCATACCTATTCATGTGGGGAAGCGAGGAGGGGGCCCCTTGAGATGTTAGCAGAAGCTTGGCGCGTTCAATTTGTATGGGGTCATTTTGCGGGACTTTGTTTCGTATAATGTTCATTTACTACCTGCATGCAAGTAAATATGGGCTGTAGGGCTGTTAGAGCGTGCATATACGTGTATTGTATCATCGATATATCTTTTACATTTCTTTTCTGGAGGGCGTCCAAGGTTGGGAATCACTGGAGGGGGGAAAATCTTTGGTTGTCTAAAAAGGGGCGGATATACCGGCTTTGGGTGGTAGGTTATTAGACGCCCGTGTCAGCTTACAATGAGAAATGAAGGTGTGACGGGACTTGATATGAGTTAAAAAAAAAAAAAAAAAAAAAAGAGGCAAAGCGAATTTCCTTCATGGTAATTGCTATTTTTTTTTTTTTTCGTCTCATTCAGAATGAAGATGGACAGACTTGATCAATCCATAAAGGTTCTCGCTTAGATATCACAGGCGAGCTGGCGGCTCGTCACATTGGGAATATCCACAACATGACCAGCAGCTCTTCCTTTATCAACACTAAAAAAGCTTACTTGGACTGTAGAATGTAGTATTTGCTTGGTGCAGGGGCCTGAGCCTTGTGGGTGCGTCGCGACCGGGAGCGACGGCATTGTGCGGAGTTTTAATTTGAAGCTCTTCAAACGGAGATTGCAGGTCAGTTTGGCCAATACTACGTTGTACAAAGCTCCGAGTAGGTACACAAGTTGTTTTCTTCTTTTTTCCTTTTGCCCCTATCCCCCCTGTCTGATTAGTAGTAGTATTTGACACGGACTGCTCGTAGCTAAATTTTCTTTTTAGAGTTTATGTGCCTGTCAGACACGCAGTGCTGAGCGTGGCCTGGAATGAGCTTAGACCTGGCTGTAGATGTTCCTGGTATGGCGTGCACGAGCATGCTTTGTTGGCGTTGGCGCTGAGGTGGCGCCGGCTGGAGATCATATCGGTAAGATAGCTTGTATTACCTGCCTGTAGTATAGACCGAGTACGAAGCATGGATACGTGTGCAATAGATAACGGGAGAGTTGGCGCCTAGCAAGGGCTTCCACGTAGCGTGGCCTATTGTAAGATGATTTTCAAGGCACTAGGCATGGTGTGTTTCAATATCCATTGCCGCCAGGTCGGCGATATGCCTGGGTGAAAGCGCTGGTAAACAGCCACAGAGCCAGTTTACTAGCTACTCGGCTATCCCGCGTACGATTGCTGCTGCCAGGCACTCTGCTTGCATGTAGTGCGTCGAGTACTGCGGTGACTCCGTGATCGGTAGCCTTGGTTTATCTCGTGGATATCAAACGGATGAAACCCCTCGTCATCTCTGAAGCTGGAGAGAGCCGAGGTGATATCGCCTTGTTTCGTTTTATTTAGTCTTAATTGGAAACACCAGGTATCCGTATTGTCTATGTATCTGGGCCAGGTTCAAATGCCGTCCTCGCATCGTTTGACCAGTTGGCCCGAGACGGCAAGGCCTTCCCGGCTTAGCAAGGTTCAAGTCATGGTGTTGGCTGGCTGGAAGAATGCTCATGCAAAGAAGACGGAGGCGGATATGAGCGCTTGTCTGGGCCTAAACCCGGCTATAAGTGAGTGCGTCAGTATGAAGTGTTTTTGCTGCAAGACGAGCCACTAGCCGCCAATAGTTGTACATGCTAGACCACCGGGCCAGCAATACCGGATGGGAGCCGGCCAATGGACTGCAGTAGCAGCCGGCCGGTCCAGATGCGGGTGTGATCGTCTGTACAAGCATTGAATGCCAGGCATTTGCCTGTATGTGTTGGCCCTATCTTTGATGCATCTACTCGCGGCAGCCTGGTGTGCGAGTTTTGTGTCGCCAACATTTGTTAAGGGGCTTGTATGCTCCGTATGGTGCGATCCGAACGTTTGTACGACGACTGTTTCCCGTAGCATTCAGCATCCAACATACATTGGCCCAGAATCCTCTTGTTTGCACATAGGGATGCCCACCTGCATCCCGAACTCGACGTCTCAATAGCAGCAGCAGTCTTGATTCTACTTGTGTCCAGCAAACGAAAAGCGCTGGGTTCCTGGCAGCGCGATTGGATCTGATTCGGTACATCTTCCTGGTCACCGGGCTCTTGTTAGTTGCAGATTCGGATCTGCTGCCGCCCGCTGGCTGTTCGTCAACCGTTGGACTCATTGTTGTTTGTTTGATGGGTAGGCAGGTAGCCGTTGTAGTTAATTGGGCCAATCCTCCCAGCTGCCCGGAAGGGAATATCTCCAGGGCATATTGCTCCGTACCTGCCTCACTATCTCCTTGGCCTCTGCCTCTCACCGACTTGGCGGCAGAATTTATTTCCATCTTGTTCTATTCTTGACTCATCAAACCATCTAGCTTCCATTCCAACAGCAGCATCACCACCTCAGCAGCCTCCATCATTCATTACTTGATTACTGTGCTCGGAGCACCGGACCACTGCTTGGTTCCCCGCGCCGCTGCATACGTCTGTGTGTCTCCATGCGGCCAGTGGTGTGTCTTGTTGGCGCTACACCGACAGGGGTCTGATTACCTGGGAACACGAAGTGCCGTACTCATCGGCCTGCCTCTCGTTGACTCTCGTACCAGCGGCTGATCTCCGTTTGCTCGTTTGAAAAGCACTAGTAGTATTTCTTCCATCTCTTTTTTTCCCAACCCTTGTCTCGGCATCTGGCACAGCTGAAGGGCAAAAGGGAGAGAAATTGAACGAGGCTTACCAGAAGCAGGACGCTTCATTTCCACACCAGCCTCTTCATCCTCCTGTGAGGCGTGCGCTCTTCCGTCTGCATCGGGCAAAGCCTCCCAAAAACAGCACTCTTGAAGCTCGGCAGCGCTTTGATTTCGTCTGGCTAGCGCATTCATCGCTCGTTCGCTTTACATTCTAGTAAGGGCCCGCTCTTCGTTTCCTCGTCCCCACACCCCCCGTGTCCCCGGAACTCGAAATCTGGGCTGGTCGTTGAGCCGGTTCGTTGATTTGATCTGCCAAGGTTCACTGGGTGGCCTTTTTTCCATCCTTTTTTCCCTTTGACATCCATCCATCTGCGCATACATAGCCAGTCTCTAACCGAGACTGTTGAATCCACTTTACAGCCTCGAAACGTTCGTTAACTCGCCGGCACCGCCTTTTCTTCTTTTTTTTACGCGCTCTTCTTACCACGGATGAATTGAACCGTGTGATACGCTCCTTTGTCGAGATTCGCCAACCCCCTTTGGTGCTGCTGCGCCCATCCCGCATTCCTCGCATCGCTTTTCCACGGCGGATTTTCCAACTGAAACATGTCGGCTCCTGCGGATTCTACCATGAGCGGTGGCAGCGCTGCTCCTGGCAACGACTCGGGCCTCGAACAGCCCACAGATGCTGTGCTGATGAAGAATATCCCTCAGACGCCTGAGGCAGGCGACAATCCCAGCGATGAGGCGACTACCGACGCGGCTAAAGACACTTCCGCTGTCGCGACGACATCGACCGATACCGTATCTACCGATGATGGCGAAACAGCTGCCCCAACTTCATCGTCAAAAGGCAAGGAAGTAGCCAGCGCTCCTGAGCCGATAACCACGACCAAAGAAGATGTCACTCAGCAAGACACTCCTAAGCAGGACGCCCCAAAAGACGAGTCTTCCAAAGAACAGAAGCCCAAGGAAGAAAAGCCAAAGGAGGACAAGCAGGGGGAGTCAGCTATGGCTATCGGTCCGGCAGAAGAAGAGATCAAAGCTGCTGGTTCTGGAGGCGCCGACGGTCCAGTTTGCAACATTACTCTGTTGCTAGCATCTGGGGGCCGACATCCTTACAAGATTGATGCCAAGTACCTTAGCAGGAGACATGTCGCCATGCCGGATAAGGACGAGAGCGGCAACCCTGATCCATTCAGCATCAGTATCTACACGTTGAAGGAACTGATTCTGCGGGAATGGAGATCTGACTGGGAGACCAAGCCTGCCAGTCCCAGCAGCATAAGGCTGATTCATTTTGGCAAATTATTAGATGATAAGGAGCAGCTAAAGAGTAAGCATAACCCGCATTCTATTCCTTTTCCTCTATCAGTTTCCAGCTCGTTTTCATCAGAGGCTCCTCCTCTCTTATATTTGATTTATTGATTATTCATGTTCAATCGCTGACACTGGATATAGAGTATCATTTTCTCCCCGATAGCCCCAATGTGGTCCACATGAGCATCCGGCCCCAGGATCTTGATGAGGAGGAACCTAAGAGTGGGAGCAAGAGCCTCCCTGCGGGCGCCACACATGGGGATGGCGCGAGAGAGGGACGTTGCTGCATTATTTTATAAAGCGATAATAGCGTTTGGTGCCAACACCACGTACCACCTCGCCCCTCTGAGCCACTTCTTGATTAGCCTTTGATGGCAATACATATGATCGATCGGACGACTGCAAAGACGTGTTTGCATAGACCTTGGCCGCAGAGACGGGTGTTCTGGCTTGAGCGGTTTCTGAATGGCAATCTGGCTTGAAAGCATTCATTGGTTCAGATACAGCTGCACGTAAGGACGGCTTGCTGTATCACTTTGACATTAATATTCCGTTTCTACAAGTTGCTTTTGGAGGAGGGGATTCTTTTTATTTGGTTTTTATTGAAAGTACTTGCCCCCTTTTGTGCGTTTTGTGTTTATTACTTTCATTGTCATTTTCGTTTAGCCACTCAGGGAAGCAGCGCGAAGGGAATTCAAGAAGCGGAAGAATCTGGGAAAATCGGGGATCATTGCCGGCGTATGTTAACATTATTGATTCATGTACAATTGTGCCCTCTGTTTCGGTTCTTTTACACTCCTTATACTTTTCATAATTTCAGAAGGACCCCGTCTCCAGGATGGAGATGGCTGTTGCTATTACAGGATAGAAATGCAGAACATATTACACTACTACTACCTTGACGCCATACTGATGAAGCTATCGATGTTATCAGGCCTACGCAGATGGTAGCGATGCTGGTTTTGTTTTTGACTTTGTATTTCTTTTGTTCCTTGTTGGACTGTTCATATACATATCTCCTGCAAATCGGGACGCAGAATCATGATGCAGTCTCGGAAATCACCATGCCCATCTCCTTTTTCCAGGTCGGGCATACACACAAGGCTCGAATAGCTTGGTTTCCTTTTCTATTACCCTGTTCTATATCGATCGCTAGCCACGCCTCCCCATTTAATTAATCTTCAGCTTCTTCTCCATCTCGTCATGGATTCCAGGCAGCGCTCTCGACTCTTCACCGGTAAAGACATCCTCCCAGGTAATCATATCCTCTCGCCCCCTCAAGATATCCTCGTGGACGCTGGGAAGGCCGCCGCCGAGAGCCATGGGCCGCCACTCGCCCTCGCGGACAATCTTGAGCTCCATGCCCCGGCGGATGGGCTCGGCGATGCCAAAGGTGCGCTTGAGGGACTCCATGCGGACGGCCTCCTGGGTGGCCTCCCAGTTCTTGAGGCGGGCCTCGAGCGGGTGCGTCGAGACGGGCTTGTTGGAGGCGGCGTCAAAGGCCGAGACGCCGACGCCGTGGCGGAGGGTGTCGTGGATGCCGGGCGCGGAGGGGGCCGAGGAGGAGTGGGAGGCGTGGGAGAAGGTTGTGGGTGCCTGGGAGGCGGGGACGATTCGCATAGACTGAGGAGGAAGAGAAGAGGGGATATTGTTAGCTGGAAGATGGGAAGATGGAGGAGCTTGGAGAGGAAGCTGATTCTCTTCTTACCATGATGGGTGGTTTTTGTGAGGATTGGATGCCTCCACTGGGGTGGGAGTTGGACAGGAGAGGGAGGTGCTCGATGTAGCTGGTGCTGGAAAAAAAAAAAAGAGCCGGTAAAATCTGGTGGCAGCGATTGATTTGTGGTAAAAAGACGAAGAGACAAGTCGTTGAGGTTGATGGTGATGACGGAACGCAGAGCTGCCTCTGGCTCGCTACAGGCGCCTTACCTTGGCAACTCTCCAAGCTACAGGCTCCAAGCAGCCTCGCGTCCACTAAAAGCGCTGCTGCTTGCTGCGAAGGAGGGGTACGTACCTTTTTTCGAAACGTTCGTGCCCCCACTTGCTGGAGTCGGAGATGCTCCATCCAGTGCCAAATACCCTGGACCGATCGCGGAGAAAGCTGGTGTCAACATCAATTCGTTGCATGACGGCGTCGTTGAATACATACATGATTTCGTTTCTTTCTTTTTTCTTGTTCTTATTTCTCGATCTGTGACTCATTTGTGTTGTCTAGTTTTCGCCCAATCTTTTGGTTATTGATCTGATTGGGTCCGCAATAGATCTACCTACCTGCCAGCTCTCATTTCAAGTCATTGGAGCACATAGTCTCTTCTCATGTCCAATTACAAAATACAGGACCCAATTTGCTCTTGAATATAGATTCGAGCCATGATCAGAAACATACCGCCCTCGGCGCGATCTCCCATCGTTCGCATCGCCAATGGCACCTTTTACCGGCACCATCCGAATTCCCAGCCATCATCTCACGCCAATCCTGCTCTATTCAAAGATCTCCAATTTGAGCTGCCATCATCATCGCCGGAGCCGCATAACTGGTGCATCGTTGGGCCTTCCTTGTCCGGGAAGACGACTTTTTTGCAAGCTCTGAGAGGGAGGCTGCTTTGTGAGCCTCCCACGGCGAGATCGTACCCATACCTGTCATCAGATGCCGTATCTTCGAGACTGAGAACCCCCAACAAGGCGATTCAGTATGTTGGGTTTGATGCTGAGCAGGCGGCCGGAGGATTGGGCGGTGCAGTGACAACATCGGCATACCTCGCTGCGCGGTATGAGTCTCGCAGGGAGATTACTGATTTCTCGCTGAGAGACTTCTTGTTGGGCAATACGGAGCTGAACCCTGCCAAATCTCCCGGCCAGGAGAGCCAGGAAGAGGGCGGGATATCAACTGAACTGCTGAAACGCGTTGTCAAGGACCTTAGACTGGAACATCTGCTGGATCTGCCTGTGACATTCCTGAGTAACGGCCAAGGCAGGAGGGCAAGGATAGCTCGAGCACTTCTGACGAGGCCCGAGGTTTTGCTTCTGGACGAGCCGTTCATGGGACTCGATCCTCCGACGGTGACGGGCTTGAGTCCGCTGCTGGAGTCTCTTGCCGAAAAGGCCAATCCGCGACTGGTGCTGAGTGCCAGGCCGCAAGATCCTCTCCCAGAATGGATTACGCATCTGGTATACCTGAGAATGGACTGCCAGATTGAATCAATGGGACCGAAGGAGGTTGTGCTGGATGGCCTGAAAAAATACATCCAAGGCGTCAAAGTCGGCGGGCTAGCAGAAGATGAAAAGCTGCCTATTCATACTTTGGCTGACATTGGGCGAGTTTTATCCAAAGATTCTGCAGCTCACAGTCACGACCAATCGGAAGCTTCTTCGACTTCAGCATCATTTAATTCACAGCAACCTATGAACCCCAATGCTGAGCCTCTGGTTGAAATGGATGGTTGCCAGGTCCGCTATGGTGATAAAATTGCTCTTGGAAACTGGTCACAGAAGACGCCTCACGGTGACAAGGCTGGCCTGATTTGGACTGTCCGGCGAGGTGAACGCTGGGGCGTGTTTGGTCCCAACGGCTCGGGCAAAACAACCATTGTTTCTCTTCTTGGCTCTGATCATCCGCAGACTTATTCGCTGCCTATCAAGCTCTTTGGGCGAAGCCGTCTACCTGAGCCAGGCTCTGGACAGCGGCCGCTCACCTTTTGGGACATTCAATCTCGTATCGGCCATTCCAGCCCAGAGGTCCATCAACACATGCCGAGGAGCCACACAATTCGACAAGTGGTTGAGAACGCGTGGGCAGAGACCTTTGGCGCAAAGCCCAAGCTGGGCGCCGAGGCAAAAGCCAAAGTCGAGGCAGCTCTCAAATGGTTTGAACCAGAGCTAAAGCCAAACAGCGCTGCAGGCAGCGAGGGCTTGAAATGGGCCGACGACTACATGTTTGGTGAGATTTCATTCAGTGCTCAGCGCGTGGCGCTATTCATACGGTCTATGATTAAGGGGCCCGACATTGTCGTATTGGACGAGTCGTTTAGCGGCATGGACGACGCTGTGCGAGACAAGTGCACGCTGTTCCTCACTGATGGAGAGGCGAAGACTTATGTAGGCGAAGAGATTGTGCAGAGCCAGCAATCCAAGGACGGCACCGTCAAGGTGGAGGGATTGTCGGACCAGCAGGCGCTTATATGCATTGCGCATATCAAGGAGGAGGTTCCGGACTGCGTGAGAGAGTGGGTTTGCTTGCCGGAGGCGAATACGAAGCAGCCGGCGAGGTTTGGGAGACTGGATGGTGCCTTGAGGGAAGAGGAGAAGAGATGGAATGAGATTTGGGGGTTCTGAAAGTGTCGTGTTTGCTAGGGATTTGTGATGCATTTACTCTTATTTATACAGGCACTTGTGCTTTTATGCTGTAAAGTATAAGCTGCAATGAAGGGTTACAAGATGGCAGCATGTTTTCAGCCAAGCTTAGAATGAAGCCCACCCAAGTTTTCAACCTTTTATGACCAAACTTGAGTTGTTAAAATTCATGTAGAAACAGAAATTGTTTGGACGCATTCTGGTATCAACGAGTCTCGTGATGTTAATCGCTGGGCTTGTTCATATGATGATGCCCACAGCAACGCCAGGCACGTGAGCCTCTGCGCCGCTTCCCGACGTCATCCCAGCAAGCCGAACCCCCAAATTCAAGCAACAACTTTGTTTTCGCATTTCGCAACTCACCGATCGCATTACATGCTGAACATGCAAACGCCGATGTGCGCCCCCTTTATGAATATCTGCATAATATTGATTTGATAATATCCGAAAGGAAAGAGGGCAAACAATACACCCACCATGGCCGACGAAGAAACTCTCACGACGAGCCACTGCCTGCCATTCATGTCCCTTACAGAACCTATTGAAGTCAGCGAATTAAGGTATCCTTCTTCTTTCTATTTATTTGCGTATCAGATGGACAGATATTGTACGGATTCGACGTAAATGATGGTCTGACAGCCTCTGCAATAGATCGGATGGCTTCACCGACGCCTCTGCATTTTTCCAATGGCCGTTTCCTAGCCCGCTCTTGTTTGTCAATGAGAGCAGCGATGCAAGAGACCACTGCGCCAACGAAAGAAGTGAGTTTATCCTGCTTACCGACTTTCCTTCTTTTTTGGCAATATTTCATCAACCTCAAGTTGTGAAATACTAACCGCAAAATTAAAATCACGGGTAGCCTTCCTTTCGTATCTTCGCCTGTCTATATACATGGCCATTGTGTCCGTCGCCATCACCGTCTCGTTCCACATCAAGGGCACGCCTAGCGACCTCGAGCGCCGGGTAGCGAAGCCGCTCGGCGGAATCTTTTGGATTTTATCTGTAGTGACTCTAGTCCTAGGCGTGGGGAACTATATAAGTAAGTCATCTAATCATGCCGCTGGGAGCTATCCAAAGAGTTTCCACGACGCTGTGTGTCTAACTGCACCTTTTTTTTTTTTACCCTTCTTTTAGGAACTGTCAACATGTATGGCAAACGAGCTGCCATTGTGCAATCTGGTTGGAAGACACAAGTAGTAAGTTTTAGGCGCATCTATTTGTATTTGACCCGAGTCTGTGTTGGCTTACGCGTGTGCAGATTTTGGGCTTCATTGCCTTTTCTATTATCGGGACGTGCATCATACTTCTTGTTATAGACAAAGTGCGTCAAAAATGACACGGACAACATTGCGAAATGGTTCTTTCTTTTGCTGAATCTTTTTTTTTTTTATGCCCTTGGGAACACAAAGCTCAATACAAAGCTCTTGATAAGTTGTGCAAATATTAGCCCATTGATTCAAAACAACATGAAATATAAATTACACATATATGACAACAACTCCGCCATGATAACATCAAATAACTCCAAATGCCCGTACAAATTCGCCTTGCGCCATACCCCAATCCAAAGTTTATCTACCATTGGTAAAACAGAACAAATCTCTAGCATACGGCTCGGCTGCCGGAAGAAGCCCCGCGCTCTCATCCTTACATCCTCCGATCTGTGCACGGAAGGCTTGCGTATATTTTGCTGCAGTCCTCGCAATGGCGCCGTCATCCGTGTCTTTGCCATCCCAGGTCAGCCACGGCAAGTGGTAAAGGAGTGGCATGTCGCCATCATGCGGAAGCGTAGCTAGCATATCTACATGTGATGCAGGGTCAAATCTGCCCAAGGCGAGCTTGACAGAATCTTGTTCCTGCTCAGCAGTTTTCTCTTCGTCGTATTCTTCCGGTACATCATGAAGATCTGTGTGGACGCCGACTATGGTATTGGCGGTCTGACGGGTAGGGTAGAGGGTGAAGTATCCTCGAAGCCGCGAGAGCTGCAGAATGTATTCCAGCCAAGCGGGATGCTTTTTACCAACCTTCTTCTTGGCAAAAAGATCCGGCGTTGTGGATGAAGCATGCTGCTTCTCCAGCAGCTGAGATACGTAGCCATGAAGCTCTACCCATTTGTCGCCAAAAATGAGAATCGCATCGCTGCTGGGAGCCTGCCAAAGAAAAGGCGTGCCCTCTACATCAGACTCCTGTCCCTCTAGCGCCGTTGGTGGCGTGAAGGGAGTGACATCGTCGAGATACGCCGTGGGTGCCGAGAGACTGATGCCGAAGAGTTTATTCTCCCAGTGTTGTCGGTTGGCAATGGTCGCGTATCGCCGCTGCAGGATCGAATATTTGACATCTTGCTCAAATTAGCGTGGCGAAAGTCAGCCAAAATCGGTGGGAAATCTTACAGTGAAAAAACTGAGATGTAATCTCAGTATGAGGCGATAGCACTATAACATGGGAGTGAAAGGGCTTGGCTGGCCAAAACGACTCCAAGAATCTGACAGCGCTCTCCTCTTCAGTCATTTTCTGTCGAGGGATGCGGTGGCGAAGCGACAGCAGCTTTGTTTTAGGAGCCACGCCGTGAACCTTTGGTGGCCATTCATAACCGTTCAAGAAGTTGGTTAGGTCGTCTTCGACCACTGATGGAAGCTCGATGGTTAAATGGGGCGGAGAGACTCCAGCCAAATCCGCTCGAGCAAGAGACCTGAGTAACCGCTTGAGATTGCCTGTGCCATGCTGAGGAGCCTGGATAATAATATCAAGATTGACCTCATTCCAAGCTGTGGCAACAAGGAGTCGTTAGAATGTGTGTGAGTCAAGGGTAGGTGCTCAACGAATCGCCTTACCTGCTAAAGCAGAAGAGTCAAGCTTCGACAACCATGAGAATCGCTGGGCTGTCTTCTCCGAGAGTTCGATCAACGTAGCTTCTGTGTCTCGGATCTTATCACGAATACCGGAGAGAAAATAGCTTTCTTCAGTAGATGAAGAGTCTATGATGATTGCTTGTGGGTGCATGTAGAGGTTGATGTAATCTGACTCTCTGTTAGAACAAGACCAGCTACTCCACAAAAGACAGTACAATGCCAGCTGATTTGCACTTACGCAAAGCTCGGGTTACAGAAAGGACCATCCGGGGCTCAGCTGCTATTGTGGAATGGTCAGGGCGAGCATCTATGTCAATCGGTTACATCAGCATTTCCCCGATATCGTTATTGTCTGAGTCTAGGCCTCAGAGTTGAGACAGAGTTCGTCGTACCGTGCATAACCAGGGGACATGACTTGTCAATGCCGTTGATGGCCAGCAACTCCTTGATGGAAATATCACTCCTGCTCATCAGGGCGAAATGCACATAGCTCTGACGCTCTGTGGCCATTTGGCATGCCATTGGGAGAAGCAATGCAGCGCTTTTAAGGCTAGCCGCCGAGAATAAGACATTGCGGTTATGCTGCATCCTCCCCTGCGTTTCGAGCATGATGGCTTCCAACGAAGAGCCCAAATGCGGAAGCTTCAGTGGTCCATTATACGGCTTAGACGGATCCGCCGCAGCCTTGGTTCCACTGCCATCAGGTTTGGCTTGAGGCTTTGGCGTCTTTGGCGTCTTGGGCGTTTTAATGATGGGAGGATCCTCCTCCATCCGCGGTGTGTCATATCTGGGAGGAGGCCGTGGTCTCTCATACATGGGCATCAAGTTTACCGGATCAAGAGATGAGGCGCCTGCAGCCGGACCGATGACCCTGAAGAGCCCATAGCCCGTCAAGAAGAAGGCAGCGGCGTACAGAACAAGCCGGAGCACAGAGGCCACGCCCAAAGATGCTTTGGGGGCAGGTTGCCAGTGCTCAGCAGGCTTGGAGTGTCGAGGCAGGCCGAGATCATCGTCCTTTTTGCTGGCCTTTTCCTCGTCGTCGCGCCAAAGCTGCGACAAGGCCCAGCCGCCGCGGAATGCGGAAGGAGGCATGTTCTTGCCTTGAGCAGCTCAAGTTTAGCTGAGCAATATTGAGGTGAGCAATGCTGGTTTAGAATGTCTCAGCGCAGCTTACAAGGCCATATAGGGGCAAAACAGGAGGTGAGAGGGAGGTGTCAATGCGGAACCAGCGGTTACATGGCGGTATCAGTTCTGGCGCCGATTGTTCGTCCCTGTTGCTGAATTGAGAGCTCTGCAGCGATACGAGTTGATAAAAGGTGAGTGAATGAGACGAAGCGAAATGGGTGTTGTGGCAGCTTATGGCTTGTGTCTCCATAAAAGGCTAATTTGGGAGCTCTCGTCGTCCTAATACGGGATCTGGGCAGAGCTGCTGATTAGATAAGAAATCTACAGCCGTGGCGCATGTTCGGATGCCTGATGCGGACAGACGCAGCAACGCTGAAGACACCAAGACGATGCTCAAAATACAGGGCGCCATCCTCTGGAACCGCCTAAACTTATGGGGCACTCGACTGCTAAATGCGCCATTGGAGCGCTGTGACTGGCCTGAACGGATCTGCAATCTGCAAGCTGGAGGGGCAATTTTTGTTCACGGTGGGGTACGAGCAGCCAACTTGGGACAAAAGGAAAAAAAAAAAAAACTTGATACAGCACTTCAGACATTGTAAACATTCAACCGCATCATCCAAACTCATATCAACTTTTATACACTACAGCGATTGACTCATTTCTAGCTTCTCATCAATCTCATTCATTTACCGCATAGACATACATTATGGGCAAATCAAAGAAACCCAGAGCCGGCCACCGCAGCGATCCCGTTGCCAAAACCGTCAAGCCTCCTTCAGATCCTGAATTGGCTGCCCTCAGAGAGAGCAAGATTCTCCCCATCATCAACAATCTCAAAAGCGCCGATCCAAAGTCCCGTTCTACGGCCGCGTCTGTAATTTCCAGCATCATCCAGGACACAAAGTGCCGCAAACTGCTGCTCCGAGAGCAGATCGTCTACACGGTTCTTACTCAGACTCTGACAGACGCCGCGCTTGAGAGCAGAGCCGCTGGATGGGGCATCTTGCAGGTGCTTGCTCAAGAGGAGGAGGCCGACTTTTGCGTTCATCTCTACCGACAGGATGTGCTGACGGCGATTGAGTTTGCTTCAAAGCTGGTGAGTTGAGACTCGATTATACAAGTGAGAGCTTACCTTGACGCAAATCAATTATTTTAGATTCAAGACAAGGTCCTCTCAAAAGAGGCCCCCTTTGCAAAGCTACCCAAAGCGGAAAAGGGATTTACATCAAGCATTGCGGCATCTCTTGTCTCACTACTGATGGCCCTGGCTGAGGCGGAAGATGAGATTCTGGAATCAATCTCCAACAACAACACCATCACCAGCCTGCTCTTCTCACTCATCACATATACCTCTCAGGACGATGAAGATCCTATATCGGCCATCCGTGGAGACGCCATGGCTTGCCTGATGGTCTTATCCGAGGACAACACGAACCTAGCAAAATACATGACAAGCACTCCCGCCAGCATCGCCTGCTACGAGACACTGGTATCCCTAAAGGACGACGTCAGCGGCGATGGCGTCTTGGCCTGCACCGTGCTTCACAACATTTACGCCTCTCTTCTCGAAGTGAAGAATCTGTCGCCAACGATCGATGTGGCTGACGACGCAGATCTGATACCAACGCTCACCAAGGCTATGGCTGGCTTTGTCCCCGGCCAGGGCGAGGCAAACGGCAGCGGCTGGTCCAGCCCATCAGAGTTTCAGCAGCTGGCCTTGGAGACAATTGCATCCATTGGCACAAGTCTTGGTGTTGAGATGGGAGGCTCCGCTCAGCTGTTCACGAAGAAGGAATTTGGAAGCGGTGCGGCCGCGGCTGGGAAGGAAAGTGGCGATGAGAATGACGATGAAGATATGGACGAGGCTGGTGATGATGTCGGTGATGATATCGAGGGCGAGGATGGAGATGAGGACGAGGGCGACGATGACGATGACATGAATGAAGATGAGATTGAAGCCGACATGGACATGGTCACTGGCGTCGATCACGGCGACGACAACATTGACGATCTCCCGACCCTCAAGTCTCTCGTGCAAATCGCCATTCCCGAGCTCATCCGCCTCGCCAGCCTCCAGCCAACCGACGACCTCTCCCTCAAGATCCAAGGCCACGCCCTCTCCGCCCTCAACAACATCGCCTGGTCCGTCTCCCTCATCGACTTCTCCGAAGACTCCAACAACGATGTGCTCGGCGCCTGGACCCCCATCGCCCGCGCCCTCTGGCAGCAAGTCGTCTCCCCCATCCTCGCCTCCGACACCGCCGACGTCGATCTCGCCACGCAAGTCACCAGCATTGCCTGGGCCGTCGCCCGCGCCCTCCACGGCGAGACGCCCCTCCAGCCCAACGAGCACCGCAAGTTTGTGTCCCTCTACCAGGCCACCAAGGGGGCGCCCGCGCTGCAGGACCCCGAGGATCCCTTCCAGGCGCTCGGCGTCAAGTGCGTCGGTGTGCTGGGGCAGCTGGCGCTGAATCCGGCGCCTGTGGATCTGAACCGCGAGATTGGAACGTTCCTTGTTACTCTTGTTGCGGGCCTTCCCGGGACTCCTACTGCGGATGCTGTCGAGGCGTTTAATCAGCTTTTCGACATTTACGGAGACGAGGAGTATGCATACGATGCAGAGGTTTTCTGGAAGAGCGATTTCTTGAAGCATCTTGATGGAACCGTGTCAAAGGCAAAGGCAATGGCCAAGAGCGTCAACAAGAGCCAACAACCAGAGCTGAGAGACAGGGCAGATGAAGTTGTCATGAACTTGACGAGATTCTTGTCATATAAGAAGAAGCACAAGCCGATGCAAATGACAGTAAGAGAGAGGAGTTGATGGAGAAGAAAAAATCTTAGAAAGTAGATGTATATTTGTAATGGATAAGACTACATAAATCGCATAGTACGCCATGAGATAAAATAAAGATGAAGAAGAGTTGAAACAATCTGAAATCTTCAATTGCGCCTTTCCTTTCAATGTATGCCCATTCATCAACACCGCTCAAAAACCCTATAAAGTCCCTTCAAACTAGCCACCTCCAACACAGCTCCGTCCATGAGCCTCTTCGTCGCTACCAGCCGTGACCTAAACGCCGGAAAGAAGATGTGCTCAACAGCCCACCTGACGTGCTGCCTTCTGGTCCTCACTTCTTCGAGGGTCGTATTGTCGTCGTCTCCTTGTTCTGGTTCATCTCTAGTTTCATTTTTCCCCTCTGGAGACGTGGGCAGTGCCTCGGGAACATAAAACGTCGCCAGCTCGGTGATGAAGGTCTGAAAGCACTCCTTCTCATCGTCCCAGTTGACATGAGGTCCGAGACGGATGAGAAACCGGGGAAGCTTGCCCAGGGATGGCGTGTAGCCCTTGACGAGGAGCGGGATGGAAACCAGCTCGCCCGTGGGGGTAATTTCGAGAGAAAAGTACGCTTGAAGCATTTCTCTTCGTTCAATTAGCCGAATCGCTACCTTTGCGACCAACGAGTCGACATTGAGTTCTTCGTCGGTAGCTCCCATGGCCTCCTTTTCGACTTCGGCCCCGATTTTGAGAATTTCTCGGAGGTTTAGAGGCGGGTTGAAATTGATAACGCCAAAGTTACCAAAATCCGTGAGGCCTAGCTGATAAAAGTACTCAAAACACGTGTGCCCATAGTCTATCAGATAGAGTTTCACGCCTCCCTGAATGGCAGCCAGTCGCCGTCCTTCATCGACTACACCAACAAAGGTATGCGAAGCAATAATCTCCGTTAGCTCGTGGTGAATCTCGTCGCGGACTTGTTGGCGTAGTTCCTTGACACTCTTAAGGCGGCATTGTATTTGCTCACGATCCGTTGTTTCATACGTGACTGGCTCTGGGATAGCCCATGCTTCATCTTCGAGAGCTCCAGCGGGAGAGCCTGTCTTTTCAACAGTGCCCGCCGGCGAAAAGAGAGCCGTTATTTTCCCCTGAGATTTATCTGTTCGGACAAGGTCGTTTGAGTTTCGCCGTATCTTTCTAAGAGCGGGTGTAGTAAACTTGGGAGTGGCATCGCTGTCGTCTTCGTCCAAAGCCTCAACAGGTCTAGCTCCCGGCAGCAATGTCTGTGTCATAAACGTTCGACTCGTGTCCACAGTAGCGAGCTCCGACTCAATTTTCTGGCAGATGGCTTGTATGACCTCCTCTTCGTTGAGGAAGTGAACCTCTCGCTTGGTAGGGTGAACATTGACATCTACCCGGGCCGGATCGATTTCCAGGCTTAGATAGATGAAAGGGTGGCCACCCTTGGGCAGGAAGGCGGAGTATGTTTGTTCCAATGCCTTTTTCATGGTGGTTGATTCAACGGAACGGTGGTTGATAAACAAGAGTAACGTTGTCTTCTTGATGTGATAATTGGCATTTGTCACATACCCGTTGGCAGAGAAGCCCCATCGGTCATCAGAGACAGACAGTTCTATGAGCTCATTGGCAACGTTGCTGCCATGGATCTGACGGATGCGGTCTATCACAGTTGCTTGCACTTGGACGGAGAGAGCGTTAGAGGCCTCGCCCGCTTTTTTACAAGTAAAGCCAACACCTTTGCAATGAATCGCATATCGTCCGGCCATGTCAATAATCTTGTTGAACTCGTCAGCATAGGACCGAAATGCTCTCCGACGAGTTGGCACATTGAAGAACAAGTCTTCCACTGTAATCTGGGTACCCTGACGCCCAGCAGCTCCTTTGGGTTCGGCAGATTGCCCTGGCTTCGCAGGAACCAACTTTCCATCCAGGTAATGCGCACGCCAAGCGAGAGGCGAGTCCTTGGTCTTCGTCGTTACCGTAAGATGAGCAATGTGGCTGATACTGGCCAGGGCCTCGCCGCGGAATCCATAGGTGGCGATGGATGACAAGTCTTCAAACGTCGAAATTTTGGATGTTGTATGGCGCACGCATAAAATTTCCAAGTCTTCTTTCTGTTGGACATTTGAAGAAGAAGGGGTCAGCTGCGGTATAGACGAGCATTTGGGTGGTAAAAGTCAAAATACCTCAATCCCTCCACCATTATCTGTAATTTGAAGCATTTTTAAACCCCCGTCTTTTACCAGAATCTCAAGGGACGTTGAGCCTGCGTCCACAGCATTCTCAACCAACTCTTTGAGCGCATGGACAGGAGCCACAATAATCTCGCCGGCGGCGATCTTGTTGACAACATCAGGATCAAGAGCCTATTCAAAAACGAAAAAGGTTAACCAACAACAACTTTTTACAATAAATAGTGGGAGCCTCTAGGCCCCCAAATCCGGTCAAAGAAGATGAAGGACACAGCGTTGTACCCACCCTGATTCTTCGCGCAGGCTTCTGAGCCTCGTGCTCTTCCTCTGCCTTTCTCTTGGTCCCGCTCGGGGCGCTGTCAATTTCCATATTATCCATGACCGCTTTTCAATCTGACAAATCTCTCTTCAGCTGAATGATTAAATCACATCCGGACAATTTCGTAACATTTGATGCATGAACCATTGCAATAACGCCAATATCAGAGAAGAGAAGCCTGCGCAGAGCTACCCATATAACGAAACGCAGTTTTCAACAGTAATTAGGGAAAAGGCAAGACAAAGGTCGGAAGATCTCCATCTCATTCGCATTGATTCTTCTCGGAACTGGGGATGCAAGGCGGTGGAGGCAACTTCGACTTCGTACTTGGCTTACGCGAAGTTTCCACACTTGCACGTGACTCGCGAGAGGTACCTGGCTTTTGTACACGAACGTCAGATCATGCTTCGAGGGGATCGACTGGTAGCCAAATGGACAGGGAGAATAGGCATGACTTGCCTGTTATAAGGAAAGTCATGTATACCAAGCTATTTCCGATCACGTCTGATTTGTTAGACGTTGTATATGTTTCCCTCCATGGCATCGTTGCAAATATAAGACTCTAGCCAGAATAGAGGTTCTTGCATCAATACATATGAGCGCCAGCAGATGTCATGAAATTTCGGCAAGATGCACATAATTTATATAACAAGGAAATTGCTAAAACATACATTGGTCGTACTAATATCTAACCACTAGGCTATAGTGGTAAGCCTAAATCAGCCTCCCTGCCACAGATTATACCTGTTCAATGCGTAACAAAAACGAATCCGCCCCAGTGTCTATGCCTCAGCCGGCATGACCATACACATATGCCGCCTAACCATCTCTTTGTTGCCCTAGCCCAAGATTTGCAAAGCTTTCCCAAACGCTCTTGCAATCAACGTCAAAAAAAAAAAAAAAAAAAAAAAAAGCAAGAAAAAAACAACAACAAAACAGTAGCTCTTGCTTGAGTAAACTCCATATAACCCAAATAACAATCAAAAGGCATAGCGCTACGCTTAATCATTCAGTTCAGTGTTTCCTCTCCAAAAGTCACCGCTTCCAATCCACCTCCCCCTTTTGCCCTTGTGCCTAAAGAGATATAGAGAAAATAGAGAGGAAAATTCAACAAAAAGGAAATAAGAAAGAGACCAAGAAGGACAAAAAAAAAGAGAATCAGTCGCATGAGCTTTTTGCAGGCAGTTACCCCATATTTCGTTGATAAGATGAAAAAATCGAGTTTCATCCACGATTCAGCGTTACAAGACAGGATCAAAACAATGACATCGCTAAGTTCATTGAAATTTCAAATTCCATTTTCGAATATTTTGAAATGGAAACCAAACAATTAGCTCGAAGCGCCGGCGCTAATGATCAAATTGTCAAACAAGAGTAATACGCAAGATGGCCATGCTCAGTGGACAAGCACCCCGTTGTTTGACGAATACGTAGTTCCACTGCTGTTTCACGGCATCTGACTTCTTCCCGGGCATCGTGTCCATATGTTGAACCAGTCGAATAGAGCTAACGCCTGTTGATATCGCCGGGCTGCTCTAGTAAGCCGCCAATATCAACCCGTCTTGGTCGTTCAGCATTGGACCAGTTGACTTCTCGAGAAGAGGGTCTGTGATCTGTCTCCGCACGAATAGGAGGCAGCTGATAGGATGGCTGGGTTTGAGGTTGACTGGCAGGAACGTATTCGCTTTGGGATGTCTGATAACTTGACGCAGAGTATTGTGGCGGAGTATACGATGGGGCTCCCGAGCTAGAACTAGCATGTGAAACAGATGGATTATATGGCGATCGAATGGAACCGTCACTATGGCGATGTCGGTAAGACTCGGCCGAAGAAGAAGTTGGCTGATCACCGTAAGCCGCTTGGTGCGATACTGATGGACGATGATATGATGAGCTAGACTCTCGGGCACGCTGCAGACGCTGCGAGCGCTGCGCATGTTGAGCATGCTGTGCCTGTTGAGATTGCTGAGCGTGTTGTGATTGCTGAGAATGTTGCGCATGTGGGTGCTGTGGATATGGTGAATGTTGCGAAGATCCTGGCGGAGGGAGCTGCGGGTGAAGCTCTCGAAGGCTCAGCAAAAACACAATAAAATAGAATGATCCCTCTTTTGCAAGCCCAAAGCGAAGAGGGAATGTTCTGGTATAACCGTCATATCCGACAAAACCAAAATACTCCAGATGATTGAGGCGAAATCTTGACACATCTTCAGTCATGTATCCATAGTCCTTGATAGCAATATCCAATCTGCCTAGAATAGGAGGCAGGTAATTCGGTTCGAACGTTCGCTGTTCTTCAAATAGTTGATTTTGAAGGTTGGCGAGGAAAGCAGCCTGATGCGGCGTGACGATATCGCTCAGCTTATTTCCCAATGGGTTCGATGCATGGACTATTTCCATAAACATTGGCGATGCCTTGACGATATCAAAATCCATGCTCAAGTATGCCAGAGGCTCCATATTATTCGGTGGTGAGCCTTCATAAGTTGCGGTGTAAAGGTTCGGATCTGGGGCAGGAGGTCGCTCTTGGTATGCTACACGTGGGCCATTCTCGGTTGATGGAGGATCGAGGGGTCTGTAGGACTGATTTCGTCGGAGGGAGTCTTCGTATGGGGAGATGCCAGGCATTGTCGAGGGATATATACTTAGTGGCCTTCTCAACGTCGGCTCTTGAGGATTCGAATATCTAGATGGGTCGAATCTACCATCCCTTTCGTCTCGCAAACGTGGTCGTCCTCGTTTTTTATGCTGAACATCGACACAGGCGTCTTCTTTTCCGCTGCCAAGGCACCTGGAGCATGGTCTTTGTGCTGTGAACAAGTTAGCTCAGAGGTTTCATTTCATCTTACTTCTTCCATCCAGAGCTTTTCCGCCTAGCCAACTGTGGGAGCTGGAAGAGCTTGTAGATCCAATGAACACGCTTCTTCCACTAGAGGCTATTGAAAGCTTTAGTTGGCTCGTACATCTGGCAACAAAAGTTGCCCAATAGCCCCAGTACTACCTATGCGATTTCCTTCTTAGATAGGAAAAATCAAAAGACAACGTACCATCGCATCTAAGACAAGACGGTGTCAGCAATCAGCACAATCACAAAACGATACACTCATTGACACATCCTTCAGACGTTCTCTACTTACCGAAGATGAGCTTTTTTGCATGGTACGCAAGCAGAGGCAACGTGGCCTTTCGCTTTCCTCTGAGATTTCGGTGAAGTATACGGTTGAGGCTCGGTTTGCGGTCGATCAGGCACAGGGTAGCCTTCCGAATTCGAGGGCGTCGAAGTTGGATACGCTGTTTGAGAAATTGCCTGAGGCATTCCATGGTGGTGCTGAGAAACATAGGGGATAATCCTTCCCGATTCTTCAGGCCTAGGGTATGCATATGGAGATCTCATTGCTGGTTCTTGTGCATATGGCCTCGCCAGTGATGAGGCCTGCTCGCGAAGATTTCCAGGAGACAGTTGGGCGGGACCTCCACGAAGGCCATCCAGAACTCTGGAGGCAGTGTAATAGCCCGGAACTTCACTACCTCGACTACCAGCCTCTTGAGCCGGTCTCAGAGGCAAGGGTGGAGAACCGGACATAGGAGGTGAGGGATATGCCCTGCTCCGCACAGCCGACTCCTCTTGGTAGGCCTCTTTCCGGGTCCAATTGACGTCGAAGGCACTGCGGGTTGGATCAGGGTAAGCTTGGCGATGCCCAGGCACGAGGGGCGGCGTTGGATTAGAAGGATGTGTTATAAATGTCATGGATGGAATGTTTCGTGAATAACCTTTCCAGGGAGCCGCCAATAGCACCGAGTTTCTAAATGTTGGGTAGTTTAACTCTTGATGATGCAAAGAGAAGAATTCGAATCGTAAACCCTTTGACCTGAAATGATCTAATGAGCCACTCCTAGGTGTATAATCTCTTGAATTCGGATATAATTTTCGACAGGCAAATTTAAGTGTAGCTCGCAATCGGAAGCGAAAATTCGCAGCAATTTGCTGTTTGAGCTTAGGTACCGAAAGAGAAGGGGGGGATCTCGTCCTCTCATCAACGATGGCAGCCGAAAGAAATCAAGTGATTGTATGTAGGAAAATTCGATCTCTGAGTGCATCCGGTGTCCAGTATAGAGCGAAGAATAAACGGCAAAAAGAAAAGAAAGAAAAAAAGACCTAATTCGGCGGCTGGTGTACAGAGGATGAAAAGGAGAAGAATGGATAAAATAAAATAAATAGGTAGATAAATAATAGTCGGACGCAGGGAACGATCACGAGCCAGAGAGGCCAACTAACGAGCTCGAACCCAGAATTGAACCAAAGATCCAGCTAGGCGGAGAGCAACCGACGTGAAACAGGCGCCGCTGGAATAGTGTGATACCTGGTAGCCCAGAGATATTAGAACGCTTCGTGATACAGCATGCGGCCGTGTCGTCGGTGGTTATCGAGATGGAGCGGCAGCCCGCAGCAAAATCGCAAAGTTTCACGACTTGAGTGACGGGTTCTGGCGAAGCTGAAGCTGCTGAACCCGACAAAGTCGCTGGCCCGAACGACTGAGTCAGAAGAAAGGCACGACGGGGATCAGCCTCAAAATGGCTGATTGGCGGCTTACAGTCGGTTTTTGTGCGACTCTTGGGTCTAGTCCAAGGGACCCTGTTGCCAGATGCAAGGCAGTCGGGCCAAAGAAAATAGGGTTACTCGCCGAAAAGCCTGCAAGCACAAAGAGCTACTTGTACAGAGTAAGTAGGTAGCCAAGCAAGTAGTCAAGTACAAGTAGTGTTGAGAAATCGGGGGGGCCCACGGACCGAGTTCCTGGTCTAATAATGTTCTTATTGCAGCGGGTTAAACCAGAGACGACAGGACATGGCTTGTTCCAGACGATCCCTGCCCGGTCAATCCTATCTGACAATTCTCCGCTGGCTTGTCTCGAGAGGGGAGAGGCGGCCGCCGTGCGTGTGAGATTTCACAAGCGCAATAAGACACTGGAGACGGCTATGATTGGGGCAAACTGGGAAGGGAAAGGCGGGAAACCAGAAGAAAGCTGTGGAGGTTGGGTGGGGAGGGGGGGTGTATTGTATCTTGTCTATCTCGTGGAGGCGTGCTGGCTGGGGTGAGAGCTCGGCAGCAAACAAAGGATTGCTGCCACCGTACGAAGTAGGCAAAGATGGCTTGGGCGGTAGCCGCAGAAATGGACGGTAAAGAGACGGTGATGGAGAGGCACCATGGGCGTAAGAAGATGTGATACAGCTGAAGGAGACTAAAACCCGGAGCTCTCAGCCGGGAGGCGGCAAACTGGAGTTGGCTGGGTGATATCTCTCCCCTACCATACGTACATGTTGGTCCGGGGGACGATTTGTAGAGGGTTGTTATTTAACTCTGTTCCCCGACCAAAATTAAGATGCCGGGATAGCCTTGGCGTTCTAGAAATGCATCTAGCATGTATGTGCACATGGCGTTCAAGTTTTGGTACTCGCATATAATGCTACCACTGGGAGCAAAAATGATCAGGGGTGAGCGACTTTTGCCATGCCTGACAAGTCAACGAACGGTCAAGGGTGATGATCAAACCGGCGACAACAGGCAGAGCAAGGCAGGGCTAGAAAGACTTTGGTGCACTCGGTATGTAGAAGGCCTGGACGATGTTCGGTGCCGGCCCATGCGCATGTATGGAGTACCTGGTGGTACTGGCGCCAGACACAAAAGTAAAGGCTTACGAGTGAGCGATGATAGCAGTAGTGGAGATGCTGCTGCCTCCTCCTCCCTAGAGCTTTCAAAGTTGGCACACTGGTTCTCGTACATCCATGGCTCGCATTTGCCCTGAGAGACAAGGAGCTTACATGGGAGTCGGGGAAGCTAGCAGACCTGGGATTAGCAATCCTAGCAAGCTTTGCAAGCAGTAGCGTGTGCAAGTTGGTTAAATAGCAAGGCCTTGGTGATGGATTGATGGATCGGAGAGATGGCTTCATGATCACAGATGGACCACGGAATGGCCACCACGGATCAGGTCCACGAACCTTGGGAGGCTGGGCTACCGAAGAGGGTGTCCCCAGGGCGCCTCTGCTTAAGCGGGCCGGCGCTGAGTGCTAGATTTCTACGAAGCACCATCCGGCTAAAACAATCAAAGTGGCATCATGGAGCCATGGTGGGGATGACACGAGCTGGACGCTTAATTAGGGACCGTGCCGGACCCTGCGCCCAGGCCCTGCTTGCCAAACATGGCTACCAAGTCCAGCGCCCTCTCCATCTTTCCAGTTGGTGCCCAGAGCTGTGGATTGGACCCGACTTTGTCGACAAGGCTGGGTTGAGTTTTTGGGATACGGCATGGGTCCTCCGAAAGAGTCTTCATCCAATCACCCAGGCGCGGTGCGCATAGACATGGGGGCACGCGACGACGGGACTCAGGTCGGAAGCCGAGTGAGTTGGTACTTGTACTCGTACAAATGGCTTGCTGGCAGTCTATTAAAGACTTTGCAAGCTCCCACACCGAGGTAGGATGGAGAATAAAGTAGCAATACTTGGCGATCAAGAACCCTGGCCATTGTAGAGAAGGGCATGATGGTGGTGCAAGTATAGACTGGCTGCTGGCTGCGAGGTGTCCAATAAGACATGACTGGAAGAATAACAATAGAAACAGCAAGCAGCTCCGCCGCATCACGCAGAGAAAGCGTGGCTTTGTGGCTTCGAGACATTGGGGGATCTAAAACATACAAGTATAGACAGATTGCCCCCCGACCTATCCTGACACTAGCCAGCATTTTGCTCGTCGTCATCTGACAGCAAGACAATCAAAGCGTGAGCCCATCACTTTTGTCAAGGCACCAGAAAACTTGAGGCCAAGCAAGGTCGGCGACACCGATCCCACTCTGAATCCGTCCGTGCGGCTGGAGGATTCTATGCACTCCGCCGGCAGTAGGAATATACCGACTGTGTTCCGATGTGCCAATAACGCTTGAAGATCCGCAGTTGTACTAGCATGAGAGTAAACCTTGTCGCAACGGAAAAAAAAACCGAATGGCAAAGTTAGCCCCCAAGTGGCTTCAGGCACAAATACTTGGAGGCATTGCTGCACTCCTTGCTGAGACGTGAGCTGAATGCCTTCCCACTCGGATGACGTTTTGTGGCGGCCTGTCATTGGGTCGGTGGGTCGCTTTTTCTCATCCCATTTTGTGTCACTCAATAATGCCTTTAGGCTTCCAGCTTAGCAATGTAACTGCAATGGCTGGGACGAGGGAGCAAGGTACCATGTACGAACGAGATCGTCGGTATAAGACAGCCTAACCCTTATATTCCCGTCGAGTCCAGGTGATGAAACGAGGTCTCGCCCAAGCCAGCCCGAGGCTCTAGCCCAGCTTTTCTCCCAAAGCTCCGTGGTATTAAGATCCGACTGAGTGCTCCGAGGCTGCAGAATATGATGGGAGATGAACGGGCCAGCCTGCGGTCCGCGGGCATTTTGGGAGGCGTGTCATTTAGCGTATGGAGCGGCGCCTCCCCTTGTCAAAGCGTGGCAGCTTGCCGGCTGGTATGACCCAAGATTTCCGATATTAGTTTCTCCATCACGTCAAAAAGTAGCTCGTGCCTGGGAGCGCAACGGGTACTTGGCGGGTACCAGTACAGATCCAACCACAGTACCTTTGTCGAGCCTGCAGCTCTGCTTTTGCCAATTGTCGGACGGGTCGTGGGCGAAAGACCTCAAACGCCTACCGTTGCCTTACTAGACCGAAAAGTAAGAAGTTGCTGTTGCTCCAGTTAGGCACTTCGTATCGCTCCCTACCAAAAAGCAAGGACATCGATTCGTGAGCAAGCCTTAGATTAGCAGGGATTGATTCAAGCCGCTCGCTTGCTCGAACCAATGCAGCACCTGGCTATACCCAATATGTACTGTACAAGCATACACGTACAAGTATATTTGCGGTTTGACGCACCGGCTGAAGGGGAGAGGAAGATGATGGTAGCACTAGACAATTGACCCCGGCTAGGTTTCAGAGCCTCAGCCAGAAACCACACACCAGCTGCCTCGTACGTAAGGTGAACATCGAGAGCCCTGGTCTGAACTCGTCAGAAACATGTAATACTTCATGCAGTAAGAGCACGTGAAGCAGCGTTTTCATCATACTGTACGAGTCTCTCCAGTAAAAGAGGCATCTCGCTATCCTCCAGATTCCCGAGGGGAGACGATAACTCTGGCGCCGCTGAAGCGCACAGGCGCTAGAAAAATAGCCACATATCAATTATCATTTATCAAAGACGCAAGCTTTGCGCCGGGCTTCTCTCCTAGATCGGATTGGCGCTCTGCGAGCATCGCCGACCAAACATCTCAGCGCTATTGGGAGAAACCCCTGACACAGAGAGTAAAGAGGGCTTGCCAGTAGTAGCAGTAAGACCTTCTCTGGCAAATTGCATTACGGGCTGAGTCTGAGTGCCCTGCACGAACAGCCGGAGCGTACAAGTAGGTACATACTTGTAGTATACTACTTGTAGAGTGCCCGTGCAGCTGTGCGACGTGCTATCCCGAAACCAGATATTGACACATGATGCTAATAATTCACCCGACGGAGAGATCCTTGTTCCCGCCCCTCCAATTAGCGAAGAGGACACAGGTAACAGTGAGAACTCAGCTTCTCTTATTGGTGGTATCTTGGCTGGGGATAGGTATCACCCCGTACTCTTACTTGAAGTCGATGCATCCTCGCCTGGATATACTCGCTAGGGCCCCTTGTTATTAGTCGTCACTGTGCGTACATAGGTAGGTTAGCCAAAGACATCATGTTTCTTTTCCGGGAGCTGCTTAGTCACGATATACCTATTCCCACTTTCTAGCTCTGGATCTTGAGGATCATCTCCCATTTCAGCAAAGATCAGAGGGCTGGGACCAAGCCGTCCGAAGACAGCTTCTGAGGGGGGGGACGCCTGTACTGTAGCTTGCTGAGGGACAAGACCCGCTTTGATGCGGTCTTTGATGCTTCAATGCCAGTCAGGCGCCCATTCCTCCCAAAATACTACAAGCTGCATAAACCCTTGCAGGAACCTGCTAGCAACGCGGTCATTGACCCAATCTGACCCAATGACTCGGCTCCGGTTTAGTCGCGATGTAATTTAGTCCTCCACTAGGATGAGGCTACCCGCTTTGTTCTTATCTGAGACAGCAACCGGGAGCATGAACAAAGGCCGTGCAGAATTCTTCCGGGCCAGTGCTTTGGTATCGGCGTTTTTGTACCAAATCTGTGCTTTATCTCTTTTCGATCGACATCTCCTAATCAGTCCTCAGTGCTACCTTGGGGTTACGTGAGGACGATTCCATCGGAGCACCCTTGACACTGACGCTGATATTGTTTGTCCTTTCTTGGTAACCAGCTCAGTGTCGTTGTTATCCATCATCCTCCTTCACTCTCTTACAATTGTTTTCTTCTTCCCTAGAGGCTGTGGGTTCTTTTCTTTTTTTTTTTTTCTCCTCGTCTTCTCTCATACACCAGTAGCACAGTGAAAATACCATTGATTGCTCCGCATTTGTTGCTCGGCTTCCCTTCCGGATGCGTCATCTATGCGAAAGAAGACCCAAACGGAACGATGATCTATGCATGGCTAAATCCCCCGACCCGACGACGCGTTAGTTGCTAGTCATACCACCCCGTAGTCGTACTGCTGCTAGTGTTAGACCTAGTTGGCGCCCATTCACGGGTCTCGCTTCCTAGCCCCTGGTTTCCATTTAGCCAGCGACCTAAGAGCCCGCCGACCCACGACTAGCAGCTTTAACATGTGCGCTAACGGTATAAACTGTTAGAGAGTACGGATACAAAGCCCAGAGATAGAGAACACCGACCTTTGAGTGATAGGGAATGGGCAAGCCTCATTGCACCTAGAGGGGAGACTTTCTGTTCAAGATCACTGAAGGTGTTATCCTAAACAACAATTTTGTTTGGCCGTCGAAAGCCGCGGAGATGACGGCTCCAAATACGGCATCGATGGCGCTGTTTGTACCCAAAGTAAAAAAAATTCTGCGTCGTGATACAGCTGAAGTTATCTTGGGTTTCTCCTCTTATTTTGTCTTGTTCTCACGGCCTAAACTCGTATTTGCAGTGGTGAATGCGTTGTTTTTTCTCATCTCCCATCTCATTGGGCGAAAATTGTCTTCCCGGTCCACAGCTGTCGTGGGGATCCGAATCATCTCTTAACGAGTCCAGAATGGCATGCCTTGCTACCGAAAACCCAATACTGCCAACCACAGCTCATGCTTGTACTGAATCATAGGGTCCGAAGCGTGGTAGTGTGATATAAGTCAAGGCGCAAGAATTTCCTAAAAACATAGCATAAGCACTTCTTTTCACCCGGACCCTGATGAGTTAGCTCTAGGACATATAACGACTAGCTCCTACGGCGTAGAAGGCCGAGGCTGTCTAGTAGTCGAGCTAGCAGGATGACGCCTGCATGTAGAGGTACTCCATAGTAGATTGAGGGTCATTGTAGAGTGAGGGAGGTAGATCCTATACCTAGTTACCCAGTAGTATTGCCATCTGTGTTCCATAGCTATAGCCATGGTATTCCGTAGACCAGAACGCTTCCTTGTATAGAGCAGATGCGAGAAGCTTGGTTGCTTTGGGCATTTGCACATGGCTGGTGCCCGATGCAGTAGGTACGGAGTACCCCGTACAAGGAGTCGCAAAGAATGTAGCATTCGAAGCGCAAAACCTGACAGTGATGCAAACCCTGGGACGAGCACATGGCGTTAGGCCTAGAAATCCCCGAACAAGGAACCCCCTTAATAACGAACCACACTCGACCCAAATGCTGTACGAGCACACGCTGGTTCAAGGAATGGCCGTACCTGTACGCAATACCACCTCGCTAATACGAAATCCTCGTGCAGGGGCGGAGTCCGGATTCTGTGCACTGCCTACCACTCCGAACAAGACAGGTACTCGTACTTTGCATCTCGCCCGTTTGAAGCATGAACCCTTAGCACATTACTTGTGTATTCTGGTGGTGACAAGTGGCGGCGTCGTGGACCTTCGTGGACCTCTAGCTGCATTCTGTCAGCACGTTATTGATTCTCCAGCCTTGGGCAGGCAGACACAAGTGCCTTGGCACTCACATGCTCTGCACCAGATTGCAAACTGCGGCCTGAGCGGCCTGGGCGGCCAAGAGCCCGTTTTCTTTGAAGCTGGGCATGGCGATGGTGCAGTAAACTGGCAGCAAGAAGCTGAGAGCAGGGCATGGAGTCGAATGTCGCCGGAAACCCAGCATTGGCCGCGGGAAATTATTTTAACCGAGCGCAAGGTCTGGTGATGGCAAGTCGCTTCCTTCATTCCTGCCGTTGGGCGTTCGAGGCAAGGTACTGGTGCTGGTACCGTACGAGGCGGGGACCAGGTACTGTACGGCCACCAGCACTTGGCACCAATTTGCAACTCCGGGCTCTTTTTGCGGTGGCGTGCGCTTGGCCTTTTCCCCTCCAACGTTCCAATCGAAATTCTCCGTAACGCCCTCATCTGCTTCGTGCATTATGGAGCAATGCCCCATATCGCCCGCTGCACAGGCATAAAAAACTCGCAACCGAAATCAACAGTCACCACATTCGCATGCCTGTCATCTGCTCGGCAGCCGTTCCGCAAGGCCGCAAGGACCAAGAAACGATCAGCGCCGAATCCTGGACTCATCCTGTTGCCAGCTTGGAGGCTTTGTCTCGGTACGTTTGTCCTCGTACGCGGCACTGGATTTCACAAGAGGAGCGGTCATGTTCTAAACAAGTTTACAGACCAGACCAACAGCTTCAACCCTCCGCCAGATTGAGTAGGTGACATCCCACTGCCATGGTGGGCACTTGGCCACTAGTCAGACCATGGGCGTTCGGAGAGCCTGCTGCTCGCAGCTTTGCGGTATCGTGAGGATAGCAGTCATCAGGAACTGATCACGCATCGTTCAAAGCAACGGGAAGCTGCCAGGATTCAGCCGGGCACCTGTGCTTCGAAGGGCCCAGGCCATCTGCTTTTCCCGTGGCCTTGACGGCGCACCCCCGCCGGGCTCCATTTCGTTCTGATGGCCGCAGGACTATTGA